TGCTACACCTTCACACGAGATCAAGTTGGAAAATGCGCCATGATGTTCGTTTCGTGTGATGTCCTCAGAGGAAGTGCAACATGCGCATCGGATCTCTTTCTTCAGTGTGCAAGTTCATGCCACCAGCCACTCCCTCCACCTCGGTGCAGTGGCTCGTCCGGGTATGGGTTTAGTGTGTAGAAGAAAAGTGTCGGTGGTTTTGGTGTGATGTACACATCCACATGTCCTCTGAAGAAAGTGGCTTTTACACAGGATACCAATCACTTGATATTTATTTGGACTCCGAGGACTGCCATTCCGGGTCGAGCGACGTATCCACAGAAAAAAAGACCATCTCGTGTCATGCATTTATCTCACACTAGTCCTTTGTTTTGATGCATTCTTTCGATTTATTGCATCACTTTCACGTGGGACAGAAATGAGATGCCTATGCTACAGTCTCCCGCATTTGCGTTAAGTGCAGAGCCACTGAATGTTGTGAGCGACCAGACGTCGGCTAATGCAGAAGATGAAAACTATTCGCCATGATGTCATTGGAACTGCGCACCTTTCACAATGCGTCCGCGTGAAGTTGATGGCCCAACGCCAACGCTGCCCGAGTTATTTCACGCCAGAGAAATATCATTGCGTCCTCAAAGGAAAGTTCAACATACACTACATGTATGCACTAAAAAAATAAGCACAGTGGTCCTCTGCGTTGAAGTTAATTTTTCGTATTACTACTGGAGCCGGCTTCCGCTCTATAGCGCGCCGCTTCGGATGAAAGAAACCCCGGTGAAAGCGGATCGTCGAGCGGGTCAGTCATCTCAGCTGCAAACATGGATCGGTTATCGAGCCCAGCACTGTGCGGAAGCGCTACAGATTGCGACGCTTGGTCTTGTGGTTGGTGGTGCCTTGTTGCCGCTGAATCGTTAACAGAAGTAGACGCTGAGGCGTGGCCAAAAACTGTCTCGTCCACCTCCTTTACTTTTGGGTTGCGTGACCACTGCTGTTCTCTGTCAGTTGTACTACTTCGAGTGCATGAGCTCTGGCGAACTTGCTGCGCGAACTGTGAATATCTGGCGTCGGTGCCCGCGGGAAGTGCACCAGGGCCAGAGGAGCTGGAACTAGCCTCGTTTTTCTGACCAGTGTATACCAGAGATGAAGTGCAGCTGTCATGTGGCTTTAGTTTACAACATCAGAGAGATCAAGAAATAAGTCTTGGCTGCATACAGTTTACTTGGTCTTGAGCCGGACGCGAACCACGAACGCTATTCGTCTTCTTCCTCCTTTATCGTCTTCAATCTATGTAGTTGTATATAAAAATATAGTTTTTCCGCCACACCCCCTAAGCCTAACCGTAGCAAAAGTACACGCATGATACGCACCCCTTCGCCTTCACTTTTTGTCGTCATGAAGAGAGCAGACATACAAAACCTGCTTCGCGGAGAGGAATACACACTTATGGACACGACTAAGCAGAGCACCACATCAAGATTCGCCGCCAGTATGCATCGTTTCTGGTTTTCCTTCATGACAACTGGAGCATTGTACTGCCTTAGCCATCGTGGCTCCCGAAAATATAACAACATGCCGTGACGCTCTCGCAAAAATCAAAATACAATGCGAGTGGGAGTGCAAAAATTAAAATACAATGTAGTGCAAGCTTCTTAGTGCAAAAATTAAAATACAAGAATGGCGGCTGGGCTTCTACGTACGTCTTTTTCTTGGCTCTACCACAATCAAGCAGCATTTGCATTCATCACCTGGGCTGGGAATTTGTTCGATAACTTGGCGCCATCACGTTGATATGTCATTGATGAGGGGCGGTGGCCGCTCGTCGTCCTCGGAGCGATTGCGCTGCCTTCGTTCATGTTTCCTCCACCGGAGAGGACTACACCTACTCCGTCAACATCATCACGACCACGAGCGGACTGGGTTCTTGCGTCGAAGCAAACGGGAGCTGCAGCTGTGCTGCTCCTGGGAGCCACTCCGTGCGCCGTACTGATGGCTGCGCGAGCAGAAGAAGCAGCAGGAGAAGATGCAGAAGAGATTATATCATGAAGATCTTCACGTGGTTCAACGAGACGGCTTTCGTTTGGAAGAGCACTCATCTGTTGTTCCTGTATCTGGCTAGGCCGCCGAGGAGTCGGAGTCTGTGCAACACCGGGTCGGATCGATGATCTGGGGAGTGTTGACGAAAAGTGGTCTACGCCTGCAGGTGAGTCTGGAGCGGCTGGAGTGGTGCGGGGCTTCTTGCTGCTCCTCGCGGAGAAAAAGGTCGACGAAGATGATGATGGACAAGGGGGGGCTTTGGCTGTGGCAGGGTACTCCTGGTGACAAGAAGCTGCAGAAGCGGTCTGTAACATCTCCGTCTCAAGTACTATCTCATCTGCAGAGCCAACAAGTGCGGCTTCTTTTCGCGCCGCTTGCCGCGAAGGTGCTGCTGTCATATCGGCGACGGACGACGTCTGTGCGCCGGAGGTATTGCTGTAGTGATCCGGTGCCACATTGACATTGTCAACGGACGAAGAAAATCTTTGTCGCACGGCTGCGTCTTCTTCGGGACTGCTGCCCTGCACCCCACGATCCTCGGGGCGCGGGTTTGTAGTGAACCTTTCCGCGGCTGGTATTTGACCTGCAGGCGCCGGAAGCTCTTCATCTTCCCGTCGCCCTCGGCGACCCTTTGGGCTCGGCGGCGCAGGCGCTGATGCGTCAGCATAATTTTCCTGGTCCCTCCTCGTGTTAAGATCAGCGCTTGCTACTTGCGAGGACGATGAGAAGCCCTTATTCGTGGCCCCATCAGCATCTCCAGTGTCGTGGTGTGCCCTGTGCTCGTCCATTTTCGCCAGGGCTGAGCGGAGGAGATCGCTGCTTCAACGGCTGCTGTCGTACTGCAGCGCCGCCGCGGCGAGGGTGAGCATGACCACGCAGGAGCACTGTGATTAATTGTATTCAGAGCCTCGACGCTCCTCGCATCAACAAGCGAAGCAAATGCACTCAAGTGCCTAGTATCTTCCTGCGTCCACGGTCGTGGCAGGAATTGAGACGCTAGCGCAGGTGCAGGCAGCGCCAAAAACAATCAAAACCTCCACGAAAAGTCCAAACGACGAACGTCATTCTACCACAAAACCCAGAAAAAGCATCTCTTACAACTGGAATAGCAAGCTATAATTGCTTTCAGTAGAACTAGAATTTAGTCTGATGCTTCAACGAATATTGGAAAAAAAGAATACACTCGTCCACATTGTATTCATGATCAAGGAGCATCTTTGCTTCATGATCAACATTGACAGGAGCAGAGAAACGATGACGAGGAGAACGGCTGAGCGTCTCAGCACAGGCAATGAAAGTGATCTGATGTTGTCCTCTGCTTTTACGTTCTTCTTCTTTATTCTCTACTTTGGTTAGAAACTACAAGAAGGGCAAGGGAAAATGCAAGTAATTCGCGCACAAAAACAAAGTGAAACAAGACTCGCGAGGACCGTATATAAACAAAACAACGAAGACGTCGAACTTTGTCCAAATAAACTACACTATTTTTATGATCCACATCCTGCTCCTGCGAACATTTGATCGGGAGAGGCGAGACCTATTTTCTCCTGCGACCAGAGGTGGCAGAGAGACTCCTGCGACCAGAGGTGGCAGCAACGTGGGCAGGGACAGTAGCAACGGAGGAGCCCAAGCAGGCGCTTTATTTAGCCCGAGCAGCAGCTCGGCGATTCTATCACGGCTCCCGCCAGGAGCAGACCACCAGCTCCGAGTCGGGTGGCTCTTTTCGGATATACCCCTTCCGAAGCTGTATCCAGAACACAGCCTAACCAGGATCGACGAGGGCGGCGCAGACAGAGGGACTGCAAAAAGTCAAACTCAACGCTCCAAGCAGACAAAGCGGCAAACCGCGCGAGACAGAAAGATGGAGCCCACTGTCGTGGCGAGAACCTCAAGAGACTGACCTAGCCCCCTAACGTGGCATCCAAGCCGGAAACCGTCCCTGAGCGAACGAAAGGGACACCCGAACCAGAAAAGGGAGGACACCCTCGGAGGCCGACTGTCAAAGTCGTCGAGACGCTTCATAAAGCAAAACGCGCCCCATGGGAAAACGGGGAATGTAGTTGGAAAAGAGAACAGACCACACAACCCTCACCCCTTGTGAGCACAGTAGTTAAGCCTTCCTGCAATGCGCCCAGCGGTAGCTGTTAGAGGGGACACCCCGACCCACCGAATTTGCAGCCCAGACCCGTTCGCAGGCGGAAAGAATATGAAATCGAACGAAAGCGCGCGTCCCTTCCAGTAGTAGCGCCGACTTCCGATATCAACCCAGGCAAGCCAAGCTGGTGAACCGCCTCTCGTGCGGGAAAAGCCACTACCGTTCCAGCAAGCAGACAAGGGGCGCACCTGGCGCAGAACCTACTTCGACAGCGAGAAAGCGAGTCGAGAAACTGCAGACCAATCTGTGGAAAGTACGCTGCTAATACCCCCCCACTGGGGGAGGCCCTCACTAGCATTGCCCTCGCTGGCCCCCCGCTAACGCAAACTCCCTCCTGCTGGGGCTGGCTAAACAGAACATCGCAAACTTCCCCCCGCTGGGGGAGGCCCTCAGTGGCATTGCCCTCACTGGCTATAGAACACCGCAAACTTCCCCCCGCTGGGGGAGGCCCTCACTGGCATTGCCCTCAATGGCCCGACGCTACCGCAAACGTCCCCCCGCTGGGGGAGGCCCTCACTGGCATTGCCCTCACTGGCCCGACGCTACCGCAAACATCCCCCCGCTGGGGGAGGCCCTCACTGGCCCTGCGCTAAGAAAAGAAGTGAGTCCTTCACAGCGCAATCCAACATCGCAAACGGCAGACAGCGTCTGCTTTGGCTCCTTCCAACGACCCCACTCAAAGGGGCGGAAGACCAAAAACTCCAGGCATTAGCTTCTAGGGATCTGCCAGCCCATATACAAACAAATCAGGGGGAAAACTCCCTTCAGTCACTCCTCGAAAATGATCTACCGGGGTAGATATGTCTTTATGATCCACATCCTGCTCCTGCGAACATTTGATCGGGATAGGCGAGACCTATTTTCTTACTGCTTTCATATGTTTCGTCATTTTTCTTCTTTTTCTCTCTTCTTTCGTAGGCCGGGCCCCAGCAGTGGCTCGCCAGATCGGGGCAGAAAACCTCGACAGCCCAACACTGTGTGCAAGGGGCACGCGAGGACTAAGAGATGACAGTTGCCAGGAGTAAAATCAAACATACCCGATGTTGACAGGAGTGCGCTAGGCTTTTCGTTCGCTATATTCAATTTTTTTTACGCCCACGACGGTGCTAGACGATGCCCATGCAAGAGACGTACGGAAAATGTTTGCCAAGTGCTCAGCGTGTGCTGGTGTCGCTGGTGCGTCTACGCCCTCTGAGAATTCATCAACATCATCATGCAGATCGCATTTCGACATGTTAGAGTTCTTGGTTGTCCGCTACGAAGTGTCCGTAGTACAGAAGGCAATCAGGATCGTATTCGTTCACCTGGCTTGGCACGTGGTCAAGCAGAGACGTAAACCAACCACCGCGCCACCAGGGAGAATCACGCGGGCGCTCACAGTGGCGCAAGAAGCAGAGGCTCTCCGAAACAATGCGCGGCATATGCATGGGAAATGAGTGATCGCATTCGCTGCAGCGGTTGCTCTTGCTGCCACCCCCAATAACTCCGGAGCCATTGCACGGACCTGTTGCAAGTTCATCAGTGCAGCGAATCCACCCAGCCTTCGCAAGCGCACGGCTCGGAAACTGTTACCAGACTCCCACCAGTTTCGCGGTCGAATTTCATCCGCCAATTTTTGTTTTTTTTCAGTGAAGCGACACCCAGCATTGTATATTCCGCTTTGACCACCACCCTGCAAAACCAACAGTGGCGCGTCGCCACTATTTTTGAACCTAAATAATCATGCCAACCCGAAGCGGAAGTCCTGAAGGCACCATTAGGATCGCCGCCGCGGGGAGGTGATCTCGTTTGGCACCAGTAGGCACGAGCTGGACGATAAAACTCGATCATGTTTTACTTTGCGGCGCACACGAAAAGCACGCCACTCAGTTCCTTGCACTATGAAGCGATTTTTGGTGCAACTGTTTTTGCGTCGTCGTCATCATGATCTGTCTTCCCCATCATCATGATCATCATCATCGTCATGGGGTGGCTACTCGCATCCAGCGCCACAGGCTAAAAATCCCCGCCCCCCCCCCCCACGGGGTTGGCAGCTAGAAGGCACTTTTGGCCTTGGCATGTAATAAAAAATATGTCAGGACGAGCTAGCCGCGACCTGTCGCCAACGTCACACTTCTGGCCTCGGCATGCAAAAAATATGTCGGAAGCTAGCCACGATGAACTGTCGCCAACGTGATATGTTTAAGCGAACCCGCCACCCTACGCCCACCATAGTACAGGATAGTGCATAATATCATGTAAAAGTAGTTTGGGCGTACTACACAAATTCGCATGACAAGCAGCGCATGACTTGGAGCTAGAATCGCTTTGCGAATAGATCGAAGCTTTCCCCTCAATACTGCAGCAAATCGTCGAGCGTCTCGAACTGCTGCAGCTGGGATACGGGCAATGGGTACGCTATGAAGCTTCCATTGGGGAAAGTGACAAAATGGAATATGCCTTGCGGCGCATCTGCATGAAAAGTCCTTTGTTTTTGTTCGAGTTTTTCCGGTGAACAGTATAGCATTGCTGATGTACAACTTCTGCATATTCTTTTCGTTATTTTTTTGGTGCGGAAATCATAAAAACGAGAGAGGTTTTGGCTGTGCCGTAAACTAGAGCTACAGTGTGAATACAGATTCACTGATGTATGCAAGCAAGGGTCTTCGTCCACGTGGAAAAATATTCATCGCAACATGTTGCACATCTTAGAGGTATTTTTAAATTGCCGCGCTCCTGCCGGTTGGTATGGATTTGCAAAAATGCTCGGCAAGTTAGTTCCACTTTGGCAGTTTCCCCTTGGCGCTACCATATATGCGTTGCGGTAGTAGCGCTCGTGCACCCAGTCCCGGAGGGCCAGCGTGGTTGTCACGTTGAAGTTATGAAATTGCACAACTCCGCCCCGTCTTCCCCCAAATTTGCAGATCATGGTAATGGAAAGCAACGCGAGCAGCATTACAAATGTGGATCGCGTCATGTCAAATCTTCCGCACACGGACCATGGTGCAGAAGTTTATTGGGCAGCTCACTCTTGTCACACAAGCCATGCGAGTGCCCGAATTCAAAATCAAGCCTGCATGATTTGGCACTTTGTTGTATGAAAAAAAACCTAGGGTGAGGAGCTGTAGTTGATGTGCGCTCACGTAGAAGACCTCCCGCATCTGTGTGGTGCGCGTCCAGCCCTGCACTTTTCGCAAGTGCCGCGGTAACCGCGGTTGGAAAAATTGGCTCTGGCGTAGTGGTGAAAGGCCCTGCTGACCGTCGGAAGGACAATTCAGACCAGCCTGAGCTGAGGCTCCTCGTCGTCGCTGAACGTCCCTTTGCAGTGGAAGACCACCGTCTAGGATCGGCTCGGTCAAGGGCAGTGTACCGTTACCACCACCACCTCGCAAATCTTCTTCAAAGCGCGCCTTGTTTGGTAGAAGTGACGCGGGGAGGATCCGCGGAGCCGATGTGTCTGTCGCGGGGAGAGCTTTTGCGTCGTGGTGTAGATGTGGAAGTGTCAGGTTGGAAATCGAGACTGTCAAAAATAAAACGAACACCAATAGCGATGCATAATACTTATTAAAATCGACGCGGACGCCCCCAATGATTGGGCCCATCACCTCTGAGCGGCGCGTGACAATCTTTGAGACCCCTCCATCCAAATTGCCAAGCTCCTTGAGGCAAAGAACTGCTTTACATCTAGCGACAACCCTACTACACACGCTCACAAACGCCCTCGCTTGCTTTCTCTGCAAGACAGGCTCCTCTGTGTGCCCCGTCGCATCGAGAATCGCATCACAAAATTCGTTCACATGTTTTCGATCCCCAACCTAACATTACCACAGTAGATCGCGCCAATTTAGTATTGTACTATCGTGCCTCTGCCTCTGCATCAGTTGTTCGGAACACGGGGGCGCAGCCTTGTCGCGTGCGACCACTTCGTGGTTCAAATCTCTCGACGTCCCCTGGACCACTGGCCTCATCGCGCCAGGTACAAACTCGTGGTTTTGTTGGGCACGTCCACCCTCCGCCGCACAGTAGCTATAGGAGTAAGCAGGATACCCCTGGCTGCGGGGGGTGATGTTGCTGCGAGTCTCTTCCGATAGAGGTCTCCGGTCCCCATGCCCGGGCAATAATATGGAAGAGAAGGGAGCAGCGAACTTAAGGAGTTGTGCTCCTAGCGCCAAAGAATGCAAGCCCAGCTTGTGCTTGTCTTCAACACTTGCTACGGTCTACAACACCTTGATGGTCCTGCAAAAAGCAAATCGATCGATACTGAAGAAGATGAAAACAAGCACTCGACGTGTGCTACAACTAATACAAATACTACTACTTGCTCCACCGCCATGAGGTATTATGCACCTGCGGGCATTTTTGTCGCTCTCTTGGCATCTTCACAAAAAGGGCACGAATTTCATGCAAAACCTAACCCCCCGAATAGACCACTGCGCTTTTCCTTAGGGTTAGCAGCACGGTGTTGAGATCGGTCGCTTCCTCCCCTAGACAGGGCACCAGGGGCCCCCGCTTGCCGGTGTCGAAGATCGTACATTGCAAACTGGAGGTCGGACTTCAATTCTTGCAGAATGAACTCGCGATTTGCGCGGCTGTACCGCCCCACCTTGTAGCCCTTCCGAAACCTTCGGCACAGAAAGAAGACCAACAAGTAGCGCGCAGGAACGAACAGGGAGAGCACCAACAAAAGTGCGAGCACTGCGGTCACGATGCGGGCAACGTCCTCGCATCCGCCCCCGCAGTCGGGCGAGAGCAAGTTTGCACGACGCTCGAGGTAATCCGCCCAATACAAAAACTTCCGCTCGTGTTTGTTGAAACGCAACAGATTTCGGTCCCAGAATTCCCGGACAAAGTTTCTGTTCCCGGATTTTTCAGTTTTTATAGCACCGGGAGGACTCTCCCCCGGACGATGGTGGCGCCTGGAGCTACTGCTTGCTGTTGGGATCATTTGAATGTGACTCGTTTCAGTCATAATTGTTCGCGTAGCGCTCCCGCTGCGTGCCCTGCTCTCTCGCGTCTTGGAGGCGCCGTCATTGTCAAGGCCTGAAGCTGCATGAGTGACGCAGGAGCTGTTTTCTTTCTGTTTATTGGCATTTATGCTTTGGTCGGCCGAGCGGACATCAACAAGGTCTTCATGGTTATCAATCAGTTTACTTCGTCCACCGCCGCTCATCAGTACAACTGCTGCAGCATCATCCGGGACCAGAGGCGGTGTACCGGGATCGCTCCCGGCGCGCTGGTCGTTGACGAAGTATTTTTTCTTTTGCACGCTCCCGTCGCGCTGGTCGCTGACGAAGTATTTTTTTTTATTCTCCACCTGCGATCCGTCATTGCTTCCGTGTCGCGCAACACAGTCTTCGTGCACTTCGGGCAGCGCGTAGGTGCCACTACCTGGGGAGCCCCCACCAGCGTATCTGTGCCCCGCCTCATTTTGTGGATGCCGCTGTCGCTCCTGATCCTGTGCAGGACTGTGACTGTCACTAACATGATTCCAGGAGCAGGATGAAGGGCCCTGCATCGTTCGTGAGTGTCGTGGTGCCATGTAGTTGTAGCTCGACGGCATCGATTCTTGGTCCACCCTCACCTTGCAGTGATGATCGATTACAGCCCGAACGTCGTCTGGCGTTCCCTTGTTCCGGCCGTCACTGTCGGGATCTCCGTCTCCTGCGCACCCTGCCGCATCACAAATGTTCCCCGTGATCGCGCTTTGTGTCGAACTCTGTTGATGCCTCGCTGCGCCGTCCTGCTCTCGCTTGGCGGGCTTGCTTGGATTCGCCTCTCTTCTGTTTCTGTCACCTCCCTGACTAGAACAGTTCGGACTCCGAGTCGAGCTTGAACTCTTTGCACTGGTCGTGGGAGAGAGTTTTCCGTCGCGGCCAGCACACGTGCTCGGATGATCGAATACATATTTTTGCTCTTCACCGGACGCATTTTTGGAACGACCGCCAAGTAGTACCGTTGCACATTCACCTACAGCCATGGCAAAATTGGCGCGCCTCGGCCTAGTCGTAGTACCCCCCGTCGACGAAAGCAAGAGCGTGCGTGGTGCTGGTACTTCGTTAGAAGTAGAACGGACGCTGCTGTTAACGCCGCGGGGACAGAGGGAGCTTACTTCTATTTCTTCTGCCTCTTCATCTTCGCCGATGCTGGTGCATTTATTCGTGCACAACTCTGCTTCGTCTTCGCTTTCGCGGCAACTATGGGGTGAATCCGTAGGTATGATGCCCGTGCTGGTCGTCGTCCTGCAGCTCCCCGGTGGGCAATGCAAACCTGAGTTTGCAGCTGCAGACGAGACGTCGTTGTCCGTGTAATTGTGCCCTGCTGCCGCGGACGAGCATGCATCATTGTCCTGGTCGTCCTCTGAGGGTGGAACCGACGGCAACCGTGACGGTGACCTCGCTGTTGACATTGTCTGACCGTCATTCCTCCGCGGACCCGGAGGTGGCTTGTTCCCGGCGACGTTTATTCGGTAATCATCTAAGCTAAAACTGGCATCGTGCCTTGTTTGCCTTTCGTCCTCACGGTGGTGCGCATCTTTGTGGTCTTCGCAAAATGTTTTACTCTGGGTGCTGGCGGTAGAAAAACTATATTGCGCATCAGATGATGACGAGACTTTTATCAGCGACTCAACATCATGATGAAGATTATAATCTTTATCTCCATCATCGTCCTCGAGCACTAGTACTTGGTCCTCCCTGTCCTCCCCCTCGCCGCTACGCATTGCAGTATGAGCAAATGTTCGTACGCAAGTATCAACTGAGGTGGACGTGGTGGCAGCACCAGCGGTTGCTGTTCTTGTCTCAGCGCTCCACCTTGGAGACGATGCGGTCCTGTTGACGAGAGACGGATCAGCTACTTTCACCCGGGCACAGTCGCCTTTGGTCGCATTTATCTTTGCAGCTGCAAGAAGTGTAGAGGCGGGCTGTAGGCGTCGTATCTCGGCAACAGCTAACTTGGTTTTCGTGTTCCGATCCCGCCCAGTGAGGCAGCTAGTAGTACAGAAACCCCGAGACATATGGAAGCGCCAGGCTCGAAATTGACTCTAAAGCGGCGTCATTCTTTATTGCGTTTGCTCCAAACAGCATGACATCGAAGAGCTACGGGCTGAATGTCCCGCGAGCGCTTCTTGGGCCTAAAAACGTAAACGCGTGTTATATATGTTATGCAAGACGACCCTCCTCGCGATCTGGTGTGTGCACCAGAAAAGCAAGGCGCATCAGCCCACTTCTGGTGGGACGTGCAGCTGCAGGCTAAAAACAGAAGTGCGAAAAAAATTACCTATTTACTTCGAAGCAACAACATGTGGACAAATGTGGTTTATGCACAGCTTCCTAAATTTGACATGCGCCGCATAGAAAATGGGGATCCAACAACTAGTGCCGATGTTATTTCTATTTCAATTCGTGGTTTGCAAATCGCTATCGCTCTCTCAACTTTGTTAATTTCGAGCCTGGCATTCCCATACGGCAAGACAGGACTCTGCCGATCGGCGGTCGTGGACGCCAGGTCGGAAACCGGCGACACTTTCATCGACGGATATGTAGCGCAAATATGTCTGGATCTGGATTTGTCGATGCAAGATTTGAAGCGCAAGGAGATCTGTGACGAATGGAGAGAAGTGGCGAAGTTTTTTGTCGTGCTGAAAGGCACCAGTTTTTTTATCATGCGCACAACTATATTTACCGAATGAATCTGGAAGAATCGTCGTAAATAAACTTCGCCTGCTGGTGCAGCGTTTATGCCATGCAATCTTCTGGATCTGGTGCTCTGTCTCTGCAATCATGCGAGTACCAGCAACACAAATTTCCAGACCCAGACACATCTGCACTCGATAACGGAGGACCGCGAACATTTTCGCTGACAATCTCTGCATCTGCTCTCTCGGATGCGCTGCGTGAAAAGGCGCGAGCATTATAAAAATCCTCATAATCGTCCCCATCGCCATTTCGCCGCTCGCCTGCGGGAGTGTTCCGAACTTTATCATCCCTAATGGTTTTTGCAGCTGCTTCGCGATCTTCCGCTCCTCGGATGGTCGTCTTCTTAGTATGATCTTCCGGCGGACGAGTGGTCATAGCATGATCCCCCACAACCAGGGACAAGAATGACCGGCGCTGCGGCATCTGATCACCTTGCTCGTGCAACAGCCGCGGCGATTTATTACGAGCGGAGTGCTGTGGCTGTACGGAACAAGAAGAGCGGCCTGGCTCTTGCGTATCTACTTCGTGCTCTTCGTCATCGCAAGACGCTGACCGAGAGCTGTCGGTCTGCTCTGTTGCAGATCTTCTACGTCTTGGAGATGTACCCCAGCTCAGGTATGCCAGCGCGTCGCCGGCGTGTGGCGAAGTGGATTCGCTACCGGAGTAGAACCCTTCCACGGGGAGCCCTACATGCCGCCGCTCACGAAAAAGCGAACGGTAAGTGGTATCACCTGCTCAGCTGTCACAATCTCAAGCGTTACTACACAACTGAAAAGCGGCGACGCCAAAAGCGCATGTCGTAGCTACCTAAGCCTACTCTGATCGGAATACGCATGACAAGTTCCGGAGCCCCCAAGGAAGCCCCACTAGAATCTGGCAAAGCCCGATTCTATATCTATTGAAATTGATGCGATATCACTTGAGATTATAACAACTGAGCAAGCCATAAGTGGCTTTGTTCGTGAGCAAGGAGGATGATCCGATCAAGGATCGACTGTAACTCCATCCGTTGTCATCGGTTACTGGGGAAACTTATGCGATTTTCAAGCGGTGCACGTGCATTGCTTGCCTTCAGGACGTGAATCGTCTTCATGCAGAGGAGCGGCCACTAGCTATCACCCCCCCAGACGATAAAGCTACCTCGCGCGACATGATGCTCGTGAAGGGCTATTAAATAGCATGGAAGTATTAATCCGTTCCTGTTCCAAATTGAAAATTGTAGCGCAAGATGAAGCGCAACAAGAATAAACGGAAAAAAAAATGTTTCAATTTGCATACTCTTAGTCTTACTCTTATTCCTGCGTCACAAATAATAAATTCATGTATGCACCAGCTATTGTCTTTGTAACGCTTGAGAACTGCATAGAACTCGAACCTCCCACCGGTAAGCACAGCCGTTTTCCATCGCCCGTGGAGGTGCACAAGGTGCGCCAGTCGCGGCATCTCGCCACGGTGGAGGGTCACTGAAAACGAGGCGAGCCGCAGAAAAACCTCCCCAAAACCAACATCTCTGGGATTCGATTTTCTCCAGGCGGCCTGCTTCCCCCATGGCTTTACGGACGTGGCCTCGGTACTGCGGTAGAGGATGTTGACCTGAGCGAGGCTGTGGCGCGTTTGTGCTGGATGAGTAAGACCAAGACGCCGGCGTCCGCGATTGCTTCGACGTCTTGATCTTGTTTTTCGTGTAGCGTAAAACCTTTCGCGTTCTGTTTTGGAAGCCTGTATTGGACTCCTGTGACCTTGCTCCTGCTCCGGTCGTTTCGTCTGCCATGGACGCCAGCACATGCGGGCATTCGGGAGGAGGAAAAGAGCGATCCCAAAAAAGAGAAGAGGAACAAATTTGTTCTTGCCCAACTGCTACTGATGAGGCAATGGAGTGTGACGTCCTCTGCTCCCGCCCTGCTCTCTTATCATGACCTGGTGAAGTAGGAGAACTTTGATCGCCGACGTGGCGTCCAGCGCCGAGCGCCAGGTTAGCACCCCCGTCGCTGCCGCGCTTGTTGTCGGAATGGGGGACTTGGGCTTGACCCCACTGTGTGCCTTGCTCCGCCAACGCCGTGCCTACGCGGGTGGTCCTCGACCTGCCCAGCCCATGCTGGCGCTCAAGCTCCGGGTCCGCAGCGTCTTCAAATGCGACAGCTCCAGTCGGGCGGAAAGTCGTGGTTTGGACGAGGGGAGGTGAATAATGTCTGGAGCTGGACGATGAGCAAAATAAATCTGCGCCAGAATAATCTGTGGGCGAAAGTTGCCGGCTTCGAGCATCACATGCTCGCTGGTCCCGATTGGACAGCAAGGGGGCTTGCTGTGAAGGTGCGCCATCACAACCAGGAGTCTGCCCCTGCACCGAGTAAGTTTGAGTTCGCGCCGCCTGCACCTGCTTCTGGAGTTCAGCATCATCGTCGGCGAAGCGTTGCGCGGTAGGTGCTGCAAAGCCACCCCCTATGTCGACCGTCGTCGAAAGCAGCGTTCTACGCGCACTAGAGCAGCTTGTGGATATCATTCTACAACTTGAACTTGATGGCGTTTTGGTTTTCATTCGCTGCTCATAATTTTGTTCCCGCTGGTCCTCAAGGTCAAGGACTTCGGCGAATAGCTGCTGTGCCCCGTTTAACAGCGCAAGTTCAATGCGCTGCTCTCGTCGTCGAGCCCGCCAACAACTAGAAAGCCACCAAATCGCGCGCATGGACAAATCAATTAACCACGTTCTAAAGCGCAGAAATTTCTCCAGCGCCGTCGGTGGAGCCGCGTGCGGAACTACAAGACTCGCCAGGAAGACGCGCTCAGAGTCAGACCTTTGCGTTGCGGTCCAGTTGCTGTTCTTACAAGCAGATGACGGAGATAGTACTGCTGCAGCACCTGCTGCTCCAGTCGCGAGCAAAGCGTCCAACCACCAGCCTTTCTTTTCCAGTTTTGTCGTCGGGATGCTTTCTGGAAGATCAGCATCTATACCTGACACAACCTGTCGCAGCCCAGCCGGCGCGACTAGCGCGGCAGCTGACCGATCATGAGCGAAGTGTGTTCTTTCTCCGCCCGCCGCGACGGCGTTGCTTCTGGTCATCTTCGGTCTTGTCGTGGCTTCAAGGTCTTTGCGTCTTGGCGCTGCGAGCAAACCGGTGCCTTTCTTGTCATTTGGCGAGTTTTTGCGTATGTTGACACTCATCTGGTGCTCACTGCCTCCTTCTTCTTCTTGCTCTACGCGGCACCCCGCAAGACAGTGATTTGCACCATTAGGGCCGGTCAAGTAGGTGGCTTCTAGGTTTTTCCTTCCTGCTGTTCCGGCATGAAAATTTGGAACCGCTGTTGCCGCATGCGCTAGTCGAGGTAGAGTTTTATGACCCTGGTAATCTTCGTGGCGTGGACTGGGCAACACTGCGATGGTTTTGGCTTTCGCCATCCGCCCACTTTCAATGGTTCTACCCAACCTGGTGCCAGTGCCATCATGATCCGATCGAACGATTCTCCTTGAGATATCGGCTGCCGTGCCGGAGCAAATCTGCGTAGTCAACATTCGTGAGCAGGGTTTCTGCAGGACGTCATCCTTTTGGGGCAAGTCCTTGCGTCCATCATTCTTGAGCAGATGAGATATGCTGTTGCTCCTGGTGTGTTGACCGAGCTGGACTTGCCCTGGTGCGGAAAGAGGCTTGGGCGAGGTCGGCCACTGGAGCTGGCTGCAGCAAAGGTAAAGGAAAACGAGGACCACAGAAAATTCCAGGGAGCATAAAATATGCATGAGCAACAATGCGAGAACCACCAAACTAAACGCTGGGTCTTCCCACCGCTCAATACGTTTCCACCGTTCCGAACTACGCTTCATCCGCTTCGCCAAGGCCTCTCCCCGTTTGAAAAAGTGCTTTATCCGGTCAATCTCCTCTTTGTCAAGAATACGTGTTCGCATCAGCGCGTTCTGTACTCGGAGTGCTCGCTGCTGCATCAGCCGATGCCGGGGCAGGGGTTTGAACAAGTGAGAGAGTGGGTGCCACACCACCACCGCGCAGCGAAGTTCGGCCACGGCAAGGTTCTCGCGAGAAACGCCGTGCTGTCGAATGCTCTCCGTGTTTTTCAGCAGCCATCGGTGCCTCGCTTTCCGGTTGCGCCCGAGCGTCCGGAGCGGAATTCCCACCGTTGCACGACACCGACCGCCACGCCAGGCCTCAAAATAGATTTGTAGGTCGGGGTCGTCGATGTCGGACCATAGACACACTTCTCCTGCCGACGGTTGTTGTTGACTTCCCCAGATGCGCGCGCAAACTTCCGCGAACTGCCCCACTCGAATCACCACGAAAGCTTGTTTGCTCTCGTCCTCCAGCGACGCGGTGGGCAGGTCTACGTCTTTGGAGTCCCTTGTCAGAAAGCGGAGATCCTGGACTGAAACCACTAACTTGAGGGCCGGGCGGCTCGCTACTATGAAGTCTTGTTCATGTTGATCTTCTGCTTTCCTCACACGGCGACACGCTTGCTCGGCGAGCGACGCCCGAAATCGAGCATTTTGGTTGACACCAACAGGACGGAAGTAGGCTGTCGTGGTTTGTTGACGAAGTTCATCAATGTCTGCTCCGCCGCGCCACTTTCTCTTTATGCGCGAAAGTCCTCCTCCAGGAGGGTGACCCAGCTTGCGCCGCACGGACGAGGCCTTGGACCTCAGCCAGGCCCACAGACCTGGGTCCCGAGACGCGGTCGACCACTTCGCGCCATCAGCAGAAACCACATGGCTGCTGGCTGCAACCTGGTCTTCATACTCATGGGCATCTTCTGCCGACCTCCCGGACGCTGCGGATACACAAGAAAACCAATCTTCCCTGCTAGCGGTGTCAGGATCACAAACGGCTCTCAGCTCTCGGTCAGCGTTGAGTATTCCTCGTCGTTCGTTGTGAATCTGAATTCTCGAATTGTTTTTTTGCTGTGCCGTTTGTTCTTCGCGAATAAGGCTACTATGGTTCTCTTTCACGACAACTTTCTCAGCAGATGGAGAGAGCACAGATTTTGATTGAGCTTCTTGCAGGACTTCTCGTTGCCGTTCGCTTGCCACGAGTATGCTTGCCCAGCGTCGTCCTGCAGTGTCGTTTCCCGCTCCTCCGCAACGGCTCCCCGCACGGACATGACCATCATGCTGAGGATGAAAAACGGGGGCCGCGTGCTTCGGTGCTCCATTCTGATTGTGAGCAGACTCGTCTCGTCGGCGCGTGCTGGACGAAGCATGCGCTGCTCTCGATAAAAAAGCAGGTTTTGACCATAAACACTTTGGGAGATGATCAAAAAGAACGGACACCGAGCCGGAAGATCCGTGAGTGTCACTGCAGAAGGGGAGGATGCTGCTGTCGCATTTTTTTCCCGCCACATCGGCTGAAGCTTTGGTTTCCGCGGGGCGGCTTCTGCTCTTGCTAATCCGATTCTTATGAGGGAAATCATTCAACGGCTGGATTGCTGCAGTTCCAACGAAGTGCGTGCGGCAAGTGAGCTGACACGCAGTTCGCAGAGCGGCCAACCAAGCAACGTATCACTTAGGAAAACCACTCGCCCGCCCTACTCCCCTTTTCCTAAAACTGATCTGTGAGTCTCCTCTAACATGCCAAAGGACATACAAGAACCCTACAAGTAGAACATGGGTTGCGACGGCGGGTCTCTAGATTGTGACTGGTGTCGATGAAATTCGAACTCCGTCAACGCGCTCTCTTCTTCGGATACCGCTTGGGAAGAGATACTGGAGAGCGAGAAGTCACTGCTCACTGCAAAGGATACAACGCGAGCCTCTTTCTCAAGTGCGCAAACCGTCCATGACCCGCGCTCGCTGCTGTATTCTGAGGCGCTGATCTATCCAGCACCAAAGAAGACCCATGTCAATCCGCTTTGTCATGCATACCCGACTGCACCACATCAAAAACCTTTGCACCGTCGCCGCAAGCAGCTTCGGACGCAGGAGATCTAGGGTCAGAACCGCGAAAAACATCGCGAGTGTATGATGTCATGCAGAGTCTGATGTGTCCGTCACTGACACTGTCATGCAAATAAAAGTGAATCAATGGGCATGGGTCAACATAATTTTCTGCGGATATGATCGCACACGGTCCGCCAGTGCGCATCTCTTCGGAAACAAAAAATATTCGAAGTTGAAACTGCTGCTCCCCGGTCTTCAAACGGATTTCCCCGTCGTCTCGCAGATCTGCGCCACTCAGATCCATGATCCGTTCGATGCTGGCATCGTCTATGCTTTCGGTTTCGCCAAGTCGGCTCGATGTACGAAAATGAAAACAAGAAGACGTCCAAGTCGGACCAATTTTGTTAATCTTTGTTAAATAGTTTGGAGGGTAAAAGCATGGGAAAAAGCTATCAAGGTCAGCTAGGTTCTGCCAACGTACTGTGTGTAAATGGGGCAATAGGGACGCGAGTGTACGTCCTTGTTCCTCCTCCAGCGCCACATACTAAGTACTTTTGATTTTATGTGCTGTCTCATGGTCGTCGTAATTAACGTCGTACTTTGCAAGAAAAAGTCCCATCGAGCTTCTGGATGACCTGCGTACCGCTGACAAGTAGGTGATAGGCCTGCTGATGGTCGTGCGGCGGGTTCACACCTTGCTTTCGTTTTCCTCCTCGAGCAGGGAAGATACTGCTACAACTAGAGCTTGGCTTTATTTGCGCCTGGTGTCCACCGCTCCTCGTCCGGGCAGGATGTAGACCCCTATGGTCTATATGCTCCTTTTGTCTGAGTCTGCTACTAGCGGGTTGGTCATAGAAGCAAAACGACGAAGTAGTAGTAGCACAAGCGCTCCAACTCGAAGTGGCAACTTGTTTCTGCGGTGACGCAATGAACGAAACAGTTGACAGGCCCGCTGCGGCACGTCTACATGGCACGCGACTAGTAGACTGCGAGCCCGCATCACCTTGGGCCAGCAGCCCTCTTGTTGCTCCTCCTCCTTGTTCGAGCCGCGCATCCGCGCCGTCGTTTCGCGGCTTCGCTGTACGAAGATTATGCAACGTATTAATGCTTTGCATAGTTGTTCTTTTTGCAGCCGATACGTTGAAACCAGCTGCGGGGCCCGAAGCCGAATCACATCCAGGAAGCTTGTTGACGGCATTCCGCTCGGCGTCGGCTCCGGCGCCAACGCAGTGCAACAACGCAGGTTCTCGTTGAAGCGAGCTGATGTGGTCCAAGGTGTCGACGTCCTCGGAGCAGAAGGTGCTTGAATTGCAATTATATCCCCTCTCCGCGGATGAAAAAGTAGCCCTTCGCGACCCCGTTCGCCCGCTCGATTCGAACCCGACATCCACATCCGAGCTTTGGTTTAATTCCGATCTCCTCGACCTGATCTTCGGACTCGGGAGAAGGGTTCTAGTACTGCTCTCAGTTGTGCGAGTCCGGGGACTTGCGGAATAATGCAGAGGCCGGCCTCCATTGTGCCTTCGCTTTCCAGAAGCAGAACCGGTGTCGCGGACGGCTTCCTTTATTTTCGTTGAAGGAGAAACACGATGTGCATGTGGTGGAACTTCATCGTCCATTGGTGTCGCCGAATCTGTTTGTGCTTCCAGAGTCCTCCCCGTCGTGCAGAGCGTATCTTGGTCTAAGTTGCCAGCAGATGATCGTCCCTCCTGGCTGCCACATCTAGAAATTGCTGGAAAAGAGTCGACAGTGCGAAGCTCTATCTGAGAAGGGCTGCGTATGGTCGTGTGAAAAACTACCTCCAGCCCAAAAACTCACGCCAGCCTCTTGTCATGCGTCGAGAACGATTTGAAACGCACTGTATCTGTACCCCTGATATTAAGTGTCCTTGTCCTCCACCTTCTTATCAGCGATTTTTTTTCATCGTACAGCGAAGCTCATTCGCATTAACATTCCTACGCAGCGACGTTTTCGCAGCCTCTTCCTAGTCATGCTGCGGGCTTGCAGCACGTCATCTAGATCTAGACACGTCGTCCCTGCTGTGCTTTATCCCAGAAAACGCCTAAAGAATGGAGCCTGGATTAGCATCGAGTAGACCGCACATGACGTTCAGGAAGGCATGTGGTAAGGGGAAGGCCTCCCCTGTGGGGCGCGCGCGTCTGGACAGGTGTTGCCACGCACTCGGTAGTTCTAGTTACCGGCCCGCTTTCATCAGCCGCTTTTGGATTTGCATCATGCGAGAGTGTCCCTGTGCTGTGGCCGCCAAAGTCGTACCTAATCGCAGCGACTGCACAACTAGTACGAGCCGAGCCTTGTGGTCACGCGAAACACCCTGCAATTCTGTACCAAGGTGAGCTCGGGGTAATTTTGTTCGGGACTCAGACCAAACAAGGCCGCTTGCCTCTGGGGTGGTAACATTTTTACACATCAGGATAAGACGACGCAGAGCTTTACTTCTGGCCCCGATGGCAGAGTCGCGCTCGAACGTGCTGGCGGCGCTGTCGCATTCTTATGCCGACGTCCAACGGAAATCAGTATCTTCGTCACTGGCTTACCACTGATTTTTCGAATAAAAAAATGCCGAATCATCTGCTTCCTTTCGATTTCGTACCTCGATCCCCATCACAATCTTCTTTAGATACAAGAGTATCGATGTAGGAAAATAGCACTGCTAGTAGTACTAACGCTCTTGTTGCGCCGCTAGACCTACCTCTGCATGCTTTTCTTAGGTTTGAGCTTTCTCCATCTTCATGATCGCGTGCTGGAGTATGTTAGTGTATCTGTACGCGCCGTAATGGCGATGCTCAGCCTCGTCACCATGCGAATCTCCATGCCAAAGCACGCTGACGACCGCTATGCGGCGAGAGAAGGAGCATGAAAAAAGAAATAAGTAACTTTCAAAAACTAAGGTTTCTGATATTGATTTCGAAGGAGTCGATTGTTTGCGCCATCATACCCGACTTTTCCATCTTCGGCGTGTTATCACTGCCTGAGGCAGCATCGAAAACCCGAGCCCGGAAACAGGACCAAGTAGGAGCTCCTGCGGCTTCTTCGTCGGGGATTTTTCCAGTGCCTGGACTATCCTGCGCAACAACGTCCCCTCCACGAACCCAGGGCTCCTGTCAACATGCTGATTTGCAATTACAGGAACGCTGGCAATGCGCAACATCCCCACGACAGGCATTCTCAGCTGCGTTCTGAGATTCTTGGCAATGCTGTGCACCGGATAAGGAGACGGCTTTGTGGTGCGGATGTTGTCCTTGCTAACCTGCACCACAATATAGCGAAAAGCTTGCCATGCGTGACTGCCAAATCTCCTGGCCTTGTGTCGCAGAGCTCCCAGCAACTTGACTACCTATGGAGAGGTGCGTCGGGACGCTTTTACATATGATATGCAAGTCGACGAGGTGGTCATCGTGCGATGAGCACAGGAAGCCCCGCCGGTCAACCCAACCCAGATACCGCCACGTTGTCGCGGCTTCCGCCGAAAAAAGCTTGTTGAGCTCGACCATTTTGAGCGTTCCTCTAATATCCGCGGAACTGGTACTCTTAGATATGGCCTCCACGACAGCCTGCCGTGTCTGAACTCTTTTCACCCGATAGCATGCCAGTTGTAATCGGCCCCGTTCTCCGGGCGGCGCACAGTGGTAGCCTGGCGAAGAGACGAATGGCGGCAGAGGCAGCTGCCGGTGCGAATTGCTGGTAGAAGTGTAGGCACTCCTCGCGGCCGTGGCGTCTTGCTCAATTTGAACCCACATCAGCTCGTATTGCAGTATCAGGCTGAATAGCAAAAATGCATTTTCCCCATACCACAGTCGCGAACTAGTGTGCTGGCGGCCGATTCCACCGTGCTCTGTTCTTGTTCATCATCATCTCGGAAAATGATGCACGATTGGGCTACGAGATCTATGCGCACCAGTGCCGGCACTGCGCATCCACAGCACACGCCCAACGGGCTTCATCAAGGTCTTTCATTCATAGCGCGTCTGACAAAAGAACTGGCGCAGACACTGAGGCACGCCGGCAGGCCATTTTGGCGGGGTACCAAATAAAAGCAAGAAGAGAAGCCGACGCTACCTTCGTCTTGCGATATTTTTGGACGAGCCTGAAGCGCAATTCATATGTAGTGGCTCGCTGAGCGCCGCTCCATGCTTGGTCCCCACTGTACAAAAAAAGCTGGAGAAAGGCAACCGCATTCAGTGTGTGCGCGATAAGCTGCAAGCGCAACGACGTTTGCGCACATGCATGCTGAAATTGAAAAATGCAAGAAGTAATTATCAATACGTCGGTCCTCAACGGAGGAGCGCGAGCGTGAATGAAGCGTTGTCTCCTTTTGTTACGAAAGCTGCTTTCTGCACGACTCCTATATATAACGATCCAACTATCACTGAAGAAGGTGCGGGGGAAATGCAGTCAGCCTCTCGCTTCCGTATCTCGGCCACGCTCCCCGCGCTGCACCAGCATTAATCCACCGAAGTAAACTTTTTTCATCTTCATGCATCAATGCAATGTACATATAGAAGGAGGTATAATCTTCAACAGCAGCCGCAGCATCCAAGTTGCGAACCGCATTACTTACCGTACTTATTGTTCTTCACAAGCTGCCGGAATCGTCACGTCGAGCAGATTAAAAAAACTCGTACAATAATTTCATCTCCATGTTTACACGAAAAATCAAAAAAACACGGTTTCCGGCAGCTAGACTCACTACCCCTGTAAAGGATCACATCGAGGAGAATATGATCGGCTCAAATCCTACACAGTCACAAAGTACGGCAGACCTTTTTTGTATAATAGTAGGCCCTTCTTGTACTTGTAGTTATATCATCCCTGCTGAATAAGGGAAATGGTACTAGGCACTGACATTTCTAGCGGATCATTCTTGATGACCACATCAATGCGTTTTTATCATGTTTCTGATGCAAGAGAACGACAACGAATGAAGCATGTCCGAGCGATCTTCTGGTTGGTGCAGCTGCCGGAAGAACAATAAAAAAACTACAAGACCAGAGGAACCACTGTGACCATACCACCTCTAGCCACATGCTTAGTGGTCAAGTACAAGATCTCAAGCAGGGAAGCTGCACTGATCACGATCCTCTCTTGATGAAGATGCGCCTCTTCAATATACGCATTCGCTTTCGATTTTACTTCTGCTGTAATTGGAATTAAATTCCAAAAAATCGACAATTATGCTACTCACTGTAAAACGAAAAATGTCGATGCATGTCAGCTGAGCTCCGCGAACTACTTGATGCTCATCTGTTTATTCTACATAAACTAAGCAGGTGGCGGCCAACCTGCACCTGCTCATGATGAATTCAAGAATAATAGCAAAACGATGTGGAGGGACTTTTGATCTCGACAGAATCAACAAGGATCATAGAAGCGTTTTGTAGTGCCGCACGCTTTTACTTCTTTCAGTACGTGAACACAGGAGTCCGAAGATATGTATGTTTCTACTATGGTGATCTTGCCAGTGACAATGTTCGTGCAGCAGCAGCGCAACATTTTGCAGATATTAATGCGCACTATCATCTGGTGCCTCTGTGTCTGTACTTCTAAGTTTTACTTTGATGCAGCTTGTTTCGATAGTAAAACAGGACAGACCTCCACGGAGCCGCTACTTATTCTCTTGAAGTCCGTGGCAGAGCAGAGAGAGTTGTGAAGATCATGCGCTCAGGCGTGACACGAGGAGTGGCTGTGTGTGATGACAAAGGACGAGCCACGTGCTTGATAGTAAGCAGTAGCTGGCGTCCGTCACACGAGTGCACGTGATTTCAGCTCTGATATTCTCGTCCAGCACGCCGCAAAAGTCTAGAACTCTGACACAGGAAGAGGAGGCTTGAATTTTCATGTGAGCAGCTCCAGCTACTACAGCTTTCGTATCCGGTACGACCCTTGCACAACTGATAAGTGTTGCTGACATTTGCAAAATGCAGCTCGCAGCACTAAGATGTGGGCTCCTATCGCTGTCCACCCGCTTTGTTTTACCACAAGTCTGTCGGTTATTCATGAGAACGCAAGGGCACGAAACAACGCCTGAGGTTTTGTTGTTTTTCGTCAGAAGCGACTCGAGGGGGCTTAATTTTGCCGTCCCGGTATGCGTATGCATCCTGTCGCGCGCCGCGTATGCGGATGATCATGGTGCGACATACTTATTAGGAGACTGTGACTGCTCCACGAGATGTCGTTCGTGCTGGTGGTGCCCTGCCTCGTGCTAATGTTGACCCACCTCCACCGGGGTTTAAACCTGGCAAGAAGTAGACTGTGCTCCTGGGTAAGCTAGCATGGAGCGGCATGTTGACGGGCTGCATCTTCTTCGCAAAGTATTCCCGCCTGGCAATCGGAATGCCGCATTCCATGTGCAGTGGCGCGGGGAAATCAATCTAAGGCTCTCTGGTCTTCCTGTGATGTTTCTGGTTGACGCAAACCTAGTTATTCTACTCCACCAGCGTCGGAGTCCACCTGCGCTTCTATATGTGCAGTGTCGAGGCACAAAATGCGACAGCATATCGCTAGATGAAATCTCTGAATTGAGCGTCGTACTAGGACTAGCCTGCGTACAACGCATTGGCGTTACTAGTCGCACGTCGCACGACGAGCACAGCCTTCTTCATCTCCCATTCCTACAACCCTCCGTAATATTCATAGTCTCCGGATCCGGTCGTGTGGTGGAGCAGTTCGCTGTAGCTCTACTTCGGACTTGATCTGCACGGGGTTCAGTTCGGAACTTCGTTCTACGACCGCGTCTCGAGCTCTGTGCCACCAGCGGCTTCCTTCTAGTCGACAACCAAGGTCGGCGGCAGTACAGCAGCACACTCCGAGTCCGAGCCGATGTCGTGGCTGCGTTGTTCGTCTTGCTTTATGGATCTCTCATGCGTTACGTTGTCAGCTGGTACATGATTTTTTACCGACGCAAGAATGGCAAAAGGAGAGGGGGAACTTCTTTGCCTTCTCTTTCATCACCTCTCACATTTCAAACTCGGCACAGATTTCTATGCTGTTCAGCTCTTCGAGAGTTTGTCACGCGAAGTAGCTTCTTGATCGTGTAACCTGTAGATGAGACTAGTAAGGCCTATGGTAGTTTTGCATGAGATGAAATCACGTAACAGCAAACCATGTAGTAACGTTTGAGAATCCCATATGCCGCACCGGTTCATTGTGTTGGCCATGGGCGTCGACTTCGGGTTGCGGCTCGGGTTGCTGAGGCGATGAACAACCAGGAGCAACTCCTGACGAGCGCGTGTCTTCCTCAGCTGGAGCTTATGCAAATTGAGTCCGTCTGTGTCACAGTCAGGAAAAAAGTGGGCTCCAACTTTTAATAGCACCCGAAAGTTTATACATAAATTTATTTATCTAGTAACTACTGCTACTGGTACTGCTCCGTTGGGGACCTGCTTTTCCTTTCTCTGCATGACAATGATGATAAATGATCCTCGACCAGTTTTATAGTACCTGACTCTGAAGATAAGACTGTTGCAGAAGATAGAGGCTCGCTTGATGCAACATTTCGCCGCGGAGGTCTTTTCTCAGCAGAGTCCTGCGGTCTTTCACTGTCTTCACCGTCATCCTTTATTGCTTTTGCTATTGGGACCGCAGCCGGCGCTTTTCTTTCACCATCTCCATCCGATTTTGCTGGCTGATAGGAGGCGATGGTCTTCCCTGTCGGGGTGGTTTTGTTCATGTATCAGCTCAATAAAAGGCGCCCCGTCCTCCCTCTCCTTGCGAAACGACCACAATCAATGTTTCTGTTCACACGCAAAGAAGAGAATGCAGATGGTCTGGTGCTCGTGCTTCATTCAGGACAAATTACAACAAAGCAACTACCGCTGCTTACTCGAGGTTAAGCAATTGCAAGTGATGAAAGTCTAGTAAAAATAAACAAAAGCATTCTGTGGCGCTTCCAGTAGTAGAGCATGACCAGCTCCAACGCAGGATGGAGGTACATTGCAGGAGCGAACACCTCCCACCACTTATACATTCGCTTCGACGTAGTTGCGACGTGACCGTGATAGTTTTTTTCACGTTTATGTTATTTTCGCTTGTAACGACGACAGCACCACGACCACCTTGCGCAACTGATAGTCGGCTCTCCAACATGATGTGGACTCAAGTTATTTCACACAGCTAGAATGCGGGTTATTCTGTTGTGGAGGTAGTTTGGGGGCTCCTTCAAATATGATACAACGGTGGTCAGCATCGTTCTGCTGTCCTCGAGGTTCTTGTGGAACAAGTCGCCGCGGCCTTCTGGTGTACCACGTTCGTGCCCCTGCTTTAAGCTTGTTTTCTCAAGATGATCCTCCACAGGAGCTGTGTCAGAATATAGGCGGGAAATGGATGATTCTAGGTCAACAACCTGCAGCTAGCCTTCTCGATGAAAAACCTCCTTCCAAGTCGAAATTTTCATGCAGATTTGCCGATAACTCTTTCCCTTCTCGTCGATTCAAAATTCGGCAATGATGCAAAAAAAAACACAGGAAGTGCAAAAAGCACTCAAGTCAGTGCGAAGATCTACGGCGATTTCATTTAGCTGCCTTGTTTAGGATCACTCACTTGGATCCGCACTCCATACAATAGTTGCAGGCGCGTGCGCGAGCTTTTGTTCGGTGTCTGATGCTGCTGCCTGATCTCGTCCTTGGAACGTCGTGCGGTGGGATTCATCATTTTGTGGTAGCAACGTACTCACTGGCGCGTTGCCTGTGCCTTTATCCTTGTCCGCGCGGTCGTGTTCTTGTTGCGGTTCTTGGTGTTTTTGTTTTACGCCTACTTGTTCCAGCACCGGAGGTGACGTCGAAGACAAGTTTTCGTCTTGTTTGTTACCGTGGTCGTTTGGAGCAGCTTGACCGGTTACCGCTGCCGCCTCTGTGTCCAGCAGCTTGAGCATTTGTTTCGCGAGCGCTGCACGCTCGGCGGCTGGGACATGCTGCCAGTTCGCGGGGTCGAGCAAATTCGCAAATGCCGTCGTGACATTGTGGTGCGCCGGCTGGTCTGCGGTTGCCTTGTCGCCCGTGCGCGCCAGCCAAGACGGCAGCACAATTTGCCACAGCGCCGCGCGTCCCTGCTTCTGCACCTCGTCCCGCCGGAGCGTATCGGACAATGTTTGCACGACCTGATCCTTCAGCTGCTCGTCCGCGAGCAAGCCATGCAGTGCCTGCCTCCCCAAACGGGTGACCCGGTCTACGGCCTCCTCTGTAGTGACTATCTCGTACAGGCTTTTCCCGGTATATGAGAGTGCACAACTCCAGACCCACCACAACTCCTCTTCCAACTTATACTCATTTGTCATGCAAAAGCATCAAAATCAAAAACTCTATTTTGATGACACGTAGTGAGTAAGACCTGCCTCGCGTGTGTTCAAGTGGTGGCTGCGAAAACTGAAACTGCATTGTGGCTTGTACTGCTCGTGCTTTCTTTCAACCAACAAGCCGATGCCCTTCATCAAACGAGCGGGCAGGCGGGGAGCGCAAGAAGAAGTGGCGCGCAAGAACGACTTCTCATCTACAACTCATACGGTATTCTGCTTCACGCCCTCCTCTTGCACCACCTGCTGCACCAGCGACGAAACCTGCTGCAGCACCTCCTCCCGCTGCAGAACCTGCACCACCAGCACGCCCAGGGTTTGCTTCACGGCCTCCTGTTCTACGAGCAGCTGGATCCACTGCACGCCGAGCTCCGTCAGTTTTGCAAGCACCAACGGCTCCTGGAGCAGGTCTGCCACGCGACCCGCGAGCGGGGCTTGGAAATGCTGTAAGATTTCCAGAAGCCACAGGCCCACCTGCTGCTGGACAACCGGATCACGAAACAGCTGCAGCAGCACATCTTTCGAGAAGAGTGCCGTATCAAATGTAAAAATGTCTGGGTCTGGAAGATTGCCAGGTTTGTCATGCACATTTTCCATGACCACTGATGTCTGTGATGCATGCCGTAGCATCACAGATTTTTGGAGCGCTTCCTCATGCCTATTCCGCATGACAAATGCCACTTCCGCGGAGCACAAAATATACTCCTCTTACTGGTCACGCAATACAGATTTTTTTAGAGTCCAGCGTTAGCATCACAAGTTGCATTCTTCCAGACCCAGACACTTTTACATTTGATATGCCGTGCTGTCCTTCAATTCCGGGTTCTGGACCACTTGATGGACCACCTTGTTGGTGTTGTCGGAGACCGTATCAAGTACCCAATGCCACCGCAGATACATCACGCGTCGTATCACAGTTAAGAAAGATGATCATCAAAGCCCAACCCACATGAACTACCGACCTGTACAAAACAGAGGAACAAAGATTTTTCCGGAGCAACAAGATCGGCCTCTTCATAAATGTGTAGCTGTCTTCTATAATTTTCGTGCCAGGAGGACATCAATGAAATGAAGGGAACAAAAAGCGCAGGCACGAGTAGAAGTCGTGCGTAGAAGCAGCGACACGCGTCGCCTGCTCAGTTGATGTATACAGGATGCAAAAATTGTCTGCAAAGAAGGCAACTACGGGGAGCGAGGTGTCACTGAGTCGTGCACCATCTTCTTGCAAACAGTAACAAGTTAGCTTATAATATGCTCTCTGGGCCCCCGCCACTTCTTGTGCACTCGCTGATGCAGCATGACCAGTGAGAAGCGTCTCTGGTCGCGTCGGCCTTGCATTGCGGGGAAGAGATGAACTTTGTTCTGCACGATATTTCCGGCTACCGCTAGAACCCCGACCACTGCTGCCAGCGCAACCCGCGGCAACGTCCGGGCGCGCGCATGAAGGTCACTCAATTGCTCCTGCATCCGCTCGTACGAGGAATGCTCTGCTGCAGTCCCAGTGGAGCTCGTGGCACCGCCCGCGTAGCTGCTGCCGCGTCCAGAGGAAGTAGTCGTCGCGCTGGACGATGAGGGCGCGGGATGTGTTGCACCGTCCACGCCACGGGCTATGTGGTCCACCACCGGTGTCGTGCCCTCAGTGCCTTTTCGAGTGCGCTCGTCATCTTGATCTTCGCTCCTCCCATTTTCACCATTGCCACTGTAACCGTAAGCGCTGCCTGTACTGTAAGCCTGGCGGGAAATGTGATTTCCAAAGAATGTGTCTGGGCGAACTAACAAGTTACACTGATGCTCAGCAGCGAAAAAAGGAAAATGGTCGGCGAAGCCCCTAATAGGCCTACTTTGCGCTGCTCGAAGTCCGTCGAAGCTACTTTGCTGCCCTCTCTTCTTCAGAAGTAAACATGGAAGGGGTAGAGGGCATGATCCGACGAAGAAATTCAAAGTATCTATTTTTGCGTGCGACCAATGTAGCATTGAGCTTTTCGACACGTTGTCAGAAACAGTGTTCGAGATGAGCTTTCTCGCCGAGTTTAAAACCGGAAAACCGGTGCGGCCCTGAGGATTGCAACCGTCCCTCACGGGCCCTCGTCCTGTTTCACTGAAAACCAATTGACCGCATGACCCATATCGTCGACGGAGTCTCCTGCTCGTTGTCAATAACTGAAGTTGCCTGATCATGACCATGAAGGTGATGCTATTTGATGATTTGCGAAAACGAAAACGTATTCGCGTGTCTCCTGACGCTGGGTGCTACTCTTGATTTATTTCTAGCTGTAGCTACTAGTGACTAAGAGTATCGGACAAGAAAAATGCAGAATCACGACCGAAGGTACTAAAACTAAATATGACACAAGAAATCTTCACCGCGTACGTGTGGCATCTAGTCTCTAGACTTCCTTTCAAAAAAAGCTGCATGCTGAGGGACCTCTCAAACAGGCTGAAGACAAATTATGGGCAAACACACGACGTCTCTGCGTTTGGGGTTCAATTGGTCCTCATTTTGTTCACTTCATATGCGTCGAGATCGACAGAGATCATACATAGCCGCATCTATACAGCTTGTAGTTTGCAAAATAGAAATAGTGATAGAATATAAAGGACGAAGACGACCCCTCTTAAGGAGGCAACAAGGAGAGAGTTGAGAGGTGTCGAGCTTCAGTTAATGAGGAGGCGAAAAAGACGACTACTAGACTAGAGTCCATGGCAGGTGCTCTCGATCTCGTGGCTCTGCTGCTATCTATGCGATGCAGCGACACAGTTGTGGTTAATAAAATTCAAAATCAAAACCAGCCTCGGCTCCGGCTAAATCTGCAGCGCGACGTCATACTTATCTTTTCTGTTGATCTGATAAATTTGAATAGCTGGATCTACTACCTAGAAAAATAGTACCCTCTATCATTCCTTGGGCTTTGTCGATTAATCAAGTGAGGATTAGCCGAGTTGAAACCGCCACTGTACAACCGTGGCTCTGTAGAAAAGGCTGACGCTGAGTGCTTGAGGATCAGGTGCAACTGACTTAGGACTAACAACTTACTTCCCTGCGCCGCAGCAAGCTTCGGACTTTCAGCTTAACTGAATGCCCTCAGTCAAAAGATGAAACTGCAGCGCTGTTGTATCACCTTACCTTTTCAGCAATTTCTGTTTGGCTTTCCCGGGCCGGACTTAATTGGATTGCCAAAAGTCATCTCCATTTTCTTGCAGACTCTCGTGCAATGATGGCACTGGCTTGTCCACCCGCTGTCGTGTTTGTGCTCAATACTCGAGTAAGTAACTCCCTGTGCAACCGGCATAGAAATGGCCTAGTTAAACTCGACAAGAAAATGAAGAAGCCAATCGAGACTACTTTGACTTACACTCACCAGTTTCCACAGGGCGCAAAATTGTTGCCGTCCTTATTCTTCTTATTGCGACCCGTACCCTAGTGCTAGTCCAACTGTAATAGCGTTACTTTCGTGAAAGTCGCCAGTGCCAGGAAAATTCTTTCCCAAGAAGTCGACGAACTAGCTCTATCACTTTGCTTTGTCAGCACGTAAAGGTATTACGCCACTCGCACTCGTTTCAGCCCCTGCTGGCGCGTTGCTGTAAATTAAGGCGGTTCGGTAGTTCGCTTCAGGTTTACATAAGAACCAAAATACAACAATAAAATCCACACGAGCTGCAAAGACATTACATACTTCTCTCGTGTAGTTTTAAAAAAGTCGTCCACTTCTGCTTCTTTTTACCTTGTCCTCTGTATTTGATTCTGTTGCTTGATGTTGAACAGACTACAGCTTCGCGACCAACTATGGAAGCGTCAGGTTTGTTGAAATCGTCAAAGTTGAAATAATTTGTCATGCATAAAATGCAATACAAAAAGTGACTCTATTGCAGAGGACCCAAGGGAGGCAGATTATAGTCCTGGCAAGGGTCAAGAGTTGGGCTGCTATCTAGCATGACAGAAGGCAGCTCTTTTGCCCTAAACCGCATGACAGACTCGCTTCCAGGACCGGGAAAATTTGCCATGCACCGACTACAAACTATAGGCGTAACTGGTATCCGTTTTATGCATGGCAAACTATTTCAACTTTGACGATTTCAATCCTGACAGTTCCATACCAACTTATTCGTATGAGTCGCGTGCAGAACATCCACGGCTTCCGTGCAAATTCGTTGGACCAGTTCCTTGCAGGTGGGGACGTCGTCGATGAGGCCAATGCTCTGCCCACAGCTCCAAACGCTGTCGTCGGCGTTCCCGGTCTCCTGGAAGGAAATGCGGTACTTGGCCCCCTTCACAAGGTCTGCGATCGCGGCGAAGTTTCCGGGGTCCTTCCGTTCCCGAGCACGTACCTCCTCCGCGCACGCATTCTTGTACACTCGCTCGGTATTCGAGAGCGTCGTAAAGACCAGAGTCGTATCGTACTCGTTTGCCGCGCACAGTGCTTGCTTGATCCCGTCCTTAATGGGCGCCTCCTTTGTCGCCATCCACCTGGTTCCCATATTCATTCCCTCGCATCCGAGGGCCAACGCGGCCGCCAGCTGCCGTCCGTCTGCACACGCGCCAGAGGCGATATAAGGAATGCGCAATTTCTTCGCCGCCTTTGCAAACAAAACCCAGTTGGTTACGTCGTTTTCTCCTGGATGGCCCCCACACTCGTAACCATCCATACTAATCATATCGGCTTAATTATGGAAATTAGAATTACAAAACACCATCCATACTTCTAGGGCAATTATTGCGAAGTAGTAGATAGGCATAGGGACGAACTACAGATGAAGGCACGATCTTCATGTGTCATGTGTGTCCTAGGTGTCGGCACCGGCACCACCGCTGCTACGTATCATTATAATTGCACTTTATTTACATTACATATCTCATTTTTATGTTTACGAAGCCGGTGATGTTGAGTGACCTACGTCACGAAACGTTCATGAATTTCTGTAATTGTATCTTTTTAGTGTGCATTAAACTTCTAGCTCCATGCCAACACGCATACAGGCTCGGGGAAGGAGAGCCACTCCTACAATTTAGATCTGTTTGCCACGACGACGGCTTTTTCTGCTTATGTTGATGATTACTAGCGCCGACACCTGAATCCCTCCTGCGATCATCGGCTTTATGAGTAGCTTTTGGTGTAAGAAGTTGTATGCAATTCATAGCCCATGCGCGCCGCCGTCTCGGCATGCTTGATGGCAACGCACTTGTGTATGACCACGCAGCCGTGTTTTTTGAACAACTTGATAAATTTTTCGGGGTTCCGACCCGCGGTCTCAATGATCTTGATTCCCTCGTCGAGCACTACCTGCGCGTATTCGTCGTAATTGGGAGGCGTCAGCATGGGAAGCAGCGTCAGGTTTACCGCAAGAGGCTTTTTCGTCAGGCCTTTCGCCTTTCGTATTTCCTGCCGTAATGCCTCCGGGTTCGGCGGTATGGAAACGCCAGGATGAAAATCGACAAAATGAAAATGGAAATGCATTTGGCTAACGTGCCAGAACTTAAAAGCCTGCGTTTGGCCAAAACGAGCAAACGATTGGAAAGATGAAGATCTCTACGAAACTTCTCAACTTTATTATTGCATACAAAAGAGAAGACGGTAGAAGGGTTTCGGGTTTGGGGTCTCGGGTTTTTTTCAAATCGACAGCAGTGCATTGGGCACGCAATTTCTACGCGGCGCGTGACACATCTTCCGGATCTCTCGGCCAACTTTATAGTCGCGCAGTTTGGAGCAAGGCAGTACGAAGTGCGGCGACGCTCCGGTTATTGGCAATCAACAGCCGCACCTTTCTTGTCGGTGGCTCCAATCAGGGCTACAATCTGCTTACTTTGCAAGACAGCTTCACTTCTATGTAGTCTCGTTTCTGTTTCATACTATACAAACTACTCATTTTCGTTTTGAGAATGCCGAACTTCTCACAAGTCCCATACGTTGTGTCAAAGCGGTAATGGTACCCAGTCCTCCGGCCTCGGATACTGCTGCCGCCAACTCGGCATAACCGACGTAATGCATTCCGCCTGTATGGAAGTGTCTGTGTCAGGTGGGAGACCATAATAATTTGCAAAATGTAAATGCGTAAAATACACGACGCGATGAAATTGAATGCACGTCTTCTTGCACCAGAGAAATACAAATAGTGGCCCGACGAGACCCAGATTGTTCAGAATTTCTTTTGCTTTTCAATCGACTTTACAATTACATTTGTGATTTTAAGATTTCCCACCTGAGATTCACATCCCCATAGCCTTGCATCAGGGGATACTCGACTCCCATGAGCTCTGTAAATCTTGTCTTCAGTTTCATGCCGACCGTCGCCATTCTACCGCTTGCTATTATGAAAGAAATTAAAAAAGAAACGAAAAAAAAAACTCTTAGGCTCGACCAGCGCGGGCCGTGTCGGTGAAACCAATACTAGCCGAGAATCAAGGAAATCTCGCTACAGCAGGTGGCTGATGTTTCTCCTCTAGCGGCAGGCTGCACGCAGCAAAACCAGCTAACACTAACTAGCTGCCCAAAGTCTGATGTTGGTCCGTGTAGCCCAGCGGCTCACGGGTGGGAAAGCAAACTCCAACTCTCTTTCTGCCGTCTGAGTCTGTATCAGTATCTTCAGTTTCGCAATTATGGTCTCAACACCCTCTCTACTCCTTCGTTTTTTCTCTTGCTTTCAAAGTGTGTCTCTATGTGAGCGACTGCCTCTGTCCTGATGATCTCCGTAATCGCTTCCACCTTCTTCAAGAAGAACTTCAACTTTTTCATCTAGACACAGCAATAAAGCTCCTCTTCGAAGAAGTACACAAATAGATACTCACCAACGGCAGGCACTGTTGACGAGCATGAGATAGTGTTAGTGATAGAGAGCTAGTCTGCCGCACTAGTGAGTTTCAGCCGACAAGAAAGTCTCGCACTTTATTCCCCAGATACACAGGAAGTGGGTGCGTGACGCAAGATGCGAGTTCCGACGACATTCACATGATAGCCCTGGCCTTGGGCGCCTTCTACTACCATCATTATATTTCAAGATGATACATAGACTGGCAATGCACAGCCGCTAGCTGAGAACATGTCTGATTAGATGAAGTAGATTGAGGACCACGACAAGCACGAACATGGAGACCACGGTCTGAGATGCATTTTATGTGCTTGGTGGAATCACCAGTAGAATTGGGATTGGATGTAGACTAGACCCCACGCCCTTGCGTCTGCTTCAACTTTCGCGTCTGATTGATGTGCATGTCGCTTTCATCATCCTCTCTTCGGCTTCGGGGACGACTGCCAGTGTCGTGACAGCATTAGACAAAAATCACAAAACTAATCCTGACGGATTACGACTACTTCAATGTTGCGTTGGACTTGCACTTGGATGAAGAGAGTTGCAAGCTCCAGCTGCTCTTGGAGTCGGTCGCGTCGTAGTACATGCGGACAGGGTCATGTTGGACCGACCGCCGGCTGGTAAAAGTGAACTTGGGCAGTAAAAACTATCGGACGATCTCTTGCTCCTACTTACAGTGAGTCACTAGCTTCTTCAATATGGAATTGTAATGTATATGTACAAAAGGATAACATCAAAAATGGTGAAGTGAAAAGTTGTAAAGTTACAAAAAATCATCTGGAGTATGACGGAGAATCTATGTGATTCCACATCAAGAACTTCGCCAACAGAAACGGAAACGTGCACAAACAATGGAAACGCGAGCCCTTTTTCTCGTGCTGGCTCCGGTAAAAAAAATCATGAAAATTGTCGTAGTGTAACTAAAGCTAAACCTATGGAAAAACTGATATGCTAGACATTGATCCTGCAATTGTGATTTCTAGTGCTTCTAATGAGAACATGTCAAACTCAAATAGAATGATAAAGCTGTAGCTCCTGAAGGATTCGCATGCCCTAGTAAACTGATCACGTTGCTATCTGCAGCTCATACATGAGATACAGCTGCCAATTTGGCAAGAGGTTCCAGCAATATGATGAAGAACGATAATGAAGCCTCAACATGCATGCTTATCGCTACATACTCAAACTCATACAACAACAAAAGAAAAAATTAATGCATCGCTTGCGCCAGTTAACAGATGAAGCGCTTTTTTTGTTGTCTCCTCCGCTTCAAGGCGCGCCGGACACCCTAGCGGGGCTGCAAGTAGATCCGTGGGCGGAGCCAGTGCATCGTACGAAAAAAGTGCTTCTGTGTAACGATTAAGCAAGGCAGCTTTCGGTTTGCATCACAAGCGTAAGTTCGTTCCATGACCAAAAATAAAAGAACAGTTCTCACGCGTGATTCCATGCAAGAAAGGGAAACACGTTTCATCAAAACCGCTGTCCTACATCATCTGATCTACTGGCGTGACTAACTCTAACACTGCTGCACTGCATCCTCGCCAGCATGAAAATTTCATTACGGTGAACTGCTTTTTTCATGCGATACAGTGATCTTGTTGTCGAACTGCCCAGGTATCGTAGTTGAAGTTCGCTCCTTGTGGCGCTGTCAGGCGTTACATTGATTGCTATCGCACGAAGATTTTGTGACGCAAGACTAGCAACAAAAGCAAAAAGGGACGACAGCTTCGCATGCGCATCTGGCATTAAGTAGCATCACCATCAGAGGTTCTTTGGCAGTTGGCGCGTTGAGGACCTGTCACGCGAAGCCAATTAATCGCGTCTCGGGACGAGGGAACAAGGGATGATAGATAGACATAGATGAGTAGTGCTTCTGCATGACAAATCACGTATTAAAACAGCACTGAATGTAACGCTTGAGAACGCCATAGCACTGGAAAGCTGCTCCTTCTCGAAAGCTTCTTCGCATCCTTGCGCAAGTCCTCTTGGCGGGCTGGATCTTCCTCGTCGTTCGCCTCAATCCGCTTTTCCAGGGCCACCTTAGCCCACCGTTCGATCGGATGGTCATCCCGCAGGTAGTTGAGTAGATCAGTTCGCGCGAAGCCGTCGCTATCCATCGTGTTGATAAACTTGTCCGCGTCGACGCGCGCACGAAGGACGCCGCGTGGTCCAGCGGACATGTCTACCTCCTGCGGAAAGAAGAAGCGGTCGCCTTGGACATACGCCAGCGCGTCCGGGAAGGTGGCAACGAGCCGAAACGCCGGTAGCAGGAACATCCAAAGGTTGTACCACCAAGTTGTCTGCCCCGTGGCCGCGAGTTTCGTGTGCACGCCCCGCTCGTCGTACGGGTTCTCGCGCCAGGCCCGCATCTGAAAGAGCTCTTGGTCGAAGCTCTGCCGCATCGAGTATCCAGGAAAAAAACTGTGTAAGTGACTCTGTAATGCAGAACATGCGACAGAGTTACGTCTGTCATGCCAGAAAGCCACGAGGTCTCTTTTCATTATGTGTGCCATGCATGACAGGTTTTCTCTGTCATGTAGAGCAAACTTCTGATGCTGTAGGACAAAGAAAGTTACACTAACACAGTTTTTTTCTTGGATATCGAGAACGAAAACTGCACCGCCGTCGCGGCGAAGTGGTACTTTGTCCGGAAGCTGCAGCGCGAACCAGGGGTAGGAACCCCTTCCAGCTGCAAGCGATTCGCCACGTACCCCGTGTCCTCTTCGGTCAAGGTTCGATTCACGTACGCCGCGTGCTATGGCAAGAACGCCTCTGGAACCACTCAAAAGCACCAAACAAATCTGTAAACCTGCTTCCGAATGATCTATAGTAGTGCAGCACATGTGAAGCAGCTCGCACTGTTTTTAATTCTATGATAAAAAGGGGCCAACTACACAACATGCAAATGAGGCGCGTCTTCACACTCGCAAGCGAGCCTTTTCCTTCGGAGTGTCTGTGCCAGGAGATGATCTCCTGGCGCAGACACGCATCTGTAGTCTTGCATGTGACACACATCTCGGTATGTGTCGGGACATGCAAGAAAGACACGCTTCAAATCAAACTACACGCAAATGTTGTATTACTGGACCACGCGTCGATGGCTGTTGATAAATAAAAATATGCTCATTTTCATCGTCTTCAACAGATTTGTTTCATTTTGAAAAGTTCCCTTCCTCGCTCTGCATACCTCGAGTTCGTGGCTGACCAGCGCGGCGAAGAGGTTCTGCGGAGGGCATGCCTGGAACCAAGACAGGTATGAGAGTGCACAAGTCCTCGCTCTCTGAGGGCTGGACGTCGTGCATTTGCATTTTAATAGGAGCCGAAGGCCACTTATGCTCGTGCCTGATCTGTAAAAATATAATCGGGTGCCATTATTTCTAACAGTAACTACAAGTCGCGCTTCTGCTTCCGCGGCCCCTCAGGAAGCTGCTCTATCATGCTGGTGCTTTAAAGTCGTGCTCTGTAGCTTTTTTTTTCTGGCACGGCCGGAGCGTGCTCGCGTAGAAAGAATGGCACTGATGATATTGATGTTGAAAGAACAAAGACCTCCTGGCCCAGTACGTCGTGCTTTCTAGTTCTACTTATTCAATGAACATTCATTATGAAAAGAGAGGACGAACCGCTGTGCAAGCCGATAAGAGAGGGTGCCGCTTCACGCTGGCCGGCGCCCGGAACTCAATCCGCGTGTCGCCCGGCTCCGTAAACACAGTGCAGAGAGATTTTCCCGATGCTTGCGCCGGCAGCAACGGCTCGGTGGTCGCGTTGGTGGCCCCCGCAGCGCCCCCCAAATCCTCCTGCAGGAAAAGTTGCGACGACACGAGACCACCCCGGCTCAGGGTAGCAGGAAGGTTTTCTGCGGTGTTGCCCGCAACAGTCATCGAGAGGGACTCCAAATTCGCGGGGGCCAGGTTCGGAACGACCATCGAGAAGTCTTGTCGCCAGATGGCCTCGAGGTCCACAAAAATTCCTCCGTAGCGCTCGACGACCGCGAAACGGACACGCTCCTTGACGCGGGGCGCACGCTGCTTCGCGACGGCCGCCGGAACGGAGCCGGCGGGCGTCGAGGGGGCGCGCCACACGCTGTACTCTGACGGGTCCAGCAAAGCCGGCAAGCGGGTGGGATCCAACACGTTCACCTTCCAGCCCTCATCTTCCGGGTGCAAGTACTGGAGCTTCCGGATACTCGCGACCTGCAACGGGTTCGGCGGAAGGTGCTCCACGTACACCCAGATTTTCCGGGGCACCCAATTCATGTGCTGATGCACCCACTGCAGCCACGCTGCGGTGAGCGCCTGGTACCTGGGGCTCGCGGCCGAGTCGGAATACTGCGCAATCCACCCTGGCGCTAACGGGGAAGCAGACGCGCTTTCTCTTGTTGCGATTTTGGTTTGCCCGTGTTCCTGCTGTTGCTGCGTGAAGGAAGCAGCCCACGTTGACGCAGAAGTCCAAACCGCGGCGCCAGGCTCGGTCGTCTCTTGAGGCTGCAAATCCGCGGACGTCGTGCTGAGTGACTTATGGTGGCGAAGTGGGTGACTTTACAGAATGCTGCTAGCCACAAGAAACATCGCAGTCTGCCCTGAGAATTTTCTACATTTGGTTTATACTGATCTTTGTGTTTTGCCATGCGAAAATGAACACGTCAAGTACCACTGATTCAACTTCATGGGTCGCCCGGGGTGATTAGATTGATCAGATAATTAAACAGTTTCACTGTGCCCCTTCCTTGCATCACAAAAAAAGCTGTATAGGAGAATTATCCGCGCGACAAGTATATTACTTTTTTCCTACCCACGGCTACCAGCAGTCGGGAAGGTCACTGGCTTGCTCTCGATACTGGTGAGAAGGCTCAACCAGATCAGCAGCTTCGGCCTCGCGTGAAAATGAGGTTTGGACGAAGCTATTTTCAGGACCCATGGACCCCGGATTGTGCACGCTCAGATTGAGTTCCGGGTCATCGGCATAGACGATGTACTTGCGCGGCATTCGTCGCTTGGAGACGACGAGGCCGCGGTCGGACAATATTTCGTTGTTCAGCAAGTACGTCTGCGCGTGCACAGTTTCTGCCTGCTGCAACTCCACCAAACTGCTATGGCGCACTCCGGTGATGCTCGCATACCAAATCAGGGCCCACAGAAGAGAGAACAAGATCAAAAAACCCCACCACCCGGTTGTCAAAAACAAACAGGTTTTGGGCATGGCCCAACCAATCGCATCCCAAATCGTGCAGATGGGGCACCCGTTCCGAATAATGCAGCAACGGTCGCGCGCCAGCAAATCGTACTTTCCCCCGATGATGATAAATCCTTCCTTGGCCGCGGGATACTCGATAAGCAGCTCGTCTTCTTGGGTCTTCGTAATAGTAGAATTCGTGCTTGTAGTTGTTCCACTTTGCGGGCCTGCAACGGTCGAGAGGGCTCCGACGTGTCCCCGCGTTTGTTGCTGTTCGCCAACGGGAGAAGCCGAAGTGCCGGATCCGGGGGCAGCCCGGCCTTCGCGGCTGATAGGCGCGCCCCGGTAGGCCAACACTGTGCCTCCGTCGCTGGTTTGCGACCCGAGCGCCACCATCTGCGCCGCTGACCCCCGGATAGCCTTCCCGACCAGCATGGGGCGCTCGTTGTAGGATTTTGGGGGCGAGGGGGGCCTGCAGCACCCAGCACACGCCGGAGTCTGACCTTGCTGCTCGGCAATGTCGCCGTCCAGTGCAGCGGCACCCGCCATCGCACTGTAGAAATCATTCCCTGCTGATGAGCGGCGCGAGCTGCCCGACACTGCACTGCGTTCGGCGGCACTCGCGCGATCATTGGCGGCGGGAGCTCCTGCGCCTTGCTCGGAAAGCAAACTTCTCGGAGCTGTGCCCCGAGAGTCCGGATCCACAATCGCAGTGCGCCCCGTCGGACTCAGATCCGCAGACACCACCAGTGGCTTCCCGGTCGGGATCACCGAGGCCATTCGTCCGTCGTCTTCCTGAGCCAGGGCATTACCGTCGGCATCCACCAAGGCCTCGCCCGTTTTCTCATTCCGCGCTAGTCGTTCTTGTCGACGCTGTTGCTTCTTCAGCTCGTGTTCCTCGCGAGACCAGGGGTAATGATAGGAGGGAATGTAGCCGGAAGGCATCACATACTCCGAGGACACCGGTGGCTCTTCCCCAGGAGGCGGGGCGGGGCGGAACTGGTAGTTGTCAAACACGCGGTCGAAAGACCGAAACACGCTGGAAACACTGCGCACCGGCTCGGGGCGAACAAACGGCACAAACTTCGGCGGCGCGAACCGCTTCGGGTCCCGATACGCCCGGAGCGTAGCACGGCCCTCAATGCTAGTGACGTCGTAGCCCATCAGGTGGAGGTCGTAATCGGTGTAGTCGATCAACTGAATGGTGAGCAGCAGGTAGAAAAACCAAGAATAAGCCGCCACCAGTGGGATCAGCCCGGCCGTCGTTTCGAAGGACACGTACAAGGCGTACCCCTTGCGTGCGAAAGGGAACAGGAAACAAAACAGAAAGACCTGGGCGATGAAAAACGAGAGGATCAGCCAGGCGGCCCGCTTGCGAATGTTTTTCCGGATCACCCGCATCCACGAGGGGTCCGGCGGCGCTGGGGGCAGGCACTTTTTCCGTTCCTGCGCCGCGTACGCAATGCCTTCTGGCCACAACTGCACGTTGCGCTCGAACGGCTCTTGCGTCACCCCGTCCGACGCGAGTTGAAAGCCATCGAAGAACTCCTGGGTCTGCAGCTCCTCCGACCCAGGGTGAACAAACGCGTCGTTCTCGCGCCCGAGAAAGAATTCTTGCGTCCGCAGTGTCGTCTGTTGCTGCATGGCCAACCGCTTCTCGTCGGCGGTCGAGAGCTGCTGCTGCTGCGCCACGACGTCCTCCAGCATGTCATCCCCCTCTAATGCGTACTCCCCCCGCGGCGCTCCTGGTTGCTGCTCCGCAACGACCATCCGGCTCAGCGTTGATTTTTTTTTTGGTCCCTGATGTCCTTGCTCTTGTACGCGCGAAGGAAATAAAAGTACTAGACGTGAACCGTGTATGCACAAACAACACGGTCCTTGCGTTCTTGCTGGCGCGACCGCGTCGTGTTATTTTTGATGCAACAAGGAAATCATGGAAAGACAACTTTTTCAATTTTCAAGTTTTTGTAGATTTAGCGGAGTTCTTGTCTCTTTAATTTAATCGCATTGGAATTCCGAAGATCCGCTTCCTTTTATGTTTTTCGTGTCAAATAGATTATGGGATTTATGTAGATTTAGACCTGGATTCATAAATTAAAAAGCACGAAGCTTGAACCAATAGAGGCGAAAAAGAGGCGGGAAGATAAGTCATCATCTTTATGCAGAACGCACCAAGCTACTTCTTCTTGCAAAAGCTCAAGGAATGATCTGGTCGCTTCCGAAAACAAGACCTCAAACTGTAGCAAATCAAATGCGTAGACCGATTGAATTTCCTTTCACTGCGCGACGAGCGACGCACAAGCACGACCGAGAGGTGACAGAAAATGTCTACTTCCTTGCTCCGCTCAACCACCGAGTACGTATACGTAATACGACCGAACCCGAAACGATGAAAAAGAAAATGCTAGGACCTTGCAGAAGGAGCTATTCTGATGTCTATTTTCCGAATATGTTTGTAGTTGTGACCGATACGGCGTATCCGATGTATCCTAAAAGTTATGACGTCCTTTTGAATACAATGAAGCAACTGAATAGGATGAGAGATGACAGCTGCTGGTACGCAGACTCACCGGCAGACCACGACCGAAGGAATCTGTCACAGCGTCGCCCGCGACCACATCAAGAACAAAATAGTACTTTCTCGTCTTCAACAACAAGAAATGTTGTGACTATAGTTAACCAAAACGCCGAGGATTTTTGCGCCACTTCAACTTCTAAAAGTAAGCCGTGAGGGAAAGAGATCACCTCAATGGACTGGAGGTCCTCGCGGTGAGTACACCTTTTGACACTCGTTCTACAAAGAAATCACGACGAAGATGACAAAATTGAAGTTTTTCTGAGTCTCAATCTGATTGAAGAACATGAATAGCAGTAGCCAGCACGCACTACCATGGGTTGCGCTTGACCTCGCTGTTTGTGCGAAAAGTAGATGAAAGGACATCCATCTCAACAAAGATGAACAAGTAAGTGTAACAAGATCAAAATAGTAATAGAAAACCTAAAAATATTAAACCCACAAAACCCAGAAACCCTTTGCAGCGACGGACAGGGACCGCAGTTTGATGTAAAAAGTCGCGACGTCCGCTGGCGAAGGCAGGTCGGATCTGGTGACAAGTGGCGGCGCATTCCATATTCCGGCCCTAATTCACAATAACAAGTAAGTGTAAGACGTATGCATATCTATAAATAGAGACAAAAAGGCAACACGGACAACAAGGAAGGCCCTTCTAGGTTAGTATGGAGGTCTGTGCTGGCAGCTTCCTTTTTATAATTATATACTGAAGACACTGATGATGAACCAGGGAGTGGGAGCTCCAACTCTGCAATCTTCAATGCGCTTACGATATACAACGTGTTAAAGACACTACACCAGAAGTGCGTGAGCACTCGTTCCCGTAAAAAATCAGGGCTAGTAGAAATACATCTCCGTCGAGTTGAAGTATATCAACATCAAGAACATGCTTCTTCTTCAACATTCCGACTTCAACAGCTCAATTCGTCGTAGCGAGGTGCGTTGCGCCGAACTCCTCTCCCTTGCGCACCTGTGCTTTCAGGTCTGGTAACATTGCATCAAGGAGTTGCTTCTCCCTGTCGGGTGGCATGCATGAGAAAAACCTCCACCTCGAAAATAATACATATATGCCCATCATCATGCGGCGCAGCTGGAAATTCAAGTTCAAATTCCTGGATTCGGACTCGGATGCGCGGTCGCCTCTTACCTGGTACATCTTGCCTGCACGACCTGCAGATAAAACACGAATAGAGCCGCGGCCAGAGGCATTAGATGACCAAGTAGAAAAAGAAATACATCGTAACAGGCACCAGAGGGACCAGCACTAGCAGTGTACTACACGTTTAAATACAACACGAAATAATATGATTCGCGTCTGTTGATGGTAGGCACGTCTACAAAGTAGCAGCCGCTCTGGCTGTAAGAGCATATGCAGCGCTGGACGCTGTCGTTCCTCCTGTGGTCTGTATCTATCGTCCCCAGCTGCGCGAGCGCCACAGATATGGACACTATGGTGGCTCGAGGTTCTGGAGGTGTCTCTTCAGTTGATAGACATGGTGCACGTATGTATCTCCGCGATTCCCATCGTGTTCAGAGTCACTGGAGAGGCAAAAAAGCCGCAGCCTGAGTAAATCTCGGAATCCACAAATGCGCAAGCCTTCTGCGTGTGTGGGCCCTTGAGTGCAGCTGCGACTTTCGCAGTGAACGCGGCACCGGCGTGTGCCAGTGTATGGAAGTGTCAGGCGGCAAAAAATCGAGGAGAAAGAAGTTCAAGTTGTAAACTACAATGCAGAAAATTTTACGGCCACGATAAGCAAGTAACACGACACCCACTGATGATTACAGCGCTATCGCTAAGGTATGAGTATCTATACTAGAGAGCTCTGGATCGTCCAGGTCATCCATAAAAACCTGTCGCTTCACAAAGAAAAAAGAGAAAAATGGCGGCTGCGCGTCGGCCAACTGATTGCAACGGCGCATGTAAAATTCATTCTCCAATCGACAACAGATTGATTCGCGCCTTTCTTCAGAAGCCACAAGTCTGTCTGTCAACCATAAAGCAGTTCGGAGACCCCACAGTGCGAGGCTTATTCTTATTGAGTATCGATCGTATTATTATTTGCAGCTGCCTCGGGGGCCCGCCGCGGCCGCGCTGTCTTGCGCGTCGCGTCGCAAAGCAAAAAATGACGCCAACATGTAAAGAGCAAAGAATCCTGCTCGCAAAGAATAAGAAAAAGAAGTGTTATGATGCTATATTTATAATTTGTCATCGTCGCTAACGCTATCTCATCTGTACTTGATGCCCTTGCACCATGAGGTTGAAATGCACACTGACAAGAACGATATCTTCGCACCTGGCACTTCCATACATCGACAGTGTTGCGGATCCAGCGCCGTCCTTGGCTTTCACAACCTGTATTTTTTTTTACCATTCACGACTCATGAGGGCGAGTTGTAAAGTCAAACCAGGCTTAATATGCACAAGCTTCGAAGTGGGTAGGAGCGCGCAAAAAAAGCGTAAAAAAATTGGAAGTCAGACGTTTTCGTTTCCATGCCCCTGCCGTTTTTCGACGTTCTACTGATGCGCATCCACCACAATCGACATTGAACATTTGCGCGGACTCTTGGAAAGGTCGCGATCCAAGTTCATTTTGAAACAGAAAGAAAAACAAAAAACGGAACCACTCACCGTTCCGACATAGGTAAAAAACTATTAATCAACAAAATTCAATGTCAATTCTGTAGTACTAAACAAAAATAACCATGCGTGTTGTCATGCAAAGCTGCATGCCTGAGCCTGCAACCTTGAGCTTAGCAAGGGGGAGAAAGGTACGTTGTTACCCAGGATATACGGAAAAACGTTCTAAGTACCTCATCGCCCCCGAACTGAATTCTTTTGGTGAGCGCGTCCAGCTCCGCATCCGGAATGCCATATCGATCTGAAAGTCTATTACTTTGAAAAAAAAGTGCCCCTGCCTCGCTCCCAGAAGTGCGAAAGGCTAGTAATGCGCAGTTTCCTAGATGACCTTTTGTCTACTTCTTGCACCAGAGACCTAGGACCAATTTTTTTGCTCCGGATTTTAGGCTTGCAGGGCACGACCACAAGCACGACCTCTTAAGTGAATGGCAAGTCGAAAAAATGTTGCTGGGACTTTGTAAAGCGCAGCACATGCACATCTTTGTTACTCTGGATTGCAAATTTGTCTTTGTGCTGCTGGTATGTCCAAAATGTGGAGTGTTTCAACTGAAAAATTTTCATCTGGCATCGCAAGCACTTCCGCTTTCTTGCGTTGAGGTAGGCGCACTTTTCGACATGATAAAACACTCCTCAACAGCACTAAGCAGGTCATAGTCATAAAGTGTGCAGAAGCACGTGCAGCTTGTTGCAGGAGAGAGCTTACTACATCAAAATCAACTGTAGGTGTCGCCGTAGACGTAGTGCTTGTGGTCCTTGTTTTCTGTAGAGTTGCGGCAGGTTAATGTAGTGGCAAGACTCGCACGTTGTTGTCATGTCAGGAAAAGTCAAAGCGTCGCGCTCGCGCCATGCATACATGTACTATGCCGACCTTTTTACCTAGAAAAGAAAAGACAAAGAGTAGATGCATTGTAGCGTCCGTCTCTAATCGCGAACGCGGCGACCATGAACAAATGACGGCGGGCATTTTTTTCCTGTGGCAGCGAAAAGCGTCGTGGTCGAAAGTGTTTTCATCACCATAGGCCAGAAACATGACTCAGCAGCGGAAGAATCGTGGTTCCCGCGTGCCCTCCGATGACCGGCACGTCACACGAATTCACGTCGACTTTCAGTTTCTCTGCGACGAAAGTGTTGGCCCGAGTGACATCCAGAGTTGTCACGCCGAAAAGTCGCCGCTTATCGTAACAGCCTGTGATGTTGTAGTTGCAGCATATTTCAATATGCTCTGCGGAGGACCAAGATGAACAGGATAACTTTATACGAAAAATCGAAGCAATGCCACGAGTGTGGGCTTTCAATCAACGTCCTGTGGTGTATCGTCTATCGTGCGGCTTTCTGATTTACAAGCAGGCTGCTAAAGTTCATAGATGACAATCATACGCAGGCACCGATCTTAGAAACAAATGCAACACTACGCCGAGCATCGATTCTGAGAAGTACGAAAAATCTTGGAACCTGCGCTAGCGCTAGCGTCGCGCTTTATAAATATCACTGCTGTACTAGTTGCCTATTCTTCCAACTTTCACTTTTTGTATTCGGCGAAGGCAGCGACTTATTTATGAAACAGTGAAGGAGTCGTGCAAAAATTCAGAAATTATCAAATGATATAAGGCTTACGACGTACCGTGTTTCGCAAGAACCGCTTTCCAGATCGGCACCATGGAGTTCACGGGATTTGAGATGACACAGAACATTGCGCTCGGACAGTTTTTTGCGCAGGCGGTGGCAATATATCGCGGAAAAAAAATAAAGCGTAGCAAAAATACAAACAAAATGGTGAAGAAGATCATGCGTGGCAAAGGCAAACGCATATGAATGCCTTGCCCCCGACATGATTACATAAGACAACCACAATAAATGCTACGCGCTAGTTTTTTTTCATTCTGATACGAGATCCGCGTTGATGCCAGCGTTTATCTTGAACAAATCGTCCCGGGTCATTCCGGGCTTCCGCGGTACCCCAGCAGGCACGACCACAACATCTGCGCCCCGCAAGGCAGCGTCAAGCTCTCCCTTTTTGTAGCCACCGACAACTTGACATGGAGTGGAAATGTGACTGATATCCACCGCGACTCCTGCTACCACCGGCGCCACGTCGTAGAGGCTAAGCTCGTCGATGTTTGGATCCTGCTTCAGCAGCAGAGCTAGCGGCTGCCCGATCCCACCCGCGGCACCGCACACCATTGCATCCATGCAAAAAAATGATCCCGGACAGTTGGAAAAGCAAAAATAAAACTCCCCCGCCCTAGTATCGCTTTCCTTTTTACTCATTTTTTTTTTTTTTACAAGGGCATTCCCTGCATAAGCATACATCACTTTCGTACTTTGTGTTGATGTTCAATCATTTTATTGTCTCAGTGTCAGTTTCTGCACAACTACATCAAAATATAATATTTTGTATGTTGGCAGCAACTTTTCATCTTCCGGCTGGGATTTAGTCGTTGTTCGGATAAACAGCTTTGACTTTCTTCCCACCGTTCCCATTACCGCCGGGCGCCCACGTGGTAGACGTCGGATATCAGATGCAAATGCATTGTCGCCACAACGAACTTCATTGCAGAGCGGAATGAATGCGTATTGGACACGACTATATGCTTTTGAAATACACCTCCACCTCCTTCTGGCGCTGCCTACATACGAAATTCGAAACATCGATTTTCATGTCAGAAGCTGTGCAGATACAACAAAGAGCTGCGGCTACCGCGGATGTTCATTCATTAGCCTAGAGGGACGATCAACCAATCCTAATGCAACAATATCAGGAGGAGGTGGGAGATAAGCAGGACATAGTCATGCAAATGAGACACGCCCCGCCTGCTTCCTCTAGGTGCTAGAACATGATGCTTCATGCCAACAAATAATTGGTTCGTGAATCTCAGGAGCACGCTGATAGTACAATATTTCGTCGCACCGTGAATGAAAAGTGCTGTAATTTTTACGTGGCGAGGCCGCGAATTTCTTGCGATTGATATCGAGGATCCACCACCGACGACATGACCCGCCACCGCGTTAAGGCGCTTCATCTCTTTCGTGTAAAAAGCCTCAGGAGCTCTATGTAAAATTATAAGAAGATCTCGAACGAAGGAGCGCAGCTGCTCAGAAGTAGAAGTACTACTTGCTACCTGCGTGTGCCTTACTTTTTTGCTTGGTTCGAAATGAATTGCCGACCTAGTAGCTGATCTCGGCACAGCAACTATGAAATATGGGAATTCGAGCGAAGAAACGAAAAGAGAACTCAGCTTGATAGTTTTCGTATGAGTCTCAATATCCTCTATTTACTGCAGCTACAGTTAAAAACGAAATAGTTACCGCGGACTTCTCATATGCGGAATACGAAGACAGAGGGGTGAAAGTCTCCTGCTGTGCCGGTCGTGACATGTCATATTATCTTGTACCGAGAACACCGAGCTGTAAAAATTATAGCTATAAATCCATATCGTATAAATCGCAGCAATCCGCTTTGAGCTGCAGCGCATGCCAAACATGTAGTAAGCAGTTGTAGCGCTAGCACTTACAACAGTTCCCAGAATCTGTGACGGAAGATCCCGCAGCGTCCAGGTGGACTGGAGATGTTCACCGACACCTAAAATACACGCAACTCTGCTGGCAATCACCCGCGGCATAACACTCCACCGACAGAAAGTGCGGTCCTCCCGATCGAAAGAATATTCTATACGGAACGACCTTGGGATCGGGATGGAGTACGTTTGCTAATTATTGAATTTCCTATGTAGATGTACTATTTCTTGTTCTTTTATTTCTTGTTCTTGGCACTTTTGTCTGTTGCGAAAAAAAATCGCAGGTAACCGACATTATTGGAGCTAAGCAACAGACGACATGAGCACGTTCTCCTGTTCGGTTATTTATATTTCTTATCCGACTCTTTCTCTTTGTTCAAAAGATGTCTGGGCATCAAAAACGACGACCATTTTGAGCAGATGACCGAGCAAAAAATAACTACTGCAGAACATATACGATGAATAAAGTCTGAAGATAACCGATAGCTGCCAGTTGGCCTCTCTGCACGTCGTAAAAAAAGGTATTGCCAAGAAGTAGAACGCGATATAGTAATCTATCTCCCGAGGGTATACACCTGCTGCCCATGTTGCATTCAGCACAAAAAGCGACATGCTCTGGTGCGCATGGCAATGGCTACCCGCGACTGCTCCACCAATACGTGCAGATACAAATTCCTAGTGGTGCTGTCCTCTTCTTGTACACTGCTGGGGGTGGGCAGTCATTCTCAATCCTGCTGGTGGCAACATCTGCATCTAGTTGATCTACTTACAACTACTTCGGCACTGTTTTTCGCAGCACCGCACGCTTCTGAGCGCTGATCTGTATCATACATTCTTTTTGGTCTTAAGGTTACTTTTCACGGAAATCCATGTGGCACGGTCTGCCTCGCATGCGCTTGTTCTGAGTCTGCGAATCATCGCCAGCATCACTGGGCCAGGATCCTCCTTCGGCTGCTGTGTGCTATTCCGTCCTCCAGCTCACAGCCACGACGCGCGCACTCCTCAGCCTGACGTGCGCAAATTGGGGGCAATTTGTCTCTTCTAGGAATTTACTTCAAATATTTTTTCTGTCTTCCACCCTAAAGCGCCACCAGCACTGCGTACAGGACCTTGAGTACTTAGATTCGTGAAAAATGTGGAGCGGAAGCGAGGCTCGTCTAGACCGGATCTACATCTGAGTACATGCGGGGGCGCTGCTCGTACAAAAACTATTAAATGCAGTGGTTTGTACAAGTAAAAAGCTGCGCACTTCTTGGGTCATAGCGATAGAAGATTTACATTTGTATACATTCTATTTGGATGGTGAGGTAATGCTAGCGCTCTAGGATGTCAAGGAGATGAAGAATGAATAGACTGTCGCTCTCCTAGTCCTACTTGCAGACACACATAATAAATAAAGTACTGCTCCAGTCGTGTGTATCTTTTTGCATAGTTCCGATACATGCACAACTTTCCTACTGTGCTGTGCACCTCCTTGCTACTTTTTCTTTTGGTATGCTCGCTACACTCTTGCTTGACGTTTGCTGGTGACTTCTTGTTTACTTTCTTTGTTACATTTGCATTTTTTTATTTTTTGATAGAGTTTCTAATAGGTTGATGTATCCAGTCGATTCATTCAGTTACGGTGGTGCTGGCTCGTAGTTCCCGCTACCAGCACACGCAGCAACTAGACACTCTCATGTTCCTCGTCGTCCCACCGAGCCGATGCTGCTAAGGATGCGGCTACCGGTGAGGGAGTCTCGGCTAGAGTCGTACCAAAGAGTCCGGATATCATGCTTCCCACGGCACTTGACAGATGATCCCATTGGGCTGACCTCTCGCTGTTCATTTTCTGGTTCGTCCGTTTCTGATTCTTCTTTTTCTCCATGCCACAACTATGGGCGCCGGTCAACGTCGGCAATGGTTTCTGCATCGAAGCAATTGCCTCGGACTCGGAGTGGAAGGCGGTGTCAACAGGAGCGACAGTTTTGCTTATGTCGACGACGTCACTTGTTTGGTTCACTTGATGTTTTCGACTTCCCATCAAATGAGAAGAGGAGCTGCAAACAGCTTTGCTTCCAGGTCCGCCGGTGCTCTGGCTGGACTTATTGCTAATCTGGTCGTACTGGTGTTGCGCAGTAGTTGTGCTACTAGCGTTCCGAAGATACAGACTTGCGAGTTTATGTTCGGTGGCCGTTGTAATAGCTGTTGTGGACGATAGTAATTTATCATTCGAATTCGTGTAAGGATCCACGACCGCCCCGCCCAACTTGTTTTCCAACCGTGCTTGATCTTGTTTTTCGTCAGTATGAAGAGCATTTTCATCATCCTCGTAGAAGCTTCTATACCCATCGTCCGCGTTGTACTTTGCGTGTCGAGTGTCAGGGGGCACGGTGCTTCTGTAGTGGTGGTAGTAGCTACCGTAGTCGTACTCCTCTTGGAGGTAGTAGCTTCCGTAGTCGTTGTACTCTTCTTTGTGATAGTCTGGGTTGTAATTTTGGGAGCTCTCCTCTTTGTGATAATATGCGTGCAACTTATCGCGAGAGGAGTCGCTGGAGGAAGCTTGTGCAGTAGAGCAGTCATTGTAAAAACCGGCCACGTCCTCGTGCTGGTGGTTTATTGCGTCGTTCCAGTAGAAATATTGCTCCTCGTCCTCGTAAGAGTACCAGTACGGCTCCTCCTGTGCAGGTGCCTCATTCAACGTCACTGAGTGCTGCAGAGCATTTAGATTTTGACTTTCACCGTGGTACACCAGGAATGCACTACCATCATCGACGCCGGGGGTCAGCTTGTTCGAGTGATCTCGTACTTCTTGTCGTCGAGCGACACCAACTCCAACATCACATCGGGCAGCACGCAGTACATCACTTGCGGCTGTCGTAGTTGTTTCGGTTTCCCCGGTAGAAGTTGGTATTTCTTCTTCTTGTAGTTGTGCTTCTTGATCTTGGGGACATGTTGTTGACTTGCCACCATTCTCTTGCATCATCGCGGCTAGGTCGTTCGTCAGCCCTTCCATGGAACACGACAAAGCATGCATGGACCGCACGAACTCAACCCGATCATCATCGACAGTCTGCTGCTCGAGGATGATATTGATCTTCTCAGCCTCGTTTTCAGGAAGGTGGTCCTGAGCACACCGATTGTCCACTTCTCCAGGCAGGTCTTCGCCTTGTCCTTGTTCTGCAGTGGGTCTTTCGCGTTCTTTTAGCTCAGCCAGTTCGTTTCCTTGTTCTTCGTCGGGCATTCCGGTTATTCTGCTGTCATGCGGTAGCTGTGCCACTTCGACTTCCCCACCGCGCTGCACCTTCACTCCGCCCGCCTCACCGTCTGGGTCGGCCGCAGCTGCTCCTGCAGCTGCACCTCCGGCAGGTATAATTTTATATCTGTCGATACTCACAGCCAGATCTTCACCTTCATGGGACTCAGCGCCCTTGCTTGGCTCAGATGACGACGCAGAGTGTCTGGCGGAGGCGGATCCGACCACACCAGCGGCACTGCTTTGTGACGTCGACATGGTGAGGAGAACCCGATCTGTTTCATCTTCGCGCTCGCTTCCGCCTGTGGAGCACGTTGCGGAGAAGCAGGTGGCCCTTGATGTCCGATGGCCCGCCGGTCCAATTTCATCGGCACAATTATCCTCCTCGGGGTGCAGCAGCTCGGGCTGCGTGATAGGGAGATGTTGCGAGGACTGCGACTGCGCCAACACGACGGCACCTGACGACGGACTTCTAGTCGACGAAGAGGAGCAGGCCAACTTCGACGCACACCACATCATTTGTTCCTCCAGGGCCGCTAGCTGCTGTTCCAGTTGTTCCGTGCAACTACTGCTCGCACTGTCGTTCATGATCAGCGAACTGCTTATTTGCGCATCCCTCTCCGCCGCGCGTGGTTGCAGCTCAGGAGGTGGCGGGCAACTCTTTTCCTCTGCAAATAATGCAGAGGAGGAACAAGAGGACGTGGCGCTGGCGTCATCTACCTCTGCTCCTGCTTCAGAAAGAACATTCACAACTGCGGCTCTTCTACCTACGACACTGTCTGCTGGATCATGAACATGATCTTCTCCTTCAGCTCTTACCTCACGGGCTGTGCTGTCTCTAGCACTGGTGAACTTGGCGCCGGAAAACAACTTCTGAAACCCTTCTGCCAACGGTGCAGCCTTTAACTGGTGCTCCATCTGGTCGACTACATCTGCACCTCTGCTCGCTGGCGGTGCTGCCGTCCTCGAGGATTGCACGAGCACTGGTTCTGACATTTTTGCGTGGTCCTCACGATGCTTATGAGGAGCCAAGCCCTCAGTGGTCGACGACGGCGTCGTCAGCATCCGCTTCTTGTCATCTTCGTCAACGACTACACCGCCTGTCGTAGTTCTGCTGCGCAGCTGGACTGGCTGAAGGTCGCGCACTCCTGCTTGTCGGGTAGTTGCGGTCTCGAGTTCGGGCTCTCTCTCTGCGGTCGCGGATTCTGTATTGGACAGTTGAAAATTTTTTGTGCAAGTAGAATCAGTGTCCTCGTCGTCGCGTCCGTCTTCAACATTATTTCCCGCACCACGAGAAACGACCGGGTCCAACATTACATCAGGGTCGGGGTCCTGCGTTGCGTTACTCGTCTGTGGTCGCACCGCTCCAGCCGACGTAGGACCTCTTTCGTTTTTCAGGCGAGACTCTATTGCGCCGCCAAGTCGTGGCGTGAGCAGCCGTGCAGCCTTCTCCTCCTCCAGTGCTTGGACCTGTGCGGCCAGATCCGACAATGCGCTCTCGGCCTCCCGAAGCAAAGCGTCTTTTTGCTCGCCGCTCCTCTGCATCTCCGACAACTCTAGCGTGTGCCGCCGGATCTCCCGTTCGGCGGAGGCAACCGTCTCCGCGTGCTGGCGCGCGAGCTCAGCGGCTTCACACTGCAACGATTCACGCTCGAGCGCCCACCGCTGCTCCTCTTCAGCCGAGCTGTCGCGCAGGGCCTGGAGCTGCGCTACGTGGCTCCTCTCGCGGCTGTCCAACTGGGCCAAAGCCACACCCAACTCCTGTGCCTGGAGCCGCCGGTCGCCCTCTTCGGCAACCAGCTTCGCCTTAACGGCCTCAAGCTCCTCCGTCGCCTGCGCTAGCAGTACTTTGTGCGACACGACCACGGCTTCGCAGGCTTCTGTGCCGGCGCGCCGTCCGTCCTCGGTGGCTTGTTCGATGCGCCGCTCACACTCAGCGAGCATTCGGTCAAGCTCCTGTCGCGTACTTGCGTTCTCCTCGCGGAGACGCTGCGTCTCGGCATCAACAGTGGCCGTGTGATGTTTCGACGGTCTCACAGCATGTTTATTGCTTTCACCTCTTGACGAGGAGCGACGCCCCTCTTGGCGCGTGATTTCGCCTCTGGCCTGTTTGTCGACCTCGTCCTCGTGCTGATCGTCGCTGCAGCAGGGTAGAAGATCTAGCCCACTCAACGCTGGAAGTTGTTTCTCTTCTTTCGTACAACTTGTAATTTGGTCAGGGTCCCCTTCACCTTCTGCGACACCAACAGGTGGAACAGCTATTCCTATTGCTCCCGAACAAACTTTTCCCCGTGATCCTTGCAGTTTGGCCCCTCGGTCGTGGTCACCTCTCGTCTCGCTGAAGCGATGGCGAAGCAGCGTCGCCAGCTGCTGCTGTGTTTCCGCCTCGCGGAGCTGACTTTCAAACACCTTCGCCGCCAGTTCGGTGCTACGGGTCTCTGCTTTCCTGGCGGCGTCCTCCAATTCGCGGATCACGGACACAGCCTCCGTCAACTGGCTTTCTGCCTGCGCCTTGAAAGCGTCCACGAGGTCGGCCAAGAGGCGCCTGCGTTCCTCCTTCAATGTGCATATTTGATCTTCCGTTCTTTGCAGGCGGTTCTGGTGTCGCCGCACAAACGTCAGCTCCTCATCCTCCAATTGTCCGCAATACTGCAACTGCTGAGGCGCTGCAAGACCGGAAACTACAGACTCTGTTTGTTCTTCAAGTTCATGTTCTACTGGCAGCTCCTGCTCCCACCGCTCCTGCAGCCACCGCTCAACAGCTGCAGACCTGGCACCATCCTGATCTTTTTCTTCGCTGCAAAAATCCATTGGGGCGGCTTCTTTTACGTTGTACAAGGCCTTGGCAGAAATGTGCAAGTCGAAGCTTGCTTCTAGTCGTCCCTGACCTTCTGCTACTCGTCGAGCAGCTGCAGCAGGTAGGCAGTCGTGTGAAGATACAGCAGCAGTGTCTTCACGTTCACAGCTGATGGTGGTGGCGGTGCTCGCGGGTGGTGCAGTCAATTCGTCCGCTGCGGATGAGGCTTCAAGACACAGAATCTGGCGGAGCCGATTAACTTCGTTCTGCAGATCTCGCATTTCGGATTCGCGGCTGCACAAATAAATCATACGAGTGCAACTGGGATTTTTCTGAAAGGGAAGGCGAACCAGATCTCCTGTCGTGGCAATTGACGCGCCATCTCCGGCTGAAGTAGAGGACTTCGGCTGCAAGTGGAAACTACGGTCACGCCCTCCCAAACCCGCGCTACTGCTGACCTCCGCCAGCACAGGTTCATCTTTCACAACAGATGAATTGCATTCCGTTTCCTCGTCAGTAGGATGTACGGCCGCCAAAGAAGACGTCGACGCCGATGTGCTCCCGTTGGCGGCCACATCGTGATCACAATCCCTCGGTTCGTGCAAAGCTGGCGCGGTCCACCTGCACGGAGACTCAGAAGACGCACCGCCGTCAACTGCCGCTAAGCCGTTGGAGTTGCGCCGGCAGTGCAAATCGAACAACTCACACTCAAGTGTTTCATGGTACTCTTCGGCGTTCTGCAGGTTGTGACGAAGGGCGCGATTCTCCTGGTTCAGTTCGTGAAATAGATTCTGCAGACCCGCAAAAACATGCGCCCAGCTGGCGTCCAGCTCTTCGGGTGCTGCTCCCGGGGAGTCTGCCGCAGATGCAGATGGTGCTTTTTTTCCGCTAAAAGAACGCACCTGCTCCCATAACTTCTGCAGCTGCAACCCAAGACGGTCAAACTCCTCAATGCAGGAGGCTCTGGTGGCCACTGATACTGGTGGTGGAACTATGTCGCTCACTTCTCTTTTTCTCGGTGCGGCTATTGGTGATCGAGGTACAGCTGATTGTGATCCTGGTGCCTGCAAAATTCAAATGGATTCATGGTTGGAAAAATTATCATTGAAGATTGAAAAAAATATTCAAAAAGCCTCGTATACAACAACTCCGGACTGCTGGCGCCAGGGCATCCCAATTCAAGGCACCAGAACGCAAGAAATTCGGAAACGATCAAAGCGAACGGCCTTCAAAAAATTAAAATGATGCCTCTCAGGCACAATCAATGCCCTGCAGCTTGAGGAGTCCGAAAGAATGACGGCCTCCGGCCCGGCCTCCGCCACGAGCCGAGACAAGCCCGGCCTTGGAAAAATCTTAAAAGTCGACCTGAGGCAGCCATCGTCGATCATGTCGCTCGGTTGATGGCAGAGGATCCCTGAGTGACGGCGCGAGAGAAGCAAGGCAAAGAAAGGACAATTGTTGATGTGCGCGCTCGCGGTCGCGCTCATCCAGAAACAGAATAAATTAAATATCCCTGCAGACACGTCCTTTAGTTTGCCGGACATGCGTGACTCTGAGAGCGTCGCGGCTGCTGCAGTCAGTATCACTTACACCTTTCTCACTGCACCATCGTGCTGCGTAATGCTATACACGATGGCTCGCTCTGCCTTTAGGCCTAGTCTTAGACATCAGAGTTAATCGTTATCGTTGCCATGGCGTCATCATAAGTCGAATTATTTTATATTTTCATGAGTTGACCTTGACATTCATGATCTTGATCTTGTGTATAGGCTTGTTTCTAGATTTGATTTCACTTACGGATTCCATTCGCAGGTTATTTGCGTGCCAACACGAAATACGACTTCAGAAGGAGGTGGCAGCTCGAGCTAAACTTATGTGTTCGTTGTACCTGATCCTGTTGCTCGTCTTGTTCGGACGTGGCACCATACTTCCGGCCTTCGCTCGTCGGCGGCTGGACGATATTTTCCGCATCTTGTATTTCAATTTGTCCTCCGACGATATCATTGCCTTTTGCAGCCTCATCCACATCCTCCCGTGTATCCGTGCTCTTGCGCACCACTGCAGCACGTCTTCCACTGATCATCCTCCCCTCATGCGTTGCACGTATACGAGCTACTTTTTCTTTCAGAAAGGTTTCAAAAGCCATCCTCTCATGCTCAAGCTGACAATTGAAAGCCATTCGTTGGGAAGCCAACTCCTGTTCGTGCTGCTTCAAGGTGATAACCGTGCCAAAATCCTTGGGCGCAGAAGAAGTGGAGTGCGCCTCTGAAGATGATGTTGGTGACACATCACACTTGCTTGCTTGGCCTAGATACGAGCTTCCTCCCCCATGCGACTCATGGTCCGCGTGCGCGTCATCAACAAGCGACGAGGCGGCTACGGCTTTCTCGTTCTTCGAATCAGTAACCAAACGCAAGCGTGGCATCATGATGCTCATCATTTTTTCTTGATTTTCTCACGTATCGCTTCGTCTCGATTCTTTGCGTTTTTTTTTCTTATCAAAGCGCAAACCATCTGGCTGCAACCGACATAGACCTGAAAACGCGCCTGGAAAAGCATAAACGATAACGCGTAAAAATACTGTCACGCGTGCAAATACCACAGAGTGAAAGTTTGTCCATCTTTTTCGAAAATTATTTCTTTTTCTTACATGAAAAGCCTTATACTTTTTTCAAACCAGTCCAGACGAAATACAAGCGAAAAATACGAACTACGACTACCTACAACGACACTCATGAGTCTGTTTCTTCAATCTTTGCGTCTGCCCCATCGGATGACTGCAATACAACAACGAATAACGATTACTTTCACGATGACATCGAAGGGTATTCCACGATTTCACGACAACTACTTCATTGATTCGTCGTCCAAGACGATGAAATACAAGCCAGATCATCTCTACTCGTCAAAGCTGAAAGGTCTGGTCGTTCTCTATGAAAGGATAAGAATTAGCATTCGACGATGAAATGCAATATTTGCCGAAAACACACGATCAAACAAACACAAAACCTACCATCCACATGCTATACTTGCTGCAATATTCCAGCAGAGAGCCTACTTTTGAAGATGGGTTCGTGTTGTTTTTCTTTTCGATTTTTTGCTCGAGTGATTGCTTTCTGTCGATACATGAGAATGCAGTCGGCGCGGGCGCGTCAGACTCATTTACACGGCAGGAGCGGGAGAACGATCACATCAACTCTCGTGATTATGATTAATCCAATTCATTTCCTCGTCGTGGTTAGTCCACCAAAGCCGCATTTTCAGATACTACGGCTGGGGAGGGTGTTTGTGCTTGATGACTTTCCCTTTGCCTTTGCAATTCAAACGGAAGCTGAAGTTGTTGTGTTCAAGCAAATTAGAGTTGCACTAGAGAACGAGAGAGGACAGCAAACCGTGTTGCAATCTCCCATATTTCGCACATAGGGCTGCTGACTGTTCCTTTTTCACCGCCGGACTAAATACCTGCCGGACGCGTTCGTACATTTTGTCTCCGGACGTAAGTGCTGCGCTTGCCGTGGGCGCCGCCTGCTGCGGGAAAAGCTCGTCCGCCCACTGAGCAACATTGCAGCCTGCACTGCGCTGGGCCCGGCACTGCTCTAGAACGACCGCAAACGGCTGCGACGAAACCTCGTCGCTTTCACCAGCCCCACCCTCAGGACGTGACTCGTTGACGTCCGCCGGACCCAGACGAAGACTTGTATCCGATGCACGTCGCCGTACTATGATAGTACCGGTCCCCGGTGAACCGTATGGAGAGGACCAAAACTCCGTCACAGTAAATACTAGTAGCTTAGTATCATTTTTGCTCGAGAGCACCCTTATCGTCTGGAGCAATAACATCAAACTCAAATCTTTACTCCATCTTGAATATCCGGTAAAAATGTAGTTAGACAAACATCACGAGCTCCTGCTGCCGTGGCGTATTTATGGTTCATTAGCTGCAACGCAAAGGCAAAAGCTTATCTGCTCGCAGCATGACAGAATTGCTTGTTCTGGTACTTCTATACTGCAAAAACACGAGAGTGTGACTAACTAGAAAGTAGGACGGAGTTTTTATATATTTTTTCTCCATAAACGACCACCGTTCATGCTCAAGACCCGTAGCTGCCTCTGCCGCTGTTCCCGAAGGCGCATCGCAGCTTCTGCCACTTCCTTGTCATCTTTGTTCCCCGACGGGTTCGCAGACAGCTTGACGTATCTCTGCAACACCTGATCCTCCAATCCGGAACTGAGGGGTTGCAGCAACAAGCGACCTTCCTGTTCTCTCGTCAAACATTCTCGGAGAATGCCTTTGGCCGCCAGCAGCTGGCGCCCCGGCGAAAACTGCTGCAGCTCCAGCGGAAAAATGCGAATTAACAGCGCGCGTATCTCTTCGGGCGCAACGAGCCCGTCGTCGCGTCGTCGTTGCTCGTCGAGCGAGGGCGCAAAAGATGTGGCGTCTGCGCGAGGAGGACCCCCCACGTAGTTCTCTGCGGCAAGCGTAGTAGATGAGGTCGTGCTATTTGCCGAAAGTACGGAACCTCTCCGGTTGTGGGCCTCTGCGACTCGCAAGCCATGGTTCAGGCGTCCGATGGCGTAACAAAGTTGCCCCGTTGGGTAGGGAGATCGGTCGCTCGTCAAGAAATCAGAAGCGCTCCTTCCGGCTCCTGCATTCAAATTTGGAGGTACCGAAGTCGGCTATTCCCTGAAAATACCCTATCCCCTCCACCCAATTTGTCATGCTAAACAGACACGCAGGCGCAGGACATTTTCACCCTGCCTCCCCCCGAGCAAACGGCCGCAGGTGGCCGGAACGCAGGGAAGGTGTATCAGGTAGGCGCCCGATTTGCATTTGGCATGCAAAAAAACATCAACATGGACTACTTTCGTCATGCAAAATGACTAGATGAGAATGGATAATTTTCTGGGAATATCAGCGGAGGCTCCAACGGTGCTGCTTCCGTGCCTGTCGTGTGCACCTGACGCAGAGCTGCGTCCGCTTGTTCCTGTTCCATTCTTAATAGTGTGTGGTCGGCTAGCAGGAGAGCGACCCAAAACGCCGTCTCTTCCGCAAATGCGTGGCATACGTACCGAAAGGTCGTCTCACGGGCAGCCGAACTGACAAGCTGAAAAGCAGCACTGCTTGCGGCGCGCTGCTGCGGTCCCTGGGACGAGGACGTCGACGGTGGCGCCACGACGTACTTATTTTGCTGTAGCAGTTGGAAGAAGCGCGCTGGGTGTGCTTCCGGCTTCTTCTGAAGAACGTTTGTGCTCATCGCCGCCCTTGTCTCGGTCTCGAACTCGACTGCGGAGAGGAAGGCTGCTTCTATCAAAGCGAAAAGCGACAACTGTATCAGTTCCAGAACAACTACTAGAGCTAGAAGTTGTACCCGTATGCATCGTCTCATCAACTAAAGCTTCATTATCGTCTACTTCTGAGCAGCTGTACATGAAAACTCAAGCGCCTGGCGGGCCCTCTTTATTCCTTTTTCTGGTGCCGCGCCGCAAAGATTCATGATGATAATGGCGTAGAGGTAGACAAGCAGCTGGAATTGTAAGAAGCGCGCCCTTATGCTTATGCGAAACTGCGCATAATAGATAGTGAGAGATAAAAGGAAAAAAAAAGTACAAGACTTTTCTTTGTGGTCGTTCATACGGAATATTAAAAGGGGGAACTGACTACAGTGACGGGACTCACTTGATGTGTTCGTTTCCGTAGCGTCATACACGATACCATTGCGGGCTATCGTCCTGAGGTATGTCTCGGAACGTTCCCTCGTCGCGATCTCCCCCACACCAGACTTTGTTCGTCCCTTCATCTTTTCAGCTTTATTTCGTGCGGCCGCACGCAGCTTTGCAGCCCGACGAGACTTAGCCTTTACCAGCAGGCCAGAGTTATCCCGATCTTGCGTGAGAATCTCGTCTTCCTCCAATTGCTCAGGGCGGCGAAAAGGTTCACAGTACAAATGCTGCATCAGGAGTGCTGCACCCCGCACGTCCGCGTCCGCGTTCCTTGCAACGGCTGCACTACTTGCGGCGGTTCCACCTCCTGCGATCGCCGCAGCACCCACGCCAGGTCCAGCTCCGGGCGCAGACGGCGCAGCTGCGCCTGCTGGTAAGGAAGAGGGGCCCAGTCCGGGAAGAAGGTCGACGACCGGACCGGCCACACTCTTGTCGCAGAACAAGTCACATACAAGAGCGCCGCCGCGCAGCTTCCCTCCCCGCGGGGCAAACGGGTCCTGTGTCGCCGCAACGACGCCGGTATGCGACCCGGGGTTCGCAGGTAGAAGCGCACGAAACTGCGCTTCTGCTTCGACCGGGTTGAAAGCGCTACTCTCGTAGGTCATTAGCTTCGCTACATCCTCCTGGATCCAGACGCCGGTGACCTGGAAGGCCCGCGTCTCGGTTGCTTCCTGATTCTCCTCCGGGTCTACGTTCCCCGTGAGCGCCACCTCAAGCAGCCAGTGCGGCAGCGCCTCAGCTTCCACTCCAAGATACTTGCAAAACCCCTGCACGAACTGGAATGCGTTGTTCTTCTTGGTGCTGGGGTGGCGCAGCCCCGAGTCCACAACCTCCAGTATCTCGTCGACCGTGAGGTTGGTGAAGCCAACGGCCTTCTTCAGCAACAACGTCGTGTACTTGGAGCTCCGCACAGGTGGTCCCGTGCCCGGAAGAGGATACTCCACGGCCTTCAGAGCGCCTGCCACTTCATCCTGCCCCGCGGCTTCGAGCCCCGGGCACGATCCTGTGCAAAAACGCATCTACTAGGTGCTCGTAGCATTCAAGATAGGTGGAATTTGATCTACCCGTGCAAGTATAGCAGAAGTACTAGCAGCCGTTCTAGCCACGCATGTTGACATTTAGGGGGCTGCTGTGAGTGTACTCGTCTCCGCGGCGGCGGCGAGAAATACATAGCACAGACTCAACATCAACACATCCAATCGACGAAATACGCATGGTTTTGTAGCAGTATCTTCGTCACAAATCATTCCCTAACTACACTCCATCAGAATAAAACGCTACCAATTATTAAATTATGCATGGGGACGACACGCAAGCGCAAGGGATAAAACAAACGCTTTGATGGGCATGCGAGACACGTGCGATGGGCAGCAGCTGAGGTCGTTTTCACACAGGATAGGCGGGGATCCGTCGTCATCCATGCCTCCACGCCCTGCCCCACACGGTAGGAAACCTCCATCCCGTACACCTCCAAGGTGACATGGAAAAACACCGGCTCTTCCTCATCGTCTCCAGGAGACTGCTCTGCTCCGGATTTCTTATTTATCGCTTTGTTTTTTGCCTCGTTCTTCTTGTTGCCAACAGAGAGCTGCTGGAAGCTGTGGAGGTAGTCCAGTACCGCGTCCTTCACGCGGTCGACATTATCGGTTACATCCTCGCGAATATCATACAAATTCACGGTGCAAAGCTGAGGGTGCCGCGGCTTCTTTCCTGCTTCCTTCGCCCTCCGCCGCACAAGCGAAATGCTGTCCTGCTGAGGTGTTCCTTGATTGCTGAGTGCATTATTAACACTGCCAGACTCCACCATTGTGCTCAAATTACCTTGTCAAAAGAGGCAAGAGCCTTTCTTCTGTTTTAGAGGTCGTCGTGGTCTGCGCCAAATAAAGTATAGCCGCGCGGCGTAATGTCTTCATGGAACAGCAAGGATGACATAATTGGACAGTGATTTTACATTTTTGCGGCACAGAAATTCGATATCAAACGAAGATTGATGAAACTGGCGTGAGTGGACATCAAACCAAAAGGAAAACCGAAAAGGAAAAACTGTCGAGGACAACTTGGGTTTTTATCAGTAACAGACAGCAGTAACAATACTACAGGGGCGCCGGGTACGGCTACGGGTAGGTCGTCAGTCTTGATCTTGTTCACACCCAACTGTAAGACGAATTTTTCATTTATTCTTGTTGTGTCTTCATAATTGTCCAAATTAATAGTAATACTAGAACTAGAAGCGACATTACCCACACGAGATCATGCCAAATTTCGAGACGCGCGATGCGCGGGCGCGCATCGCTTGTAAAAACCTCCGGCCGCTTCAACACTGCAGCGGGTCGTTTTGCGTAAAAACTGGCAAAAAGCCGCCAGGTAACACTCGCGACCTCATTATATACGACCGACGAGGTACTTTATGGCCTATTAAAACCGACGAAGTACGTTGTGGCGTATTACAACCGACGAGGTCCAACTGTGCTTACAGTAACCAGCAAGAGCAAGAGGGACGACCGAAACTTTGTGGCGTTCTTGACGCTCAAATTGAAATTACTTACATGACGAAAAGGACGGCATTAGCTGGTAGAAGTTCAGACGCAAACTCCAACAGAACCTTTTTATAAATCTTTTTACGAAATACCGACGGGCAAGAAATTCTAGGATGAGGCATTTCATTGCTCCTGATGCAGCATGTAGTAGTTCTTGTTTTCAGCGTATCAAAGATCAAACTCTTCCTTCTAGAAGAGTGTGACTCCAACAGCAAGACCAAGCCAAGAACAACATCCGCACCCACACGCCACAACGTCGCGAACTATTTACGGACTACGAGACCGACGTACCAGGCGCGGTGGAGTAATAGCTAGTACTGCGCGCGCGGACATTTATCTTTTTCTTTTCAAGGTGCTCCTGCTCACTTGTTCTCGAGCATGAGCCCGAGGGTGCGCTCCGCAGTCTCAAGTTGCTTCCGAGCTACAGGAAAATTTGCGCTCCCGCCTTCGGGTTCGGATTTTCGTTTCAGTGGTTAGGCCTCAACGCAGACAAAGAAACATCTTCGTGATTTCTAAGTAAGAGGAAAAGCATTGATGTTGTCGTGTCTTGCCCGGTACCCGGTGCCGACGTCTGTGTCCGTTGATGTGATTATGCCTTCACAGCTCCGAGTCCATCGTTCTTGCGTGTCCTCCTGCCTCCATGGTCGAACCAGCGGAGGAAGCTGGCGAGCCGAGAAACAAATCTGCGAGGCTTTCAACCTGAAAAAGGCTCATCCCGAGCCGCAGCATTATCATCTCCAGAAACAAGACGATGCCGTAAATTCCAAACAGAATTCCTGCAGTGGCTTTCCGAGAATACCTGAAGAACATTTGTCAAATAAGTAGGACGAAGAACATTCATTGGCGAGGTGACTACTGCCGTAGTTACCTCTAAGAATATTTCTCCACTCGATGGAGCTGCGGCTGCGATCTTTGGACGTCGACGTGAGCCTGAGGCTGAGCGCTATATGTAGTCTGCTTATTGGTATTTGTTTTTGTGCAATAACTAGCAAGCTGCAGTTTGGAAACGATCCCACCACTTTCTGCATCTGCTCGCGCTCGACATCATGATACGGGGCCATCACTACTTCTACTACATCTTCATCTTGATGAACTTGATCAAATCATAAAATTTACAATGTTGTACCCGCTCGCGCGAAGCATGCGCGCAGTTCGAAATGGGTTTGCAGTGCCGAAAAAACCGGGGCGAGAGATAGGCGCAGTACACGCGGTCTCGTCTGATCCGCCATCGAATTGGTCTTCGTTGCGCATCAGCAGCTCCTTCCGCAGAACAGGGTTGCTCGCAATGGTGTCGTATGCGATGCCGAGACTCTCCTCGAGTTGCCGCACGTTTATCGCGGGAAAGCGAGTGACTTTCGGGATTGCTCCTGCTAACCCCAATGAAGTAGATGAGGTCGCTTCCAAACATAAAAAATTGCAACTTTTTCCTTTTGCTTTTTTTCCTGCTGCGATGCCAAAATTATGGCTGTCGCTGTATCGGCGGAATCGAAAGATAAAGAAATATAAGTACCGTGCTTGTTCTGGAATAATTTCAGCAACTCTTCGCATCGCAACTACGCAACAAGGGATGCCCAAACCACGACGCTTCTTCTTTCTTTTGGGGCGGGGGGAGGGTTCGCAGTGCTGCTGCTTGGGAAGGTCACTCATTTGCAGCTCGTAATTTTCCCATGTATTTTACCTTAGCGCATTTGCAGTTAGGTCTAATTTGCTAACGAGTACTACGGTTAACGCAATGAATTGCGTCTGTGATGAAGACGGCCCATCGGTTGATCATGAACATGGCCTCCTTGTGTTCGATTTTGACGTGTGGGCAATGGCATCAAAAAATGCATACTTGAAGTTGAACTTGTAGTGCGGAGGCGGAGCAGATTCTCATAATAAAAATTAGAAAAACACACTCGCAGGCACGCGCTGCTGGTTAGTTCTTTCTACCCTAAAACCTAGTTTGAGAGTTTTTCACGACAACATCAAACTCACTACAGATGATGGAGCAGCTAAGCTGCAGTGGCAGCCGTTGCCTTTCAGAAACATCCATAAATAGAAAAATTAAGATCAATGATGTATGACTGCGCCGATCTCGATCATAAGAGCGAGAGACGTGGTGACAAGGGCGCTAATTTATGGTAGAAGTTGAAGTTCTTGCAACAGCTTCAAGTTCTACAAAGCGAGCAGCCCTCAATTGTTTGATTAAAGTAGCCGCAGCAAGGCTTAGGCTTACCAACTTCTTTATCTTTTTATTTTCCATCCGTCAAGGAGTAGAGTACCAAGAGCAATAGGCTCAGAGTTCTTTCTGATACCTGCGTCCTCGTTATTCCCTGAAAATTAACCATCCTTATCTAATTTGTCACGCATACCCGACCAGCACTGCACCGCATCAAAAACCTTTCACCGCCACCGCAAGCAGCTTCGAACGCAGTAACCAATCTGGAGGGGTCATATAATTCTTTTAATAGTGGATCAAAAGCCGCGGGTCTTTTTGTAATGCAGCAAGTGGATCATGAGGATGGTCAATTATCAGCGAATACTCGTATCTATGCTTCTTCACAGCATCTTCCTTTTTCTTGTGCAGAAGCTCGAGTGCTGCGATCAATACTTCTGTTGATGGCCCCTTCGGCTTGGCGCCAGTAGTCGACGCACTTGGCGTTTTATTCGCCTTCGTGGTGCTTTGTGTCGGCGCACCTGGTCCACCAATCCTCGTGCTGTTGTTAGATGCTGCGGCGCCTCCTAAACTTTGCAGCAGCCTCTCCTTGTGCGCTTGTCTGCGAGTTTCCTCAAGAGCAGGCGCCATACTGATGGTGATGCTGCTCTTCTTGTTGTCCGATGGGGGATATCTTATTGCAAGAGCTGCTTTAATATTCAGTTTCAACGCTGAGTTCAACTTACTTCAGACCGCGTCTTTATCATCTCACTTTGAGGTGCGAGTACTTCTTTCTAGTACATGACCACAGCGGCCTCATCAAGCTACTGAGTGCAAAATACGAAACCTCACGTCGTGTCCCCTAGACGTCGTGACCACGCGTTTGAATCGGCACGACAACCGCAAAGCACACAACTCGAGCAAAGGACCGTGAAAAACCAACAGACACGTTGACTATATCACTTTTGACATTACTCATTCACGCGCTAACGAAGAGGAGGAGTTGCTGTGCCTGCATATAAATTTACGCTGGCCACCCTTCCGTTTTTATTTTGTTTTTTTTTTTCGGAAAGACAGTTACAACAAAGAAACAACATTCGGAGGACGACGAAGTTGAAGTGACGCTTTCTCTCCGACCTGAATTTCTCTTCTGTTACCATTCGATGGTCGCGTACCGGATACAGCTGCGCTTTGCCTTGCTCTCGAAGAAATAGTGCTAAGTAGATGATGTACATGTAGCCCACTCTTCATTTGCTCGCTATGCTTTGCCATTTTTCCCTCCCCCTCGTGGTACGCTACGCTTGACCCTCGTCGGAGGTGCAAAGCATCGATCTGTAGAGCACGCAGCCATGACATTGGTGGAAGCCCTCCTGCTACTCCGCGAACACGTCATGCCTTCTAGTACTAAAAAACGTTACCCGCATTGCAGCAGATTCATTCTTGTGTCTCTTTTCTAGTTCTACCTTGTACTTCTACGATAAAAATGCTTTTACTACTCTACTTTAACTTTCTCCATTATCTTCTTTTATTTTCGGAGGAAGCAATGAGAATTTTAAAATTGCTTGATGCGGTGTAGCAGATCTCCTTCGGGGACGTGCGACGCACCAGATCACGGGCACGACGACGTCCTCCTGAGCCTGCTGCTGTCCTGGTGGTTTCAGAGCCCGGAACAAGCTATATGTGAAAGTAGTCACATTTTGCCGAACAAAGGGATGATGGGCTGATGCAAGAAGAGTCTTCTTGGATCTTCGAAGATGCATCAACTACTGCTAGAGGGAACTGTGCACTCCGCACCTCGCGGAGCCAGCGCCGCATGCCAACAGAATATCCCCATATCCGAGAGCGCGGTGGTGAATTTTGGACCTCCGCCACCAAGCGAGTGTCTCGTGAGAAAACAATGGACGGCCACGACGAGCTATTCCTGACCTCCTGCGCTGCGCTGGAGCCCCGTATTTGTTGCGCCGTTTGTTAGTCTCGCCGCATCTGCCGGTGGAGGGATCTCGCTATCAAACTGAAAGAGTCACGACGGCCAAACAGGCTACATAGAAGTCAACGTCATACAATAGAATGTAAGGCTCGATGAAGTACATGTACAAGAATGCAACAGCGAAGCAGCGCCGAGAGCGAAAGCACCAGCTGGTGCCGTTTGCGCTTATTTTTTTCTTTTTCCCTAACACGAGCGGCAGACTGTTTGGCTTTCGGCCCTTCACTTATCAACAACATGCCATCTTCATGTGTATATTTACTTCGAGTCCAGGTCGAGGACATTTCTGCGCTCTAAAACTTCGAAGAAACCCGCGCAAGTTGTGGCGCTGCGACTCTATTTCTTATCAGAGGGCACAACTCCCCCTCTCCCCCATTTGTCACGCAACGCCCCGAATCCAAGTGCTGCTCTGTGGCACTGTTACAATGACAGATTCCGGAACGAGCAGGACCCCAAACAGTACTACTTCTAATAAGTAGCGCATGAATTTGTCCCACACAGGCTCCACGTACTCGTGTGCTGGTGTTTGTCTTGCTGTTCATGGGATGAACGGGGAGGGGGACGAGTTGTGCAGGCTCATACTTTTCAAACTCCTACTTGTTCGGTGACAACCACTGTTGGACGGGAACGCCGTCATCTGGATTTTGCTGCGTGACAGTGTAGTATGAGACTCTCAACAAGCGCTACGCTCTCACTTTCAGTTGTTCTTGTTACATTCATCATTTGATGTCATGAAATAAAGTAGCCATTGGCATCTACACGATGACGATCCCGCTCCTGCTCCATGATCGCATGACAAATTTGTTCAAGTGGTTGTAGTACCAAGCTGCAGGCTGATAATCTGTTCCAATTTTTTTGTGAGGCAAAAGTTGTCAGCTCCGCCCTTCTTCATTTCGCTTTTATATTCATTGCTGTCCTTGCATCGCAAATTCATGCTGCAACAACTGAGAACGTTGTAACGTTTGAGAAGTCCATATGTAGTTGGTTCTTCTTCGAAACGCACGATAGAGCTGTCGACAACTGCAACCCAGCAAGAACAACGCCAACAATGACACCACTGCGGCTGAAGCCGTTTTGCGGTCTGGATTTCCAGAGGTTTGGAAGTAACTCGGTAGCCTATGAGAGTGCGCAGCTCTGTTCTGCCCCGTCTGTCATGTTACTACATTCCGCGCACGAAAAACTTGCCATTGTCAATGTCATGCGAAACTTAGTTATACAGCTGCAGCTATGTTCATGCTGCTGCTCAAGCCATTGAAATGAGCGAACGGGGGGCTCATGCGCACTCTCATATAGCCAGGGGCTGCTCTTCCTCTCCTGTTTGCTCGTCTCGCTTACGCTTGCCGTGCCTGAGGACGTAGAAGTGCTACCTCCACCGCCGGCAGTAGAAGGAGAGACCGCCGGTGCCGCGGTACTTGCGGCAACTGGTTTCGCCTTCGGTATCAAAGTCAACGGAGGACCATCAGCTGCACCTCCCGAGTCTACGCTTGGCGGCATCCCAACAAAATCTTCCGCCGGGTCAACAACATCAACACTTCGACTGCACTTTAATTGAATACGGTTATGTAGTGCGGTTCATCTGTTTGCGGAATAGTGCCGTAGTTCCTTTTGTTGGATGTTGAGCTGCGACTGAATTCATCGCATTCGATGACGTGCTGCAAAAAAACAAAAAAGATATGAATGCCGCAACTGTTTTTATTGCCCAGCACCATGCTCCACGCGATGTTCATCTTTTCGCTACGTTCCTTCCGAGTGTTAGCCAGAGCAAACACCCAAGCGGACCCTTGCGCCGCGCTTATCAGGGCGGCGGTGTTAAGGAGGGCGTGCCTAGCTTCCGCGCCGGGCAGGAGCGGCCCGCTCCGTCACCCCCTGGCCCCCAGGACAAAACACCCCAGAACCCCAGCACCACCGGGGGTTGACTAGGGGGAACGAACGGAACCCCGGCAGCCCCAGCCCAACCAACAACATATTTAGTATTACTACACACATTACATAGGGAGTACGTACATGAGCACGTACATAGATCTTCCAGAGTACAGTGATACGTAGCTCGTACTCGAGGAATTGAGGTTGACTCGACTCGAAATTTTGCTAGCCGCGTACTCGGAGGCGATGGAGTTTCCGAATAAACTGCCGCGGGCTTCTGGCCGGACGACGGCTTTCCGGCTGGCTGATGCCCCTTGCCTCCAGTAAAATCATCTGCATTTGGTCCCCGAGGACGAGACGCGAACTTCGGACAATGCGCGTCAACGAAACCTGGTCAAAGGATATTCGAAACAAATACTATGGCTGCATTTTACAACTTAATCATGTTGAGATGAGTATTCAATCAGAAACGAGTCTTCTAGACGGAGTGGAACTTTTCAGTTTTCTTCACCGTTTGCCCATATTCTGGGGGCGTTCGCTGAACAAGAACAACTTTCTCATCTTTTTTTACTTTTTTGGGCCTGGCTGTTTCATTTTAATCGTCCGCACAATTCATTCGTTTTTGCTCGGGACTTTTCGGAGGCAGGGGCAGAGATCACTCTCCTGACCCGGCTGACCTTAGTCTCAGTGTAGATCAGTGCGGTAACTAACCCCCAGTAGAGGGTGAGGCCAATCGGGCTTCAGGGGCATCGACAAGTGGCGGTGGGGGTGGCGGAGCCTCTTATCTTCTGAATATCGATTATATTTTCAGGAGATGGTCCGCCCACCATTTCTAACAAGGCGGTGATACATATCTATTCGGTCGCCGCCTTGTTCACCTCACCACGAATGATCGCGCCGACTACGCAACAAAGCAAAAGGCATATGAGCAAAGCAATATTAAAATGAATTGAAATCGGTATTTTTTTTTCATTGAAGTCGATCTTGGTCCTCGTGCCGCTCCTTCTAGAAATGAGCAGCAAGAATCAGAACTGACTTCGAGCGGATCGCTACTTGTACACGTGAAAGTTGTGGTGTGGGCGGAAAAAGAATTGTCATGTGGGAACAAGAATCCTATAAAATACCGATTTTTTTCTTCTCCAGGTCAAAGATGCAGCTTCTGTCGATCATCCACGAGGCAGCAGTATCGACGAGAAATGGACAGCGAGGACGGTGAAGGGCATTTCAGCAGCCTTACATATGCAAAATCTTGATGGCCCACGAAAACGCAGCATGTTGCTGCTGCTGTATGGGATTCTCTACCGTGCCCGTCGCTCAACCTCAACAGCAGCTAAAGGCGAGGGAAGTCTAATGAGAATTGTCTACGACCCATCTGCTAAAGGCACGAAGAGCAGCACTGCTGGCATTGCTCGGATCAACATTTCCGTTCGGCTTTTAATCTTATTCACTATACATCTGGCTGGAAGATGATCCACGCGTATCTATGCATAGAGCAAAGTAGGCCATGACCATCGTTGCTCCGACCGTTCGCCTTGTTGTATTTCTGATCGATACCCGAGAACCGTCCCGGAAGAGCCGTTGTCGTCGAAGGTAAAACAGAAAATCGTTCCTCGGCCCTTCTTGTACATGTAGCTTCGCGGGTGCCACTTCATCGTTTGCCCCGAGATCACCATCTCAATGAGCGGCCAGGTATACTCTGCAAAACAAATTATCCTGAGCTTGTTGGCATCGTTGCTGCGGGTGTCAGCAGAAGTAGAGTAGTGCAAGAGTTCTTTTTAACGGACATGGGCTTGGGCATCGCATGGCCAAAAAGAATGCAATGCATATCAGCTACTTTCACATACCAATTGCTGTTTGAGTAAGTTTCTGTGGTTAAAAGGCCCTGTATTTCTTGTTGTCGTAGGAGATTTAGGGATCTGCCTCCATCATGGAAAATACATGTCTATGTATCCTCGGCCTGCTACTGCTCCATGGAAAATACAAGTAAACAATGGCTGCTGCCGCGAGCGTTAGGGTTAGCGTGCCTGCAACTATAAAATTAAGTAATCTCGTCCTACTTGTTCGATGAGCATCTCAGAGTCAGAATAATATTCTGTGCGATAGCATTTGCTGTCGATGTTCTCCATTGTGGTGCCCGGGGAGTTCTTTTTTAGTGTCATTATGTGGCTTGTTTTCGGTACACTTTCACATGTTGTGTCAGTGTTTGTTGTTGTTGTGCACCTACTACTTCTACTCAGGAAAAAAAAAATATAGCTTGCCCGTCAAGAACAATGTAAACGTAAAATAAAGAGCCCCACGCAAGGAGCGCTCCGTGATAAAAAAATCAAGACGAGCCATCCGATCACTCGCTATTCGTGTTTCATTTGTCGACCATGCAGAACCATTAACAAGCATCCCAGGCACAGTTACAGTAGTTACAACGGACGCCAACCATCGCCATAGAGGAAGAAAAACAATATACCGCAAAAATCGAGCTATACCCAACACTCCGCACCGGAACGGGTGCCGCACCTACCCTTGCACTGGTTGTATAGCTGCGATTTCAGAGTCCTATACTGGCGGGAAGGAAAGTATGAGTATGTCGTACCACTGTCGACAGTATAGCAGCAAAGACTTTCGCCCACCATGCCGGCTCAGATCGATGCAACAGCACCGCATAGGCATATATACATCACCAGATAGGTCGTAATTCATCACTTGCCTTCTTTTCTTAGCGATGCATGTAGTCGTCCCAGCCACTAGCCAGAGCTACAGCTCCTCACCGTGGTTCGACTCCCCTTGTTGGATATTATCGGACCTCAGTCCTCCGCTGGGAAAGCAATAAAAATGTTCGAGTAGAGGACTTCGCTAGCTCATTCTAGTTTAGCGAACTTCTGGCAGCATCCTCTTGCAAGTGCTGTGGCATCATGCGACCAGAGTGGGACAGAAGTGTTTTTTTTGCCATACACGATGGTGCGTCCGTAGTTTCCGGAGATGCTCTGGCCCCCAATCTTTATTTCTGAAAGGGACACGACGTAGAATTTTGAATTCGCGCCCAAAGGCACATAGGTGATAGGCGCATCAATCGGGTCGTGGTAGGTGGAGTTGTAACCGCCGGCGATCACTCGACCGCCTTCCTGCGACAGGCACATCGTGAAAATGTTAGCATTTACGTGCTCGCGATCTCGCAAGATGTCCGCAAGAATTGTAGGCTTTCCCCGCAGATCATTACCGCCATTCCCGGCCATACCAAAAATCCCGTTAGCCTTCTGAGTGTAAAACCTGCAAATTTGAATCAAGCGGAGTAGTCCAGAAACAGGAATGCAGACGAGCCATGCTCCCGCGCCTCGTCCGGACCTAGCTCTTGTCACTTATTCATAAACTAAAACTGTTTGGAGGTTCTAGCAGATGACGCAAATTATGTTACAACAAATGCCTACTTTACAGTTTATTCTCGCTATCGTGGCAGCCCATTTTCACTTTGACGGGCGGGTTGTTCTGTATGACATCGCCAAGCCGAGCATAGTCCTCGAACCAGTGGCCGCTGATGGAGCTTCCTTCCGTGTATCCTTGGCTGTAACCACATTTGTCGCCGCGACAAGAACCTGCATAAAAAAATGCAGCATTACAAAATTATATATGCGCGACTCGCATAAACAAAGCATAAGGCAATGAAATGCGGTAGTTATTAAGAAAATCACTTGAATAAAGTCGGTTGACTTCTACAACTATGTTTACACTGCGCGCTGCATTGAATCCATTTTGCGCTGGGGCTCTTGGAAACATCGAACGCCGCGTCGATGTGGCGTCCACAATGTCGGCAACCGGAGCAAGGAAATCCGCACAAGGAAGAGCCGGTGTCAATAATCACGCTCGTGCGCTGCGCCACTGGGTGACCAATCAGCAGGTCCACGAAATAGTAGGCAAATTTGTGGATATTTCCGTAAACCCGGGCGGCTTCGAGCTTCTTCTGGTCGTCATACATCAACCTGCGTGCGTCAGCGCGGTGGTCGTGTTCGACCGGCGTGACCTCTGCGTCTCCAAGAAACTTGTCAGGACCGCGCAAGTCCGATGAATGTCGCCACGACGACGTCCGACTACTCTCACCTTCATCTGCTTCAGCCGCTGGCCTTGTTGAGGAGGCTGTCGCTGGGTGTTGGGAGGACCAGACCGCCGCGCCAGAACTTTCAGTTTCAGTTTCTTCAATTGCGACCAGAGCCCCCGTGTTATCGGCACCAAATGTCTCACGCAGGCCCCATGACGTTCCCTTAGGCTGTTGACGACCAGCTTCCTCGCCAACACCTCTTTCCGCGGCAAGCCTGCGATGATCAGAACGCGCTACCTCCGCCCTAACAGATCCGCTTTTGTCCACTTGCGATTTTGCGGCAGCATTACCAGGAGATTCGTCGCCGAATTCTGTTCCTTCATGTTCTGGCGCCGGCCCCCGGTGCCTTTCTCCAGAAAAGAAATGCAGTCCACTTATCCTGCTTCCAATCTCCGCGTCCTTCCCTTCGTGCGTAAGCGCGTCCGCAGTCGTCTTGTCTAGCCCCGATTGGGGCGTGCGGCTGCGCCGAGGGGCATATGCACCCTCTGGGGCGGTATCCGGCGTCAACACTCGCCCATCTTCTTCCATGGTCTCCTGATTATTTTTGCGGTCGTGCCGTACCACCTCTGCTCCTGCGCTTCGCTCTGCGCCCACATCATCGGATAGCTGGATCCATGCTACCGCTGTGCTCGGAAGTGACTCCCTTGCGAGTGGCGACAAGACTGCTGTTGCTAGCACATCAGCGTTGTCACCGCGGCCGGAAGTAGAGGACGTACTATCAATCTGCTTTGAAGAGGAACTTGTACTTGATCTACGCCGAAGAATCCACTGCGCCTCTTCACTGTCCGCGAGACGTCTACGCACGTAAGGATTTTCATCGCCTTCACCAGCTATGTCTTGTAGTTTCTTCTCGCTGTCATCTCGTTTTCGCTCCACACGGGAAATCGAAAAAGCATGATCTTCTAGTGGTACGCCGACCCATCTATCCAAACTGATGGAATCTGGGGCAGTATTCAGGTTCGGCACTGCGCTGCCCCAGCATTGTGGAGCGTAGTGCTGGTGGGAAGCGAAAAGAGCACTGCCGACGGTGGCACAGCGAGTGCGTAAATTCGAGAAAGAGTCGCGATTTCCTCGCATTCTTCACACACGGCCCAGGTCACGTAAAAATCGCAGCGACCAGCAATAACTGCATTAGTGCTTCGTGATACAAATTGAAAAGCGTCGGCCGATAGCCCGAAACAGCCTTAGATGATCATGGCGACGCTCCTAAGCCCTTCGGGAAGGAAGTCGTCGTCCTGAGTTCTGCGTGATGTTACGCTGTAAGTACGTCGTCCGCCAGTGGGAGCTATCTTCACAACTGCCACTGTAGTTTTCGCCCGAAAAGAATGTCTTCGGAGTATGCGCTGGCGTGGAATGAAACGAGGCACAAGTACGATAACGACTCTTTCCGAGGTAGCATTCTAGCAGTTTAGAATGCTCCGGCTAAGCGTAGCCTGCCACTTGACCATGATTTGACGTTGACCGTTGATAGCAGAACTTGACATAAAGGCAGAGAGTGTGAGGACAGGGATAATCACAGCGCAAGCATGCATGAATGTGGCAGGACTACTTCTAAACGATAACTGCCGAATGTCATCTTTACCAGGAGCAGAACAAACCAAGCATTGGGATTGACATTGGCGGCGCGTGTTACTTCGAAACTGGCGATACGGCGAAATGGACTGTATGACAGCAAGCAGAAGCACCTCTTCTGTTTGTGTAGGTCTAAAAAATCATCGACGAAAAAAAAAGCGTTTGTCAAACATGAGCTACCATGACGAGCGTCACATTTATGTAAAGAATTAAAGAATGAATAAAATTAAGGGCTGAGGCTGTGAACGATGAGGACCTGCAAGAAATACAACAGGGTAAGCGCAATACGTAGGACGCGCAAGAACTCGATCTTTGACACTGAGATGCGTCTATGCAGCTGCACTGCCCACTGATCAATACTTGAACAAAAATCAAGTGCCTAACGCGTCGAAATTGGTCGGTTACAGACAGCGACAGGTGGACCAGGTGTTTTATGCAAACAAAAACATGATAATGGCAAATGCTGCTGACGATATTCCCAACTAGTAAGTCCGATGGGAGTTCTTGGTGAAATCAGACCTGAAAAACGTAAGCTGTATTGACGGAGACAGACCACTGGAGAACATGGACGCCAGGATCAAGCAAGTTCTTTAATTCGTCTTTTCTGAGGAGAGGCTCGTCTCCGAATACGTATGAAACACGTTAAGTCGACAGACGCAGAGCCATCCTCAACAAGAGAAGTCGCGGCATGCTCTGTGAAGTGTCACGGCGTGTACACATCAAGGAAGAACCGACATTTTCGACCGGACATCCGTACCCTCAGAAATATTATACCAGGTGAACACAAAGCCACATGATTTTCCATTAGTACTACGCCGTAGGCGCTCGCGGTTTTTACAGACAGGAACTCTTTCGTCTCACTCATTGCTCAGCACCTCTCTCTACTTCATTCTAGCTACGATTTCATCAGAAAGCACTGTTGCTCTCAGGGCATGTTGTCATGAAGGGATCATGCTCCCAATCACTTCTTGTTTCTTCTCCAGAAATACTTCGGGCTTGTCAGCAACGACACATAGTGCTGTCCTTGCCCTCCTGCCGGGAAGATGTCTTCACCATGAAATCGAGCTTTTAAAGAAGAGACTCCTTGTGCACTATGACGCTTCATCCCCTCCATCCTCCAGCTTCACGCCTTGTCGATTCCACGAAGTCAGCCTATGCTTAAGCGACCAACACGCACACACCGCCGACAGCCTTGATTTTCTGCTCCGCCTCACGAGAAAAGTAGCGGGCCTTGACGATGACGGGAATATCCGGCAGGGACCCTTTGCCCAAGACCTTGAAGAAGCCGGCCTTCACGCAGTCAATGACCGGTGCCTTGTCACCTGTGATCATGTTTGTTAGATTTTTTGGAATCGCACTCCCTGTTTCTGAAAGTAGCGGAGAAAACTGCGGCTGCATATCATGTGAACCACCGATGCTATAGTTGATCACCACATCTGGAGCTCTCCACAGAACAAAGAACTACCGGCTGAGCACTACAATTTTTGTAGGCTTCTACTCAGTGCAATTATGCTATGTTGGGATGTTGCCTACTACAATACCATCGGCTCTCCACTCACAGTAGAAAAATGCGAATCCCGCTACACTTAGACAGTATTACAAACGTTGCAGACACACACACTACAGTCTAAATCTAAAAGTGAGAGAAAACCTAAATCGTATCACGGTTTCTACCTTCCTTCTTCTTGTAGAAGTCGTAGGCCGACGGGGTGAGGAGGGACCACAGTTTCTCGACGTTCACCTTCGGGCAAACGTAAGCATTCTTGCGCCAGCAGAAGTGACGCATACCGACCTTACCGAGCGCACCAGGATGGTACTTGTCGACGTTGATTCGGTGGTGGTGCTGCATACCGGCGTTACCTGAGCGATTGTTTTGAAAAAAATGTACATATTATTCTGCACGGTAAAAGAAAAAACGCGCTTCGAAAATTTTCAAGCAACATCTGCATCGCTGTTGAGCTTTTCATGCTAATTTCTTGCGGCGCCACAACAGCAGGCGCTACTGGAAAATATATTCTGACTCGCTCTGTCCCTGGGCGCGCTTCGCGTATACCACATCATACCCCAACGTGGCAAAGTCGACTACGCATGTGAATAAAAATAAAAGATAAAATTAATTCAATAAGCTGATACCGTGACCACCCGGGTGCTTGCGAGCCTTTCCGATACGCCCATGACCGGCGGACACGTGGCCGCGCTTCCAACGGTTGGCTTTCAGGCGAGCGGTCATTTTGAATGTGTTGGGGGTGTGGAGTGGTCCGAGCAAGAGTCTTCGAGACTTCTAAAGAGTCTACTTCTGTAGTGTCCCTGGGAGGAAAAATGACAGAATGGACAAGATTGATTGTCAATAAGGAATTAAAAATTTAGATGAACCATTGCAGCCGCCAACATTTAAATAATTTCGAAGTGTTGAATGATCTAGTTCTAGAGGAGATCAAGACATCTCATTTTGGATCTTGTATTCACCGATCTTCGCGTGACTGTGATTTCATGTTGGGTTTAGAATTTAGGCGACAGAGAGCTTGAGAGCTGATATTTCAGAGAACTTGGTACTTTTGATTCATTTCAAGATCACACTGCCGATCACATACACTCTCATGGTCATGTTCATTCAAATGTCGATATAATTACACAGATCGAGAGCTGGCACAGTTGGGATACATGCGTCACACGATTCATGCGTGTCCTTTGCAGCTCCAGGGGGATCAGTTAGTACATCAGGATCTGTCGCAGTCGCAGTAGAGGACATGAAATAAAGCGTGCTTCTCTTACTAGCAGCCGTCTCTGAGAGTGTAGAATCTTTAGATGTCTGGAGTGATATTCTGATCCAGATCAATGAACTTCAGGGGCTGCATTACGAACTTCATCAGCTATTGAAAGCTGAGAACAAACATCGGAAAAGACCACATCTTCTGGATTGATTTGACCCTCGCGTTCCGATTAATATGCCCCTGTCGGTTTGGGCCGGTTGCTTCGCGGATGAAGTTTCGATATAGTTTCAGATTCTGCACAAGCGACCGAAAGACTGAATCATACTCCACCTCAACACCGAATAGCGGAGCATGTCTACCGAAGTGCAAAGCGAAACCTCCTTTTACCAACAGAACAAAAACTTTGAGTACGAAAGTCAAGAACGCACCGGAGTTTGAAGCGCTGCTTCTTAAATTCTGAACTGATCCGAGTGCAGCCTCGTTCGTACTGAGTCACGCTACTTTTACGCCAGTTTTGTACTCTCATCCCGAGCTTACCTCTGCCCGAAGCCTAGCGCGAACCGAACGGCGAGGCAACATGCGGATCTGAAAGTAAAGAACAACAACACTAGTGCATCACAGGATGCTGCAACCACCTCGACTCCGTCTTCAAAATCGCGACTTCCTTACTGTCTTGAAACCGAAACATCAATGAATCCCCTCTGATTTCGTCGAAGGAGCTAGATCGTACCTACTCCTGTGGTCTTCATCACAGTCATCATTTTTCTTGCAGTCTTTCGATGTTGACTCTTTGATATCGGACGACGCATAGAATGGGCTAGCTACACTTAGTGGTCGCACTAACATACAGTGAAAAATAATTTTAAGAATACGTTGCATCGCATTCTCGATATGAAAAAGAGTTGATTTTTGAACAGGTTGCATAAGGCGCCGGCAATTTCAATTTTTTTTGAAACAACTTGCAAAACCAAAACTTGGATATGATATTCGGTACGTGCTCTCGATGTGGCATCGGCATCCACCTGAGCAACAAGCTGAAGCTCTACGCTCGATTACTAAAACTCCTTCTCCTGCTTCGGCTTGTATAAAGAACAGGACAATATCAAACCTTGTGAACTCCAAACGGAAGGCATTGCGCGAAGATAGAATCAATTAGAGTCTGCTTCATGTTGCTATACAGGGATGCACGAAGTGCCGAGACGAGCGAGAGAGAGGACGAGTCCCAGAGTTTTAAAAAAGTCCTTCAGGTACGAAACTATCCGCCCGCCATGAAGACGGCTGGCTGTACGATGGTGCTAGGTGATGCTGGCTGTTCCGATCCTGACAGCCACTGAAGGTAAAGAACATCCCACGCAGCGACCAGCCTAAGCTACACAATGCTCCTCCCGACCACGAACCCGAAAACCGAGGAAAACCTAATACTCAAAGAAAGTACTTCTACTTACACGACAACTGAGAGCAAATTCATGCTCCGGGGTTTTGCAGCTTGAGCGGCACCCGGTGCCAAGAGGTGTTGTTGAGCCCGCGCGCATTCCAAATGCCATCAACGGTCTCGGGCTGCACGTTGTAGCTTGCGTCAATGGCTTTGCAGACGAGAACGGGCTGCTCTCCGTTTTTTGCCATTTGTTTCAGGGCGGCTGCGTCTTTCGCTAGTGGAAGATCAATCTCCCAAAATGTCCAAGCGTACGCACGATTGATGGGCTGCTCCGATCTGTTATTGTTTCAAGATGCAGCACGAATTCTCATTTTATCACAGTGCCCCCTCAACAGAGGCATGATCGCTACAAAATCTATATCTGCTACTACTTGACAGTACAGGGACTTCATCCACTTGCAGACTTTCTTCTCGCACTAGGACTAGCTACGAAACCCGAGCCGCCATGCAGGTCATGGAATACCACCTGTACCACGCTAGTGGTAAGCTCATTATTACATGTAAATGTATGTAAAGGAGAAGTACCCTTGTTTTAGCTCCGCAGTATGCCAGTTCGTCCCATTGTCACTGCTTACATCGACTCGCACGATTCCGTTTCCGCCTCCCGAGTACGCCCAGCCCCGAACCCTTACACACGGTTCCAATTTCTCGGAAAAGCGCACTCCATACGTTTCAGCGGTCGGCGGCAACCCGCCATCACCGGCACTTTCTGCTGCAGAGGCGCTACTGCTGTTGGAGTTGGCGCCAAAAAGAGATGACCAGAACGACAGGGCCCCGTCACCGCTCTTCCGATTGCTCCGGTCTGTTGCCTGTGCATTATCGGTTTCATCCACTTGCGCGCTGCAAGAGCGAAGCTCGAGGTCGACTAGTAGATACTTTCGCGGTTGTTCGGCAAGAACGACGATCACAAACTGGAGCAGAGCATCAATATGCAAACATGAATGAGATGAATTTCATTTTGTATGTAAAAAACCTCATGTGCAGCTGCTGCTACGCCACTAAAGCAAAGCAACCAGCAGCGGTAGCAAATACAAAAAAAGCCACGCGGTGTATCAGCTGAGAATGACATCTGACAAAGGATTCTAACTCAAGAATAAAACCTGCACATCCAAAGCGTCTCCGGTGGCAGGAAAGCAAATCACCGACTGGACAGGAACTTTCTGCATGGATGGAATTTTTTCGGGGTCCGCGTCTTTGAAATCTTTGAGACTGGGAGGAAACCCTTTGTACGCGATACCTTGTGAGCACAAAGATATGAGCACAGATTCGAAATAGGTAGGTAACTCCTCATCTGGGCCGAGGACGCGGGAGATCCTTAGCTCAAGAGGCACGAAGAGGACCACCACCAGATGCAGTTGCAGCGAAGAGGACCATCAGTCGCAACGAGTTCGTTGTTGTGTGGTCTATGCAGCATATTTTTCTTCCACTTGCACTTTCTATGTCTATTGTGCTACAACTCTAAATTCCGTTCCGAACGAATCACAGGGAGGACAGAGATCTTCCCACGTGTGATGTGCCCTTGGTCTTCATACTGCCCACATCTGCCTCCACCCGCTTGGACAACATGATGCTATTCACACTTCTGAGAATGATGACAGCATACGGTGTATAAACCTCAAATTAATATTTTACGACGAGCTCCGAAAGCGATACATGATAAACCAAGTTGTAGTAAGTACCTCTCTGCCAGGGGCCGTGGGCCTCCTCTGTGGAGGCTTCGATTTTGGTGACCCACTTGACGTGGCGCACGCCGACCTGCCCGGGCACCACCAGGCGCAATGGAAATCCGTGCTCGGCCGATAGGGGCTTGCCGTTCATGTCCCAGGCAAGAAGCGCCCCACCGTAGGGGTCCAGCGCGTGCTCGACTGGAATGGAGGCGCTCATGCCGTCCTTGGCGTGAAACACGATGTGCTTGATGTTCTGCTGCTCCACCGCATCCGGGTCGGCGATACCAATTTTGCGCAGCAGGTCACAGAGCCGAACCCCCGTGAACGCGCCGGTGGAGATGCCGCCCGTGCCCCAGGCAATTCCGCTGGTCTTTTCTTTGGCGTTCATGTGCGAGCGTCGATTTCCGATCGACAGAAAAAGTCCCATCTTCCCCATCCATTTTAATACTTCGCATAACAAACACAGAAAGATGACTTGGTGCTATTTCACGTGACAGACTGCATCGGGATGGGTCTTTTTCTGCGGATATTTCCACCACACTGCACGGTGACCGGGAGAGTGACGGACTTCATCCGCTTCAGAGCGTCCAGCGTCAGTGTCGCCTGCAGCCCCGCAGGCGTAGCAAGATACTATCCTGTTCAAAACAACGTCTACATGCCCACATTGAAATTGTCGCTCACGCCCTGCTGATAGATTGATAGCTAGTAAAACCAGCACGGTGCAGCTCCGCTAAAAGTCAACATCCACGACGTGGGAGAATGGAAAGTGGCGCTGTGGTCGACGTACAGTCGCATTTATAATTAGGTGATGTCCACGTCAAGAACAATGCGTGCCGAGGTTGGGCTTGGGTACTAGCAAAGTAGTTCCCACCTGAGTGCAGAAAAGATGGGTGAACATGAGTGCAGAAAAAATAAGTGATGACGTGGAGCGAACGTTTTTTGGAGAGGATAGTTGCAGCTGGTATGTTTTCTCCGAAAGATAGGCAACCGGGTGGTGGTGGCGCACGAACCAGAGGTGGTCGGGCGTCAGCCAGCTCTGCATCTGGAGGTGGCGCGGCAGCTCCGCGTTGCAGGCCTTCAGGTTGTGGTAAATGAGTCGCGGGTCGCTATCCTGTGTAAAAACATACCCATACCAGAGTCAAGATGGGAAATCTGCTAGACAAATCAGCCATATTTGGTTGCTTCGCACGACAAGTTTCCGGGCGTCTGTAGTATAGTGATGCTTAGCAAGGCAAGCCGCATGAGAAAGCCAATTTCTCATCCTGTTTACAGCATTACAAAAGACAAACCACGACTGGAAATGCCTCTGATGGGGATGCGCATTACAAATGTTCCTGTCATTGCGCATTTGCATTACAACTCTGGGGTGGGGACGTTTTTGCTGAGGATAGTCGCGGTTCTCCGGGTCACTCTCGTAGGGGTCGACGTCGTCGTACTCGATCTCGGGCTCGTCCGGGTGGATCTCGCCGATTTTGTACTTTTCTAGCAGCGTCAGCGCTTCGTTCGTGCGAAAGTGCTGCTGGTACACCTTCCAGTACGGATCCACCGCCTTCCCCGCAGCCTGCAGAACCTTGCCCGCGCCGCCCGGGTGGCTCGGCAGGTAATCGGTGATGTCGTAGACGCCATCGCCGTAGGTCACCCAGACCCGTTTCCCAATCGAATTGTGCTCCGCGATCTCCGCCCACTATCCACAGAAAAAAACCCATCCACATAAAATTTGTCATGCAGCACACGTATATTAAAGTCATGCTCATGTGTTTGTGGTCATGCAAAAAATGGATGATGATGATGATGATGATGTTACCCAGTAAAGGGTTTAAAAGAAAACTGTCCTAGTTGTTCGGCACTGCGGCAACTAGTGCTGCTTCTTAGGATGTGGAAGGGTTTTTTATTTCTGTGGATACCCACCGAAAGTATTTCACTTCCTCCGGCGCCGGGTCAGACTTCTTCCCCCCGCTGCCGTGCCGCTTTAGCGAGCTTGCCACCTGCTCACAGTATACGAGGCTGGCGCTAGTACCTGTCCGGGAGAATAGTAATGCAGCTTCGGCCATGTCTCTTGGGACGAGACGTTGCGGCAACACCGCAGGTGGACTTCTTGCTGTGGCGCTGCAGCCACGGTCTCTGCGTACCCTGCGAAGCGTTGTGCCACCGCCAGATCCTGCTAGCACCGACGGATTACCATTCAAAATTGTTGACCCAGAGACAACGTCTGCCGCTGAAAGGTCCGCGTTCGCGTTAGGACGAATGAACGACCTGTGCAGCTGGGGGTGCTGCCCGATGTTGTGATCCTCGCTTGGTTTTATCGAACCTACTCCGATTGGAATGCTGCTAGTATTTCCTCTTTCTCTTTCACCGAGACGACCGTCGGACTTATCGTATTATCCAGCCGTGCAAAAACGTTCGCAGCAGAAACCCGAAAGAAATTTCGCTTCGATGAAGACTAAGATTGGAGGCTCCTGGTCATGTTGATCGGCACAAAAATATACAAGAAAAATAAATGTCAACCCACTTGTACTTTCTCGACGTCGATTTGTTGCGCATGTTGCCAGCAGAGCAAGGCTTGTTCCAAACATCGGGAGCTTCAGCTTCTTTCAGCATCCGCAAGAACATGCTCAGACATATCTGCAAGGGGCCCTTCTCCTGCTGCACAATAAACAGACTAGCTTTACGAACTCTGCAGTGTGAACGTTTTTCGGCAGGATACATCAGCCGTCCACTTCATCTGCTCTTCGAAGTCATCAACATGGTAATCGCTGCTCCTGCGCCGCGTTGTGCCAGTAGACGAGGATGAAGCTGACGCGCGGCCGAGAAGGACCGGTAGGAAGCGGGAGCCACCCCCTGGAAGCATTGTGATAGATGAGCAAGACTAAGACAACTCTTAGGATTAAGTATAAATACGACTGAAGGCCAAAAAACCAAGCGAGGCTCACCTTCAAAAGATGTGAAAAGTAAAAAAGATGTGAAAGCGTTCTGGTTGAAATGTTCGTACACGGCTAAAAATGGGGGGGGTGCTCTACCCCCAATTTTTTTCGCATGCCGGAGCCGGTGTTTGCCGGACACACATACACAGCTGGGCACTGCTTCCCTCGGATCAAAAACTTTGAATGAGTGATCATCCCATTCGTTCCGTAGTCGTAGGCGTAGCTACAGGCTCTGCTCTCACGCTCCCTCTACGGCATGATTTTTGGCTCCCGCCACGCTCCTTCTTCCTTTTGTCTATTCAATGCTTCTTTTCGCTCCGGCAGTTCGGGACGACTGTGCGATCCATCCGTGCCCATTCTCCTGCCGCGCTCAGACGAATGCGCCAAATCATGATCATTCTTAAGAACTCGCGTCTTTTTTTTGTTGTCCAGGGAACACAACGGAACTAGCGCCCTTTTACAGCCAAAGCAGGCGCTCTCGCTGAAACATCAGCCGCCCGCCCTGAAGCAATGACTACAACCTTTTTTATAATTATTTTCGCTTCTGCTTCTGGTTCTGAGGTGGAGCATTAGCATTACAAACACATGAACATGAAATTTGCCGCGACCACAGCGACTCGCCTTGAGTTTTTTAGTGTACTAATTATCATGGCTGCAGAAGAAGAAGTGCTTCAGCCTTCAGGTTCAAAAGCAATAAAAGTACTTTGTTGACATTTGTACAAACTTTCCTAGAATAAACAAACAAGTATGAAACAAGTATGAATACAAAATATCAATGCGACTGAAATCGCGTACACCTACGTGAAAGGCGCGCCAATACTTAATTTGATTTTTACAAGAAGTAGTAGTAAAAGTGATATCTCCCACTATGGGGACAGAGTTGATAAAGCGCGACAGTTTACAAATCTTCCTCCTATGGGTTTTTCTTGGTAAAAGTTTCAATTTCTTGGTTGAAATAAATTGGTGTCTTGTTGCAAGCGTGTCAAAGTCAAGCGTCGTGCTCCTGGCGCGTAAGCGTATGCATATGTATATTCGAACTAAATCTACACTGGTCTTTCTCCTCACCTTACAGCCACAGCAGGGGTAGTAGACGTCGCTCCGCCGGGGTACGGGCGGGCAGCATCCTCCTCCTCATAGCCGCCAACATACTCGTTCTTCTCTTCCAAAACCGCGTACATACTGCCCAGCGTCAGGGCGCAAACGAGCCAGAAAGCGATCCAGCCACAACCTGCCGCGATACTTGGCAGGACCATGAAGAGCGGCACGTTCAGAATATTGTTGGTCCGATTACCCAGCATCTTCATCAGGTTATTGCCGAAACTGATCATGTTGTTTGATGAAAAAATCAGAGCGATTCTAGTGCCTCACATGCAGGACCAGTGCCAGCAACCGTCACACAGGATGAAACCATGTGCTAAACAATTACTCTGCCGCAACGTCTTCAACTTCAACACATAGTGCTAGAGCATCTACCTTGACATTGTACTTCAGAACGAGCAGGGGAGAAGTGTATGCACAGCTAGAGGAGCTACGACCACCGCTATGTTGCTGGTGCATGGGCTATGCTTATTCTCATTGCGTTTGCATCTTGATGTAGTTGATCTTCTTGGTACAAGACAAAACCTTCTCTTACATGCACTTGTATTAACGGCGTACCTGTTGCTCCAAGATTTGGCTTTGACTTTAACCTTCGGCGTGGTGCGAAGCATCAGGACTGCAATGGTGGGGTTGCAAACCGAGAAGTGTATGGAGGACCACAGCATCCAGAACACTGCCACGAGCAAGTAGCGCTGCAGAAAGGACAGGCCCGAATCGTTTCCCGGCACCCGCTCGAGACGGTGCAAGTTTTCTCCGTGGCCCAGAGGACCGCTCCAGTCTTTGTCACCAAGCATCACCGTGAGTAGTGCGAGGTCGCCGTGATCATTGCCCACCTCCCCGTCGTGTTGTTCAGCCACCTGGTTCACGGACCGGCTGACCACAAACACGGCAGCCGCTGCTCCGGCCTGCTGCAGCTCGCGAGCAACCTGCGCAAAAGTTCGTGGAGAGGCGAGACTGTGGAAACTCTGACCCGGTGCAAAAACCGCGGCGCCGTCCAGCGCCGGGCCCTTGAGGCTATCCGGCAGCTTGTGCTTCCCGAACAAGGTGCACGTTGTGGCCTGAGCATGAAACGTTAAGAAAGCGCATTCTCGGTAGTGCTTTGCACACAGCTGCGTGCACTTTTCGATCGAGTCTGTTTTTTGCTGCAGATGGGTCAACACCTCGAAATTCGCTCGATTTTTTTCGTCCACAAGGGGCAGGTTGTTTTCCGTTACTGGAGTGGCCAGCGCTAGATGCTTCGCCCACTCGTATGACACAATCTTGCCAGCGTACTGTGGCGCGCCGCCGTCCGAGCTGTAGGTCGCGTACTCAACAACTGCTGCGCCCTCAACGACGTTGACCTGTTGTTGCATATTGATTTTGAGTGAATTCCAGCTAGTGCTTTGGCCGCAGCTGCAATATTTGGACTTACACTCCTTATCAAAATGCGATAAAGGGGGCAATCCTTCTGATGGTACTACCGCCTGCAGGGGCAGAATCCTTATAGGCACAGCGCTACTAGAGTCATACGAGTAAAAAGAAAAAAGAAGACATGCTGGTACTGCGTCTGGCAGCAAGGATGCTCGATCGTTCCAGGGAATGAATGTAGACGTGTAGCTGAGAGATTTGTCACCGTTGACCTGCGTCCAACTGTGGTGCACGGAGAAAAATTCACTGCCGGCGAAGATGAGAAGGCAGACCAAACCCAGGAGGGGGTTGAGTACGAGCGTGAACCGCACGCCAAGCCGCTTGACAAGCTGCTGCATTTATGAGAGCGAACAACACGGCCTCGGCCCCCCAAATTGCTCACAAAACATTTGGCATGATGCACAACCACAAGGTAGAGCTCGAGCTTACTACTGGAAACTACTTGGCACCGCACACCAACAGACTCCTTGGGCTACTTACGTTTTGATATTTTTAGGTACTACATCTTCTCAACTGCTGATCTGCTTCGCGGCTCTGCATCTTTTTCATACTTTCTGCTCATGCAGACATTCTAAATGAGTAATGACCAACAAGTGGAGGGTGTGGAGAAGTTCTTGTGCGCTCTCGTAATGTGCACAGTGCGTTCACGACGGCGTTGAGAGCGCCAGCGACCAGGCCGCACGCGGTCATCAGAGTCAGCTTTTGGTCCTTCATGGCGGTGCAACTGGGCCCGGCGAGGGAGTCCCCGGCGTCCGGCGGGCAGGGGTAGATGCCTGCTAGCAGGACAGCCAGCTGGATGTCGATCATCTGTCGAATGGGCAGGTTGCTGTAGCTGACCAAGAACATATCACACAGAAAAACACACCCATTCCCATATTACCAGAAAAGAAAGTACTTACTTATAATAGGAGCTAAAGAGTTCTTGATAAGTTGGGGGAACTGAGAAGTCTGTTGTAATGCGAGGAGGCCCCGGAGACTGAGAGATGAGCTTTTCTGTGACGCAGAACTTCTACCCGTTTTGGTGATTAGATACGTGCCACAGGAGCGCGCCATGCTGCACAATCAAAATAAAGGCCCTTTCTGATGTGAAGCGACAGAATGCCACATCTTCAGAGCACGTTTTTGTTTTTCTGGAGTTTGATAAGTGTACACGTTTTCTGTGTGATAGAACAGCAGCAACACGTACCGATGGCTGACGATGAGCCAGAGGCCTTCGACGGAGTTGTAGAGTTGCTTCCGAATTGCCTGCAGCGCCGTGCTGGAGCCGACGGCCGCTGTTCCAGCTGCAGTAGAGCCGCTAATAGAGGATGTAGTTTTGGTGCCGCTGCCCGCACCTCCCGCTTTTTTGTACAGGTAGCTCTGCAGCAGCTCGACGCGCTCCGCGAGGGACAGGGGCTGCTGCCGCGTGGAGCCGGGATTCGACGTGGCAGCGGATTTGGTCGTATCCACGGCAATATGCACTGCAAATTGGTACTCTCGGTCTACTGGGAACAAGATGTGACGCGGTTTGATGTTGATGGAGTCCGTCGGTCACACAAAGACAAACATCCGCGGTCACGACGCATGAAGAATAGGAACAATTAGTAGCAAAGGATCGCGGGGCTACTTTGAGCGAATTGCTCATGCATAGTTCATCTAGCAGGCTGGTACAACATCGCAAAGTTGTAGTTATCGCAGAGCTTGTTACGGTCCTAGGCCGACATGGATCATCAACATGCACATGCTACACCTCCTCAGCAATCGCCATGCAAAAACCTTATGAATAACAATAATTGCTAAAAACTTATGCAGAAGCTTTCCGGAGGACGACCCTGAGTTCATATTTGCGATTGATAGTCAATGATCTCGGAGCCCGGTGGAGTGTCGACCCGGTTCAGTTCGCTGATCAGCGGCTGTTTCTCCTCCTCGTCCTCCGACACTTTGCCACTCGTCACGTTGCGTAGCGATGTGCCCGCGCCACTCGATGATCCCATCTGCAGATGATGCTGATCTTCTCGTGAGTCATTTAGAAGTACTCTGTTTGACGCAGCAGATCTTGCGGACGAGCAAAACTCACTGATGTGATCCACTTCCTCTTCCTCGTGGTCCACGACCCGTATGGTGAAGAAAGGCAAAGGAGCTGGTCGCACATCGACATATTCATCATCTTGAGTTGTAAGTAGGGTGAAACCTTTATTCGCTTTCCTCGTTCTTGATGGATAATAAAGATAGGTCATACGATAGCAGTACCTCAGCAGTGGGAGGTCTCATCCAGGTCTCTTAGTAGACACGCAAGAACTATACAGAACTTTTTATTATTTTTTTATGTTTATTTCGATTTCCGCAGCTATCGTAGCTCTACTACATAAATCAAGATGATCAATATGCGGATGCGCCCGCTTCCTTCTTTCTTCTAGGGGATAGCGCGAATGTTCGTCCGGTGAACAAGCTCGGAGGATGTAGCACTGGGGGGCTGCTGGTGCAGTCGGTATTCTTGCCCATGCCAAATGTGCTGCTGCTGCTGCTGCGTTGTATTCGCTTCTGTGGAAGAAGTAGTTCTCGCACTACTCGTCATCGTTGAATGAGCAGGATTATCAACACTAGTGAACGATGTGTTCATGTTGTAGTTCTTGCTTGACGACTTCCGCGCCAAATGACTCGGGACGGGAAAGGCCGGCGCGAGACCGCCTTTGCCGTCCGCATGACTGATCAGGTGGTCGTTACTGTTCGAGAATGTGGCTGGTGGTTGACTGCCCGCACCGGCACCTCGTCCGCCCCCACCTCCTCGTGTTGAGGTTGTAGCATTCGCGCTGTTCAGGAGACCTTGGATTCGGGCTTCTGCAGGAATGTCCGGGTCGTCCGCCTCCTCCTGGAGTTTGCATTGCTCGAGGGCGTCGTACGCGGGCACAGCCAACTCCGCGATGAGCATGGTGACCAAACTTATCACCACTGTGAGAACTACTGAGCCAGAGATGCTGTAGCCTTCTTCCCCGAGGTCGATCCGCATGAACCGCGAAATGCTCCCGCTGAACAGAAACATCATGATGCCAATCTGCTGCCAGAAATTCATGAAGGCGAAGCAGGCAACCGAGAAAGCCTTACTAGTCGCGCCCATGTACAGCTGGAGAAAAGACATAATCATGCCGTTCAAAATCACGGATCGTGTCTCCACCACGATGAACAAGGCGTAGACGACGAAGTGCCGGAATCCCTGCTGCCAAAACACGTCCGGGGCGCCCGCCTGCCGACTGGGGCCGCCTGCCGGAGCACCAGAGCTACTCGCTGCACCTGCTCCGCCTGTCAGATACCCACCGGCGGTGGTCAGGTACGCTGTGGCGCTGCCCAGAAGCCCGCCCGCGGTGAGCTGCTGCTGCGCAGCACCAGACGACGCGTCGTCCCAAGCTCGCACACCGTTTTTCCCGCCGTGAGCATCCAGAACCGCAACGTAAAGCGCAAGCAACAGAAGTACGATTGCGTAGCCGTAGCAGATGCGGTACACCAGCACCTGCGGGCGGACCAACGAGGTTAAAACATTGTACACCAGAATCATGGGGATGATCGACCAAATCGAATACTCGCGTGCGACCCGCTCCGCCTCGACCGACACATACTCCTGGAAGATTGGGGTTCGCAAAGCCGCCCCAAGCCACTGCGTCCCGGTCACTGTTTAGAAAATAAAAATCACAATCAAGTAGATTAACACATAACATCACTCTCACTGATAGAGGGAAAATAATCATCAACAAAAACAGGGCCCCAGCAGCAGCAATGAAGATTATTTTCGTTTTCTGCTTATGTGACAGAAATAAAATAGCAAAATTCTTGAACTTATCAAACTACTGCGGTCGTGGAGTCAGTACCGAGCAGAAACACGAAGGCGATGCGACGCAGGGCGGTCACTTTTTGCTCCTCCACAAAATGTATCAACTGCAAACATGTCTGGCTCTGGACCTGGAACAAAACTTTTGTTCCAGGGCACTTTTCCTTTTGTTACAAAAGGAAAAGTGCCCCAGATATTCACATTTGTGATGCTGCTTTTGTATCATGAACCACGCGCGCTGCAATGTCCGAGATCTATGCCCTATCATCACAAGTTTAAGTTTCTTGGTGAGGGCGTCTTAATGCCTTCTCATGATCCTGCATCAGTAGAATCAGAATAACTGACTTCTCTGCGCTGCAGGCGAAAGAAAAGCTGCCTGCTCACTTGTGCTTCCCATCCAGTAGTAAGTAGAGACTACAACTTTCATTTTTATTTTTCTTTGATCCAGAGAATGCATTTTCCCACGTCTTGACCTACATTCCAGATCCAGACCATATCATGTTTGAATTGCGTAAAGTGAATGGACCCGTCAGCATTACGGACGTTCAGCAGCCGGTCGCGCGCCATCCGCTGAATCAGCGGCCATGTCGCGAGGACAAGGGCCGCGAAACCCAGCAGTACCAGAAGCCATAGACCCGGCATTGATGCGGTGACGTGGTAGTTAATGTTAAAAATACCGCACGTACTACCACTAGACCACGCAGCCACAAATAATTATATCAGCGTCAATTGCCCTTGGTCCTACTGCCACAGCGAAAGTAGACCGGGGGATCGACGGATTTGTTGTACAGCACGGTTGACGACGTCGGTGCTCGCCAGAGTTATTTCCGCGGTGGCGTACACGCAGGACGTCAGTCTTCGCCGGAACCGCGAGAAGGAGGGGGAGGGCGGCCGGGTCGTGAGTGTAGTTTACTAGTATTGTGAAATAGAAATACACAACACCACGTGGAAGAACAAAAGAAACCAGCACAGACAGAGTGTAAGCGTAAGCCTAAGGTAAGCGAAAAAAATAAATCAATCCCTAGCTATCTGGCAGAAGAAACAAGCTTTAGTGTAAATTAAATTGAACGAAAGAGCGATCGAAATCTACTTGTATTTGGGAATTTGTAATGCGCATGCGGTACAATTCGAAGAGCTCCTGAGCCTGGAATATGCGGAACGACAATGATTTCGACGATTGACGACATTCTATATCCAACTAAAACTACATCATAACTAAAAATCAAAACCGAAAGCGCACGGAGTAATCGAAAACTTTTGTCAGAAGTGCTGCTAGGAGCGGCCCCACGAGCTAGTACTGTTCGCCGTCATCGTCGTACGATATGACAGCAGAAGATCGATGCGCGAACGATAAGTAAGGTGTACGAGCTGCATCTTGTTTACGAAGGACGTGGCGCCACTAGGACAAATTACACACAGCAACGTCATTCACGAGCACGAACCGAAACACGATTTTCTTGTGTTTCTCTCAGAAGGACCGACGTGTTCTGAGATGAAAGGTCCGACCAAAAATGCAGCAAAGCCGATATCTAGGTTGGTTGTCGTCACAACCGACAAAAAATTCGCACCCGTCGCGGTGACACATCAAGCCGATATCAATTCGTTGAGAATGCACGCACGACCCGAAAAATAAATGGAGCAGAAGTAGAAGAGCAATTGATTTGTAATTCTTGTACGAACCGCTTCTGAACTACCGAGACCGATCACCAAGCACGGATGTTCAGTTAGTTTATTTTGATCAATCCACACAGGAAAAGCAGGCACTGGCAGCGCAAGAACAGAGTTTATCGTTATGGCGAATAATCAATCATGTGGGAGCGCGTCAAGCGCTATGTCGGCACGCATGTGCGCGTCGGCAGCCGCACGCATGTTGCGAATGCTTTGGTAATGTCGGACGTGGAGCAGCACTATCCGGCGCGAGTGCGAAGTTTCTGGAGGAGCACAAGGTGCAGCAAGTAGTACAGCAACCTCCTACTTAGTTGCGTAACTTCTACCTGTTGCTGTTGATATCCTTCATATGGAGCTCTCTGCCGAAATCGGCAAAAGAGGGACACATCACGCTATGACGAGGACTTTAGATCATTAATTTGCCCTTGTTATAACTTTCAATTTCAATTACACTGCGTACGCCGCGGAGCAGCTGCGGGAGTCAGCCTCTCGTTCTTGCTCGTGATCCAACAAGAAGAACCAGTACCAGATAATCAATAACATTAAGACTGGTCGTATCGGTCTGAAGGGGCTTCCCAAGCTTAACAAGCACGGAACGACGAGCATCCACTGCCGCTGCGGCTGCGCCTTTGTTTTGCGAAATAAATAAAGCGTAGTACTAGACCACGCTGGGACGCACCACAGCGATGCTTGGCAACTCAATTCTCCCCGCCTGACGCACTTGATGCATGTGAAGATCTCATCTGCATGGTGCATTTCTCATTATTTTTGCACTCGTTGCAGAACTGCTCCCAGTGGCGCTGGATAGAATTCGTGACGGCCTTGCTTCTCCTTGCCGCAGCATCGTAGCCGCGGAAGAAGAACCAGGAGCTTCCTTCTTCAGTAGAGCCCATCCGACCATGTCGTGTAGGAAATACCGATGTGCATATGGTGACGTCGGCAGAAGTTGCGAAGAGGTTATTGCGCAGCTGCGAGATAATTCTGGCGGACCACATCCACCAGCAGTCTTCGCTGTAGTTCCATCTGCGACCACTTCTGCGGCGGGGGCTTCAGCATCTTCATCAGGAAGGTCAGCTCTGACAAGCTATCAAAAAGAAAAACTCCCCCTCCCCATATCGAAAACGAGATTTGTGATGCAGTATCTGAGTACACAAATCGCATTTGTCTTGCTGGAGAGGACTGCAGACCCATATCAAGCCTGAGTAGAGAGGCTTTGACTTAGGCGCTTAGCATGAAAAGCGTCCGTGGTGTTGGCTCAACAGCATGACAAACCGGCTCCATAATGGGACGGAAGCTGCTGCCCTTGTCTTCTTGCAGCACAAATGTGATTTGTGACCTCAAATCAGCAACACAAATTTTCGAAAACCTACCTCTTCAATATGGGGAGGGGGGATTTTTCCTTGCGATACAAGCTCCGGATGAAAGCACGTGCCCAGAACGTGTCCTGCTCGCACGGCCTATGAAAGCCTCAGGTTGGAAATCCTCAAAGTGAAAATAATTTGTGTTTGTGATGCAAAAAAACGACTCCAGTTGGAGCACCGTTTCTAGCCGGCGCATGACAAATTTTCCGGGCACTCAAAGCGTGTCTGTCATGCTAGTTAGGCAAAGGGGTGCCCTTCTCTCATGCTAATCAGCAGCCCAATTCTGAACCCGTAGAAGCACAATAGTCGGCCTCCATTGCGTTCTCTGCAATACAGTGTTTTTGGTGTCGCATTTCATGCATCACAAATTATTTCCACGTTGAGGATTTCCATTCTGACGGTGTCATACGGCCACGATGAGGTTTTCCTCGGGGCGCGCCGCCGCCCCCCTCGGTATACTCTGGCTGGAGCTCCTATGGATGTGTCAGGATCGAAATCGACAAAATCGAAAAATTTGTGATGCATAAAATGTAGGGCACTCAAAGGCTGTATTGAGGAGCAGGCAAATGGGGCCGATTGTAAGCCTGTTGAGGGGTATGCAATGTGCTGCCAGAGTAGCACGACAGGAGCAGTCTCCTTTGCCCAAACAGCATGACAGACTGGATTGGGGCGCTCCCGAAATTTGTCATGCGCCACTTGGATTCTGAGGCTCGCTCCAACTGACATCAATTCTGTGCATTGCAAATTTTTCGATTTTGTCAATTTCGATTCTGACACTTCCATAGCTCCTCGACGAGGACCACGACTTGGACTTACCACGACCGCCCGAACCGGACGGAGAACTTCGTGGCGGCTGAATCGTTGCAAGAACTTGCACTTCCACTTGTGTCCTGGAGGTCGTCCTCGTCCTGCTTCTGGACGCATCTTCCAGCGCGATTCGCTGAGGACCATCGTGTCCTTTGTCTTTTTCGCTCAACGTCGTTTGTAGTGCCACACTTCCACGAGTGGTTGTAGATGTAGAAGGAGGAGCTACACTAGAAGCAGGGCTCAGATTTTTATCGTCCACGCCATGATCGTCCCCGTCGTCCAGTATCTTTTCTATCACAGGCGCGCGGATGAATATCGCGTCTTGACCTCGGAACGCCGGGTGAGTGTCTGTCGTCCCGAAGCGCACAGAGAAAGAATCCACCTGGCGCCCGAAGTAGTTCCGTCGAACCCGGACTGGGAGTCCGCCGAGGGACGCTCCATACTTTTTCAATCCGAAAAGCGACCTTGGAGCGGATTCAGTTCTTGCGGCCACGTCGTGGTCGGCGTCTGAACTACAAGTAGAAGCAGGCTGTACATCAACCAATGTCGGGATTGCTAGTACGCCTGGACGTCGGCTCGTCGATAGAGCGGTGAAGTTCAAGTTGTGGTCGTCAGAATTATGCTCCGTACTAGCCTGTACAGCCTCATCTTGCGCTTCCAGATCTCCAGTAGAACTCAGGTGCTCTTGTACCGGGTTGGTCTTGTCGCCCCCAACCTTCCACCACCGCCTGCCCTCTTCTTCTTGCGCCTTTTCGTCAAAAAGAACAGGATGATTACCATTTTCGTCAGGAGGTGAAACTTCTAGTTCTACCCCACCGCCCTCTCGCGGTTCTGTAACCTGCTCAGCCAACAAAATGCAGCCCGCACACGTGCCCCAGACAGGTCGGCGCTTCTGGTGAATGTAGTGAAGCAGGTCCGCACGCAATGCCGCGCCTATGATAGTCATTGCGGTGGATTCCCCACCGGGAAGAATTAACCCGTCGATCAAACGACTCTCACTCCGGCGAAGGGAAGCTCTAGTTCTTGGCAGGGCGGAGTGGTCATGTTCTTGTATGCTGCTCGAGCGTGGTCGCGGTACCGTTGCCGACAAAGATGGGCGTGATCGTCGTCCAATAAATTCATCATAAGAAGTAGATGGACCTCTACTGTCTAGTCGTCCTACCTGGCTGCTCTTGGCGCCTTCGGAAAACTGCACCCCGTCTGCGTCTTCTGAGCACAAAGATGTTGGTGAGCGCAGCCGAGCTCTTTCTGCCTCCTGATTCTCTGCATGCGTCGCATTTTGCGTTTTTATTTCTCCTCTGCCTCGATCTTCCACATCGGTTGCGACGATGCGGCGACTTGATGCGCTTCGCGGCGGGAATACTTCTACCCGATGTTTCTTCTTGTCCTCCTCAAGCATGGCTACCGCCCCATGCTGATCTAAAACGTCCTCGCAGTGGCGCCTGCGCTTCAGAAGATGCCCATTGCAGCTGCTCTGTTCTCCTTCATCATGTTGCTGCTCAACGCAACTTTGCTTCTGCCACAGCTTCTGCTCTTCCGCCGACGTAGAGAGTGCGTCAGCCATGTGGAGGTTGTCTGCCGTTTCTCTCTCGAAAAGCTTCCGAAGTTTTGGGTTTTTTTCAAGCATGCGTGTGTAGTGGGCCAGCTTCGCCTCTGATATGTCAGACGACCGATTCACGGCTTGTGGACTAGCCGGAAGGACCCCGTCTCCTTTGTTTCCACGAAAATTGCCAATCATTGACAACGTGTCACCTCCACGTGCCACGCTTGCAGCTACAGTTGTATCCGAGGTAGCAACAACAGCGTCAGCAAAATCATCAGTCCCTCCATCCGTTTCGAGGACAACATTTCCATCTACTCGAGTGCGACCTCCTGCATCCTCCTCTGTGCGCACGTAAAGATCTGCACTCGTTTTGACCAGGCGTATGTCGAATGGCCCGAAGTCAGCAAAGCAAGCGCGCAGCTTTTCTACATGTTCAGCGAAGCCAATGGCAGTGTCAGGGGGGAAATCGTATGAAATTCGACGCAGATCAAGAATACCCGCATTACATATTCTTGCTGAGTTTTGTTTTTCTACTTAAGTATCTTATTGAGTCGCGGAAGTCGAATTGGTTGATTTTGGAGCAGTCGCAGCTTGCTACCTCCTCGTCGCTTTCCCCTGCTCAATTAGCATGGGAAACAACGGGGGCCGCTTGTGGAGGGGCGGGCGGTTAGGGTCAAGCTCAACAAAGACAGAGAATCGCTGCTGACCAGCAAAACGGCAGCACAGCAGAGTGCTGACAGCAGCAGGAGCTGAGTGACAGACAATTCACTCTATCGTGGTGGGGAAAATAAGGAAATTCAAATTTATCATTTGCCATGCAACTTCTACGCTGAGACATCATTACTAGGCAAGGACGCAAGAACTGAGTTACGGATCAAAAGGCTTCCGTTCCGTTGATATCCCAACTGACACTCCCATAAAGCCGCCCTGCACCGCAAGGACGCCAATGACGCCGCGGCTCTGGATTCCGGAAGCTGGTGACGAGGAAGGTCGTGACTTTCTGTCGCTTGTCATGACACTTACCACGAAGGGCCCGCTCTCCTCTTCCCGTTGGACTGCCATGCTCGTCTCCATGCAGTCGGTACGCACGACACGGCGGACTGGTTCGGATATTTTATTTTGAAAGTAGTCTTTTGACTGAATTGTAGTGCAACCGACTGTATCCTGTGCAAAAGTATCGCACTCGTATAAATCCGCTACTGGCATGAATATAACTTCTCACCAACTTCCCAACAACTTATGATCAACTTCTTCCCAACCTTTTCACCAACTTCCCAGCTGTTGAGAAGTTGGCGTAGACCGCTTGCCGCGGTTGTTCCGACGCTTGACGCAGAGTTGAAATCCACGCGAAGCTCCTGACAGGCTTCCGGCTAGGACGTCTCAGAAGGAATATCCCGGGCCTCGATTCGTGGCCGCACGTAAAAAGCACGCCGACGCCGCATTTTGCGGCAAGCGCGGCGCGTTACATCAATTAATGCACAAAGCAATAACTCACTTCTCAACAACATCTCTACGCACTTCATCTTACCAGCTTCGCGACGAACATTCCGGCGCATTCTGCGGCAAGCTTTGAGCTTTTGGAGGCGTCATGCTAATTCTTGCATGACGCCTCCAAAAGCTTAAAGCTTGCTGCGAAGTGCGTCGGGAAGTTCGTCGCGAAGCTGTTGAGAAGTGCGTGGAGAAGTTGTTGAGAAGTGAGCTATTGATTTGCGCATTACTTGATGTAGGGCGCACGCAAACTCGCGTTTTTTTGTGAAAACAAATAAAACGCAGACAATATATCAATTGATTAGCTGAGTAATTAGCTGCTCAGCTAATCAATTAATTAATCAGCGCCAGGCGAGAATGGCCGGCGTTCAAAGCTTGCCCGCCCAAGCCGCGCGCAGCTCCACATCGCCGAGGGAAGCTGTCTTCCGCTTCCGGCGATTCTTTCTTTGATGGCTGCACGCAGGACAGATGCGCGCGCGCAGAAATCACGGTCGCGCGGCCTGCCGCCTCTTGTATACGGCTTTGCGCGTGGTTCCGTCGTGCTAACTGATGAAACTGCACTGCAGATAAACGGACAGAACAAGACTGCGGTCTTCTTTCCATTTATCTGCAGCGCTGTTCCTTCCAGCTCTTGCAGCTGCAGTGGCAACTGCAAGCAGCGAGCACGATATAACTCGCAGCGACGGAGTGACGCGACGCGTCGCTTGGTCGAGGCGAGAACGACGCCAGCATGTCGCGGCGCGACGCCACTTCTCACCGAAGTTGGTGCGGAAGTCGGTGAGAAGTGGCGCGCGCCACTTCTCACCGACTTCCGCACCAACTTCGCAACCAACTTCGCAACCGACTTCTCACCGACTTGTCCGTCAGATTCTGCATAGAAATTTTAGCGGATTTATACGAGTACGATACTTTTGCACAGGATAGACTGGGCGGTGCTTCTTATCTGTTCTGAAAATGAGTAGAAACGAAGTTCCAACTCGTAAGGGAAGCTCACTGCTTAGCAAAGAAAGTAGAAGCAAGTAGTACAAATAGCGCCATCAACTACATGATCAAAAAAATACAACTACAAGGACATTAGATTGGATGGAAGGCTTAAAGGTATGCGAGCCGTTTCCGGATCCGGGGTTGAGAACTGCATATTTTGTTCGAAACGAACCAATGAAATAAAAAAGAGACAGAAGCTACTGCGTGCTCATCTTAAGCTTAACTACGGATCAAACAAGGTAACGGGCTCGTTCGACATGATATGTGCATTCGCATGTTTCCGATACCGATACACACAATGAGATGAAGGCTACTACATCAGTGTAGTGTCAGCTCCTGCCTGGACAGCACGTGGAAAACAAATAACCGATCATCACCACAAGTAGAATCGTATTCACATAGGTGGCCAATTCAAATATTGGATCTGCTCTCTACTTTTTGGTGACCAATTCAAATATTGGATCTGCTCTCTACTTTTTGAAAGATCCAAATCGTACCAGCTTTGCTTTCGGAATCGAAACTTAGTAGACGATAGCGATGGTCATGATCGTGAAATAACATACCCCCACTGTGACGCTGTGGTTGCTGCCGCTGCGCTTGGAAAAGAACAAAAAGAGTTTATCCTCTGCATGAGCGCTGTGCGTGCCTAATAGGGCGGAAACCGAAACCGGAGGAGCCAACACAAATCTCAAGGAGGACTGTGTTCCTGGCTATAGAAGCTCAAAAAGATTTGGATTGTACTAGTCACGTCTCTTCTACTTCTCGATCTTCCTAGCCTTCGCCTTGATGTTATGTAGTGGGGGAGTGAATAGTGACGATTCCGGATGATTCTGCAGTTCCACTCTGGCTGTGGGCATCGTGCCACAGCCTCTGCCTCTATTCGTGAGAGTGAAAAATTTGACCTCGATGATCAGCTTCCACATCTTTACGAGAAGTATTCGTTCTTTGCCACTGCGGCTCAGCAAGTTGCTTAGTTAGGTGTTGTATTATTTTCAAGCATCTGTACTACAGATATTAGAGCATACGAAAGCTTGACGCTGCACCTGCAGGCACCTTCTTTATTTGCGGCTACTGTTTGATGTCTAAGTGCATGCACCTGGACCTGGCTTCGCTGTGGTAGATCCTCAGATCAGTAAAGCGGCCTACTTGTGTCTCAGTACTTTCCATCCGCCACGTAAGACATCGATACACAGGATCGGTCCGACGGGTGCCTGCAGTCGCTGCTTGCAGAGCAGTCTCACCTGTGAGCAAACCTCTTTCGTCGAGACTATTTGGCGTTACTGTTAGAAGCTGAAGAAGTAGCCAAGGTAGTAGAGCCTTGGAGTTTATGTCTAGTTAGGCTGGCTTCTGAGTCATGCTTCGGGCGGAATATTAGTAGCCACTTGCACTGACTGTAACGCTAGAAATAACCAAGGAGATTGCTGTTCTGTGAAAATGTGAATGTCTCTTCTTGATATTAAAAGACAATCTTCATCCGTACAATTGCTCATGGGTGGTTGTATGGCGATGCTGCGCTGCCTGTGCCTAAGAACTCGTGAAGCACCGCGTTACTAGCTAGGACCACATAGCGCTAGCGACGCCCATGGTTGTTGAGGTCGGTGTCGCCACCTTCGTTCATCTTCCTTGTCATTTTTTACCCGCATGCGCACTCTAGGGCCGAACGATGTGGAATTCGATCTATGTCGATCTGTGCGTGCTAGCTGTGTTTTCGGGTGTGCCACGCCTATTACTGCTGGTGCCGATTTGCAAGAACAGATAGACCTTCCGGGGGACTGGCACACGCCTACAACGTAGACAACAAATCAGACGTTGACTACGTTGTACTCTGTGTCAGTTAACAACTAAAAAACTTAAATCTTCGTGATGGGGTGGTTCCTTTCAAAAAAAAAAAAATAGAGCACGGAGCGAGTCCTTGTGGCCAGTTGTATCACCAATTTTTCATCTTGTCGATTTTCCTGTTTAGAGGAAGATTGCTGGCAAGGCGCTGACGCTGCTGCGAGTGTCACAATGCGCGAGCACACTAGGAAGTGGTAGCAATTTTACTTCGGGGAATGATAATTTCGTCGGAGTAGAGGTTCTTTATTCCTTCGTGGCATTCATAAATTCAATACGCTTACCTTATTTTCTTGGCCCTGATATAGTATTAGTATGAAATGAAAAATGGGCTTGAGCTTGATTATCGGTATACTTGTTAAGAAATAATCTGAGCTGTCCTTTGTGAGTATATACGTTTATAAAATACTTGGTGTTATGAAATAGTTAAGGGTAAAAAAGAAAAAAGAAGTGGCGCAGAGCTCTTTTCGCGCACCGTTAAGAAGATTGAAGCTGCAACATCTACATCTGATGCATCATCAAGCACGACGTCATGATGACGCTTCAGCTATTTCTTTGTCGTAGATGTTGAGTAGAGATGAAGGTCGTGACGCGTTGGCCTCAACTGGAGGATTCCGAACAGAAGAATTATGCTGAAGAGATCCCCTCTAGCTCTAGGAGATCTTCGTCTTCTAGCTAATCGTTTGTTCTACAAGCAGGCTCCTGGGGCGCTCTATCATGGCGTCGGTCATCCCCCAACTTGTTGTATCTTCATCTCTGAGTGCGGAAAAAAGTCGGGCAGTGACTGGTGTCAGCACCATCTTCCATCTTTTTATCTTCAGCAAGCTTTTTACTGTTGGGCGCCGGCACCGCTGGCCTGGTTCTGCGTGTCTCCTGGCGTTTGTCCATTGTTTTGCTGCTGCGTCCGGTAATTCAAAACGGTCCAGTCGAAAATGAAATCGTACTGAATCTGCTCCCGGCAAAAGAGATCTGGGTTTTGTGATTGAGGAGTTGAATTATGATGCAATACTGATTGGACGGGGATAAACAGTGGGAGAGAAGTACAACAATAAGCATAGCGAAGTAAACTAAAACCTAAACTAACATCCGTTGCTGTGGTTCAGGCTAGGTTTGCGATGATGCCACAATAAATTATCCCTCGGATTAGGATGTGAGACACAAAAAAACGGCAAGCACACCGACAACACGCACTGCATGAAAGTCTTGACTTTTGCAACTCCATGTTGTATACTTACCTTTCATCAATCGCCGCAGGTAGGCATAGTCTGGTCGATCTTCGAAGCGGAGTCCGCGGCAGTAGCCGAGGTAGGTAATGAACTCCGACGGGAAGTGCTTGCACAGCGTCTCGATTGGTGTTGCCATTTTTTTCTCCATAATCTTTTCGTACTTTTCTTTCTTCCCTACAGCACGCAGCCCTGCGCGAATGTTTTGAGTTTTTTTGTTCATGCCTACTGCTCAATGAATCGTGACTTCTGGTGTAGTTCATCAACTAATACGTTTTTCTTCGTCCATTCGTGCTTTCCATTTGCGAGGACGAGGAGTGCGAGAAAAATCATCGATGGCCAGGTACCGAGAGTGAGCCCAGCAGCCAGAACGGTATAGCTACAAAGTCATAGATCTAGATCAAGGGCAAGCAGAAGCTGCACGAGGACCACGATCCACCCTGTTGTCATGTGTCAAAAAATAGAGGCAACAAACTTCCTGGAAAACTTTCTGTACCTTGCCACGGTAGGCTCCCTCGGTTGAAGTACATCAGCACGTATCCAACAGCCTCTAAGTCATCTCGTCGTGATTGTTCGATGCCCAAGTGTGTATTGATCGAAGCGTATCGTGCCGTTCCGGTCAGGTTTTTGTTTTCTCTGTAGGGGATGTGCTGCTGGCTCTTTGGGTCTCGGTACTTTTTTGCGAGTCCAAAGTCGATGATGTGCACCATGTTTGCTTTTTTACCTGTCGTTTGAAATCGAATTGGCGTTATTCGTTTGCTGTCACACACTTGCAAACTCGGCCTCACATTTACAATGTAAAAGGTGTCGTGACTCGTTCAGCCGGACCAGGTACCAAAACAAAATGCAAATGGGTAGAAGAAAACCAAACAAAGTATGTCCAAGTAGCGATAGCAGTACCCAATCCGATAAGAAAGTTGTCCGGCTTGATATCACGGTGCAGAAAGTTCTTCGTGTGCATGTACTCTACCCGATTGATCATCTGGTCCGCAAGCATTACCTACAGTTTTCGTCCGTTTTTATCTACTTGCTCCGCTTTATTGAAAAAGGTCTGCCTTCCACAACTCCGCACGGCGTGCACTTAAGCTCCTTGAGGAGCTGTGCTGTCACTGTCTACATGTCTACTACTGCTTATGGATGCATACAAAATAATAGCCGTCGTGTGTATAGGAGCATTCTCATTCACACAGAGAGGCAAATAGGTATGCGGTGGCGACACGAGAAGCAGATACCAGTGACACGAGATCGAGGCGAGGTCGTCCATCTTGAAAAAAATCAGCTACTTTCTTACCACTGTTTTCAGCGAGAACTTCCGCCCACAGAAGGAAAACAAATCTTCCAAGCTGGGCCCTAGCAGGTCGATCACCATCACATTGTAATCGCCTTCCACGCCGTACCTGAAGTTGAATGAAGTGCAAGTAGGTGTTGAAGTATCACCTTTCCTGTGAGCGATATGCAGCTATGCATCATCGAGATCGACATCGAGTTCGTCGTCGAGGCGATAAAATTATAACTTTATCAAAAAGACGAGAAAAAAATCACGCCACCTCTTGGCCGTCTATTCGTATTTTTCTGACTATTTGTTGCATATAGGCAACACGTCGATGGCGTGGTCATTGTTGTTTCTATTTGTTTTTGTTGTCCCTACCTCAACGCGAAGTAAATAACTTGTACCACGCATCATGCATCAGCAACATCATGACAATAATCAAACAACAGGCTCATCATGCACGAGCACGAGCAGTTGCTTTCTGAAAGATTCGAATACCAGTGCAAGTTTGGTATGCCGACGCCGCCGGACATAATTTTGTACAACTTGCTTTCGTACAGAAGCTGTGGGTGCCGCGACTTGATGCTTTCCAACTTGATAGCAACTTCCTCGCCCGTTTGGATGTCTGCCCCAAGGTAAATGTCTCCGAAACTCCCGGAGCCAATTTTGTGCCGCAGTCTGTACTTGTTACCTGTTGACGTGGAATACACAAAAATCATGGTTTTTATTTTTTTGTTGCGCAAAGAACGAAGCTCATGGCATGGCGAGGCACACGAATCGTGTGAGAGGCATACTCGTTTTCATCCGGATCTCGATATCATGAGTTCTACGACCCGCACTTCTAAAACAAAGACACCAGCCAGGACGTCCATGTCATCTTCATGCTGATCATTCTCCTGATAAATATTTCTCGTAGCAATCCACCATCTAGCATCGTGTAGTTTATTTTCACTGCGCACCAAGCAAGTATGAAAATGTACCAACGCGGAGCTCCATGTTCATATTTTCCCGGCCGGAGCCCGAAGACCGGTAATTCGACGAGTCGTTCATGTTGATGTTCTTCGTAGAAACCACGAATGCTTTTTGTATTCCTCAACACTCACACCGTTGTCGTATGGACGTAACCAAATATGGCTCCTTCTTGCCCAAATGTTGAAGTTGTGAAGTTGATAATAATCAAATATTGAATGTGAATTTATGTTTAACTCGGAAGCTGCTGGACCTTCAGCCTGAACCTTAATCAATGTGCTTATCTTATGACCAGGCGAAAAAAGAAAGCGCTGCAGTGCTCCTCCGACAGCGCACGTTATAAATGTGTAATGGCTTCTCCGCGCTCACGAACGGCCGCGCCAGTTGTAAACTACAAGAAGCGCACCTTCCTAAGTCTAACTCGTTTGTTAGAAATACTAATATAGCACTGCGGCTTTCTTTTGTCGTCGTTTTGGTATTTTCGCAGGTTATAAATAAGCCGTAGCAGTTCTACAGTTTTTCACCTCTTTTTCCGGTCTCACGTGGTAACGGAGTAGATTTACTTATGTCACACACCAGGTCTGACAGCTGCGAAAGGACAAGAAGAGGACCTCTCCTTGTGTTCTTGTGTTTTAGGCTGATCTAGCTTGTTGTCCGTTTGTTTTCTTTGATGTTGCCCTCTGTTTCGACAACTGACAGTTGTCGAAAAAAAACTACCGCTCCACTATTTACACACCGTGGGCTCTCGATATATCGAAGTGTCGTGTTGTGGAACGTTATCAAAAAGGGTCGCTTTTGAAATTGAACTTAAACAAAATAGAGAGCGCGGGAAGATATTAAAGAAGCATAAAATAGAAGTGAAAAATGACACGTCGCAGGGGTGAAAGAACGACTCGAGATCGAAAAATAGGCTACCGAGAGAGATGTTGAATGAGGTGACTTAACTGCGGAATCCGCTGTGATGCAGTCTACTGGGTTATATATTTGCGTCGGAAAAATGATGGAGAGGGGTGAGATTTTTTATGATTCTACGCTCTTGTTTGTTCGATTTCTTCGATAAAAAAATGGGTGTTATTAGAAAAGTAAAAGGCCCAGCGTCGAAATACCAAAATATTCTTACGGTCTAATGATTAGTCCTCTTATTTGGCAATAACAACTAATCAGTACACAGCTTCGGAGTTCCAGCGTAGTCATCAAAGACATTCACGCGCTAGTTGTATTTTGGTTCCTGCAAAACAAAGAAGAAGAACATTGCTTTCATAGGAGATAGCCGACTGGTGACTCCCTCAGCTTGGGACGGATCTGATTTTACTTACGATAGGAATAGACCCAAAAATCTTCCCAACAGCTATACAATATTTTATGCAGACGGAGGGCTCAACTTTTTGTTCGTTTTTTTTTTTTCTTGCGCTCGTGGTCGTCAGAACCCAGAAAGGAGCAACTACATTTAGATTTATTTGACCAGACATGCTACTAATTTACAGATCCTCGTCGATGCCGGTCCCTGCGCGACTCAGAATCCATTTCGATCTACTGGCCAGACTGCGTATTTTTTGTGGCATATAGATACAGAGAAATAAGACTCCAACACATGGGGTCGATATCGAATTTTTATGATCTTCCTCTTTGATTTTCATCCGAGGAGTGTGATCCGCTGGCTACTTACCTCTTGCAGGAGAGAAGTCCGACGCTGCTCATTGTCATTCTTTCAAGCTCAGCTCGTGCGTCCACCTGCTTGCTAACTTTGATCCTGTTCTTGATCCAACTACTCAAAAGGTATTTTGGTTTTCGTTTTGCCTCAGCGATACAACCGCGCATTCTCATGCTAAAGAAAGAAGAACGACGGTAAGTATACTTTCCAGCAGGAAACTGTAACCACTTCACATTGATTTTCAAAACAGTGATGGACTGAGTTTGTTGCAGTCGGCAACGTGCGTCTTTAATCTGCGCGGCAACCAATCGACTCTAGGAATCGATCAGTAGGGCTAGGGTTCTCTTACAAGCATAATAGAAAAGCAATTTTTTCTATTCGTTTTAGCCGAGCAAATCAAGTAGATCTTCTTCTTCGGCATTCCGAGGAACCGGGCCAGCACTCCCGGCAGCACCTTGCTCGTCGAGGTCTCTACGCACACTATCCAGCGCTGTTTTGTGCTCGGCATTTGCTTGCTTGAGCACAATGGGTTTCGCACGCTCCTTCGGCGAGTCGCCTTGCCGCATTAAAACTGAAGTTGTAAATAATTTGCGTGCGATTCGTGTTTCCCTTCATCATGAAGCGAGGTGGTACACTAACTAGATGACCATCATGGGAGGGAGACAAAACAAAGGAGCGAAGGGCGGCTGCAAGATGCAGCTGAGGCCGAGGGAATCCACACGAACAGCTGGGGGAGCTCCTGCCTGGTGCCTCAGAGGACCAGAAGAGATCCTTTACCTTGCTTGCAAAGGAAAAGATTCTTGGCTCCCACTCCCACTCCTACTTCATCCAGACGAAAATCGAACTAGTTGCTAGATGGACAAGATGATGACGTTGGCCTTTGTGCCATTTGACGAACATCAACATGGAAGTGGAAAAAGTGAAAAAATAAATGCGCCTCGGTGATACCGACATTCTCCGTATCGAACATGCGGTCGCCTTGAAAGAGATTATTGAAGTGAAATGTATCTGAGTCGTCCGCTGGCTTTGATGGCCCGAGCACGGCCGCTAGGTTGTTTAGCTGATCAACTGCGTTCCGTTTGGCAGTGCGTGGCGATACCATTCCGGAGGACCGCCCAAGATGCTGGCTCTCACTTCCGGAGGATCTTGCACCCGCAGAGTTGTAACCTGAAGAAAAACACAAACAATAATAAAATCAAGGAGAAAAGCGAAGGCATGACTACCGAGATGATGTAGTCAAAAGTTGGTACACCAAAAAACAATGGCAACAAAACAATACTCAATGCCGACGCTGCAACTATAACGGGGCTCCTAGTCGCATGATCATCCACGAGGATGCGCAAGCCATACTGCTACTTACTAGAAGTGCCCACGAATGAATCACAGGCTTGTAGTTTTGATCGATTATCGTCACAACTGTGCTGCGACTTACCTTTTTCCCCGCTCTTGGATGCGTTTTTTGCGTATAAATTCGTCCCCAACTCGCTCCAATTAGCAGAGCCCGGATTTACTCTCGCCACCCGCTGCTGGTTCACGAAATAGACGCCATGTCCGCTAACCATTCCATCTAACAGCTCTTCGCGCAAGTCCTGCTGAAGATACGTCACCGTTCCGGGAGGCAGCGAGTTGAAAGGTAGGCTCCCACCGAGCGGCACGACGATGGCCCCATCCTGGTTTTGTGTTTCGTCTTGAAGGAAGAGGCTGACCTTTACCCGGCGATCTTGCAGAAACGCTGCCAATTGCATTCGGAGCTCTCGGAAAGCGTACATGGACATAGAGTTGAACAGCCCTTGAAACATTTCTTCCCCTTGCGCAATCAGCGCGAGCAGCTCGTTGTTGTCATTGCCCGCGATGCGTTTGCAGGCGTGGAGATGGTTCCACGCGACGTCGCACAGCTCCTCACCACTGCTGCAGCAGAGAAATTGGTACTTGAAACCCATGGTGATGAGGTCCATGAGCTTGTCCATACTGCTTTCGTTCAGTCGCATGATGCTGGAGTGCGCAAGCCGGTCAAAAACCTGCCGGCAACTGTGCAGCGAAAACACCTCCTGGGGGCGGAACAGCTCCTCAAGGAAACGTGGAAAAAACATGCTCTTGATAACGTCGTGTAGCACCTTCTCGCCCTTCTGGGGGGCGATTTTCTGTGCCTCTAGTCGCTGCTCCAAAATGTAAATCATTTCTCCTCCCATGCACAGGATCAGCAGGGGCATCACCTGCAGGCTGCCGGAAATCGTGCCAGGAGTCACACCTGCCATGGTCGGTCGTCTGGTGAAGCTGCAGGCTCTCCTGCTAATCCTGCTGTTTAAAAGTACTCAGTGTTGGTCATCTTGTTGCTCCCGCACGAGTTGCCACGACATCCAGGAAGAGGAGCGCTACCATCTGTCTCTGCTGGTCTATTCTGCGTACTTGATGACGACGTCGAAAGGCTTTCACTTCGAGGAACGGAGACGGACGTCGTTCTTCTTCTTGTCAGCTTCCTGCTCAAAGTAATTAATAATGATGAAGCGCCAACAATGTTTATTTGCGTTGACTGTGTGGTCACCCTTAGCAGTTTTACGCTCCAGCACAGTGGCTGAGACCTTATCTGCGACACGTCGGACCACGACCCGGGGATGTGAATACTGCGCTGCCGCCCAGCCACTTAAACCCTGCGCAAACCAGACACCGTGGGCCACGTCGCAGGATAGGAGCTCGATGCTCCGTGCAAACTTGTGGGGTCTGTCTAGCGGATGCAGAAAAAAAGGTACGTACAACACGACACCCAGTTACTGTCACAGGCACAGCCACACGCAAATCAGATCCCACCGACGGCGAACAGGACTCAAGCTAGTTTAAACAGGAAGAAAGACAATATCTATATCCCAGAAGGAACGACAAACACCTAGTAATAGCGCTAGGCACAACGAACTTCCGTTTCCGTAAAAAGAAAAACTGTCTCAATCATATAGAGCAACGCCGAAGCGTAAGCGAAAACAACACCTAAGGAAAGATCTTCTGTCGCTGGTATGACTATTCTAGGGGAAAAAAAAAATCGTAATGCCCCATGCCTGTGTAGCTGTAGGTAGCTGTAGGCGCTCCCGCTCCTGCTGATGTAACATGGAGTTCGGGGATTGTGTACGAGAAAACCGGATGAGCAACACACACCACGCAAGAAAGAGAGACAGATATTCTCAACTGGAGAACAGCGAATGGCCTTTATCATATTGATGAAATATCCATATGTATCCAGGGCTCCTCCGCCATCGTCGATCGTCTTGCCGGGACGCAGCACGACTATGGAAGCTTGCTGGGCGAATAGGATGAGATAGATACTCATGGAAAATAAATGCCACAGAGGACTCGATCCAGCCTATGGGTCATTTTCATTTTTTGCAGGAGCGGATTCATTTAATATTCGGCGCGCATCAACAAGGGTTCTTGTATGGTGAAAAATCACAGCTGCGCAGCTTCATCATGCTGCTCTCTATGCGTGTGTCGTGTGTGTCTGTGTGCGTGTGGTACTAACCCTACTTCTTTTTGTTTTGCTGCTCGCCCTTCTCGTCATGATCCCCAGCATTTATTACAAGACTATAGACTGCAGACGCAGTGCCTCATTGTGATATCTCGTGTTTTTCTTTTCTATTCCTTTGCTTGCATTGATTCCGCCGGCACGGTTTCTTGCCGGATTCTCCGAAAATTCTGCCACTTCTCCCGGATAGCAAGTCCCTTGACTAGCCGACTCGGACGTTGAGCCAGAACTAGATGTCGTTGATCACAATGAGGAAACTACCCGCGGGACCTACGTCTACCCGATGTTGAGCCGAAACATGTCGTTCACAATGATGAAACTTCCGGCGTGCGGTACTAAGTGAAACACCTGGGCAAACTTCAGCGGATTCTCCTCATCGTCTACTTTCAGGTCTCCCGTCACAAAAATGAAGACGCCATTGTTGAACGGGTTCGGCTGGAAATCCACCTGGGGGGTAAGCACGATCATGACATCGGTAAGTATTTCTAATATTTGTATTTCTGGTTGTTGCTGCAAAAATAAGGACTGCACGCGCACAAGAATCTTTTAAGATTATCAAAGTAAATGAGTCGCGCTTGTATCCACACGTCCTACTTGAATAGCAAAAGAAAGTGTTACCTTTGTGAGGGTATGCTTCACTTTCGAGAACTTCAAATTGTTGAGCTTGTTCATTATCGCCTGCTGTCCCTGCAGCGCTTCGCCCTCGAACGTCATCATGGAATCTGGCGTGTACCTGAAAGAGAAGCGACACTATAGCATAATGATAATCATAATTCTCGAAGGTAAAGCACCTGCTGCTGCAGGAAGCAGTTATGGTCGTTGAAGAGAGGATGGAGTCGTTACACGAGTCAAAGTCAATGAAACTGAAAGAAGCAATTGTACAATTGTTGGAGCGCGACCCGATTCGTGTCAAAGGTATTGTAGTAGTGCTGGCAGAACTGCTATATCCCACAGAAAAGCGTACCCAGCAGACCAGAATCGTCAACGCCGCTTTGAAATTTACTACGGAGACTTCGTCACTTTACTACGTTTTCTTTCCCCGCGTGGCATGATAAGCATCTTCGCAGGGACATACTCCTACCTCACTCCTGCAAAGCAGTGCCAGTGCCAATCGATATCTATCTCTATGTTGATGCCGCTGCGTTTACTTGTTCTACATGACAAGTACAGCACGTCGAGACTGTTGGAAATAATACAACTCCAGAAAAGGTATGGTGTGGACGGCTTGTGCTAGTGCTTCTTTTTGTCTTTTTTTGTCGCCGGCGGAGGTCGTCCCCCACCTATTTATATGTTTTGTCTGTCGGAGTAGTTCTTTCGTTGCGCTTTTAAGTACAACGATGGCATGCTGGGTATACTTTTCTGTGTGATATGCTCGCCAATCTGAGCAAACTGCGGGTTGATCTGCGACATTTTCTTGCCTCGGCTGCCTCGTGATATGGATGTGTCAGGCGGAAAGTCGCAAAATATAAAGATTGAAACGCAAATGGAAACAAACTATCTGCGAGGCACAACGAAATGCCTGTCACGAATGGATGGCATTCGCAATTGCGGACGATAGTTCTGGGGCTCTTTGCAATACTAGAGGGAGCAGGAGCACGACAGAAAGAGTCTTTGATGCCACAAACAGCATGACCAATTGTTTTTTTTTTGATGGAGCTCCTGACATTGACATTTCTGGTGCGCCGCTGAGCAAGTCGCAGTCGGCGCCGAACGAACTGAAAATGGCGTGAACAATTTCGTGCGTGACTTCTTTACATTTTCACTTTGACGATTTCCCACCTGGCAATCCCATACGTGAGGTCCTTCTTGTACTGTGCCCACCGGAGGATCGTTGCAGGAAATTGGTTGTGGTAAAGCCCGAAATGTGCTATTTCAAGATCGAACTTTAATTCGCTTGCACGCTCGTGGTCGTGGGGTCTTCTGTTATCGGAAAACTGCTGCAAGGAAGAGCAATTCCGACAAAAGACTGGAGTAGACTTTAGATACCGCTGTAGTTTTGTCTTCAAAAAATGAGTGCTGCAAAGAAACGGTCTGCCGGCTCACATGAAGATGATGACAATGATGATAAAAAGCGAAATAAAGGGCCGAAGCAATGCAGGGAATTATAAGCTAAGCAGGGCTTCAGCTACGTAAACAGATAATGGAAAGTCAAAGTTGAAACGGGAGCACCGAATAAATAAAACGCTCCACCAGCGTTGCAAATTATAGAAGTAGTCGCTGCACCGGTACGGCTAAAAATGTAATGAAAGTTTTCTATCGCGAAGAGCTTTGTTCGTTTTGGACCTGTTAGTAAAGAGAAAGGGCGGACAAAATACAACACACCGCATCAGTTATTCAGCTTGTACATTTTGCGGAAGCAGCTTTACTGCTAGGAACGGAGCAACTTGAAGAAGACCCAGCGTGCCATATAGTATCTGAGTAAGAATCAATCTGATCATGCCATTTCTCGGGTAGATCGACAGCACAGTAACGCCAACGTGATCAATCTTGTTGCAATGGCAAGACTATTTGCAATGGCTGCGACTCCTGCGTGGTCAAGAAATACTAACTGAATATCCACCGCGAGCACGACGACCACTCGCGATCATCATCGCATATATTAAGATAGAGATCTGACACTTCAACAAATTTCTGTCTAGTATTAGTTCTGATGCAAACGGAAAGACTTCGCTGGTGCACCAATAAAATTATAGCCTGAGGATCCGTGCTGGCATTTACATTTTCAGTTCGAATTCCGTCGTTGTACAGCTTAGTAGCAGTGGTTCACCGGCGGCACTGGTATAGCAGCACCAGCAAGAACCATGACAGGCTAGTTGTATCTCAAAGATACTAAACGACAAAAACTGAATCTATCAGATGAATATGCAGTCCGACTAGCACTACAGCATTTGCTTGCTACTTTTTGAACGATTTGAGGATCTACGCCTCAAGAATCTGGCTGTTCTGGATCTATCTTCCTAGTGATTAAGTATTTCGATTTCCTATTCGTTTTCTGAGTTTCCTCTTCTTTAGAAACATGACCATAAACGTGGTTTCGATTCGACGAGGAGTGAAAGCGTGACTCAAGAGCAGTCCCGCCCCATTATATCGACGAACTACAGCCTTCTGGCGTGACAGTGACTTTTGACCTTCGTAGGATGGGAACACCAACACAGTCACGACGACCTGCGCCGCCAAGTGCTTTGGTCTTGCATCATTCGTTCGCGAGATTTTGCAAAGCTTGCGCTCCACTTGATTCGAGCAAGCAGCACAAAAAAAAACGGAGTTAGTATACAATTAGAAAAGTGGACCAGTACTGATACTTTCTTGTTTTCTTCTCCACCTATGCTATCCATGCAAGTTGTGCAAGATTGACTGTGTCCTATGCTTAAGTTCTGCTCCTATCCACATATTGGTATTACAATCCACCGTGGAGGAGGAGCTAGAAACCGTAGAGCACTCCAACTCATGATCATGATGTACATGTATGATTCTAATCCTTTTAAATATTGCCCGCCCGGGACGTATAGATAAAAAGTGAACCCTATATTGATGATTTCGTTTGCGAGGGAGATGCTAGCCCGGGCACCGACTTAGAAAGGCTCGGGCTGCTCGCAGTCGCTTTTGATAGCGAACTCCCGGGGAGAAACAGCGGGACGCTGGGGACGTCGCTGTTCGTGTTCCGCGTAGAGGTGGTTCGTTTTTGAGGCACCGAGCTACCATCCTGGTGCCGCTCCACCACGTCACGGTGCGTGTTCTGGGTAAAAATCCGCTGACTCTCCAGCACCTGCTTCTCTGCCGCGAGCCTGTAAAATTTTGCCGCGAAGGAGTAGACGCGCAGCAGCGGCGTTTCCTGCTCCAACCCCAGCTTCTCTCGCTCGGCTGCGCTTATCCAAAAAAAAAAGCTTTACATTCCCACATTCATAAGTATTGTGTTCATGTTGCGGATTCAGCATCAGCATGCACAGGACGAGATAGCTTGGTCTGCCAGAACTGGATCTGCATGACAAGAAAAGGAACAAATAAATGATGAATCAGGTGTATTTCATCTTCTACGTGCGGAGATGACAAGTTAAAGTGTAATCATGCGTTGTATGTAAGATTGCTGGTCCTGCGCATCTCTTCGTGCAGGGAGATTGTTCCCTGACTGTGTTGCCGTTTCTGCAACTAAACAGTGATGTGTTTACTGTAGCCTTTTTTTCTCTCCATAGCGCTGGACGGAACTATGCTGCTCCCACTCGACCCACGAAGCGTGTTGGGCTCAGGTCTCTTCTCGTCTGAAGATGCTGGGCCCGATGCTTTGCGTTCTCCCGCTTCAAACTCCCGCTGCTCATCCGGTTTCAGTGGCTTTTCCTCGTCCTGTGCAGACGAAGATCGCCCTTCGCGGCGCTCTCCTGTTTTTGACGTAGCCGTGGGACCACGTTCGGCGTCTCTTACTCCTGTGTTTCCCATAATACTCAGCGGCAGCTGCTCGGCGGAAAGAATCCCGCGCTGCGCGAGCCGTTGCAGGAGCGTTTCGGCTTTTGTAATCTTCAGCTCTAGCGTATGCAATGCAAATTTCCCACAGCACACGTTGGACAAAATAATGCATCACAAATTTAACGCGTGAAAAACTTTTCAGTGCACTCTGTTTTTTGTTTTCTCACACGGAACAAGGAGCCACGTTTGCACAATGTGCAGTACGAAAGGAAATTCACTGTGCATACACCGCCTCCCAGTTCTCTTCTCCTATCGCGCTCATTTCCGCAGCCGCTATGTCGGAGCTAGTCCAGTTATCCAGATTCAGTGCCGCGCAGAGTTTGAGCACCTTCTGCTCGCTAAAGCTGAGCCGGTCGAAGTGTGTGAAAGCAATTCCGAGCACCCCATCAACTTCCAAGCTGTCGATTTCGTCGATACTCGCGGTAAAAGCAACGACTTGTGCGACGTCTTTTGATGTGGATCGCTGCGCGGCGGGTGAGGCTGGAGGAGCATCATCGCTAAAAGGAAAATTATGATTATCCCTGTTGTTTCCGGGAGCCATTAGCCCCGACCGCCGTGCTTGGTGTTTCAGAAGACTGCGACGAGCGTGCAGGTTGCTGGAAAGGGTAAGTGAGCTCGGTGCACCAGCATTGGAAGGCGCGCCGCTGGGGCTACTGTTCTTCTGTGACGCAACATCCGCAGATGAATAGCTGAGATCATCTCGTCCTCCACCTGCGGCGCCACTACTTATGGTTCTCCCTGGTTGTTCCCCTATCCCTCGTGTCGTCGGGAGAACCGCAACTAAACGCTTTCGCACGAAGTGCTCGGCAAGAAGATTGATAAGAAAGGCATTGCCAACCGACATGTCCATCAAGTAATCTTTCACGTCCTCCGGGAGCTCGAGGCCCGCGCAGTCCTCGTGGAGCCACCGGGTGAGGCAATGACGAAAGTACTCGGTCGCCGTCTCCCGGGAGAAGTACTGCATGTGCACGAGGCCGTTGATACACTCCGCCTTCTCCTTCACATAGTCGAACCATGACGACTGCTGCAGCGGCCGCGTGCAGAGTACGAACACCAATGAACCCGCGTCCTGTGCTGGTCCACCCCCTCCGAATGTTTTCATCTGTGATGACGAGAGCAGCTGCCCTTGTTGCTGCGCCCAGGGATGTTGTTGCCAGTGTATGTTTTTCATCTGGTTGTGCATGTTATTGGCGTGGTCCTTCTTGTTGCTGGCAGCTGATACGAATGCCTGGTGCTGGGTTCTTGTGTTCATCATCTGTCGTGCCTTGCGGCGCTCTTTGAGGATAAAATTAGTCAAGCCGACGGAGAATTCGCCGGTGCGCTTGTCTTGGTCCTCAAAGAAGGCGGCAGATCGCTGCAGGTGGAGCAGCACCACGATGCGCCGGCGCCTGCTGTACGCGTCGAGGACACCAAGACACACCTGCATCAGGCGGTTCCGCCCGGTGTGCCGCAGATCACAGTCGGTTTGCGCCTTCACGACTGTGTCGCCAAATTATGCGAGTGCACAACGTACTATGCTGATCCTGGCCCTGCCCCGCATTTTTAGTGATGGGATGTTGCAAAAGCGCAACGATATTGAGTGCGGTATCATTCATCTATGTCTGCTATCGTAGCTGAACTAGAAGGGTGCAGACGTCGAACTGCAAGCAGTCGAACTGGAACTACATTGCAAGTGATGCAGTCTGCCTCTGTGAGTTGACTTGTCAACATGGAAATCTCCGCGTGGCAGCTCTCCTGTAGTCGTGATTCATGCAGTGCACCACACGAGGGGAACGAGGGACGAGAGAACAAAAGGTTCTTGTGCAATCGGATACAAATTCAACCGAACACATTACCTTGGACAGCAGCGGAAGCCAGACGCAGAGTTCCTCGTCTGCCAACAAGCCCGTCATAATTTCGCACATGTTGTCGCACTTCAGCCCCGTGCGCGCCTTGATCTCCTCGATCAAAACCAGATCTGCCCGAATCGCCTCACCCAGCTGGTTGAAAATTGTTTGCCACGGCAAGAATTGAACCTGTAGTTCGTTGTTGTGCGTAAGTAGTTGCTCTCGGGAAACAACACAGCTCGTGTTGATAATTGAAATGCGCTCTTAAAGATCATCCGTGGTCGTGGTGGTCAGGATGTTGAGGAATCAGAACAATCACAAGCAGGCATTAAGGGTCAAGGAGGATCATTTTTGTAGCGCTCTGATGAGAACGAGGAGGAGGACAAGGGCGAGGACACGACCAAGTTCATATAAATACAAGGCCGCAACTTATGTCGCGCAGTGGGAGGGTGAACGAGTGGACGGGGGGGAAAGAAAAACGCCAGAGGGTGGGCAAGGGAAAAAATTTTTGATGCAGGGCGGGGCCAGGCATCTGTGCCGCTTCTTGCTGAAAGAACGAAGGCGGAGCGCCATGGCGCCCGTGGTTCCCGTCGTTGTGCGAGCGCGAGGACCCCGCCCGCACTGGGCGCGCGTTTGCGTGGCGGCAAGCCTTAGGCCCAAGCAACAACGCAAAGCGCGACAGCGAGCGGGCGCCAGTGGACGGGGGAAGGAAGCAGGAGAACAGCCCGCGCCATGCGAGGCGCTGGCGCGTGACGCCCCGCCCGCGCGTCTGTGGTGTGGCCCGTTCGTGCCGCCTGCCTGTGTGCCCCGCCCCTGTGCGCCTTGGTGCCCTCCCGCTCCCCCCCGCGCGCAGCCTTGCAGAACGGGGGCGCGCTGGGGCCCCTGCCGCGCGCTTGGATGGAGGACGGGCGCCAGCGCGAGGCATTCATTGCCCTCTGGGCGCAGGGGCCCACCACCCTCCCCCAGCACCCCCGGACAACAACGGCGCCCCCCGCGTTAGCTCGCACGCAATCTGTTTCGCCCCCGCCTGTTTCCCTCGCGCGCAGGCACCCTCCAAGACAGAGACGGTGGACGGTGGCGCCCTCTGCCGGCCTCTTCGTGAACAGAGGGAGGGCGCCGGGGAAGGGTGGTGGGCAGCTGCTCGCCTGCAAGCCTGGCGCTGGGGCGCGACCTTCCCTTCGCGAACAGAGGGAGGGCGCCGGGGGAGGGTGGTGGGCAGCTGCTCGCCTGGTGCTTGGCCGCCGGCGGCGTGTCCCAGACGGCGGCAGGCGCCTTTTCAATGCATTTCCAGCTGGGAATCCAGCTGGAAACATTTGGAAGAGGCATCTGCAGCGCATTTCCACCTGGAAACGCAGCTGCAGACGCCTTCTCAATGCATTTCCCACCTGGCCTGTTCAAAGTGTTTCCAGCTGGATTTCCAGCTGAAGAGGCCTGATCCATTTCTATCTGGAAATCCAGCTGGAAACACTTACTTTGAGAAAGCATCTGCAGCGCGGGCCTTGGTGCAATTTCAGGCGAAGCAAGACGCCTCAAGGCGTATCCAGGTGGAATGTCGGGTGGAGATGCCCAAGGGCATTCCCAGGGGAAATTTCGGGGCTTTTCGGTTTTTTTTTTTATTTCCGAATTGCTGTGCTTAGCACGACAGCTACTCTGGCGACCCGGGGAAGGCATTGGGGTGATGCGGGGCTACCTTTCTAGTGGCAAGATGTTGGGAACGGATGATAGAAGTTTGCTTCTTTTTACGACTTGGCGCGCTCAGCATAGCTATTCTGGCTACCCAAGGAGAGGGCTTCCAGTAGGATACTGGGAGGGTATCAGGATAGTGGGAGGATATTTCTTTTGCCCGGGTTGCTGTGTTTAGCACAGCAATTCTGGCTACCCAGAGGAAAGATTTCCATTGGGATATTGCGAGGGTATCTTCAGGATAGTTGGAGGATATTGGCAACGGGTGGGAAGAGTTCACTTTTTTGCCCGAGTTGTTGTGTTTAGCACAGCAATTCTGGCTACCCAGGGGAAAGATTTCCCGCTAGGGTACTTGGAGGGTATCAGGATAGTGAGGGGATAGTGGGATGGTGCGGGTAAGGGGAGGGAGAATTTTGCTCGTTTTCCCCGAGTTGCTGTGTTTAGCGCAGCAATTCGGGCTACCCAGGGGAAAGATTTCGCAGTAGGATAGGTGGCAACCCATGCACAGCTTGCAGGGATGCAGTCGACGCCTTCGGTCTTCGACTGCCTGATCGCGTTGCTCTTCTCGGGCGCGCGATCAGCTGAATTTTTTTTCCTTTAGGATTTCAGTAAGGAAGTGAAACGGTGAGAAAAGTTTGCTTGGGGGTTTGTTTTCCTTAGGGATTTCAGTAAGGAAGTGAAACGGGGAGAAAAGTTTGATTGGGAGTCTGTTGCGAAACATTTTCGACGGGGCCCGCGAAATATTTTGCGTTGCAAAATATTTCGGACCTACAAAATATTTCGGACCTACAAAATATTTCGGACCTACAAAATATTTCGGACCTACAAAATATTTCGGACCTACAAAATATTTCGAGCTGCAAAATATTTCGCGCCGCAAAATATTTCGAGCCGCAAAATATTTCGAGCCGCAAAATNGCAAAATATTTCGCGCCGCAAAATATTTCGAGCCGCAAAATATTTCGAGCCGCAAAATATTTCGAGCCGCAAAACATTTCGAGCCGCAAAACACTTCGAGCCGCAAAATATTTCGAGCCGCAAAATATTTCGAGCCGCAAAATATTTCGAGCCGGAAAATATTTCGAGCCGGGAAATATTTCGAGCCGGGAAATATTTCGAGCCGGAAAATATTTCGAGCCAGAAAATATTGCGAGCTGCAAAATGTTTCGAGCTGCAAAATATTTCGAGCTGCAAAATATTTCGAGCTGCAAAATATTTCGAGCTGGCCGTTGGGCGTTGGGCGTTGGGCGTTTGCGATTTGGCCGGTTGCCGTTGGGCGTTGCGCGTTGCGCGTTGGGCGACTTCCCAAATCGCGACAGCTTTGGAAAGTTTGGAAATTGTCAAAAAATTTTCGGCGTGGATGATTTTCCTCCCCGTGGCAAAGTTTTAACTGCCCCTGCTCAGCAATAGGAGTTATAAAATCATGTGGAGAAAAAAAATTAAACGGCTCTGCTGCTGCAGGTACTTCTGGAAGTACTAAAAAAGATGAAACTAACAGTTGTCATAGTATAAGAGTACGCTTAAAAATTCCCGTGACGAAGAAACATGTGTTTATTTCGTACCATGTGTGACTGCGTTGGGTTCAGCGCGTTTCCCTCAAGGAGGAGAAAGTTTTCTGAATGAAGATTCTGTGTCCGGTCCCTAGTCCGGCGCTGGGCAAGTTTGCGCAGCGGTTCGAGGATCTCGTGCTTCCCCGTGCCAGGATCCCCCGTCACGACGGTGACGCCACCACCCTGCGATAGTTGATCCGTGACGGCGGTTTCGAGCTGCACGTATTCAGACGAACGCAACCAAAAATCTTGAAGATTTTGGCTTTTTCCCGTAGAAGTAGGAGTAGCCCCTGCACTGCTGGTCGTGCCAGTACTCGATTTATTTGGTGGAAACGATGCAGCAGCAGCCCTTGTTCCCCTGGGTTCTTCGGGATTCAAGATGGTTGCGCCGACGAGGACCTTTTTGTCGCCTACTTCTCGCTCTGCTTCCGTGCCATTTGCGTCAGGATGGAAGAGCGCGGATTCGCGCTTGGACAACCAATCACGCAACAGGCGTCCCGTTGGGCGGAAGACCGGCACCGGGGCGGCCTTGCCCTTCATTTTGATCGGATCCAAGGCCAGCACCTCGATGTTGTTGTTCTGCAAGCAACGCGCCGTCTCGGGACAGGCGAGAATACCCCACTCCTCGCTGGCATTCCCCATCAAACGTGCTGCAAGATTTACCACGTCCCCCAACACGGTATACTCGCGCCGCTGCGCGGTGCCTATGAGGGTGCGTAGCTTTTCCTCTCCTTGTCACGCAAAACACCAAAAACAAATCTTCGAAGGCTTAAAATTATACATTTTACACTGTTCGCATGACAAGTTGTGGGACTGTAAAGAAAAACTCCCTGCAAAAAATCCAAATCGAAATAATTCTATATTGATTCAATAAGAACCTTATCGTGCCTCGGAAGCTGGTGCGTTGTTGCTGTTACTTCTGCATCTGTAGTTTCTGTAGAACATCTTCATGCCGTGGCCTTGCTAGTGAGGGGACGAGGAGGGAAAAATTGTGGACTCTCATAGTGCCAATCACGCCGCACCACACCATTCCCGTGGCCACGCCGGCGCGGCCCTTCACGCCCTCCTCACGCAGGGTGTCCAGCATGCGCATAGCCGCTAGGGTGGCGCGGACCGGGTCGTCGCCGAAGTGGCTCAGCGGTTTCAACCCGAAACAACACAGCAGCAGCATACCCTTGTCATCCACCACAAACTTGTTTACGCTGCCTTCCAGCGCGTAGCAGCTCCGCTGACAGCAGCTCATCAGCAACTGCGTCAGCAGGACGCCCTCCGCCGACCTGGCCACGTCCGCGCCCGCCCGCTCTTCACTGCTGATAGACAGGAAGATCACACTGATCTTCCGCATCTCTTCCTCAAACCTCTCGTCTGCAAGAATTGCACGGAACTCGGACATGGGGATGTACCGCGAGAGCATGGTCACGTCGAAGTCAGGGCTCGGTTTGTACACGCTTTGCGGGAGGTACTGTTCGGGGTCTGCGATCTTGCCCATAATTCTGTACCCCGGCGGCCCGTCCTTGACCGGAAGAGTGGGCGTCTCCTCGCGGCCGCTGAAGGCGTGCAGGGCTTGCTCGTAGACCGCAAGGAACTCCGGGGACGCGCAAGTCTGCGTTGCCCGCGCGAGCGGCTCTGCAATTGCGATCTGCGGGAACGCGGGCCCGGTGGCGCAGTACTCGAACCGGCCCAGTACCCCACCCAACTGCAGCAGCGTGCAGGGCCCGTATCCCACTCCGATGTGGAAGGAGAAGTACACGCCGCTGACCGGCGTAGGGTAGTGGCTGAGCTTCTGGTGGATCTCCTGGCAGCAACAGGCGGCGCGGAGCGGTGCTGTCTTTCTGGTCTCCATGTCGTCCTCCGGGTCTACGACTTATCATGCGGAAAAATCTCACCCCTATCCGCAGCCAAACGCACTGCATTTTTCTGGCCCGAGGTTTCTTATTGAGTATAAATAGATAGCCTTGTGCTGCGAGACGACAACTGCCAAAAAAATATTATGATCAAGGCTCTGTGGACAACTTAAACTTGTATGGGTGGAGACATTAACTTGATGAACCATTTTTTCCAACAAAGGTCCAGCGACACGACAAATGATCTCCACCCGAGCTGGGAGACAGGGATGAGGGACAGGGATTTTTCCTCAAGATATGGGAAACATGATAGTTACCGCGTCGCCGGAGAACTTGATAATGTCGTATGAGAGTGCAATACTGCCGCGCCTCTTCATTTTTCATGTGGAATAACATTAAGAGAAATTGTTCCAGTAGCGCCGCCCTCATTGCATAAAAAATGTGCCTAACTGAAGATGTTCGTGATGAAGACAAATTTCGAAGCCAAAACAAAAGCACTCCAAGTTGTCAAGTTTGGATTTGAATGCTGGTGAAGTAAGGTCATTCTCATTTCAGCATCTGCTGTCTTATTCTGTAACAAATTCGACATTGACCATCATCCTGTTCTTCACGGTAGTCATGGCAACAGTCGCTCGAGGGGGCGGGCAAGTGGTGCGCTCTCGTATGTCCCCGTCCCACCGCAGGACGATGTCAATCAGGCGGCGGAAGAAACTGTTCAGAAAAGTGCCCACCTGTTCCGTGCCCCGGTTCAGGTTGGTCAATTTCTCGGTCATTGCGGTGAAGCCTGAGGCATCTACAAAAACCAACACGGACTCCGTGGACCCCACCACCGGGTTCGGCATCGGCTTGCCCGGCGCAAAGTCGATGACGTTGTTCACGATCTTCCCCTTGCCGATCGCCTCTAGAATCAGTCGCGGCAGAAAGGAGGTGAACCGCTGCACGTCTTTCTGTGCGGCCGGAGGGATCGAAATCTTCGGAATCTTAGTCGCGTCGATGCGCCGCTCCGCAGCGAATATGTACCAGCGCCAGTTGTCGCTCTCGTACTTTTGTTCCATAATGGTACTTTCCCGTCTTCGTTCCTCTTCATTGCGTTCGGAGAGAAATCGAATCAAATACCGCAGCAACACGGAGACGGACACACGATTCATCGTCATTCCCCGGGAGGTGTCGGAAATCCCGAAAAATTGCGACATATTTCCGTTTGCGTTCAGATCCATTTGTTGCTGGAGGCGCGCCAGATGGTCGTTGGAATTTTCTATGGTGGAGATCTGCAGCCGTACGTACTGGAGCGCATGAACCAAATGGTCCGCGAAAATGTTATTGGTCCGCAGAAAACGCTGCAAAAGCTCCCTTTCGGGGAGAGCGCCCGTTTTTGCCGAGACCGGCGAACTATCCGGTGGGGCAGGCTCTCCTGCTGATGCGGCGCTGCCAGTCGTATAATATTTCGGCTGATGTAGTCCAGTTGCAGTTGCAGAAGAGGTGAGTAAGTTTGAAAGGTCGACGATATTATCGTTGGGTCGCGTTGGAGACGATGTGGTAGAGGCGGCGGCCGAAATGAAGTAGTCCACTCCCGAATTATTCGGGGCTGACGCTGTTGGAAAGTTACTCGCTGAGTAGTTGTTCGCGGAAACATCCAGTGCTTCACCCTGATGATCCTGGGTGGCGTTCCACCTACCGGATTCACCAGGAGCCGGCAGTACAGAAGTGTAGTTGGTCACCCCCCCAGCATGTTGGAGATGGTCGGGGACGCCCGGCGCAGGTGCCAGAGAGGTCCTCTTCGGTCCAAACTCCAGTCCTAGCCTGTGCCCGTTCTCGAGAAAACCTTGGTGCCACTTTTCGCACTCGTCTGCGGTGCGGCACCGAATGAGAAAGTCGCGCCCGGCACAGCGGACGCGCAGCTCCCGGTCCGACAAACACACAACTTCCTGCACGTCGCGCAAAGGAACGGCCCCGTCGGAGAACCGAAACTCCGTCGGAGTCAGCTCGAAATCCGTCGCCACCCAGGACAGGCCCTCCAAACGCCCGGCTAAGGATACCATAATGAGCTTTCTTCTTATACGACCAAGCCGGCCGCCGCGGTCTTCTTCTTTATTCTTGACGACCTCTGCGCACTTGATGCACGGCCGCGACTGATCAGCCTAAGCCCGGTTCACGTAAAGAACGTCGTCGAGGTCGTCAAAGGCGCCACCAATGGCGTTTCGGTTGATGCCCTTGCTGCGTGGAACGAACGACATGTGCATGTGCTTTCATGAAAGTCATTGGGATGGCGCGACTTGTTCCGCTCGTCGCGCGCTCCTTTGATGTCGTGTGTAAGGATTAAATTCTTACATGATCTCGCTCTCCCGCTGGAGGCAGCAGCACCATTGATGTTGATGCATCATATCGATAAGCAGGGAGAGTTGGGATTTCTGTAGCATTCAATTCAAAAATCACGGTCACAATGTAGCTCTTGCCATGATATGATAGGTAATAGAGACAGAGGTACTACTGAGGATAAGTGCGTCATCTTAAGAGCTACTTCACGGTAATACTGCGGGACCCGTTCGTTTCCTGCTGTGCAGCTACAAATAGAGTGACGCTTCGTTCTGTACCTTTCCGGCAGTTGGTCGATGAGAAACAGGTATTAGTATTACAAGCACACAACATGATTCATTGTGAATAAATATACATGATTAGTTCGTATGTAGATGGGTAGTGCAGCCTTGGATCGTCATGGTTGTGGTTCCCTATGTGTGACTGCGTTTGATGGTGGAAGTTTGTAGTCAGTAAAGATGAAAAATTATGTACTATTTATAGCTAGTCGTAGCTGTCACACGAGAACGAAAGGCCTTGCCACCGACCTTTTGACGTAGGGACAAATATCTCTGTGGCCAGCCACAGCTGACGGCGACAGACCGAACTGAGCGTGTACTATGTATGTGAGGCACGTCGGCACGATGAGATGAGGACGCAGTAGGTACTACGACATTACCAGCCAAGCTCTTCCCGATTCTACTTCATTGAAGTGAGGCACGAACGTCGAGATTCATAGCTTCCGAATCATCTGGACGAATATTTGTACGAAGCAAAAGTGCTAGTGCTCATCCTGTCCTGCACGATGGCCACCGATTTGGATGTGTAAAAGTACCACGTGAAGACGAAGAGGCTTCTCCTAGGTATACAACATACACAGGACGAAAACCGAAATTTTCAATGATAGGGCGAAACCGAGGAGGTAGGCGGCACTTTCTCCAGATCGATAAATGCGAAACCGAAAATGACTATTATTCGGCACGGAAATAAATAACCGAGGATGGCGCACTTGTTATAATTAATTTGATTTGCAATGTAAGTAAAACATGTTGCGACTACTTGTAATATACCGACATTGCTAGTCAGGAGCTGCGTGCTGGAGGGGGGAGGGGCGGGAAGGAGGGCGTGCGATTTTTGTGTAAGTGCTTCTAGTTCTACAACTACGCAGCTATGTATCGATTAGCGTTGCTGGATCATATTGTCATGCTCGTGCTGTGCCACGACGAATCCTGCTCCTGCACGGAGTCCCGGTGGTCATGGTGACATGACTGCTCGCGACACTATCCATATGCGTTAGCGTATAGGAAAAATCAAAATGCAAACGCCGTAATCACAAACGTGATGCTGAAGATCGATACAACTGAGTGACTCCGATGCCGATCCATTGCAACGAACGAGAAACTGAAACGTGCACTATCATAGCGATAGTGGCGCTTCCTATTTTCGTCGCCTCGTTCCTCTGTCCTTCTTCTTTATTCCAACACGAAGATCACGAGACTGCTCTTTCTATGGGTAGGCGCAGACAAAAACAAAGCGGCGTGCCGTATCAGGCTGCGAACACGGCAGGAGAGGGCGCACAGTATGCGCCGATCATCTTCTGCAGGTGCGGTATTAAGCTTAAGGTAGCGCCCACCATTTTTTCCTGTTTTTCCTCCTTGAACTTCGACAAGCGCGGGACTTTCCCTTGTCGGCGGACCCGTGGATGGTTCTTTTTCACAATCATGAATACAATGGAACTACAAGATCGAACGGGGGCGGAGGTCCCGTTCATTACATGGGTACAAGAGAAGCTTTAAATTTAATTTTTAGGCAAAAGCACACCGCATTTGCCAAAGAGCGATTTCCTTTTTCTTTTTGAATCAATGGAACACGTTCCTCTATCCTATCGGTGAAGTCATAGCGCGGAGCAGAACCGACGGCGCACGACGGAAAAAGTGTGGTCGGAGTACGGTCTGGCAAGTAGTAAACTTAGTCACGCATAGATACGACCAAAAAAAAGCGTTCGCTTTTCTCCTTCCCCAGTAAAACTTCCTTCGGTAGCATTGATTTCAGGACTCTACTCGGTGGCATCGGTAAAGGAAAACAGTTCCGGATTCGGTCCATGACTGCGGAAGGTTCCAAATTTCCACAAGGGTTAGCACCATCGTACTCCGGGATTGGTCATTGGCCCCTCGCGCAGCTGGTGGATCCAGCGGCAGGGCCCGGAAGTCCTTGGCTTTTGGCATCTCCGATGCTGTACCTGAGCTCTCGTATACTCTGCGTTTGCTGGGTAAGGCGGTTTCCGCTGCCCCATTTTGAACGTCACTACTACAAGAAGCGGCTTTATTATTCTTGGAATACACAGCTCTGTTAAGTCTCGCACGCATCCCGGCTAAAAAATCGTGCGCGCCTTCGCTTTCCCTAGACATAATGCCGGGGGTACTAGGAGTTGTTGCGCCGTCCTCGATCAAGCCACTTTCTTTACGCTTCGCCGAGCCGTTGCCTCCGCTTGTTGTTGTTGTTCTGCTTGCGGCTTCAGACTGTTGAGCAGGCGCCGCGTTGTTGCAACTGCTGCGCGACTGGCCTCCACAGTCTATTTTTTGTATGGATTCGCTTTTCCGCACTTCGTATTTACTCGCCGCGGCAATGCTTCGCGCACGCTGCAGAGTGGCTGCGGAACCCTTCGAGAAGTAGGTCCTACTACTGTGTGGGCGTGCCGCAGTTGCCTGAGCCACGACACGCGGCGCAGCTGACAGCAGCACCATGCCATTCTCCGCACCGTCCCTTTCATCCGTACTGCTGGTATTTCTCTCACACGATTGTCCCTCCGGCAGACGACTTAGCGTGAGCAACCACCGCAAGCTTGTGGCTTCCCGCGATAGCTTCGCAAGCAGACTGAGTAGGAACTGGTCTGAAAACAGAGCCGAGGCACAGTAGATAACAGTGGCCGCACGCAAGTTTGCAGAATGCATGTCGACACATCGAAAGTCGACGCCGCCACTCAGCAGCCTGCGACTCATTCGGCGAAACACGTATGAGTTCTGCCGCTGCCAAAGGGCCGCACGCGATTCCGGCTCGACGTCTTTTGGTTTTGTCGCGCATCCAGCTGCATGATTGCTGTTCATTGCGAAACAGGTCGATGATTTTGCCGACCCTTCCTCTGGTCTTGTCGCGATTTTACGACACGGAGCTTGGGGATCCGCGTGTGGCATTACGACAGTCCATCTGCCGTCTATCAGGGCAACGTCGAAGTCAAAGTTTTGGGACTGCATGGCAGCGGACCGACGACAATGGTATGCTCCGAGACCTTTTTGCTGCAAAAAATTGGAATTGGTCGAAGGTCGTCCACCGAGCACCTGTACCCCACCAGCACAAAAACCGGCATCCAGCTGCGCATCGAGTGAAGAGAGCAACCCTGCAAGTGCCTGGCGTCCGGCGATTGCAGCGGCGTGTCGCGTTGGCCCCATCTCGACGCCGACAATAGATCCGACCTTCTGTGCCAGGAATGCCTGAAGACAGAACTTTCCTACCCCACTGCCCAAATCGAAAAACGTATCTTCTTGTGTCAACTCGAGCCGGCGGAGCAGCTTTGCGGCGGAGGCGAAGGGAATTTCGCCATAACCAGCGGCAGCACCCATTTTCCGCACCACCGAGACATCCTCAACGTGCCCCTGTAGCTGTTTCTCCTGACAATCGGGGAAGGCTTGCGCGAGTAGGTGCTTTGCCATGCTGTTCGAAAGGACATAACCATCTTGAATCTTCACTGCAGTCGAAGATTTATCATGTTGCGCACAGGCACCACCAATGATCGGTCTACCTTCCATGGGGGATGAAAAACGAACATCATCCTCGGCTCGAATCAGAATCTCCTTGACAACCCTAACCATAGTGATCGAAATTTCTGCTTGCACAACCTTGCGAAATGCGAAGCCTCTTTTCTATACGAATGTGGAGTGGGAGTGTACCATTTTGGAAGGACCTGGAAAATACGAAAAATAAATGCAGATCTAGATTTGATTTTAATTTTAAACTAAAACTATTGCAAAAAAAAAGAAGAGACTATCGAGTCGCAAAAAAAAAAAGAAGAGACACAAGATGACGAACATGAACTTCATAAGCGGATATCAACAAATTGAGTAATCAATGCACCACGATGACGAACATGCTTGAATCGACGTCGAATACCATATTAACGAGAGTACCTTCAGAACGACGATTGGGATTGCCTTGACGAGAGCACGAAAAAAGGTCGTGCAAGGGCTTTACACAAACGCATGGTCGGGCGAGCTTGAAGCACTGCCCTCGTTCTGCATAGAAATCCTGAACAGGGCTAATTGTCTGCACTGGATTGCATTGGGAGCCAGGCATCTCGAACGAGCACGAAAGACAAGCCCACGAAGACGAACGAGGAAGAAATATGGCCGAAATGCCAAATATAGCCGCCGTGGCGGGGGTAGTGAGGTCGGTGGCGCTTTCTTTCCCCGACCGTGGCCGCGGGCCGGCATGGTGCCTGCTTTTTATGGGACCGCCGTGCCGCAGTGGGTAAGGTTATGCCGCACGGCATGGCGACCGGATAAAAATCATGGCAGATTTTTGGCAAATTTCCGGAAGTCCTGTCCGAAAGCCAGCCCCGATGCTATGGGGCCGATCCGGGCGCCACGGGAGGCGCCCAAAAAGCGGAGGGAAACCGGGCCCGTAGCATGCGGATTGGCTTCGCGCATCTGGCGCGCTTTTTCTTTTTTGCGTTTCTATTTTTCGCGTCTGCGCTTTTTGCAAAGCTTCCCCCGATTAGAAACAGGCGAAAAAGCGGTCGCTCTCGCGGCCGCCCAGAATGCTCCGAAATCGCGGCCATGCCGTGCGGGGGTCCCGTTCATTACATGGGTACGGGGGCGGAGGTCCCGTTCATTACATGGGTACGAGATCGAACGGGGGCGGAGGTCCCGTTCATTACATGGGTACAAACGACCTCAAGAATGCCGCCCGGCAATCGCTCTACTTCGTGACCGCAATCGCCGAGCACCCGTGGGCATCGCGCCGCCCTCTAGCAACAGATATAAAAATTACCTAGCAGATTGTTCGTGGGCCTCCGCCTGAGTGGTACAACACCAACACGACGTCGCCTCGAATAAGTTCATTATTTTTGCTTCGCAATTCCAAGCCTACGACGCATGCATATCAAAATCAAATGGAAAATCAGAATGTTCTTGAGCTCCTTTGGCTTCTGGATGTTGAGCTCCAAGAAAATGAAAATGATGGCTGAAAATAGGTCTGGTGACGTACGTTATTCTTCACTCAAAACCATCATCCTAATGTCAAGCTCGTGAGCGTGATGATCATGATCATGTATGTTCGGGCTATTTCGTTCTCAAAAGGTCAGACGAGTAATGTATGATATATCCTTACTCCCACTCTATCGTCGCGGGCGGCTTCGAACTACAGTCGTAGCAAACACGATTAATATATTCACTGCAAACATGTCTGAGTCTGGGACAAGACTGCAACAACATGATCATCACAGGTTTTATTGTGGCAGCTTTTCCAGCATGCCTCTCCCGCATGAGGCGTGCGCTCTTTGGCGGGAAGCGCATCATCACGAACATCGGGACGTTTGTGAACCTTATCGCCATCACGTTGGTAAGCGATGGACAATCATCTGCCGTCGACCAACGGGAAAAACTGTGCCTATACATCTGCCGGTTGCGGAGCAGCGCAGTTTTTTACTGTAAAAGCAAAAACAACACGCGTCAAAACTTTGGCTTGTCCTTGCAGACTCAGACATACTTGCCATGCATACAACCCCGCGCACCTCATTGATGATTCGGTTGCTGATGCGAGCCAGAAGCTTCCAATCGATGGGATACCAGTCGGCTGTCATGAAGTCGGAAGATTGTACCTGAAAATGATGAAAATACTATATCAGCCTTTTTTATAAGGGGGGCAGTTTCCGCAGCGCGGGGGTCTGCGGGGGTCCTTTTTGATTCGCGTTTTGCATTCGAGAACTTTTTTGCAGAACTTGCAGCCAATCACGACGGTATTCTTGATTCTGTCAGTTTTTAGCTCATAGCAGCATGCGGATTGAACGCAGACCCGATGGTATGACGACGTCACTGCTGGCACGACTATTGCGAATTGAAATTGCTAAACCATGCAAAACGCCGGAGCGCCGCCTGAAGTGCCACGATGCTAGACATGAAAACGCAGCACAGCGAAGCGTCAACCCGGCCCGCCCGTACTTTTACCCCGCCCGGGGAGGCGGCGAGGGCTGCTATAGTCCTCTGAACACACGCGCGCCTGGATCCAGAAAAAACACCAATGTGAAAAAGTTGCTGTGTACTTACTTCGATTTTTCACTTATACTTTTTGTACAGGATCATGATCTTACTCTAACACTTTTTCCTTGACACAAATACGAAAGTGTGATCTTGTCATGCTGTTTCGAAGAGTAAAACTGTGCAAAAAGTTGCTACGGACGGCTGATAGCTGACGAGAGACTTTTGGTGGTCTGTGCTGGCTCTCACAGTGGTGCGCTCGGTGTAAAACCAAAAAACTATAAAGTGACTAGATGGCAGCGCTTGCAAGTGTAAACTTGTGGCCTTGCGTAACAGTTGATCTCATTTTTCAGTCATCAGTTTGTAATGCTACTTTGTCGCTTTTTCTAAAAACATGCCGACTTTCATCTTTGTGTTATCAAATTTTTATTGTCCACGAAATGGCCATGAGACTTCGACTTGGAATAACTGCGGCATTGGAAAAAGAAGCTACTGCTTGGACTGTCGCACTGGAAAACGAAAGTCAGTCTTTCTATTCGAATTTGGTGAGCTTTGTTTTTCTCTTTTTGATCCAGATTCTTGCACATTAAATTTTCTATGCTATGGCCCGGGTTACTTATGTAAATGCGATTTTGTGTGTGTTGTGTGTTGTACTTGAATTCATGAATGCTGATTGTACAGTGTTACTATTCCATTTCTCATACTGTTTTTATATATAAAAGCGGGAGTGGCGGGAGGGCTGCTCTACTTACATACAGTATTAGCGCTGAGGGTTCTAATTCTAGTAAATAAATATAACGCGGGAAATGAATCTAAAGTAGTACTAGTAGTAATTAACAACAGGGGGATCTACGTAGGAGTTAGTAGTAGTAGTAGTAAAGCAACAAACTGAACTCGGTGAAAGCTGTGCATTAGAAACTTCGGCGCGGGGAGAGTATTGAGGGGTAGAAGAATACACCGCTCGCAACGACCATAGGGCGCCTGGAGGCAACGATCAGAGAGCAAGGATCAACACCGAAGCAACAGGCATAGAGCATTTTACTTTTGTGAAAAAATGCTTTCTATTTCCCAAAAAAAATCCCCGACGATGAAGACATACGAGCGCGGCAATAGTCTTTCTTGAAGAGCTTGGCTCGACACGAAGAACGACTACACGACTTGAAGAAAAAAAAGGAGTTACTCTTTAACAAACAAGATACCATCCAGCGCTGGCGGTGTCGAAAATCGTTAAAGAATAAACCAAAATGATGAAAGACGAAAGCGACAGAGTATCTTCTTTGCTAGAGTCACTGTGGTCTTTTACGACTTCAAAAAAACAGAAAAGAGCTGCACCGAACTGAGGTAGGCGACACTATACCGGAACTTGAGACTTATTTTTGAAAATTCCATACAAATCTCTTTTAGCCGATATCTCCGAACAATCGTAGAAAACACTTGCTTCCCGCAAGTTAATACTTCTGCTCCCGCCCTTCTTGGCGTCCTCTTATTGCTTTCACACTATAGAGGTAACAAAAAACAAAATTCCTGTTTTCTCGTCGAGGCAGCAATTGGCTTCGGTTCAGGGTTCTTCTCGGTGTGAAGTTTTCGTGTGCTTTTCTGTGGTAATTTGTAATGCATTTTGTACGTAGTGCGACGAATAGAAATATTGGTCTGACTACGAATTGTTTTTATCCCAATGAGCGAGAACTTTGCTCTTTCTGACGCTAGCGAGCTGCTACATACGAGAAATCCAAAAAAGTTTTTCTACGAGATGGAGCTGACGTAGCTACGACCCCAAAAACAGAACAGCAGCATCTTTTCCACTTTCACAAATGGATACAGTCGCTGCGTATCTGTGGATCGGGGAAGTAAAATTTCTGTACACATCCTATCCAAGTAGGTGAGTCGAAAGTTGTAAATTCTGAAGTTGTTTGTGTTAAATCCAGAAGTAAGCAGTCTAGTATTGTAAAATCTGAAATTCTAATTTGTGGCGGACCTCTGTTGCAATTGAAATTGTAAAAAGTCAAAACTGTAAAGCGCTTACCGGTTGTTCTATTTTCCACGTACTGCTATTTTGAAGTTGACAGCTGGTTATTTTTCAAGAACTGGAGTCGATTCAAGTAAACTTTTTATCATGAGCTTGCGAATTTGTGATGCTAGTTCTTGAGGCAAATCCGCATTACAGATTCAATCTCTGCAAGCATTGGAAATGGAATCTGTGATGCGGATTTTCCTCAAGAAGTTCCTGTTCCTGAGGCAAATCCGCATTACAGATTACATTTCTACAAGCATTGGAAATGGAATCTGTGATGCGGATTTTCCTCAAGAAGTTCTTGAGGCAAATCCGCATTACAGATTCCATTCCTAATGCTGAAGCTCTAAAGCTTTTTTTGGAGGCAAGTCCGCAAATGGAATTCCTCAGCATTGCAAAGCGAATCTGTAATGCGGATTTGTCTCAAGAAGACTTCTTGAGGGATTTATGTCTAGAAGACTCTCTGAGGCAAATCCGCATTACAGATTCCGTTTCTAGTGCTGAAGTCCTCAAGTTCTTTCTTGAGGCAAGTCCGCAAATGAAATTCATCAGCAATAGAAACAGGATCTGTAATGCATTGGAAATGGAGTCTGTAGCTTGGTGGATTTGCCTCAAGAAAGAATAGGAGACTCTTCTTGAGGCAAATCCGCAGATTGCATTGCAAATAAATGCTGAAGGCATAAGTTTTTTTTTGAGGCAAATCCGCATTACAGATTCCATTTCTAATGCTGAGGCTGAGGGACTTTGTATTGCTATTGCCGTAGAGACGGCAATACAAAAGCGCATGGCAAATTTCCGTTTTGGATTGGACATTTGTCATGGAAAACGCATCAAATTGAAACTACATGACAAATTTCCGCATTTGGGAATTTGTCATGCAAAACACATCACTCAATTGTTGAAGTGGCCATTTCAACAATTCGAGATCTGCGAATTGTTGAAATGGCCATTTCAACAATTCGGCTTGTGCAAAATGTTGAAATGGCCATTTCAACAATTCGCAGAACCCGAATTGTTGAAATGGCCATTTCAACATTTTGCACAAGCCGAATTGCAGAAATGGAATCTGTAATGCGGATTTGCCTCAAGACCTTCTTGAGGAAAATCCGCATCACAGATTCCATTTCCAACGCTTGCAGAAATGGAATCTGTAGTGCGGATGTCTGTAATACGGAATCTGTAATGCGGATGTAGAAAGGGTGTCTGTAGTGACTACAGACACCCTTTCTAATGCTGAGGATTTCCATTTGCGGATTTGCCTCAAGACATAACTTTAGCACTTCAGGAGCATTAGAAATGGAATCTGTAATGCGGATTTGCTTCAAGAAGTCTTCTTGACACAAATCCCCCAAGAAGTCTCAGCATTAGGAATGGAATCTGTAATGCGGATTTGCCTCAAGAACTTCTTGAGGAAAATCCGCATCACAGATTCCATTTGGAATGCTTGCAGAAATGTAATCTGTAATGAGGATTTGCCTCAAGAACTTCTTGAGGAAAATCCGCATCACAGATTCCATTTCCAATGCTTGCAGAAATGGAATCTGTAATGCGGATTTGCTTCAAGAACTTCTTGAGGAAAATCCGCATCACAGATTCCATTTCCAACGCTTGCAGAAATGGAATCTGTAATGCGGATTTGCCTGAAGAACTTCTTGAGGAAAATCCGCATCACAGATTCCATTTCCAACGCTTGCAGAAATGGAATCTGTAATGCGGATTTGCTTCAAGAACTTCTTGAGGAAAATCCGCATCACAGATTCCATTTCCAACGCTTGCAGAAATGGAATCTGTAATGCGGATTTGCCTGAAGAACTTCTTGAGGAAAATCCGCATCACAGATTCCATTTCCAACGCTTGCAGAAATGGAATCTGTAGTGCGGATGTCTGTAATACGGAATCTGTAATGCGGATGTAGAAAGGGTGTCTGTAGTGACTACAGACACCCTTTCTAACGCTGAGGATTTATTATTTCTACACTACATTATTTTTATTATTTCTACAAAAGTAATGTAGTCTTTCTAACGCTGTATAAAATCTCTACCTACTCAAAACCTGTGCTTCGGCCCTATGGCGTTCTCAACTGTTACATTCTCAACTGTTACATGGACTTGTGATGCAAGAGTGGGAAAAGTGAAAGGGGGGGCATTACGCGTCTTGCATGACAGATTTGGCACAGATTATCATCCTGTTTGGCCCTTCCAGGATTTGTCATGCAGAACAGCTTGATCGTGTAGATGATCATACATGGCGCTTTTGCATGACAAATCATGCAACAGAGGAGAATGTAACAATTGAGAACGCCATAGGCCCTTCCCCCAGTCCTATCCTGAGCAAAAACGTCCCCGCCCCATGATCGTCAAGTAGGGAATCTAGCAACACAAATCTCCAAGTTTTGGAAGCTGTGCATGACAAGTTTTCCCGTGCAGTGTAGTGCTGCCTGGCAAGAGAGGCCGCATGAGAAAGCCACTCTCTCGTCCTGTTTACAGCATTACAAACAAAAATGTTCCTGTCGTTGCAAATTTGCATGACAGGAGCTCTGGGGTGTTCGTGTTCGTGTACTGCCAGAGACCAAAATAAAGTCAATTACAGCTCATGGATGGGGACGCTTTTACTCAGGATAAACCCGCCCCGCTCTTCTTCGTGGGTATCAGAGTGCACACACCCCCTCCCCCTCGTTTGTGTTGGTTGCATGAACAGCAAAACAAGCGCTGGCAAAGATGCAGCTTCTGTGTGTCAAATTCCAAGCAGACTGCGCTACAACTTTCTACGAATAGCACTACGTAGCGTAGTGCTGTTTTGGATTCGGGAATCTGTCACGCAAGTAGTGCCTTCATCATCATCATCATTATCACGCGTTGCCTTTTGCTTGACAAATGCGGGCTCGGGGGCGCAGGGCACTTTCATAGGGGAGCTGCCAATCGTACACCAAAACCTTCCGGCCGTCCGTTGCCCCGGTAAAGGTGTGCCGCTTATCGTTCTCGCTGTAGCTTAGTTTTGCAACTCCCGTGTTGGTGGTCGCCGCAAACCCTATCCTGCGCAAAAATATCGCACCCGTAGTAATTGCAATCATGCATTACAAATTTCCTTGATGTAGTAAATTAGAACTAGTGTAGTAACGAGCGATAGTTTTTAGAAGAAACAGCTAGCATCGTATGTAAAATTGCAACTCGAACTTTCAAAAATGACCTATTTCCACGAGCAATGCAGTTTGTTTATTAACCCCGTCGATTGTGTAGCAACATCGCGCGAGAGGTTTTTTTTATAAACAAGGTAAATCCGCATTACAAATCTTATGTCTCACGCAGAGGAAATTTGTAATGCATTTAGTATACGAGTGCGATGCTTTTGCATTGCATACACCCGCAGTGGCGGCAAATGCACCCCTTCCCCGCCAGGGGCGAGGAAGGGCGCACAAAGCCACGCATGGAGCTGTCAGGTTTGAAATCGTCAAAGTTGAAGTAGTTTGCTATGCATAAAATGCCTGTCTTGCTGAGTAGGCAAGGGAGGCAGATTGTGAGCCTGTTTCGGGGTAGAAAAAGAGCTGCTCAAGCAGCATGACAACAGGCGTCCTCCTTGCCCTAAGAGAGTTACAAACTGCATTCTGACTCTAAATACTCAGCTTTGTCATGCGCCGCGTAGACATTGGGCTTGCAACTGGCATCGATTTTATGCATTACAAGTTATCTCTACTTCAACTCTGCTGATTTCAACTCTGACACATCCATACCATGGCCCGCGAGAATCGTCCACAGGGACTGCAACTCGCCCGGGGAGGCGGGTCTTTTCAGCGGTTTTGCCCGGGATGACTTTTTGGCCGTTCTTATCCTGTGTAAAAACGTCCCCACCCCAGAGTTGTCATGCAAATGTGCAATGACAAGAACATTTGTAATGCGGATGAGCATGAGAGGCATTTCCAATCTTGTTTTGGACTTTGTAATGCTGTGAACAGGATGAGAGGCTTGTTTTCTCATGCGGCTGTCCTTGCTAAACAGCACGACAATACAGATGGAAACTTGTCATGCAAAACTCCCAAAACTTGGAAATTTGTGTTCCAGATTTACTAACTTGACTATGGGGTGGGGACGTTTTTACACAGGATAGTTCTGATGATTGACATCGAGCTCGCGGCGAGCATATCAAAGGTAAAAGGGTCTGGGTCTGGAAAAACATGCTGGCTTTCATGGCGCAGAAGGTGTGGCATGGAAGCTCTAGCGTCACAGGTCTCGACAAGCTTCCGCACTGCCGAATCCGCATGACAAATTCCTCATTTTGGTGACAGAAAGTGTGCAGCTTTTGCGACCTATGCATGAGAGATTTTTCTGTATTCTGAAATGCGCATCACAAGTTTGGCGCTTCCAGACCCAGACACTTTTGCACCTGATACCGTCCGTCGTCAGACGAGGTGCTGAAATCGTCGCAACTCAGCGGGCATCCTGTGCAAAAGTATCGCACTCATAGTGATTGCAGTTGTCACGCGTTACAAATATAAGTTTTTATTTTCTGAAGGCAAACCCGCATCACAAATTCCGCTACCAATGCTGCGGACCTTTGATGTGATGCAGATGCAAAAGCAATTCGTACTAGTTTGATTCTTTTGCAATAGATAACGGCTCTGCCTGCCATCCTTTAGACAAAACCCCCCACCCCACAGCCAAGACTGCACCTCTATCACAACTGCAAAGAAATTCTGGCCCTTGCGCATGACAAATTGCTGCCCTGCTCCTCGTTGCGAAAGTTACAAACAGCATCAAAAAAGCCTATACGCGGGCGGCAGGCCAAATAGTTTGGCCCGGGCATGCAAATACGCACGGCAGGAATGGGGCGGGGTGTTTTTGCAAAGGATACCGCCGCCGCCGCGTGTTCCTGTTTCATGCGCGACGTCAAAGACGGCGGGGGCGAGGCTGGGGCGAAGCTGGGGCGGAGCTGGCGGGCCGGGCGGCGCGTCGGCTCCACCGGCGTGCTCCCGCTCCTCCCGACGGCCGTGCTGACAATCGCCGCGGGGCTGCTGCCGCTCCTTTTCATGATTGCCAGCGAAGTAGTGGTAAAGTCTGAGTAGAAAGGAAAGTCCTAAAGTCGGAGTAGAAAGCAAAATCCTAAATGGAAGCTTGAGTAGAGCACTGTAGCCGGGCGGGCTGAGAACTGAATGTATATAAGGACAAGGAATAGCAACAGTAGCAGTAGAGATTCCAAGCAAGATAGAGATACACACCACGAGAAAACGACACCGAATTCACAAAAAAAAGGAAAAAAAACATGGACTTCGCGATTGTAAAGCTACCAACCAAAAGAAACAGGAGCAACCGACTCAGACCCTGAGTACAATAAAAAAGTCATGATTTGCCGTGCGTAAAATAAAAAATTCGCAAACTTCTGCTCATCTCATACTCATGCATACGTAGTGCATGAAGTCGAAACTAAATAAGGTGCCTGCTCATACGCCCAAACGAAAAAACAACTCACCGACTTGCCATGCGCAAAGCACAGTTGCAGCTTCAATGTAATTGAAATAATCTTACGGGGGTTTGTCTATACCGAAAGTAACTCACACCACATGTCCTTCTTCAGTGTTCCCAACTTTAAACATTTCTTCTCCCCGCCCGCCCAGAAACAGCAAGACTTTGCTTCACTTTTCTGGCACCTGCATGCATCGGCTCAGCCGTCCGGAGAAGCTCTGAGCCGTTAGCTGCGGGCTGCGATTGTCACAATTAACAACCACAACGACGCACCCAGGGGCCGCCCGCGTGGAGGACACGCATGCAGGAATTTTTGGCCCCCTAGATGCCACCTGGCGGTGGCATCCGCCATCCCAAAAACTACACCGAGCAGTTACAAATACGCCACAAGGGCGCCGCACAAAGAGCACGGCGGTGGCACTATGGGCAGTTCCATGGCGCTTGCAAAGCGCTAGAGTCCCACCGTGATTGACAAACATAATACATCTTTTGTTTTTTTCTCCTTTAGAATGAATCGAGCCCCGCAGACCCCCGCAGACCCCCGGGGACCCCCGCCCCCCGCAGCTTATAAAAATAACTGCTATATGATGTCACTGAAAACAAGTGCAGTTGACGTTCTTGTTCGTGTCGACGTAGTAGTACTTACAGCTAACCCTTGCGCAGCTTCATTTTTCTCGAGGAATTGATATTTTTCGTGTGGCGCATTCCGTTTTGAATGCAAGAAACGCCATCACATATATGTTTTACTTTCACGACGCACAACGAGAACGGAAACTGACAGCAGCAGCAGCAGCACCACACGCCGTGCGGGGATTGTCACGGATAACAGAAACGGAGCTGCTCGCATGCCGTGGAGCACGACCGCATATCACTAGCTTAATAGCTGTAAATTTATCACATCGCCAAGAAAAAATAATCATACGTATATCTATAAAGAGACTACGTGACTGGTGATTTCATTTTTCTACCGCTCTGAGGGCGACGGTCATCTCGTAAGTTCGCGCGTCTCCCATCACCCCTACAGTTTTGCATTCCGGCATAAGCACCGCAAAGGCCTGCCCCACCTCGTTATAGACCCCGGCCTCTTTCAAGCTAGAAATGAAAATGTTGTCCGTATAGAGGGGAAGTGAGTTGTGATCTTTGGCAGTGCTGCTAACCAGTAACAGGAGTATGCCATGCGCTTACGCCTTGCATTGTCATGCAAATAAAAGCATTAGCATACGAAAAAAAAATAAAATAAATCAACTTCGTCAGTCGCGGAGCGATTTTTGCATTGGCCTTGGGTTTTGCTTTTGGTAGGCTACCTTTTGCCTGACAATTAAAACCGTGGCCGTGGAAGCAAGTCCGCACGGAGAAATGGAATTCTTCTTGGGGGTGGTAGTAGTGCAGGACAAGATCAACCCCCTGCTTCCCTCCATAGTCTGCCTCGCGCAAGACGTCCGCCCGCTCTTTTGTGACGTCGCCGCCGACAATTCGAATCGCGAGTCCGGGCCCGGGAGTATGGCCTTCTCGTCAGACGTTGTCGTGTGGCCATCAGTTGCGTTTCGTTTTTTCTGCTTTGATGTCATGCAAAATCTTTTCCACGACCTTCCGCTCAAAGCTGCCTCGTCGCGCGACCAGGCAGCTGGTCGCGCGACGCGCCAAACTGCGTTGACATTCGTGCCAATCTCGTCAACACAAAAAGCATGGCAGAAAGATAAAACAAAAACCGCGGCCTCCAGCTCCTCCATGAAGAAGACACACACGCAGAAATTCTACAACGAAAGTCCACACGACAAGGACGTCTGAGGAGGCCATAGGGAAAAGGGTGGCGCATGATGCTATCTTCATGCAGACCCAGTTCGCGGCCGAGCGAACGCACCTCGTCCTTGAACAGCATCCGGGGAGTATTGTGAGGAAAAATCCCCCCTCCCCATATCGAAAACGAAATTTGTGATGCTGTATTTGAGTACACAGTTCAGATTTGTCTTCCTGGAGAGGACTGCAGACCCATATCAAGCCTGAGTAGAGAGGCTTTGACCTGGACGCTTGGCATGAAAAGCGTCCGTGCTGTAGGCTCAACAGCATGACAAACCGCCTGTAGAATGCGGCGGATCCTGTGGAGTTGCCTTCATGCAACACAGAGACGATTTGTGGTCGTAAATCAGCAACACAAATTTTCGAAAGCGTACCTTTTCAATATGGGGTGGGGGGATTTTTCCTTTTGATAGAGAGGCTCAATCAGTCCCTTGAACTTCAACCTCGTAGTTTCATGAAGATCAAAATGCCCGCCTCAGGGTCACAGTCGCAGAAGTGTAGTTGCGCGATGTTGAATGAAAAGAGAGCTCAGATGAAAATAATGACGAGGATGCAGAAGCAGAATCACTACTACTGCTCCGCCCGGTTCGGGGGCCGGCGCGCTCGTGGGTTTGGGACTTATAGTAGAAGTTCAGAGCTCCTTCACACTATCGCTATTTTCATATATCAGATTAGTGTCATAGAGATGCGCTTAGAAACTTGAGTTGATGACCACGCGCACACTGCTAGCATACTAAGTATTGGCGACTGGTGGTGAACTCGCACCCGCCTCCTGCAATCGTCGCGTGTAGCTGTAGCTGCATGCCGACACCCGGGTTCGCGCCCGAGCGTGGGCAGGCACGGATGCTGCGTAAAAAACAGGGCGCCGCTTGGTCGCCGCTTCGCGCTTCACGGCGACAGAGAGAAGCTGCGCAGCGTACTTCTCACAACAAGATCAGGCCAAAACCAAGTGGCTTAGGGCTTGAGCGTCAGCTTAACCTAAAGCTATGACGCAAGCACAACTTGCGCTTTGATCACTATCGTTTTTTTCATAGCTTCTTTAGCATGATACGCATATGCGGAAATTGTAATTACGAGACCCCAATCCGCGGAGCTGCAGGTGCAGGTGGTCAGGATCTATAGCATTTGATAAATGGGTATGGGTTGTGTAAAAAAGGGGCGCCGGCGACCCTGTACCTTTCGGGAAGCCCCCCAACATTGTGGTGGGACTTTATGACGGAAGAAGGACCCTTGAAGCTTGTAGACTCAATGACGTCCGGGTACAGGGTTCCCTGCAACAAGTAAGTGGACTCAATGGGCAAATCCGACTCGCGAATCGCCCGCTCGAAGGCGTCTATAAAGAGCTTGCCGATGATTTTTCGTTTCCTCTCAGGTTCCGTAACACCGTGCAAAGCTTGATAGAATTCAGCGCTCGCGTCAACGCATTGAAGCTTCAATCCGGGTATGTGTTGGGTTAGTCGCGTCTGCACCTCCTGTGCCTCGTCCTTGCGCAGCAACCCGGTGTCAATGAGAAACGGGCGGAACCGTTCTCCCAAGGCCCGGTGCATCAAGCCAGCGGCCACAGAGCTATCTACTCCTCCGGAAATACTATGGCAGCGTCAGGATTTAAATCGTCAAAGTTGAAATAGCTTGTAATGCATAAAATCGATAACAGGCGGAGGCCCAATTTCTAAGCGGCGCATGACAAATTTTCCGAGCACCGGATTCCGATTTGTCATGCTGGTTGGGCACAGACGACTGCTTTTGTCATGCAACTTTTGCAGCTCTATTTCAAACCCTAAACAGGCTGACAGTGGGTCTCACTTGCCATCCAGGCAAGACAAGCACTTCACGCCTTTGCCTTTCATTTTATGCATGACAAATCATTTCAACCTTGTCAATTTCAATCCTGACAGTTCCATAAATACCGCCGAGCACGTAATCCGTGGGGCCCACTTGCACGTATCCTGTGCAAAAGTATCGCATTCGTATAAACGTCAGTCTTGTTGCATTGCAAATCTTTTTCTTAAGGCAAATCCGCATTACAAATTTTATTTCTCATGCTGAGAAAATTTGTAATGCATTTATACGAGTACGATACTTTTGCAGTTCATAGCTCGCGGATCTTGACAATCTCAAGCTCGCAAAAATTTTTCATGGTCCACTTGGCGAAGGAAAATGCGTTACGTGCAACAGGTTTCCTGCTCCCATCTGTTTTAGATTTCGGATTCAAGCTCCTCAAAAGAAAACCGTATTGAAAATGGGCAGATCCGACTCTTCGGTTTGACGAACGGCATGGGCACTTTTTCATTTCTTTCATATATTTGTATGGATGAATCGCCTGCGACTACTTCAGGGATTCCCTGGCGACCGAGCGAAACGGGCCCGGCCCTGCTGCTAGTCCGTCGAGTCCATCCCGCCAGCAATGACTAGGAAGGCAGTACTAAGATGTTCAAGTGTCCAGGTTTACAACCCTGCCGGCTGATGCAGTGGAGAGAATACTTCTATGTGTGTATCATACAAAATGTACTGCAGCTGCTGACTATTGGCACTTGTTTTACGAGGCACATTACTTTGAAGATTACGCCTATATCATGAGCATGTGCATGACGACGCATCACGTACATGTTCCTACTAATGCAACTATTCAAAGTTCTTGTACCTATTGTGGTCGTTGGGGACTTGGCTTCTTTTTCAATGGACGCAGCACCAGCAGACGACGCGTAGGCGGACGCGTTTTGAAGACTGCTTACCAGGAAGTTTTTTATGATCTGCTTTCCGCAGTGAGTGTGCGTTACTTCGGGATGAAATTGCACGCCGAAGAAGTTTATGACATGCAAAAATGTCTGAACCTGGTTGGTTGAAAAGCCCCTTCGTCATTCAGCTTTCGGAAAAGACGCGTGATTGCTCGGAAGGGCGTCACATGTCTTGCGAAGGCTACTACAGCTTCTTAACGCCTGCTCCTATTGCGCATGGCAAAGAACAAAGCCGTCCTCTGCCTCTGCGTTCGAGCAATAATTTCTCGTGCGATTGTTGCAAGTCAGCATTGAAAATTCTGCCTTTGGCTCCAGGTCCAGACCCAGACAGTAGATTTGCGATGCATAAAGTTCTTCTCCTCGTGAAAGATGGCCGCGTGCTCTGTCCTGTGGAAAAACATACAACCCGTGCCATATTGATATCAGTGAGTCATGCTTAACCGTCTGCGCTACCGAGCCTGCGAAGGTGGGGGTGCGGGATCCATTTCCATGGGATGCACATCAAAGCACAATGCTTATTTTTCATCATGCTAATCTGGATGCGTATGCCCAGCAGACAGAGGACGCTTGCGTATCTCATGTGAGTATGGCTCGTCCGCATGAGCGCCATTATCTGATCATGTTTGGAAATATGTCATGCTGTCATCAAAGTGGTAACACGGTGGATTTTTCGTGATGGGCCTTCACTACCTAGGCGTGACCATAGTACATAGTACGATATTTGTACTAGTCACGCGTTAGTCCAAGGAGTTCCCTTGACTTTGTGTAGCAGAATGCCCATTTTGACTGTAATTGACCGGGAACGTCGTAGTTTTTGCACAGGATATACTCGCAGTTATCCGTACTCCCCAAAACCTCAAAACCCGGAGCCATCTTCGTGACTTTGTCGCCGTGGGACATCCACAATTGACTGCCGGTCGGAACGTCGGAGAACAGACTCGTCGCCGCACTCACGTGGTCGTTCGGATTGTTCTTGCCAAAACGATCAACCACCTGAAGTTCTGCATACCCAAATTCGCGTTGGCTGTCGAACAAAAAACGTGAACTTTTCATGCCCGTCGTCGACAGAAGTTCTATGTTTTCATACTATTTTCCAAAACGAAAAACGACAGCGTATGAGCTTTCAATGACATTGAAAAACCTACGATGTTTTTTCTAAAACTAAAACCTAAAACACTAACTACCACCTGTTGACAACGGCAGTGGCTGGTTCGTCTAGTTTTTCTTTTTGTATTTCCTTCTCCTTTTCCACAGCATTGCCATTGGAAAACGAAAATCAAAAGACAAATTCAATATAGTGAGTAGATGACCACCACGCCCACCACGAAACGTCGTTGCAGGGATGATGAAACGAGAGCCATACACAGGTCTTGGATCACGAAGATCACCTCCGCCACACAAACATTCTCATCCATGACCATGCATCCATGGAGTTCCTCCTTCTCGACGTCGTGTGGAAAGTTCAATTTTTTTGCATACTGGGATCCGGGACTCACTTTCCCACCAAGCGCCCACATCATCTCTTGCAATCCGTAGCATATACCTATGATTTTCATCATGAAGGTAACCATTGACTTAGAGGATGCATATCGTCAGTGTAGTGGTCTACTTGCAAAAAGATTGGCAACGCCAGATGCACATCCTGTCTCTAGCATTTATATCGGCATTCTCGATTTTGACACGACGCCCCCCATTGATCACCTCTACCTCGGGCTCGGAATATTCTTCAAATTAATAAAGTTGTAATTTCATTTCATACACCAACACCTTATCAAGTTTGACGAGTCCTCTTGTCCTCGAACAAGTACAGAGACAAGTATCGAGTACTCGCATCGCAATTAAGCTAAAACAAAACGCAAACTATATACTACCTAGGACGGGGATCTGTTTATCGTAAAGCACTTGCCAAAGCTCCGGCTTCAGGTGCGGGGCCTCCTCTTCGTATACACTACTGGGTCCGCCGGATAGAATGACGGCTTTGGGAGCGAAGCTCTCCAGATATTGTTCGTCTATCATTTGCAAACATGTCTGGGTCTAGAGATTTTTACCAGGGTTGTCATGCATATTTTGCATGACCAGCGATACCTGCAACGCATGGCCTAGCATCACAGATTTTTGGAGGGCTTCCTGTTGCCTATTCCGCGTGACAAATGCCCCCTCCACGTAGGACAAACCCCAGCAGACATATTTGCAGTTGATATCGTCAACATTGCGACAACTTATCAGCTCGGAATACGCACCCAGCTCGCGAATCCGCCGGCAGATCAAGTGGGTCACCTGCGATCCAAAGTCGATATGGGAGCGTCAGGGCGGATAGAGTCACCAAATAAATGAGAATGGGAGGGTACTAGAGCATGAAGATGAAGCGCGCGAGAGAATAAACTCGCTGCGTTTATTCTGGGGGGTGTTTTGATGCCCCACACAGCATTAAAGAGTCAGCATGCGTTCAAAAAGCAATAACGAGTTCAAATGGTGGAAACGAAAATGGAAACGGAGGTGTGATGATCGCTTTGGCTTTTATCTTAGTGCGGAAGGCTGAAACCGAATCATTTTCATTTTGGCGATTCCCTAACTGACGCTTCCATAGTCAACGACTGCAACTTTGTCTCCTGTGATGCCCTCCATCCTGGAGGAAGGCGGTAACTATAGAGGGGACAAAAGGATTGACTTTACGTCAGAGTGCTGCGGCTAGCCGCCCTAGGGAAACCCGCTGTCATCCATGCAGAGTTGACGCAATGTTCCGCAGTTTTGGCATGCAGAAAGCTCAAATAAAAAATCAACCTTACTTAATGCGCCAACGGTCTGGAGTGATTTTGATTTCAATTTTTGTGCACACTCTGCATTGTAAAAGATACACCAGGAGCTGCCACTGCGTCCGCGTCGGCAGACCCACATGACACGGTTTGCGTAGGCACTCTAGACGATCATCAATGACCACATCACCTCCATAGTGACGAGGAGGAGCTGCTGCTCGCTGTGCTGCGCGTCGACGCTTCTACAGAAGGAGCGGGCTCCTGATGCAACATTTGCCACAAAAATCGAGACTGTTAAACCGGTAAATGCGTTGTAGTTCAATATTGTTTTCCATTCAAACTCAAAAACAATACTGCCTAACAAGGAAAACAAAATCCACGAAGAACATGATTGAAAAGCAAATGCGGAAAAGAAGAAGCTAGACTAGTAAGTCCTTCCTGCTCCTCGTCCTGCAACTGTCCTACGTTGATACTGGCAGGCTGATAGTATGTGACCGCGTTCTGTTCTTCTTCTTTTCCCGAACTGCTACAGCTAGTACGGAGTATCGAGTATTTCAAACAGAAGCTCTTAAAGTGTAATGCAGTCACCGAATGTACCTACTAAAAGTGCAAGTAGCTGCAAGGTTGCGGCTGGAATACGATGAATGCCACTGTCGTATTGCTGAAACTTGCCCTCGTACTTTTGGAATCAGCATTTGACTCTGCTCTCGTGTTGATTTTTTGATGATCATATTCAGAAGTGAGAGTGACGATCGACTTCGACTACGTGATCGATTTTTACATCGGCGCGCGCGAGTACGCAAATACTAATCGTGATCTGCAGCTTTTCCCAGGATTGCACGACAGACTAAAAAGTCTTACTCTTGACAGACTGGCTGCACGACAGGCGGCGAACAAGCTGAAGCACACTGCACATGTAAATTAGTCTTCGGCGGTCATCTCTTCAGCGCGCTCTGCCATCTCCTCCATCATTTCATATCATTCCAATCCTCTGCGTCCTCTGGCAGAAAAAGGATACTGGTGGTAAGTAACTTCAGTTTGTTTGTAGTTTCTTTATCTTTTACAAAAGTTACATAAACCTTGATTCCAGTGCCAGTTTGTCGGCCATAGTTCCGGTTCCGCGCACACTTCCGCCCCTGTCTCACTACATAATACTAACTCCTATTGCCGGCGTCGGTTTCGGTTTTGCTAAATATCGTTCGTACACGTAAAAGATAACCATAGTCCTAATTTCGACGCACCTGCTCAAGGGCGATCGCATCCGAGATGACCACAGCAAGGTCTCCTCGCTGACCCTGCTCAGCGGACCACTGGAGCATATGTGTAAATTAAGGTACTTTTGTTCTCAATCTCATTTCTGATACTCACTATTTCAGCTTGGTAATCGTAAGGGAATAAAATAGCAACACTCTCAAAAGTAGGATGGCAGCGCGGCTCCAGCCCGAGTGGGCAGAGCGACGTGGTCATACTCTCAGCTACAGAGTTGATCGACGAGCAAAGGCGTTGTCCATCGAGCCAATTCTGTTGTCAAACCTAACTACATTGATATTACTGGCCTCCGCTACGTAGCGGATCTTGTTTGTACTTTTTTGTTCTGACGCAAGTACAGTCTGTTGCTTCCTTCTGTTCATCCTGCTTTGAGAGGCTCTCAAAGAAACTACTACTTAGATCCTGGACGTACAAAGTGATCTTATTTTCAGGCTTACTGCTGCAATCTTTTCAATCGTAACTCTCGAATCAAAGCTATGATCTCGTGCAGAAAAGGGATCATGGAGGAAAACTTCTGTATACTAGGGATGGAGATGATAGTACAAGTACGACTTGCTGGTGGCAAGAAATTACTCATCAGTACTATATATCAAGTATAGTATTTGCATTTATATTTAATGGGCTTCAGTACAACTCTTTGGGTCTTCACTTTTTCTCGATATGAAGCTTCGCCCAATTGCTTTTTCCGCTGATGGTTTCGTCCGTGATCTTCAGGACCGTGTGCTCGAGCACATGTGAGGCGCAGTTTGTGAAGAAATTTTCGAGCCGAATATCGCCATACTGCTCGAGCGTATCCGCCCAATACTGTTCCGCACGCAGTACCGGGTCTTTTTCGATTTCATGACGATCCTGGTCCTCCTCGCCGCCCTGAAGAACAGCAACATCACCACCGCGGGTACGTTGAGTGTTTGTGTTGCTGCTGCTGCTGGCGTTCGCCTTGCTTCTATCGGAGGTATTGCTTGCACCCAAGAGTGCACTGGCTGCGGCTGCGCCCCCCACTTCTGCTGCTTCGCTTGCACCGGTGCCCCCGAAAGAGCTTGAGGAGGTTTTGGTCCCCGCAGCCGAAGGCGACGAAGAACCGCGTAACGGTGGCCGCAACTTCATCTCCTCGGCGCGCGACACGCCTGCGAATAAATCTTTGTCCGGAAAATCCATCAGCAGGGCGCTCCGTGGGAGGGATACTCTGGATCCGGTATCGGCGTCGGAATGATCCCTATGAAAGTGAACAACTGGTGGTACTCTAACTCTCCGTCCCGCCCTGTTCTGGAACAAGAAAGCAGATACTCACTCATATTTATACCGCATACCGCTACCGCATCGGAATAAGAAGAACTAGAACAATGTGGCGGGAAATACAGAGTTTGGTGACGTCGAATTCGCGATGCCCATGGAATTGAAATTGGTGTACTAATAAATTACTAACTTGCTTTTCTTTTTTCATTATAAATGTGTGGGGTTCATGGGGCACTTGTCGTTGTCACCAGACAACGTTGACGATCACGACAGCCCCAGAAGCGCCGTTGTAGTTGTACACATTCTTTTTTCATGGGAGTTCTATTCTTGGCCTTTTCCTCGTTTTGATGCATCGCAAAGGACGAGTATGAGAAGCACACGGACGAGCAGGAGTGTCACGAGTTGTCCGCTATCGTAAGCTTTTCCTCGTTCTTCATGAGGCCTCGATGACGAGGAGGAGGAAGAGCCCCCGCTCGCCCCAGCAACAACGTCGATGGGCGGAGGCAGTACAAGCGGATCAGTCCTCTGCTTGACGCGCAGCTCCGGTAGCCCCTCAAGTACCGATGGTCTGGCGCCGGTGGTGGGATCGAGCTGCGAGAAATACGGTGCAGGTTGCGCCGCTTGTTGCGCAAGGAAATCCTTGAAGGAGTCCCCGTTCAAAAACACACGCATTCCCTCGATGATGTTGTCGCACACGGTCGCGAAGTCTTCCTTTGGCTTGCTCGAAGATGAGGACGTCGCAAGTGCGGCTTGTGGTTCTCCATCTCCGCCTTGAATCACCATGGATCCTATTCGTGCCGGCTGGGATGGGGAAGATGCCTCCACTGCCCCTCCTGCTTGCACCAAGTGCTTTTCCCTCGGAAGAGCTACCGCAAGGTCGCTGCTCTCCTCTGCTCGGCATGCGACGGACAATCGCACAAACAGCGGAAAACTAGCGAGGGACTCCCCAGTCTGTGGCAACGAAGCAGTGTGTCCACCTGGTGTGATGTTGTGTTTCCTATTATGTCACTAAAAATAGTTGTACAAATTGATAACTAGCAGCTCTCGCATTCATGCCCCTGATTCTGCAGCCTGTGTTGTTGATCTGATGATCATATTAATCCTCTTCCCCATTGCAGTAGCAGTTGCAGAAAGTGAATGACCAAAGAGCATTTTCATTTTCATGCAGCTGCAGCTCGAGATAAAGTCATTAAAGATGTAGATAGTTGAAGCTACGCCTACTACTAAGTAGAGGCTGCCGAAGAACTCTACTAAGTAAAGGTCTTCGGCAGCCTGAGTTGCTGGGAGGGAAACGGTGGAAAGCAGCGTCCTACTCATGCAATTACTTACATAAGGAGCTGCCGCCCGATCCATATTTGAGTGAGTGAATGAATGAAGATGACAGACACAAACTGACGGTGTTGGATTGCTAAAACAGCAGCGACAAACAGGCCTACGTGAAATCAAAAAACAATAAACAATATCAGATATCAACTCTCCCAGATGATCATGATGATGACGAAAAGTAGAGGCTAGAACTACAGTACGAGTCACTACTTACCTTGACTGTGAAAAGACTCCGACAGCACTTGGCTGAAGCCAAGGTTTTCCTTATCTAGGTCATCTGTCTTCGTTTCCTGTTCGCGCGACCTGAGGAAGTTCTGCTCAAGCTTTTTGTAGGCACGGCGGGGCGTGAGATTCGAGATGTGGGAGGAGAGCAGTGCCGTTCGATCCAGACTGCGATTTAGGTACTTCTGACCCGCGGCTGTGCTCATGAGCGCGCGGAAACGCGCGACCGTGAGGCGGTTTACAACGGAGACGTGTCGATTTGCAAAGTTGTGAGGATCATAGGTTGGCTCGTGTACTGCGTCGGTATGCGCCGCGAAAACCTCCTCTTCTATCATCGGCCGCTCCCACGGATCTGGACCCGGTGGCGGTGGTGGGTGCAGCAGTTCCCACGATATCTGACACTCTAAATCCCCGACCAATTCCAGTGGACCTAGGAGTAAACCAGAGTTGTAGATGTTGAAAATATAAATAATTCACTCATTAACTACATAAAAAGCAAATGCTTTTGATGACTAGCTTAATTCTGTACCAGTTCCAGCAGTTCATCTCATTATATTTTGAAAAAATGTTCGCTTCGTCGCCTCTTTCTTCATTCGCATTCTGAACAATGATCATGAAGCAAAAGAGCCTCCTCCTGGACCTCCTACATATAATTATAAAAATACTCAAAAATAAACACTACATGTACATTTTCCAAGAAGGACCACCGGACTTACCTTCGATACAGTGGAGCCGGAAAAGAATCATCTGGTGCGTCCCGGGATAAAGCGTCCCGGACTCCGGTGTGATGGAGAACTCCTCCATGTTTCGGAAGAGTCCCTGTGTGTGCCACTGGAAGCTGAGAACGCTATCCCTGGAATAGTTGACAAGCGCTACCACCTTGGTGTTGATGGAGTCCACTGGTACCACGCCAAAGTCGACCGCCTCGCACGGTGTATGGAGTCGCCAGCGATGGGAAACAATCATCGAAATGAAAAAGATGAAAATACTTTATACAAAAAAAAATGTCAGGCGACACCGAAGCGCGGCGCGGCCTTTTCTTTTGCTACATCGTGTATTGAATGCGTGGTTCTCATCTGCGGGAGGCCGGAAAAGGATGTCTCCCAAGGAGCGAGAACGTATTGGTAGGTCAGGCCCAGGCAGACAGCAGCGTATAGAGTTCCTCCATCGCCATCACATCCAAGCCAAGGAGACCAAGTTTTACTTTTTCAGGCTGGGTCCCAACTTCGATGTCAGTTTCTCTTACATTCGCAGGGCTTCGCAACGTTTCCTACAAAGAAAAGGAAGAATCCAAATCAACTTGCATCTTCAAATGCACAAATTTCTTCAGGCATCCTCAAATCCCTCGGGTCACTATCATGTGGGTGATTGTATTTGAAGACTCAAACTAATCCGCACCGATCGTGTGCAATGTCAGAGCCAAAAAAACAACATTGGAATCCAGTTTCATTTCTACGGACGGTTTCCCATCTTGCGCGTCCGTACGAGAGAGCCGCACCGTAATTAGGCAGAGGCGCGTACGTCTGTAGCGGAAGGGTCGGTCCAAAGGGTGGAGTAAGGTACTCCGGGGGCGCCTCTCCCTTCTTCGGGTCGAAGCCCGTTGCGCACAGTTCGAAGTCCAACGTTTCCACCACAGTTCCGTCTCGCAACGTCAAATCGATTTTGATCGGGCACCGTATCGGCTTTGCTTCGATGGGCGTAAAGTAGGCGCTATTCCGAGAAAACTTACCACCTCCATCCAATTTGTTACACAAAGCACGACGTTGAAACAGTTTCCGCTGCTAGGGGACGCGGCCAACGTCCCTGCCTGGGCCGCGTCCCTGTTGCTTTATAAAACTTAAAACGGTAGTGGTAGCCACAATCGTCATTGTTTTTGCGAAGTACGAGCGAGGGCGAGCACGAATAGTACCGCATGATAGCCACTTGCGCGGCAATGGCAAACTCTACCTCGTATAGTTACATTGGACGAGATGAACAAACTTCTGCTAGTTTTATTCGTCCCCACGATAGGTGATGCATGGGGATGGTAAATTTTCAGGGCATAGGCGTGCAGGAAAAGACGTGACTTGGGATCCAGGTTGCCCGAAGTGGGGTGGATGGTCAGGAGCGGGAACCCGTAGTTCTGTGCTTGCAAATCGTTGATGCTGGCCTGGTTCAGCATCCAGTATGCTGGGGCACTCCCGCAGTTGCTCAATTCGATTACCTGTAGTGGGCCTCGCTCGTAGCCGATAGGGACAGGCCGGAGTGTGATCGCGTTCGCGCGGACGCTCAGCCTGCCGATATTTGGTGGCAACGTGTTTGCCTTACAGTAGAACACCATGGACTTGCCTCGCAACACGGTGAGGACGAAGGGGAGAATATGCGTGCCGACGCTGATATGGACGTGCCAAGTGGTAGAATTGAAAAAATCAAAATGGAAACACTATAAATATTCATGCAACTACAGTCCAGGTGGATTGATCAGGGTTCACGCAACGTGGGAGCATCTCACCGAAACCCGAGTCGGGCAGAGCCATCAACTACAAACAGCGATTGCTCGCCGACACATAACATGAAAATCGATGCCCACTCCTGTAAAAATATCCGCATATTTTTCTACTTACGTGGCGCAGCATGGAAAATTTTTCGGATCCTCCGAGTTAGTTTGTCCCTGTTGGTGTCGTTGAGAGCAAATCCGAGATCATGCTTCTCGACAACCCCATTCATGCTTCTCGACAACCCCCAGAAGATCGTAGTCAGGCTTACAATCAGCCCCCGTAGTTGCCTCGAGTGCACTGAATTCGACTGCGGCATCTCTCTGCCATTATGTAAATTTTACTTATTTTCCATTTTGTCGATTTCCAACCAACTGAAGAGCCTCTGATAGCTGAAGTGCTGGTACGTGAATCGCACGAACTGAAACTCTCCCGGCGCGATGGTTGCGGTCTTTGGGTACACGTCGAGGACCTTGTGGTTCTCGACCCACTCGTAGTGGTGTTCCGCCATCATCAGCCTCTGCTCCTCCACGGTTGGTTCGTCCCCCGTGCTGGCGCCCCCCTGACTGGTTCCCCGGTGCCATGGGGGAATCTCGTCGTGCCACAGAGGCACATCTTGCAACTGCAGGTCGCCTGGGGTCTGTAGTTCGAACTCTACTGGCACGTCCGTCGGGTTCGTTAGAACCTTAAAGATATTCATCATCTCGGTTTTAGCGTATTTGTTGTTCCCTTAAACTTCTACATGCATGATAAGCCGTACACATATCATACAGCCTGTGTCCGACGTGGGCGCTCTACGAAATAGGAAGGGTCAAAAAGTCCAAAACGTCGCTATGACGCACTGATCGTGTTGACCCACGCCTGTCGGTCGTTCGCAATAGAAAACTACTCCTGGCGAGAAAATATTTGCACTATTTCATCAAATGAATCAACATCAGTATTCACTTTCAGCATTGCAAATGGATATAGAGGCTGCACCAAGTAGACGACGGTTGGTTGATTGCCGTACGGCGCGGTTCCAAAGTTCAGCTGGTAGCTACCCAACTGCGGCAGGAGTTTTCGTCGCGCGTCGAATCCGAGCGCGCTCTGGAACTTCCGATCTACCGCGCTGGGTCGCAGCCGTTGCCCCTCAAATCATATGGAAATCCTCTACCACCTGTAGCCATCTCAAAAAGTGCACAACTGCTACTGGGCTTGCACCTCGCAGTGTCAACATTCTAAATGAGTGTCAGAAGTGCCGTCAAAACTACAAGTATAACGGTGCAAGGCTATAAAGAAACATGCCACGTACTAATGCAATTTCGAAAATAATGCAACAAGGGCAAGATTACGGCGACCGCGAGCCGCAGTCTGCTGCAGCTCTACTTTTCCGCGTCCTTATATATAGGTTGTATTAATTTTTTGTCCTATACCCAGCAGAAGTTTCGATTTATAGAAATTTCCCACTTTGCGAACCATGGAATGGAGGTGGTAAGCCTGACTTTCTCTACCATAACTGATTGAAGTCATCAACTTGGCAGTAAGTCCAGAGCATCGACACTGGCTGGGACACCGCGGACTCCTGCCGGACATCCGATATTTGCACGAGCGGCGACTGGGCATCTGCGCGCACGCTGAAGTGCGCCTCGAGATCCGCTTCGCTCTGGTCTGGTAGTGGATGGTGAAAGGCGACCGGAACCACGCGAATGTGCCACTGATGCACGCCGCGCCGCTTCGGGTTCACCTCAAACTTCAGGTCCACAAAACCCCGAGGGCCCACTGCACCCTCGGTTTTCTCAAATACCAGGGAGTCGCGAAACAGCGCCGCGCGATCCTCGTTGCGCTCCAGCGGGTCCTTCGGGGGCTGTGGGCTGGGAGGGTAGCTATACCGGTCCGTGATGCGCGGGGAATTCAAAGGCGTGCTGTGTTTAGTTTGTCCTCTCGTCTCTAGTAGATCAATCGCATTTAGATTTATTCATTTTCATCGTGCTTTATTAGTCGCCTGAACGTGAACCTGGACCTGCGCATTCCGAGAAGAGCGGTTCTCATGCATTGTGTCTTCGAGCGCCCTTCAGCTACTTGCAGGCGAAAGTCAAAGGATAAGGAAGGTATTCATTTCTAATTGTCATTGTGTTTATCTTTATAATTATGTACTTACATTATAGTTGGTCATACGTATAATTTCTGTTCTCGAACGGACAGGAAGACCAACGGGTGGACGCCCGACGAGCGCGCAGGCACACACAAAAAAAAGCAAAAAAGAAACGCAACGCGCCGCGAATACCTCTTGCCGTCCCTATGACTTCCCTTCGGAGAACGCATTTGTTCAATGCTTTTTCTGAGCGGACTCCTATCAAGTTCCAGTCGTTCAAATTCAAATTGAACCTCGAGCTTGAACCGTACTTCCTGATTGCTGTTGTTGAAGAGCCGCACCTCCGCCTTGGTTTTGTCTGGATGCGTGGCAGTTAGCACACCTAGGTCCACTGACGAAGTTTCGAGAGACAGTGCCTGTCATAGATGCAAAAAATGGATATAATGCCGAAAGCTTGCATGTAGTCTTCTCCGTACTTCATCATCAAATGTTGCACTACTTCAGTGCCTCTTCCTTTTTGACGTCAGCAGACACTACTTCACCAACTTTGCTGTGCCAATGGGAAAAAAAGTAGTTAATTGACGCTGAACTATGACTATCTTCCTTTTTGGTTATTATTTTCTGAACAAACTACAAGTACAAAGGCGTCTGTACCGGTTGTTGGCCGTGTCCTACTAGTTGAATGGCATAGGGTTTTCTTGCCGTCGGGTGCGGTGCAGGTTCTTCGACACAGAAATCTCCTTCCCCGGCAACATCCTCGATTGCGCGCGGCCCAAAGAAATTTCGGTCCTGTATTGCAAAGACCCTCTCTCTATGGATGTGTCAGGTACCGAGGCATCGTCACCTGAATGGAGTCGATCTTTATACATTTATCTAACATGCAAAAAAACGTCTGCAATAGGAGCCGCTGTTAGCTTAGTGGTCGGCGTCGGCTCGAGATATATACCTTCAAAGCTATTCGACGCGCATTTGTAGTGCCTCGGGCTATTTGGAGAATGTAAAAATAAAGAGCACTATGCAAAATTACGCTTTAATGCTAGCCATCAGCCCAACTTTTACTCTTGACCGTGAAAAATAGCTGAAATAAAATTCCGATTCGCATGCTGCCATATCAAATGTATGATGTCACTTGCAAGAATGCAGTCACTCTTTGACGCCTCGCATTGAATGCATCGCAAAATATTTCGTCCAGTGAGCGACCTACCCCTGCGCCTGACACTTCCATACTTGTCGTCGTCGGCGTATCGCTTCTCAGTGGCGTAGACGCTTATCGCGGTTGCTATCTGCCCGGCGGCTTCTGGCGTAAACTTAAGGGCAATCTGACTGCTTTCAGCTGGTCCGAGTTGGCCTTCCGCCTCCTCAACGTGAAACACGCTGCGAAATCGTGCTGGTATCCTTACATCATAGCTGATGGGAATCTCCGTCCGGTTTCGAACCTTTTTTAAGTGCGTTTTTTTTTTTTAACCGTAGGCACGCACTCACCCCGCGGGGTGGCGTCGCCGGAAAAACCAAGAACAGCTCTGTTTTTCAAGATTCTCTTTCTCATCGTCCTACTATATATATTAGAATCAAATTACTCAAGCGATCCGTGGCAAGATTAAAGCGCTGCAACCAGCAAAACCTCCATGCGTTTGCACATTAAAAGGGATGACATTTTTGCCCTTGTTGTTACCATAAGGGCTCGCGTAGATTTCAAGCCTTGGCAGGTCAGCGGAAAGGTAAGCAGATTTTTCACATCCAGCTTCGTTTGCCAACACCTCCCCTGCACGTGCACGTAACGGTACTCGGTTTCCTAGTATCAAAAGGAATAGCGCCCCTACCACCACGGAGCTGCGGGCAACGTTTTCTATGCTTGTTCCGCAATAGGGATGTTGAAACGCATGCAGCTACTTGCTTCTTCGAGCGTGGAGGCCCCGTTGCTGCTGTTTATATATAGCATGATGCTCGCAAGTGCTTAGTTTAGTACATGTAGAGCAGTGATGCACTATCAATGAGAAGCGTCACAAGGTAAAATGTAAGCCGTCTCTCATCTCGTCATGTCGAGGCTGCATGGTTCGCCTATGCCAAGACTCTAACGGCATCTTCAAACTAGGACAGCAATTATGTTTTTGTATGTTTCGCAAAAATGCCTTGCGATGCAAGCATTTACATCAGCCGCACCAGGCTTAGGGGCAAGGCGCTTTTCACTTTGATGCCTCGTAGTTGACAACGATTGGAATTTTTGCTTTGAACTCGGCCTCATTTTGGATTTTCGTCGGGGAATATCCAAGAAAAAAGCGGTGCTATTGCCGGAAGCGCAGGAAAGTGACATCATGATCACTGCCCTTCTCGTTGTCGTTCTCGTACCCTGAGCATATTTTTAGTCACATGATTCATTGGCTAAGCTTTTTGTAAAACTACAAGCATGCACTTTTCAGTGAGAACAATGCAAGCGAATACACCATGCATAGTTATTCATAGCTAGCACGTGAATCACAATGATATGCTAGCTATCGTTATGCATGCTGGTCACCGGAATCCGAATCACTGTCGCACAGCGTTCCTCCACGCCGAGACACTGGACCCCAACATGATGTGCTGCTCCTGTATAACAGTTTTGTACAACTAACACACGTTTTTTCTTGCATAGAGCAAACTCCACCACGATCGCGTGAAACGAGTGGGGGTAAATGCAGCCTCGTTTGGGGTAGCAGCTGAATGGTGTTTCCTCGCCGAGGTTTTCTCCGAGCGCCGGTAGGATCCGATACACCATCTTCGTGTCCCCACAGTTCTTGATCAAGAAGACATGGTAGCTCCCTGAAAAGATATTTGTATTTCTATGTAGCGAAGCTTGAGGTGCTTGATGTGGTTGTGGAGCAGATGATCCATTACTAATCACTGCCCTCCTCAATAAAATTACAAAAAAATACTGTCTGCAACAAAAGTCTTCGAGCCGTCAACATAGCTTCGAATCCAAGTATGCACAAGGCCAGATCATTGGTACGTTGCATGAGCGCGCAGGGCTTCATTCGCACGATGTTGTTGGAGTCCGAGACTTCTACTTGGCAGTCATCACGATGGTAGCCCATTGTGTGGCCTTGACAGTACAAATTCAGGCAGGTGGGTGGCGTGAATCTTTTCAAATTGACGAGATGAAAGCTTCGGTTTCGCTTTGGGTACACGTAGCACTCCAGCACTTCGCCGTCAAAGTTCATTTCCTTTCCGGGCCTGTAGGTCACCTGAAACTCCATCTCTCCTCGTGCTGGTATCTCGACGCTGTTTGGGTAGACGGAAAAGGTGGCGAGATCCAGTTCCTCAAACTTCGCCACGCTTGTGGCTTGTCGCGTCTCATTCACGATCATCCATACGGCGATCACCTTTGATTTGATTTCGATTTTCAATAGATTACGAACCGAAGCTGTAGTTGAAGCACTGAGTATTCAATTCGCGCGCTACAGTGCGCCAACAAAGAAAGAACTACTACCCGGCACCTGTACATAGACATGCGAGTTCGCAATGCTGCAGTTCGATTAGTCTCGTCGCCAGTATCTTCTCGAAGCGCGCCTTTACTACATCCACACAGTTGCAATGCCAAAAATCTCGAAAATGCTAGTACCTTCTGACTCGTGTTATTTGTGACGGTTACTGTGCGGACTCCGGGCTGACCGAAGAAGTCAAGCTCGTCGGGGGTGAGACAAACGTCCTTCGGAGGGTAGACACACTCCAAAAAGTATGAAAGTAGAAACAGAAAGCCAGTTGTCATCTATTAATTTATCATGGTGTATCATTTGCTCGGGTTTGCTGCGGATGCGCTTGTGCGCCATTGGTTTCTTCCCAGAGCAAACGCAAGGCGTGCTAGGGCTAGTGCTTATCACATAAAAAAGTTTTTACCTCAGTCTATACACATGCAGGCCTTTTATCTACCGCGAAAATGTAGATCCATATCTACATGGCGCTAGATCATTCACCAAGACAATGAGACACCAAGTAAAATAACTGACTGCAATTTTCGCGTCTTTCGCTTTGATAGGAAGCTTTGTACGTTCGAAATCTCTGGGCGTTTGAGCGTCGCCGGAAAAACTCGCTCTAGGAAGTTATGGTACGTTTTCTTGGGGGATACCGAACGCACCGGACTGCCATGATCACCTGCGTTGGCATATTTTTTTTCTCATATCTTCTATAGGGTTATCAATCACGATGGCGGCATCTTCATCGTCATCTCTCTCTTCTTGCAGTTACAACATGATAATCTGTGAGCAATATTATGCAGTAGGTACTAGTGAAGGCAGTGCGAAGCTTTTGTCTGGCACAGCCACAGCCACATCAGACAAGACAAGACTCCGACTCGGGCATTGAAATACAAAAATAGCCGCGGTTTTTGATTACGCAGACCCGCCGCGGGGAGTAGGTGTATGTGAAATATCATTCTGCATAGTGTGGCTGGCAATCAAAATCGGAGTCGCGGCCTAAACTCACATACTGAAATGGAAACTTGAACCTTCGGAATTGAAAGAAAAAAGACTATTCCCCAAGCTACGATCCTCCCGACCCCTCCATCTGGGCCTGTGCACTGAAGGCCCGAATGCGGTCCCACACCTGGGGCATTGACTCTGCGTTTTCGTTTTGGGCTGGCCTCAAGAAAGGGACGACACTTTAGCTGACTCACATGTTCTTTGCGTCATTGAGCCACGCAAGAAGTGGCTCGGGTGTGTTTTACACGGAAGCCGCCCCAGCCGATGGTAGACTAGACCCCGCAGGAGCTTCTTTTTTGTCTAAGAAGGTGGTCGAGTAACACTACCTACCGCGAACACAAAAAGCATAAGCTGCAAAAATACCATCGTGCTCTTCCTTCCCGGGAGTTCCTTTGGAGAAAGGCGTCACACCTCCGGCAAGTGATGGCGCGTCGGGGGAAGCGTCGTCTGAGCGTGTTGGTGAGTTTGGTCTTGAGTCGTACTCCGGATAACCCTGCAGCCGCATGCGATGCCACTGCGTGACATTATCGATCTGTAGCACAGCGGGTCGCTGCGCATCCGTGTACCCGGTCCCAATCAGGTCGACGGGTACTGCTTCTAGAGGGCCGTTCTTAAAGACACAGTAGAACCTGTGATGCAGGGGGAGACCTTCTCGGTTGTGTTGCCGCACTGCAAGCGGAAGCTCCGCCAAACCAAACTGATACTGAACTAAACTGAAAGCTGCATCAAATACAAGTGCTGAAGATTTTCATCGGCTTCTTGTTTCTCAACATTGGAAACCTGAAGACAACAACGCATCTTCAAGAAGACAAAATGCAGAGCATGCACACGCCCACCTGGACGCGCGTTTGCGTTGTCTATAAGAAAAAAGTAAAGGAAAATGTAACTTTTTTTAGTTACATATGTTACCTTTTGTAGTAGTTGATGGGGGCCATGGGTGTGAAGTAGATGTGAATGAGGACGTAGCCGTGCGGCGCCAAGGTGCCGGATGGCTTGTCGAATGTGAAAACGTTGTATAGCTGGGAGCTGTTCACGAAGTGGTAGTGGACCTTCAGCGGGGACCTATTGTCTAGCCTCAGAATCTTCACACCTGAATATATTTTTTACTCACATCTACGTCAAGTGCACGACAACCGTAGGCAGCGCAGTCTGCGTCCTATCCTGTGTTTCCCGGCACAACTTCAACTTCTACTTCATGTTGTGGTATCTACACACATATAATTTTTGCGTCGGGTTCGGGTATCGCAGTAAAGAAAATCGCTCGTTATCATGCTTCTCAACCTGAAACTATATAATAATTGATAAATATGTAGCTTTACCCGGATCCTTTCCCTGCTGCTTCAGCATTGCCCGCTCATACACCCGTGCGGGATCCTGCGAGCAGTCGAGTTCACCAAAGTTCAAGCTCTTGGCGGAGAAGTCGACGGTGGGGCTGACACAACTTCCTGTCACGGAGACTCGTAAGGGCGCCCCGCCCGGGGACACGATTTCGAAGTCTCGCGCAACGGCCTCCCCGACGACAGCGGACGAAAATTTGAACTCCACCTCTCCCTTCTCGCCGGGCTCGATGCTGCCGCTTTCCGGAAAATACTGCAGCGCGCAAGGGTGGAGGGGCGGTATTTCGTCCTGCACCGGCCGTAGCACGTAGTTGGCCCGTACGAGAGAAACGTTCTGTATCTGCAGCGCGACTCGAGTTGACTGGCTCGGAAGCACGGGCGGCAAATCGACGAGCGTCGTCGTGTTGTCCGCGGGTGGAGGTATTCTTCGGATACCGGCTGCCTGCTCCGCGGAGGTGTTTGGCATGACAGCTACTAGGTGCGGCACCTTCCCAGCGCCGATCACCCGGAGTTCATAAAACTTTACGTCTTCGACTGCCTCGTCAGTGTGTGGTGGCATGTGGGCGCTGTCCAACTCTGGAGCCCCCTCGGTGGAACTGGATCCGACGGCGGCGGATATTTTTACGCGAAGGATACCCTCGTACGTTTTGGCCTGTGGTGGGTGAAACTCGATTTCCACCTCCATCATACCGTTTACTGGTATGGTGCCGCTGAGGTTCCGGGGCATCAGAAACGGCGCCCCGCAGCCCCACTCGTAGCAGAGCGGAAGCGACCCCGTGTTGTGCATCGGCAATGCAATCACTACAACTTCCTGCACCGCCCCATAACCAAAGTCGACAAATGGCGGAATAGACAACGCGAGCTCCGTAACGACTGCCTTCAGCAGGATGGAAAATTGACCTTAGACGAGATTTTAGCACCATGAAGATGAAGATGATAAGACTCATGCGCTCGCTTCCTTTCTTTATTGCTAGCTAAGTAGATCATCGACATCAAGCTGAGCCTGAGTCGAAGTCGTCCACTTCCAACATTGAATTTCAAGCCACGCGAGCACGTGTGGCGCATCTGTCTTCTCGTGGTCCTTGTCGATTGCGTATGAATGTGACTATGACTATTTTCCTTGTCCTCCTTAATGCAGCTTCTACGCTATTAACGATCAGCATCAGTCTTCGTTTTCTATTTCCTGTAGATAGTCAGTGATCAGAGTGAGGCATGTTGTGTACTTATAATCATGCTCTCGACGCACTAGCAACATGACTACCTCCGATCCACCAGCATGTGAAAAATGGAAGCACTTGCAGTCCGTACGTTGAATAAAAAAGGTGTACCTGTTGGAGTTTTTACGGTGACGTAGTCCAGATGGGGCTCGTATATGATTGGTCGAAAGAAGAGGCGGATGGTGACGCTGGTGCCGGGTGCAAGCGCCCATCCTTTCGGATAATCAAGCTGGAACGCCTCGTTCTTCGGAAGTTCGTAGTTCAGTTTTTGTGTCGTCTGTGGTTGTTGTGATTCGATAAACTGAATCAACATGGGAGATAAAATTGGATTGAAAAACAATGCCTGGATACGTATTGCAGCCTAATTCCTAATACACGAAGACAACATCAACCCCTTGCTCGCGTCTTTTGGCGCGCGAGTTACTGTCTGACTGCGAAGAATTGCAACTCTCCTTAAAAAAGTAACAAGTAGTTTGAGTTTGTTCGTCTACATCGACCACTTACCAGGGACACATTTTTGATTGTGATGGTCTTCTGCACTTCTTTTCCTATCTGCCAGCCGGATATCAGGATGGAATCTGCACAATCGAGTCCGAAGATGCTGACCCTTTCTTCCCGTTTCAATTGTCCTTTCGTCTTCGCGACCCGGTTCACCCCCGGTGCAGGTGCACCGGCGTTGAGGTTGGTAGCTACCGGGGCTGTCGTCGGCATTCTGATAACAAGCTACGCGGGTTCTGCACTCTATAACGCGCCCCGTCCGCGGCTGCTTGCCTTGCGCGGCGAAAAAATGGTGCCGGTGGGTAGCGCACCAGAGCCTTCCGCCCTGTCGTTGCGGGGACGGTTATCGTCGCTCCACTGCTCGGAGGTATCGCCCGCCTCGACCGGTCGTCGCAGTGCCGCTTCAAGATGGAGGAGGTCCTGCTGTTGACAAAAGTCTACAGGAGCAGCCGACATCTCTCTCGTCTCATCTGCTTTCGTTGCTTTTCTTCCGCCGACCCGTGATTTAGACTGGAGGGCGCCCAGACTTCGTTTCGAATGTGAAGCTCGCTCGCTCTGATGTTCCTCGGTCTTGTTGCCTCGATATCCTCAAGAACATGGAGGGCCCAATTTTACTCATCAAAATCTTCATACATCAGTCAACCTCAATCTACAACCTGTGGAATGTTTCTTCAGAAGTTCTACACGAGCAAAAACTTGCAGCGAATTCGTTCACATAGAAGCGCGAATCCGCGCGAAAGCGAAGACCAGATTATAGCACTGGGTGGCCTTTTGTTTTTGATCTCCGAGTGCAACATGAATTTCGCTCACGACGTCAAGGCACGAGTACGATTGTCACAAAACTGCAGCTCTGACAAGTGGAAAATCTCGTCACGCTCACGATAAAGCGCGCGAGTGGTGTGCACCAGGCCCGGCTTTTCCTCACGCTGAGATGATACCGCACCCGCCCAGGGTGTGGGAAGCCCACCTGGCAAGAGGAAGAGCAACCCGCTCATCTTCCGGAGACCTTGTATATTAAGATCAAGAAGCCGCCGAGATGCTCTCGGACCAGTTACTCGCTCGCATCTCAAGGATCTTGGGACGCGATGCGCGCAGGGTCGCTCATCTTCTCATCTTCTGCGACTGCGCGTGCGCCTCGAGTGTGTATGTAGTTTTGTCTGTCTCCAACTTTATTTGCCAGGCAGAGAGGGTGAGGGACGACCTCTTCGATACTACAACTACTAGTATTCAAGGATTATAAATATCACTCAAGCCTAGCCCTCATGACCACGCTCATCGAGTTTCATCACTGCGAATCAGACCTCTCAGGCATATCGCCCTGTCTCGAAAAGCTACAAGCCACCTCCTGATGATCAATCGTGGATTCATAAGTAGACAAGCAACAAAACATGTACAGAGGTAGGCGCTGGCTAGAAGCGGCATTAGACATGATGTCCTGCTTGCTGAGTCTCATGGACAAAACGTAAACGAAATTGCGTTCGGGGTCGTGACCGCGACGGACGATGAACAGAAGCTTCGCTCCCGCCGGCGTCTCATGCAATTTTCTTTTTCCTTGCACTTTACCGAAATTTTCGTTGTAGTTGAACTACTGCTCCCCGAGCTCGAATCCATCTATTTGCGTACGGTTATGCAGCAGCTCTGTGCCGGCGCCTCATCTAGCTTTGTTTTGCTGATGTTTGGTGACGAGAAAATTTTATGGATTTGTCGTCCCTAATGTGCAGCAGGTGGGTGCGGTGGCTCTTGAAGCTGTTTGGCGTATAAAAATTCTTGTCGTTCTTATGTTTGACTTGCTCTTCTAGCGCGCTCGCATAGTAGTTCTGAGTTTGTTCTTTCACACAACAACTCCTGTTCTGCTTGTGTTTTGATGTTACTTTGCCACTGCCGTTCCAGACTTTGAAAAAAATCGTATTGCCTGCGTGCACTCTGAGGCAATTTCTTCTTGAAATCTTCCTTTGTATCGCGATTGCGATTCGTTTTCCGCTTGGGTTCAGAGTCGCGCTCCCCGGTAACTTTATCTGGCAAGTCTTGCCTGGTCCTCGACCTTGTTGTGGTGGTACTAGTCTCGTCCTGCAGTTTATTCTTATTTCTTCTGGCGGCCCTGTGCTCGCGTCTGCTTGACAGTTCCTCTAACGTTCGCGAATCCTGTTCCTCCTGCATATGGTCAAAATTCTCTTGTCGGATTGCGACTCGTGTGGGCCCGTGGCAGACCGCTTTGCCGGAGTTCTGACTTGTTGTCGCCCCTCCAGCAAAACCGGTGGATGAAGATGATGATGTTGGAGGGGGGTTTGTATTGCTTGCACTTGCAGTTGCTGTGTCGTTCTCGTTTCCATTATGATTATTCATATTTTTTCTTTTTGTCGTAGTGATCATCCCCGTGCTAATCTTTCGAAGGGGAGACGAGGAGTCCAGCTTCGGCCGCTGTCCGGGGCGGAGTTGCTGCGGTGGTATGTTGCTGTGGGCACAACGTGATCGAGATCCGCGGTTCTCGGTGGGAATGGCTCCTGTAGGTGTCCCGCAGAACTTCGGGCTGCAAAGATCCGGCGACTCGTCCTCCGGAGCGAGAGCGCCTATCCTTGACCGTACCGCTGAAAAATGACGACTCGATCGATGCTCACCTTCTGGTCGCGGATCCTGCAGGACAGCCGGCGCACAGCGGGCTCGCAAGCTCGACTTTTGAGAGCCATGCGAAACGCGTCCACGCGCAATTTCCTCGAAACTGGCTGTGCGTGGCCGCGGCGATTCCGATTTCAACATATGTAATTGGTCAGCACTAAGAAGATCCACGACGTCCACCGCCCCCTCTCCATCTACTTCTTGATGTGATGGTGCTCTGTGCCGTTGGTCCGCTTGGCCGCGACTCCTGGGAAGCATTGTCAGAGGTTGATTGCTTTGCTGTGCCGTGACGTGGTCCTTTTTTTTACCGCCAGTATTTGTATTTGTATTTGTATTTGTTTTCCTTCTACTTTCGAGCTCCAGATCGACAGCGGCAGCAACGTGGTCGTCAAGAGCACGGCTTACAACATTCGAGCGATCGTCTTCGCGGCCGTGCTGGTAGTAGCAGTTGCGAGGACCACGATCAGTGAATGACGAAAATTCTTCACTAGCGAAAGGAGCGGGCCAGGCTCGCGGGCATGTAGTGGCAGTGGCACCTGCCAAAAGCGGCTCGTTCAGGTACTCGCCACGTCGTCCCCCCTGCTTGCGCAGTGCTGCAGTGCGGGACTGAGAGTGAGAATCAAGAGTCCACTGAAAGGATGAAGCAGATGAGCAGGATGAAGAGGCTGGTGGAGCGGTGTCGTTTCTTCTGCTTGTGTCGATGATTCCAGACAGCAGCAGGTCCGGACTGCTGAACTTCGACGTCAATCCTGACGAAAGAATCGGCGATGGAAGGCTCATGTGATGCATGCCTTCGCAAAGTGCTGCTTCCGGGCGAGCCAGGTCCTCCTGGTCTTGGCTGGAGTGAACCGCGAAAAGCTCCCTGCTCGTCTTTCGGCCAGAAGAACAAGCAGTGCTGTAGTCACGGAGAGTCTGTGCGAGTTCCTGCTCCACAAAATGGAGATCGCGCACCTCGTGCGAGGCGGTCTGCAGCCTTCGCGGAACCACGACACTAGTGACGCCAGAAGTTGTAGCCACCGCGGTGCTGCAGTGGCAGGCTTGCTGCAAACCAACATCAGTAGACATGTTTTCCTCCTGCGCGGCGGGCGGAGGCGCATGCTGTAGGCGTTTCGTTGCATTTTTTCCGGCAACAAAATAAATCTGTGGCGCTTTATTGCTGGAGGTCCGAGGACAACTCGAAGGCTGCTCATGGGTTTGCGGGCCTGACCCACGACGAGGACCGCTTGATGCGACTTGCGTGTCTGTGTACGAGTACGGGGAGACCGCTCTTTCTTTTTTACAACTTGTCGAGGATTCGACAAACGAACCAGTGCAGCTGGCCTCAGGATCACGACGATCATGATTGCAGTCATCTACTAGTACGACCTCATCAATGTCTGCTTCTTGAAATAGGTCGTCCTTTTTCCTCTTTTGCGCCGTCCCTGCGTCTGGAGTCCGTACTTTCCCAACATCAAACCGTCTTTCGGCATCAAAACCAGCGATCGACCCGGGCGCATTTCGGCCGCTGCGTCCCGTGGTGGTCAAAGGACTGCAATGCGTCGCTTTGGCGATGGCAGCAGGCTGAACACCTCTAGGGTAGCCTCCGTTTCTTTTCTCATCCCGATCTTCCCCGTGAGGAGGCGGCCCGTTCGTGGCGGTATCACTTAGTTCCGAGACCCCGACCCGGACCCGCTCATCTACTCCCTCGTCCTCCATATTCTCCGCAGCTGTCCTTGCCATCATCTTTGCTTGCAACCCAGCAGACCCACGCGACTGCGTTCCTCTTCCTGCAGGTACTTGTAATATTCCATTACCTTCATGATCAAGCTCGTCTCGTGTTTTTTCCTCAAACAGACGCTCGAGCAGGTTCGCGCTTCCCGCCACCTTTGCCTTTCCTCGCTGACGCTTCTCTTTCTGCACATGACCAGAGATGGTATCACGCGCCAATGCATCCTGTGCAAAAGTATCTGCATCATCGTAGTCAATTCGCAGTCGTACAAAAAATTGCGATCTTTATCTACCTGCCAAACACAAACCAGCGGTCGTCTACGTCTATACCTAAATACGAGTAACAGGCTCTGTTATCGTTTTCTTCTTGAGCGATGAAAAGCAAAACAATAAAAGCTGTAGTACTATTGGCATTACAGTTACTAGTTGCGCGATGCAGGAGCTTTTGCAATGCATACAACACGAGGGCTTCCTCGGACTGTCCCTTAGCCAGAAACGTCGCCTGGACTTCCTCTCCTTGATTCGGTGTCACACGTCTGCAGCTCGAAAGTCCGACTGTCGCTCCTGCGGCTGCGAGCTGCTTCTGGCTCACCACAACACTGCAGCTTTTCCTCGTTTGCTCTGTGCGGCCCCGCCTTCTGTTGAACAGGTCATCTGCTTCTTCTTTCGCCCCTATTGCCCCCGCATCGGATGTTTCATTATTGTTCTTAGCCTGCGGAAAAAAGCCAGAATTTTTCACGACGACGTTGCCGCCAAGTAGACTCTGACTTGCATGTCCTCGGGCGGAATCACCGCAACCACGAGCTGCTTGCGTTTCCGTTGCACCGTTTCCATCTCCAGTGTGCGGCATACCAGAAGAGGGAACAGATCCGAAGGCCATAAGCTGGCTCTGGGTACGACAGGGACTGTAATCTATCGGCGATGGCTCGAGATCACTGCACACGGAGGAGGCAGTGGAAGTCGAGCTCGCGCCCTTGATTGAAATCGTGCTGGGGAATGGGTGCGGAGATCCACCGTCGTCTTCTGCCGTGCTAGGTAGAACCTCGAGCTCTGTCTCTGCGTCAAAAAAGTCCTGATCCACAGTTATAAAGTGTCTGGTCTTGGCTCCGCAGGGACCGTAGTCGTTTTTCCTAATGTGAGAGTGAGTCTTAGTCTTTGCTTTTGTGTTGTAGTAGTTCTGGGTACGTTCTTCTTCGCACGATGTCAACGAGAACGGAGCAGGGGCAAGTGTTCCTTGTGGAAGATCTTCACCCGTTCTTTCAGCAGCACACACGTCACGGTCAACACCGCTTCTAGCACTAGAAGCCAGGGGCTTCGCGCACCAGTTTTCTTGGAAAGGCGCTCGGTAGCGTGCTGGCATCCTCGCTCTCGCAGAAGTGTCGCTTGCAATATTGAAACGCTGCTCGCTTTTGTAGTTTTGCTTTCGACCGCAAGCGGTTGTGCCTCCCACCATTTTCCCCGCGCGATGAGAGCGAGCGGATCGGGATCCACAAGACTTCACAGCGAGCGCAGTTGTTGGTGCTGGCTGACAAGACCACTGAGGAGCTTCTCCATTGCACTCGTCTTTTGCCTTTTTCTTCCTCAGGCAAAAGCTATCAAGTTCAAAATGATCATCGCTCCTCGCACGCCGGTGACGAGCTCGTTGTCTTCGTCCTTCCCTGAATTCATTTCCCATCGCTCCTTGAACAACGCCAACGAGCTCGCGTCTCATCTTCTGCCTGATCACCGCACTCCCGCCGCGCGGCTGGCCCAATTTTGCAATCCGTGGCGGATAAACGATCTTCGAAGGACGCTCCTGCAACGCCTTCGCCTGTGCACCAGTAGTAGAAGAAGAAATCAGATTGATCATGATCTGTTTGCCCTGTGATTGCGCGGCTTCACCCTGGCCTGCTTCTGAAGGCCGCGTTTTATTAGAACCAATGGATGACTCTGTCGCTTTCGTGTCTTGGTACTGCAGCGCGGAGGCGAGCACTGTTTCGCTTTCGGTTTCGCCCGCTCGGCTTTGCGGCATGAAAGTGAACGATGACGCAGGCGCGCGTTGGATATGGATTGCTGGAGATATTACACCTCCAAGAAGTCCCTCCTCGTTCATATTCTTCTTTGCCTTGTTCAGGACAGTTCGTATTCGATAGCTTTTGGGAATTTCCCTCTGCAGGCAGTTCCCTGCAGCTGGCATTGACGAAGCGGAAAAGGCCGCCCCTGGCGGTGGTATTGAGTCGCGGGCGTCCTCCCTGGTTTGAAGACGCCGCGCTTCAGTTCGGATAGCAATAGGCACTGTTTCACCAATATGACATGTGTGTTGTAGAGACCCGCTCCCACACGATGTTTCTGAATTTTTCGGCTCGCAACTTGCCTGGTAACTTTCTTCACTTCCGCCCCCACCCGCCAGGAGCAGCTGACGGATACAGTACTCCCGCGCCTCGTGCAAGTCCTGCTCGCAACTGGTCGCAGTGACCGAGAGAGTCCTCTTCGCAGGCACTATATTTGACTCTCGCTGCCACGATTGGAGATGCATTTCATCTGAAAGTTCCTGCAATATTTGGAGCACGGGTCGGGTGAAGGTCACGCCGTGTTGCTCTTCGTTTTGCAAGACAGATACGGTCGTGCTTGCAGCGCTTAGAGGAAATAAGTGCTGAGGTGGAACGTGAATAGAGGTTGCAGGATCATGAAGATGATGACTGCCGTCTTCGTTTCCTCTTGGAATGTCAGCGGCCCCGGTGTGCCGGCTGTGAATTATCGGTCCAGGGACGCCGATGTCGCACGATGTTCTGCCCTCTTGCCCATTAATAACCAGGTCGATCTTCTCGTCATATTCCACAATCTGCTTGTGAATTGATGGCGCACGAGGCATCGTGGCAGAAGTATCTTCACGATTACGACAATCATCAGGACCCGGCACAGAAATTAGATTCATTGTACGAAGTTCATGTTGATTTTGGGCAATAATCTTCGAGTGGCCGCCCTCGCCCCCTCCGCCACAACTCTTCCCCGTTTTAACGGCTGCATGGGGTGCCTCACGGCGCGAGGGCGAGCCGCCCGCGGTGGCCCTTTTGCTTCTGGCGCCCGCGGCGTGTGACCCTCCAGTTCCCCGCACCCAGCGGCCCTGCGATATTCCGTTAGCTGGTGAACAACCTGCACGCGGCGCGGCCATCGGAACGGTGCCGCCGTTCCTCTTCGTGGCATTTTTCGACTTGCGCTTTTCCGCAAATCGCGGTCGAACGGTGCGCCCTGGAAGGAGTTGTGTCTTTTTCTGAGCGTAGCGTAGTAAGCGCGGCTGCGGGTTGTAGAGCCTGTTGTTTATATCTCGACAGGCTTGCCCAAACTGTGCCGAAATTTCTTGCAGCTCCTGCAACTCCCCCCGAATCGCCTGCGTGACCCTATCAGACATCATGATGTCTTTGCGGTCATTGCTTTTGTTTTTCCGCAGGAACGCCTCTACCGGTGCAGATGCGGCGGCTCTTGATGCAGGAGGGGGCGCAGGTCTGTTCTTATCTGTATTTTTTATTTTCAAGAAAAATTATATGCAAGTGCTACTTGTAATGCAAGACAACGACCTCGCTCTTGAGAAAACGCGAGAGAAGCCGGCTACTTTTGTACCAGATGCGTGCTGCCCAGGTATTAACACTTCTATGTCTGATCTCATCTGTTACTGTTGCACTGTTGCTTTCGGAATACCTGTGTTGTAATGCGAATAAAGCTACTGCATGATGGTCTAGTAGCCCGTCCAGCCTTGTTACAGAGTATCGATACTCGAAAATGCACGATGATCCAATGAAATTTGGATTGCAAATCAAGCAAACGAGCTTTGCATGTTCCTGGTGCTGCTGCTGTTCATGCCGCGAGACCAGCGAATATTGTCACCGGGCCGGAGGTAGACCCGTTCGCGACCTTTCAACATGATCTTACATACATACGTATATATGATTAAAACCAGAAAAAAAAGCTGCTAGTATTCCCTGAGGCAGCGATTTGTATTTGCTAAAGTTTTTTCTGTTCTCCAAGTCAAATTGGAGGCCGAAGCTGAAGTGGCTCCTTGCGGGGTTCACTATTCAAATATGTATATACAGCGTATGCTGCAGCTGCCGCTCCTGCGTCGTGGAGAACCAGCAACAGTATTCGACCCGAGTGAGCCCTTCAGCGGCAACATTCTTCCACCTGCCTTCAACATCATCTTTCGAAGTTCGTCGAAGGGAACACACCCATCGCGAACGGCTAGGCTGCTAATGCTGTCGAAGGCCGACCGCCACTCTTCTGCTTCGCTGCGGCTTCTCGTTGCGGCAGAGGGCCGTCCCGCAGCACTTGCTCCATTTATCATCCGATGATAATTGTGATTGTCGGAGAGCTCCCGCGCCAGCATGTTGTTGTTCGGACGTGGTCGAGCGGTCACCCATACATCCCACAGACCTCCCAGAAATGCACCAGCCGAAGCAAGATTGACCTTCTCGCACAGTAGACGTCCCTGTCTTGCCGACAACGAAGAGAGGCAGTAAAAAGAAGTAGTTCCTGCAATACAATCAAACTGACGGGTTGCGAGGAGTGAGAAATCTCATTCGTACAGTGCTAGCGCATGATACTGGAACCCGTGTGGACTCAATTTGATGCTGCATAAGTTTGTATATAGTTCTTGATTCTCGATACAAATCTTCTCTTTTTATAATGGATTTTGCTTCTCCTGTGGCAAGCTTCAAGGAAAATCTCGGAGAATCTCCTTGGCCCAAGGAGATTCTCCTGGACCCCCAGGAGAATCTCCTCCCTCCCCTCCTCCTCTCTCCTTTTTTTCCATTTTTTTCTTCTTTCTTTTTTTTTCTTTTCTTTCTTTTTCCTTCATTTGCTTCCTTTTCCATCATTTGCTTCCTTTTCCTTCATTTCCTTCTATTTCCTTCACTTCCTCCCGCTGTCTCGCTCCCCTTCTCCCAAGGAGAATCTCCTTGGCAAGGAGATTCTCCCCGAACGTGGGAGAATCTCCTTGCCAAGGAGATTCTCATAGCCCGCCAGAAAACCACAAAAGCAGAACTTATCGCCCTTGGACGCCCGGGCGCAGTGCAATGCCAGGGGCGAGGCGCCCTCTGCGGCCCAAGCCGCACCTTCAAGGGCGGGCGCACTGCCCTATGCGGCCCGACGCAGACGCAAGCTCAAGGGCGCAAGGCCCTACGAAGCCTTTCCCGGGCGCCCTGCCGACTATGGCGCCGCGCTCGAGGGCGGTTTGCCCCATGCAACCTCACATCAACATCAAGTGCACTGCCCTATAAAGCCCGAAGAACGGCCGCAATTTCACGGCCATTTTGCGCGATGTGGCCGGTGCTGGGTCGCAACGAAAAGCAAGTCGTCCCTCGACCGCTTTACCGGCAACTCGCCTCTCAGCCGTTCGCACCACAGCGCATCAGAGGCAGATCACCCCGCACCCGCTCCGAAGCGACCTCAAAGGCAAACCACCCCCACGACCAACTAGAATCGACCTCAAACGAAACACAAATCGCGCCAGGCAAGTCGCACAACAAAAGCTCAACCCCAACCAAGGGCCAGGCGCCCGGCAGCCGCTCAGGCGCTGCATGCTTGCGCGCAATTTGAAAGGGAGGCCACCCCTCAGCAACTCCAGCGTGATTGCAAGAGCAGCGCGCCCCGGGCTGTTCATCTGGCGCGATTTCAAGGGCGCCCCGCCAAATCGGGCCCTTTTTAACGGCCGGAACAGCAGGCCCTGCAACTTGCGGCGACCGGCACCCCAGCCACACACTGAGATGGTGACTCGGCAGCAAACCCGTGGACCCACGACCCGGGGTAGCCCGAGTACAGCACTCCAAATGCCCACACCCAAGAAGCAAAAACGCGCCCCCGTGGAAAGAATTTTCGCCGGCCAGCCGCGAGCGAACGCGTATGGCCCTCGGCGTAGGGCAACGAAGAAGAAGGGCACGCCCGCGGCAGGCGCGCGAAAAAAATTGTGTCGGCCACCCGTGCAAGAAACTAGAAGGGCGCCAGGTCAAAGCAGTGCAGTGAAGCGGAGGACGGCGCGCGCGCAGGCGCGCGCCAAAAAAATATTTGTCGGTCGCCCGTGCGAGATAGAAACTGCAGGGGTGCCGGCGCGAAGCAGCGAAGGATGGAGCAGTGCGCGCCGCGCGCGAGCCAACTTTTTGTCAGTCAGCCGCCCGCGCAAGAAACGGCGAGGGCGTTGGCGCGAGGCAGTGCAGGTTGGAGCGCGCGCAGCGCGCGCGCGAGAGAAAATTTTTGCCGGCCAGCCGTGCAAGGTAGAAACCGCCAGGGCGTTGGCGCGAAGCAACAAAGTATGACGCGCGCGCAGCGCGCGCGGGAAAAAAAAATTTTATGGTCGCTCGTCCAAAATAGAAACCGCCAGGGCATTGGTGCGAAGCAACGAAGGAAGGGGCGCGCGCAGCGCGCGCTGCAAACAAAAATTTTTTTGGCCGCCCGCGCAAAATAGAAGCCGCCGGACCGTTGGCGCGAAACAGTGGCGGACGAAGCGCGCGCAGGGCAGCGCGTGCGCGAGAAAAATTTTTGTCGGGTATCCGTGCAAGATAGAAACTGCGCGAGCGCTGGCACGACGAGTCGAAGGATGCAGCGCGCGCAGCGCGCGCCCGAAAAATTTTTTTGTCCGCCACCCGCGCAAGAAAGTACAAGGTCACTGGCGCGGCGCAACGAAAAATGGCGCGCGCGCAGCGCGCGCGATTTTTTTCTGACCACCCGTGTGAGAATAAAACTGCAAGGGCGCTGGCGCGAAGCAACAAGGGATGGGGCACACGCACCGCGCGCGCGAAAAAAATTTTTGTCGGGCCCCCGTGCAAGAAACTGCAGGGGTGAAGGTGTGGCGCGCACGCAAAAAAATTTTGTGTGGCACCCACGCAGGAAACAAACTGCAAGGCCGCTGACGCGAAGCAGAGAAGGGTGCGGCGTGTGTGCGAAAGATTTCTGTCGGGTACCCGTTCAGGCAACTGCAAGGGCGCTGGCGCGAAGCAGCGAAGGGTGGAGCGCGCGCCGCGCGCGCGAAAGAAATTTTTTTTTGTCGGCCGGCCGCCCATGCAAGAATGAAAGCGCAAGGGCCTCGGCGCGGCGCAACGCAGTGTGGAACGCGCGCGGCACGCGCGCGACTAAAATTTTTGCCGTGCGCACGTGAAAAAAAGCGCAAAGCCGTCGGCGCGAAACAACGACGAGGAACGGAGCACGTGCTGCGCGCGGGCGGAGGCAATTTTGAAGGTCCGCGAACGAAGGCGCAGGGCCGTCGGTGCGAAGCAACGACGGGCAGAGCGTGAGCGGGTGCGGCGCGCGCGCGAAATAAAAAAAGCCGTTGCGACCGCGACGGTGCAGGAATTTGAAGCGCAGCGCCGTCGGCGCAAAGAAAGAGGGGACGCAGCGCGCGCTGCTCGTGTGCGGAGCAAGGTCTTTGCTCTGCAAGGCCCGGGACTACATGCGAGTAGAAAAAGCCGGCTCTTGCTGTCGGCCATGCAAACCGCACAGCCGAACCGGCTACAAAGGGACCCACAGGCAGGGGCACGCGCGCAACGCGAAAAGTTCTTTGCTTTTTTGCTAACCATTGGCGACTGGGTCGCGCGCAAAAGTAGAAGCTGTCGAGTTCTGTTCAGTTTCAAAGACGCAAACACCGAACAAAAGAAATGCCGCCAGCACCGCGCAGCCGGGAGCCAATCAAGAGGAGAGCTGCTGCGCGCCTGCGCGCGTTTTGTATGTAAGGACGGAGCGAAGCCTGGGCTGATGCTGCAGCAAGGCTGGCGCCACACGGGCGGGGCAGGCGGGCGAAGGGCAGGACCAAAAAGTCTTCCGCCCCCGGTGCGCAGGCGGGCCGGGGGCTCTTGGTGGCAACGGTCAGCGCGCACGTAGTTTGGCCCACGCTCATCCCTTCATCTTGCACGGGCGCCAGCGCTCGTCTTGGTCTACTATTTCTTTCTATGCTAATATGAGCATGAAGCTCGACGCCAGTTCATAATCTAAATTTTATGGGGGGGAATCTCCTTGAGGGAGAATCTCCTTAGGCCGTCGGTAGAATTTCCTTGAGATTTTTTTTTTTCCAACATACAACTCTTGAAATTGAAAATAAATCTAGAAAGCGACCGGTGTCATGTGGCCTTGAGGAAAATGGAAACTACACATCTCTCGATCTCACCCTTCGATAATTATATCGCTCGGCGGGTAGATGGATGGTACTACATGTAGACGCTGTCTAAACCTAAAACGTGACGGCGACGAACCAAATAAACTCAAACTAACTGCCCCTCCCAGTCTTGCGCTCGGACTCGGTCTGTCTTACTCCCAGCACGAAGACGAAATAAAACTCGCACAAACAACATGAATACTTAATGATTCTTCTGGACCCACCTCACCCTTTGCATTTGCTTTCGATGTCGCTCCTCGTGCTATAATATTACAGGGCCTCCACCTACCACCATGCAAAAATAGAAGTGTGTATTTATTCATCTGTATCATCTTAAGTACGTGAAACGATGAAAGAAGTGGACACAAACGAGCAGGTCGAAAACGAATTGCCAGTAGTTAAAGTATGTCGTCCAGCAGCATCAGAGACGTTCGCCGCTTTCTAGCGTCGACGAAGATGAGCGACATCAATTTTTAGTTGCTGTTGTCTGTTGTGTGTTGTGTGGTCTAGATCAGTTTAGTTGCTGTTGTCTGTTGTGTGGTCTTCACATGCGCTTGCGCATCACCAGCAGCAGGTGCTCCTTGCTGTCCAGCAGGAAAATTGCCTTGCGTTTCCTTAAATTTCATTGAGTACGCGAGACTGCCGATCGCACCTAGAAAGTCCGAATGGCGCACGAAAAACGCCCTTTTCCGAAGGTCGCGCATGGTTTTTGACATCATTGTCTTCGCTATTTTGTTTTTTTCAAAAAAACCTCCGACAAAGAAGATGTGGCGCACGAGGAGGGACTGCGAGTAGGCCACAGCTAGAACAGCGACCTGCTGCGTTACCATCTGGAGTACGGCACGCGCCAAGTCCTTCGGGTCTGGATGCGACGGGCTGAAAGAGTTGTGTCAATTTATTTCAGTTGACTCCAGCAGCTGCAGCCTCCACCACAAGCTGCGAGCCGATGAAGGATTATCACTTATTAGCAGTAGCATCTTCATACCTCTCGCTCGTCACGTGTCCTCTCTAGTAACTCCGAATAATGATAAGATACTAGTCACTCCTCGCGGCAAGAATAACGAGCGCCGAATATCACTTTCGACCACCACAATAAATAGATGTACAGTAGTTGCTACTACAACTAGATCTAGAAAGTAGATTCAAATTGCACGACTGGTGCACAGCAATTAATCATAGTACCTTCCGGCTGTTGTGTCGTAAGGCAGGGATGTCCCAACCTTTCCGAAGTTGCTCGCTGTAAGCGACTATCGCCTGCAAAAGTGTCGCGCGCATGTCGTACGAAGTATTTTGAACGACCAAACCTAGAGCTATACCTTCTATAGACATTGACATGCAGCTTTTTCTGATACGAATACAGTATGGCGAGAACGTAGAAGCACGAGTGAGTTGTAAATGTATTTAGCTTCTCGTCGCAGCTTCATGCTTGTGCTGTCGTAGCTGCAGATATATACATGTCGTGCTGCAATTGTTTGCTGCAACCGCCACCGCGAGTCTTCTCTCATCATTAATTTCTGAAAACCTGCGACACTTTAGCAATGCTTAGGGAGGGCGGCAGGCCTAGATGTGCGCTGCCGGATTCGCCGTAGATGTCTGACACGAGGGTATCGATCCTCTTTGCGTCCCCTTCCGAAGCGAGTGCGAGCGCATCACTGAAGTCGGTTGTGCCACACAGCAGTCGGGTGAGCCCCAGGAAAGTGCCGCCCCCACAGCCCGTGCCTCCCACGCGTGCAAACGTACTCGGGGTTACGTGCAGAATCGACACACCACTACCGATGTTTACAAGCAGAAAGGCCTCTTCCCACAAAGGGTGCTGGATTCTCCTCGTCGCAGGAGCCCGCGAACGTTTATCAAGCTTTTTTCTGCGACGTCGGTGGTTGCTTCCACCGCCCTCGTCCTCCAGAGGCCCAGACGCTGCAGCTTCATCGGGAAGATCTTCCTCCACGTCGGACATGGAAGCTGTGGAGGCACTCTCACCCTCTTCCTCTGTGTCGTTTCCTACTGCTGGAGAAGATGCGTGGTCCGCGATGTCATCGTCTTCGCACGAGTTGTCGTCCTGCACGTCAAGCTCCACCTCTTCATGATCATGGTCCCTAGTTGTATTATGTTGATCTTCCTCTTCGTCGTCCTGCCGGCGGGTGCTGGAAGTACTGAAGGACGTTTCTTGAAACAAGCGTCGCCGACTTTTCGTACTGGACGCGAGGCGACGGTCGCGGTCTTCGTCCCACGTTCCACCAATTGCCGCTGCTTGTGCCTCTGAGGCCACATCGGCAAATATTGCGTCGATGCTACTCGAAGAAGACGAAGTCGCCGCGGCCTTGCGAGGCGGGGCTTTATGATTTTCTCGTCCAGATTTTAACTTTATTCGATTTCGAAGATGACGTGGACGAGAAGGACCTTCTTCTGCTTTAGCTTTGCCTGCGCTGGTCTCGATGAGACCTCGCTCCTGCATTGGGCACCGTGGCTCTGCATTTTCTGGGGGAGATGATCTCGCTCTCGACGTAGTTGTAGCTCCGTCTACTAACGTGGTGGTGGTGGAGTAGTTGTTGGTGTGAGCTTGATCTTCATCAACGTCGCCCTCGAATACTTCCATTTCTTCCAAATCGGGGTCGAATGGCTCTTCCTGCCCGTCGTCGTTGATGGTGAGGATTTCGTCTTTGAAAATGTGCCGTCGCTCCAAGACGAAGCGCAGGCCTTCCACCACGGATTCCATCTCGCGGTGCGCTTCGAACTCAAGGTTCAAGGCCTCCTTGAAAAGGGTTTTGTACTTATGGGCGCCACCGCCGGCCACCGCGATCGTCCGCGGCGCGCTTTTCTGAAAGGGCGCAAGCGTCTGCAATGCGGTCACCACCTCCTCCAAGGCGTGTGTGGATCCCGACAGAAATCGCATTACATATTTGGCGCAAGGAGGTTGCACAGGTTCGGCTCCGGGTGCAGGTCTTGCAGCCGCGTCATCTTCTGATGGTGCGCCCGCGACATCATAATTGGGGGCAGGAGCTGTCTTTCGCATTATTGCCACATTTGTGCTGGTCGCATCCAAGCGAACATCATTCTGATGCATCTCATTTTTGTCGAGGAGCGACGAAGGGTTGTTGAGTGAAGACGATGGACTGTGGGTAGAACTTGATGCGTGGAGGTTTAAAACCCGATGTGGCAATGCCTCGACCGGGCCAACCTGAGCAAGATCATGATGGTCTTTGTCCCTGTCGTTCTTCGCACTTGCATCATCCGTGGCGCTGGTAGACCCAGGGGACGTTCTTCCGTGTTTACGTTGCAACCGTGGAGGAGACACTCCTTTCCCACTAGGACCGTGCTCTTCTGTGTCTTCGTCGAGATGGTGAGCTGTCGTGGTTGCCGTGGTCGTTGTGGTTGTGTCAGCGCCCGATGCAGACGCCGAGTCTTGCGCTTGCGCGTCCTTTCGCAGTGTTGTGTGCAGCAGTACCGCCTCGTCCTCCAGTTGTTCGTTTCGTGGAGGTGCTCCTTCGCGTGGTGCACAATTACTCCCATCCCGCCCTAATCGGGTTGAGGCAGATGCCCCCCCGTGTGCAGCACTACTTCCGGTCTCGCCTGCGCTGTGATGCAGATGATGTTCCTGACCCTGAGCCTGGTGCTGCAAGTGCTGCAAGTTGAAGCTGCGCCGCCTGAGTTGCGAGGGTATTTTTGAGTGCCGCTGCAGATACACACTTCCAGCAGCCAGGCGCGGCTGTGGCAAAGGTGGCGCAAGCTGTTGCATGCTCAGACTGGCGACTTGGTTGACTTTCACGCTCGACGAGTGAGAATTGGACGAGGGCAACGTGAGCCTATAGAGGGGAAGTGAGTGACTTTCCGCTGACTGCCGCTGGCCCTGAGAAATAAAAGCGCAGACTGCCATGCCAACGAACAATTTGTTATCTGTATTTCGTATCATTCATGCGAAAAAAACAAGAATACTCATGTGTCCCGGTCCCGGAGTGATATATGAATGTATAAATATTGAAGTGGATTTTGATTTTGGTGCGGCTGCGCCTGCGGCTGCCTCTTTTGCATAACACACAGAGTTTTTGCTTGGGTTCGCCAGCAGTCACGAATATCCATGACTTCTCCTCCATAGAGCATGCTTGGCTCAGGAAGCGACCGCGCAGACGTGGGAAGCATATGCACGCGCCAGGCTTTATCAAAATTGAAGATGTTGAACTACAATCTGTCATATAAAAACAAAGCACAAAGTGCCTGCATTGGAGAGAAGACCGCTCATGAGGCTGACTGTAGGCCTAATTAGGGCAGTGACGCGGTGGCTAAAGGGCATTCGACGCCATGTGCCTTTTCTTTAGTGAACCAAATTGCATACGAAACCTCCCAATAAAAGTTGTCATGCGCCTCTTAGAACTGGGGGATCGACCTGGTTGTACGTAGTGACTTCAATAAATATCCATCCTCGACAATTTGAAAAATGAAAATCACTTCAGCTGCATTGATTTCAAGCCTGACACTCACTACCATAAAGCGGTGGCGACGCATTCGCATGAAGGCTGCCTGCGTTGAGCGCTGTCGACGTGCTGTGCGTATGCTGTGATTGTTTTGCAATTCCGGTTGGCTTCCTTTCCTGTCCCATGACCGTGCTTCCGCCGAGGGCGCTTGTGATCATTCCTGGCACTTCAGGACTACTAGGATGGTTAATATGCGTGCTAGGCTCGACCAGGAGCAATTGCTTTCGCAAAGGGGAAGGAAACACTGTAGATGATGTGCCGCTGCTGGCAACATCTTCTGCACCTCCGGCGCTCCTCTGCCGTTGCAACACTTGGAGCCGTTCCTCCTGTAAAACGTCCTCACGCTCCTGCTCGTCCTCCTCTTCGTCGACTAGCGAGTCGCTCGAAGACGTCATTTCAGGGTCCAGGCCGTCGAGATCCTCCAATCCCAGTTCGACGTCCAGACTGTGGTGCACTTTTCCGGTCCGGCCAATCAAGCTATCCTGTGCAAAAACTGTCTTCGCAGTCGTGTTTTTGAAAGAGAGAAAGCAATGTAGTTCAACTCATCTGCAACTACACTGTGGTGCTTCATGCAAGAAAGGTAATAAAGAGCCACCTTCTCTTTATTTTTCCGTACATACTGTAATTCATGCACAAGTGCGATGCTTTTGCAGAGCATAAACGCTCGGAAACAACAATCGTCCCGCAGCTTCACCAGGCATCAGGAGTACCTGTGTTCATAATTCAAATTTGCAGCTACTCAGTTATGAGACGATTAGAAAGACGCTTGTCTTGATTGCGACATATAAATGTTTAGAACTAGAGGTGGTGGTGCGTGCTGGACCACGACGTAATATCCTTATTGACAGCATGCAGCATAGCGAACTTTTTATTCTTAAGCGCCACGACTATTGTTGAGGCTACTGCTCGACGACGCCTCTAAGACTTCCGCTTCCCCATAGAAGTGTTGTCATGTGGTGTATAAACACAGATACTTAGCTGTCAATACAACGACGCACAAAATTCACAGTGCGACGTACTAAGAAAACGAAAAGTATACATTTCATAGATACATAATTTTAGGTCTTTTTTACTGCTACCAGCTTTGCCAGCGTGCCTCCGATGTCCACTCCCATTTGTCCCTGTACGTTCCGCAGGTTTTGCAAGACCGCAACGGGCACCGCATGATCATCTGCTAGTAGGGACGAGGACTCTCGGCTTCGACTACGGCGCTCGAACGCCGAAAGTCTCTTCCGATCACTGGCAGACAGTTCATGACTGGAACTTCGGCTTGTCTGAAAAACCTCGCCGCGTGAAGACCGCCCGCGATCCCACGCGTGCAACAGACTCAAAAGTAGCTCCCGACTAGGTAGCGTCGGCGCTTGTTCATGTGGGTCGTCTAAAGTCCTCGTCGCATCCATCATGCCAGAGGGTGAACCTTTTTCTCCACCAAGCGGAGTAGCGACATTCTGTGATGACGATGATGGAATTTGGCCTGGGACCGCCGCTGTTGATGTAGATGTACTTCTACTCTCTATATCAGATGCATTTGATGCAATCCTTGCGTCTCTGTGAAGTTGCGATGCTGACGTTGCCGCAGTTAAGCTTGCGCTGCCTTTGTCGAGCACCACTCCTGCGCCCTGGTGTTTCATCTCATATTGCACTTCTGCTTCCAGTCCTTCACCCAGTTCCGGTCGTTTCGACTGCCTGTGCTGCTCCTGGTCCAGGCAAGTAGAACTTGCTTCTTTATCTTGGTATCGTTCCCAATCCCCTGCTGTCGCAGGGCTTGTGCCAAGTGCGACATTGTCTGAGGAGACGCCCGAGTTTTGGCTTGTTGCGCGCCACAGTCGCTCACTCTCGCCACTAACTTCAGAAGTAAACGGCTCGGCAGAATTCGTTCCAATATCGAGCAGCGGAGGCGAAGTGTTAGGTGGACTAAGTTGCGCTTGCAGCGGTAGGGGGTTTTCTGGTGACGGTGAGTTTTTTTTCTGTAATGATTTCCTGACTCTCTTCGCTGAAGACGAGAACGCGTCACCCTCTTCACCTGCCGCGCCGCCAGGTGCGGCAGCGCGTCCGCCTCCGCTCGCCGAAATAAAAGAAGAATCGTCCATGAGACCGCGGGCCTTGGCCAGCTCAAGCAGGCTACTGGTATCCCACTGTGAATAGGACCGCATCTTTGGATGGTCCGCTTGCGTAACAACTGCGGAACTAGAAGAGAAACCGCGACCACCTGCCTTGACGCCGAGTGACGGACTTGGACTTCTCCGCTGAGTCGCGGAGGAGTCGCGCCTTCTGGAGAGCGCTGGCAACGGAGTCAGGCTATTGGTGTTCCTCCGACGAGGATCTTATGCATTGCAAAACGAAAACGCTCGCACTAGTAGCAATGGTCGAAAGAAAAAATGGAATTTGAAATGTATGATATGAGACCAGACCTGTTTGTAATACAAAAAATGATGTGCTGCAAATGCAACTAGTACGAGCACGAAACAACTCTTGCAGAGAATAGATCCACTACCTCTAGCTCTTCTCTGCCGCTGCCGCCCGTACTTCTGTTGGGCCCTCGGTCACCGAAATAGAGCGCCCTCATACTGCCTGTTTCCGAATTCTGGTGTCCAACCTGATACGCTGCAGAAGGAGTCCCATAGTTGCCGACCTCCTCACCATCGTGTCGAACAAGATCGTCTGGTTGCGAAAGAGTCGGAGACTTTCCGCTGTGTGCCTGCCCCATGCTCGTTGACCAGGTAAGGAAAAGCGCAAGGAGCAAGAACTGCGGCGAATTGCTTGCTACAGAGTATCAAATATCAAAATGCTCCTGCTGCCCAGTATCAAATACATCGATGAAATCTTTGAAGTAGATATGGCGAAACTACTCGCGGCGGCTGTGGCTGCGCTACTCCGATTTTTTCCCAAGCGAGGAACTGTGGAAACCTTCCTTTGTTTTCCTACTTCGTCAAACGCTGGCGATCATTCATATGCTTCTTCAAACAAGAAGCAGCGCAGATGCAGGGCAACATCAGGACCAGTTCGTGGTCGTGTGCTTGTTCTTCATTGTGTACTTTTATCTCCGCACAACTTCCCGTCCGACGCCGTTCTACTTACTACTCCTTCAATAATCGTTGGTCTGCGTCTGCTTTAAGATTCTAGAAGTCTATTTGAAATACTGGTAGAAAGTAAACAAAAACATAATTGCTCAGTCAGCTGCAGGAGTTGTCAGACCAAAAAAACTGCTCTTGATTTTGCTGCTCTGATCCGTCGCGTGTGCCATGTTTGCGCTTCAGCACTCACAACCAGTCCCACCCAATCCCCAACGCCTCCAAGCGGGCAAGATCATAAAAATGAACTAAAAGATGCATCATCTCGCGGCAGGGTGCTGCGACGAGTAAAAGTAGACTCGGGCTGATCTCCGAAACAATCATGATCTTCATCAATCTTCAACTGGGTCTGGGGGCTCCAATCTCATTTCTCAGGATCGCGGTAGAGTAAAAGGAGACAAAAAAGAAAGGAGCAGGAGATATGGATATAGAAAAAAAAAGAAGACGGGCGTAGCGGCAGTGGGAGTCGTTCAAAACCAGAAGGGTGATTGATGGATGCGACCATTGACCTTCAGTAGTTCGCGAAAACTCGAAAGGAAAACGAAATCGTGCCAGGTTCTTCTATGTTGAAATCAGCCGTGCCGGCAGGCTCGCTTCTTTCTTATTCTACAACTAAGACTGCAAGCTGCAGCGAATAACTGTTATGCGTGCCGAGGAAGTTGGTTCCTGAGAGTGAGAAAAATAAAGCGAGAAACTTTCTTAGCAATGGCATCCGGAAACACATACATATTTCTTAGCTATAGCATCCGGAAACACACATAGATCGATGCCAGCACCTCCGCTCTTGGTCGGGGCCGAATGAAGAAATTCCAACTCATGATGAACATGATACCAAGGACATGGTAGACTTGCTTGCAATTCGCTAGAAATGCAGACTGCTAGTACTGCACTGGGCTCAAGTGGCACGCACTACCAATTCTCAATCATGCGATCGAGAGGTTCTCTTGCAGCTAACTAAGTAAGAAAAAAAATGAAAATGACCTAAAAGAACCTAAAAGAGTAAATCTTAATTCCTTATTGAAAAAAGGGCCTAGGGCGTGTCCGCAATAACAGAGAGGGCGCCTGTGTTTGAATGCGATGAGGTATGACCATTGACAAGGTCCAATGTCAGTACACGACAGCACCCAGCCTTGTATCGTACAGGAAATGATGCGAGCTATTTTTCTTGGGTCTGGACTAATTGTCAATAATGTCAAGAAATGCATTTATGTTTCTCCCTTGTTGTGCCAAGGAACATACCAGGCTGCGCGTGCTCTTTTCTTCATGTGCATACAAACTATTTCGCACCTTGGCACTCCACCCGACATTATGAGGACACACGACCAGTGACATGGAAAATGCGAGTGAGTAGATATCAATGATGCTCTACTACTACAGCAGCTGCAGCACAGCGCTTCGGTACAAATAAACGATGCTGTTGATGTAGATTGAAATTGATTAAGCCTCTGAATCTCATTAAGTTTCTTCTGCGAACACGTGGGATCTGGTAGGCCGTCATCTTCATCGATCCGTCATCAACATCACCGAGGTTAACATTTTGATCGTGTTCGGTGAGCGCCTCCTGAAAGCGATCGCAATTGTTCCTGAAGGGTATCAGGAATGTCCAAGCAGGTCCTATCTTTTTGTAGTACGGAGTTAGTACAACATACTAAATCAAGACGCCAAGAAGAACGAGGCGAACGAGCCAGACCAAGAAAAGGAGCCGATTCTTGGACACACAAACAGAACGCACAATCAGGTGGAGACTGCTGGGATACAAGTTGGCATAGCACTACAGATATGATCAACACAATTGCAAACCCGTACCACGTATGAAGAGTCCGGCTTTGCCATTTCGACGGATTTACTCCCATAAAAGCAACAACATCGCTTCCGCATGCGAAAGTGAAGAGCGCGACGGTCAGGAAAGTTGAAGTCGAGTTGAAAAGTCTGACAGATTTGGGGGAATGCACTCAAGTGCGCATAGGTATCATAATTCATAGAGGAAACCTGTAGTGACTTTCTTCGTTTTCTTTTTTTTTTTTTGATCTCCTCGGCAGTTTGACCCAGACTCTTCGTCATCTTCTTGCCCTTCTGCTATCTCGTTTTGATTTTGATATTGCTATAGCGCTTCACCTACACGCTAAAGAAGCACAGTTACTCCCTGTAGTACGGGATTGGGATTCGGATTGCTAGTCCAACGCTGGAGCAAAATAAAATATATCCGAGGCGAAATATTCCCACGACGAAAGGAAAAGAGCAAGCGCCAAGAAAGCTCTATCAAGTGAACATATATCTTCAGTAGCCCTTCTTTATGTTTTCTCTTGAGCATAACTACCGTCAGAGTAGGTGCATTTATTTTTTCGCTGCGTACAAAGTCTTTCTCTTTTATAGAAGAGGACGATGCTTGCACTATTTAGAATCTGACACGTAGGAACAATTTGAGTCATTGCTTTTCATCTCTTCGCTTTTTTTTTCCCATGTTGTATCAATAAATATGCTAACTTGCACAAGACGCATCGCAAACACCCTTGCCGCCAGTTTTCGGGCTCAGGCTTCGCAACATCGACGCTTCGAAAAGAAGTTCCCTCTCCCTGACTATCAGTCGTTATCTATAAAACTGAATTTGCTCATAGGTAAAATTTCGCTATCTTTGCTTTATTGTTGCGCAAAAGCTCACCTGCGTCACCTTGTTGCGATTTATGAGACTGATTATAGCCGATGCGCCCATATCTTTCCATACTAATATAGATTCCAAATCCACGAGGAACGGCGAAACGCTTCAGGTCAACATAGTGGCGCGGCACTGCGAGGTGTTAATTACCTCAACAGACGCTGGCTTTCCCTGAAGCTAGCGAGCGAAAAACTCGTGGAGGGTTATTTTGCCTCAAACATCGTACCCTGACCTACCACCAGGTTGTGGTAGCTTGTGCAAGCATATCAAAAAAAATTGAAAAAATTTGCACTACGAGGTAGAAGCAGACGTTACAGTTGGTGACATAACAGAAATAGAGGCCTAGGCAAGACACGAGCAGTAACTATGACCATGAGCGGAGCATGGATGCTGCTAGAGGGAGCTGCTTTTAACAAAAGAAAACGCAATGTCATACTATTCAGAAAAAATCTGCCACCGTCGAAGTTTCCCTGAAAATATACGATCATCTTTCTTCTTGTAAATCTTTCGTGTCTTCAGTCGAAATTAGAGGACTCGAAACAGGGCCAGCATATCTTCCGCTTCTTCTTGAAACAAACGCAAACACTGAGACCTCCTGGCCAATACTCTAAAAAACTACTGACAAAGGAGCTCGTGGATTGTAAACTGAAACGGGTATCTTCTCCTTTTCGTTCTCGACGACATAAACATAATCAATACAAAAGAGCGAAACAGTTTTGTGTCTTTAGGTTTAGCTTTAGGCCGATCACTAATTGATAGGCGCTTGCTGATCTTCATGTTGATCTATTATCTTTATCGTGACCATCAAATAAGCATCCTTAATTTTCGACTTCGATTTCCCTAGCAATAGCGCGATGATAATCAAATCTGAGCAATACGTCGCGCCCCATCCTGTTTTTCTTTGTTTTTACAACTCGTCGGAGGACTTCTATCAGTATATTCAAATTTACAAATAGATTAGGAATCGCTAGAAATACACCAGTAACGCTGACCCACGACCTTCTGAACGAATTATGAAAAGCCTTGGATTACTTCGAGCAGTCGATCAAAATTTCCATCAGACGGGCCTCCAGGCGCATCTAGATCAAGACCATCGAAGGCGTTGGGCTCCTCGTAAGTTTCTTCTCGAGATCCAACGTTTCTCCTTTTCGGCGGTGGCCCCATGCTGTTCCCGTCGCTCAGACGCCCCCCGCCCGCCTTCCCGTGTTGCTGTTGATACCTTTGGTTTATAATTCATGTTCATCTACATTTTCACCTTCTTCGCCTGATCTGCTTATGCTTTCGAAGATATCTACAAAGCGAGCGACAAAGTGAGACCGTAGCTGTTTTACGCCACGACAACCATTGGTTTGTTTTCTAAATTGACAGAAGCAGCTGCACTCAGGTTTCACAATGGGCGCTGAAGTTAATGTTGAAGCTGTAAAACGTTTCTCGGGCTTAAGAATCACTTAAATGTTTTTCCTCTGTTGTTCTCGTGTTGAGGACGGGCCGTGATGTTTTCCAACACATCATATGCAGATCGCTTGAATAGCCAAAGCAAAAATCATAGATGAATTCAGTTGAGTTGTAGAAAAATCGACTTATAATAGTAGTACGACGGATTTCCAGTGTTGAAGAGGTTTTGATCGCCGGTGCTATTCGACTGCGCGCCTGTGCTCCGTCGTTGCATATGAAAAGAAAGAACTCTAAGTCTAACCTTTAGTGCGCACAGTTGTGAGTGTGACGTGGAAGAGCGAGAGCCCATAGTCCCGCATACGCAGATTAACGAAGTAGAGGCTTCTGACTCATCTAAGAACTAGTACCTGTGCCAAAGAAGCCTGCGCAAGGAGAGAGCACCTCACTAAAGTGCTGCGAGATGCTGCTTTAGTGAAGTTTTATTCGTACGGCTCTCCCCAGGAGGAAGAGAATCAGAAAAGAAAAAAAAGAAGCTCCCTGGTGGTCAAAGTCTCATCTCTTCTGATACATATTGTGCTCAAATGCAGAAACTAGAACTACATCAAGGATTCTTTATTTATTATGTCGCAAATGCGCGAAAAGAGAAACATTCACTCTACTAGGACCGCGAAGAGGAAGAGGTAGAAGGCAGTCGCAAGATGCAGATGTTGCAAAAATGAAAATGCATAGCGGACTACAGCAGGCCAATAAAGAACGTGCGCTGTAGAAAAATTTGAATTGCACGCTGCTGCCTTTACATCAGTTTAGGCTGATTGAGGCTGACACAAATGCAAAAAATCATAGAATCGGAATAACGTTTTTAACTGCACATCGGCATCAGAAGCATCTACTGGTCGTGTCGCCTTCTGTGTGAGAGCTAGAGCTTAGAGCACCCTCTGCTTTGCATATGATCGTCCTGTATTGAAGAAGTCGTCTTGCTTTCCGCCTTTTGCGCTGGGCCCCGTCCCGCCTCCTCGTTTATCAAAGAAGTCCTTCCGTCCAGTGGCATTGTTTCCGCCAAAAGCGGAAAACTCGAAGTCGCCGCCCTTATTTGCTCCTGCTCCACGGTCCGGCTTGTTCTTACCCACGTGGAACACATCTCGGTCCGCTGGGTCCGGCTTGTTCTTACCCACGTGGAACACATCTCGGTCCGCTTTTCCGCCCCAACCACCGTCGTTGGACGAGCTGCTTGCGTAGCCTGTGTCCCAGTTGTCGTGATCGATGTTGCCTTTTCTCCGCCGGTGCTCTACTCCGGCGTTCGAAGGTCCGCCCCTGTTCCCATAGCCCCCCCGGGCGGTGGAGGACGAGGAACCACCACCGCGATGCGGCTCCCAATGGTCGTCCCACTGCGTTCCACCACCTCGCTGGCCGCCCCGAGGTCCGAACATTTTGTCGTTCACACTATATTTCACGTCCGGCGTCGCTCCCGCCTGTTTCATGTCGTCCCACGTGATCGCATTTGGACCAGCGGCGCCACGGCCCCCGGTCCCCCCGCTGTTCGTCGGCCCACTACCCCATTTTCCTCCTTCGTGCAACTCCCATCCTGCCTTCCCACTGCGCTTCCCGGCACCATACGAATTTGCTGCACTCCCCCAAGGGCCGCTCGCGAAATGGTCATCGCGCGCCTGCTGCCCGCGCCCACCTTTGCCACCCGCAATTCTCCCCACGCTGTTGACGCTACCTGTGAAATACGGACGATGATCAGGATTCAGGAGCAGGTGAATCATTATTACGCACATAAGTGTCATCAATCGTGGGCGAGGGCGACCACCTCTGGTGTGTGATAGCCAGAGCAGGCAGCAGGAGACTACGTTCCAGTGCAGAAGTTAGAGATTGACACATGTGAAAAAATCCCTTATGAGCAGCATGACTATGAACGATCAGCGGGGACCCAAATAAAGTTCGTCATAAACTAGACCAGATAGATGCAACATTCATATTTCAGTCCGAATTCTTTTTTTCGTCTTCCGTATGCATCTAATGTTGAAAGAGGAAATAAATCTGCTGCGTTTGTAATTCAGGTATCACTTACGGTGTGTTGTGGACGGGGACCTTTGGGCGATGACTAAACCAGCGGGAGTGTCAGTTCTGCGGCTCTGACTCTCGTCGCGCGCGGTCATTCGATGTGTCATTCCTCTCATGTATCATAAGAAAAAGTGTTGACGTTACGGCTTTCAGTTTTTTGGAAAAAATTTTTTTTGTGGGTACTGAGCACTATCATTTTAATTTTTTTTTTTCTCGCCGCTGCGCAGCCTCCCTCTTTGCCCCTGCGGGGCTCTAAAGTGGTAAAACTCTGGGAGAGGAAGCTAGTGCACAAGGTGCGAAAACTATGAGGCCCCGCCACAACATTGCGCCCCTTCAAGCCCTGAAATGGCTGCCCAATCCCTGTCCGGGCTCAAGAGCCATGATGGCTGTAAGCCGGTGGGCCAGGGCCCTGGCACTGCTGACAAGACCCGCCCACCAACGCGTCGCAACGATCGACACCGGAGATGGGCCTGTTTTAGTGAGGGAAAATGGGCCATAGCATGCTGTCCAGATATGACGTTGACGGTTTTTTGGGGAATTGGAAAAATCCGAGGAAAAAATCAATGATTTGACGCCATTTCGAGGCCAAAAAATGCAGATCCCACAAAAACCGTCAACGCCTCATCTAAACAGCACGCTATGGTCCATTTCCCTTCACTCAAACCGGTGCGGGCACGGGAGCGCACCTTCTGAGCAGGCAAATCGAGCATAGCGTGCTGGCTAGATGAGGTGTTGACGGTTTTTTGGTCGATTTCATGCAAAAAAGCAGGCTTCTGGAAGACCCGATCGACCATACCGTCGTGTCTAGATGAGGTGTTGACGGTTTTTTGGTCGATTTCATGCAAAAAAGCAGGCTTCTGGAAGACCCGATCGACCATACCGTCGTGTCTAGATGAGGTGTTGACGGTTTTTGGGGTGCCGGCAAATTTTGGGCATTTTGGTACCCAAAATTTGCCCATTTCCCTCATCCTCGAAAGTGCCACCTTTTCTTCAGTCATGGAGAAAATTTCACAAAAGGCGCCAACGAATCCGAGATGGAAACTTGCAAAGCCGCACAGAGCTGAACTGGCGGAAACGCCATCTAGATGCCAGCTCATAGGCCCCCATGTCCGAGGTTTAGCCACGGTTCGAGGTTTGAGCGTTCTGGCCCGGATCTAAGAGCCGGCGGCGAGGAGAAGGCACGGCAGGGGGCGGCCCCGGTAGCCGAAGTCCTACGCCGTCATATTTTGTGCACTAGCTAGGTTAAACCAAGCGAGCTTCGTCGCAGTCCCGCGAGAACTAATAGCGGGAATGGGTCGACTTACAAACCAAAAACATACCTCCAGCATACACCCAAAATTTTTTTTTTCGAAAAAACTTAAAACCGTAACGTCAACACTTTTTCTTTCGATATCATGTTCGAAGGTGGTCGTATTGGCGGGTTTATATTTATCATGCAGCTCCGAGAGCGCTCTCTGGCGTTGAGCAGAAAGCTGCTCGCACTCGCTCCTCTTTCTCTAGTGGTAGCCCCTCCGTGATGTAGATTGTCGTGGACTAAAGCAGCGTGCGGGGGTATTCTTATTGTTTTTCCTTTTTGGACTGCAGTACCGCTCGGTGAAGATGAATGAGGCTCGGGTAAGACGATTGGGGGCATTCTGGGGATAGGCATTTTTAGGGTAGGCGTAGGCAGCGGCGGGGTTTGTTGAATACTAGGTAAAACTACTTTATCGGTTGTAAAATAGGTTGTCCGCAGAACGCGTAGGGTCGTTCCGGTGCCCGACGCATCAGTGCAACAACTTGACGGATCTTTTATCTCGGTGGTAGATTTTTTTTTACTGCTGCCCCCACTGTCGTTACTAAGAAAAGTCGTCCGCAACACGCGGACACGGTCACAGTCCACTGGCACTGACGCTGCCGAAAAATTTTTAGCGTTAGAAGTCGATGTCGGAGCTGTTCTTGTTGAATCTGTATTTGTATTACTTTTACCTCCGTCGTGGTCCCTTCCGTAGCCGAGACCCCGCCCACCCAGGGGGTTGCCTTTCTTCCCGATGGCAGGTGGAAGTGGGAGCGTCTTAGCCGCACTGGCGCCAGACTTGCCGCCGTGATGTCCGCCGGCGTTCTTTGCGGCTCGCTGGTCATGGTCGTCCTTCGAGTTCCATGCTAGCCGCGAGTACAGGATACGAAGTTGCTGCTCCGTAAGATCCTGTATGAGATAGGTTTTGCCTTTATTATACTTACTTTCCTCGTTGGCCAGTGGTCTAGCAACATGCCTACGATGTCACAACTCGTGCCTGCGTCTCATACACCACACACCGAACGACCAGAGACAGAGTTCTTGTTGTAAAAAAGCATAATCATAAAACTTTCATTCCAATGATCCTGCGAGACTGCACTAAGTGTGCGTACAGCGAAAACAACAAGACACCAACCCTTGTACGCTATCGCTACGTACCTTCGAAAATGTCAGGCCCACGTCTTTTGCTTCCTGTGAACCGGGCTGGAGTCCTCTGTCGCTGCAGAGTGCGTTTGCCTTTTCGTCAAGCATCTTCTTAAACTCCTCGAAGGAGAGCAGGTTCCACTCCTTCTTGCTCAGAGTAAATTCGCGGTGCACGTTGGGGAGTGCCGGCTTTGGAAACGTGAGCGGTGGTTCTACACTCCCCGTGCGGGGTAGCTGCTTCGAGCCTTCCACCGGGGCAACGCCGGAGGTGGTCCCGACGCCCGACACAGCACTAGAGGAGGATGGTTCCTGCTTATTATTTGGCATCATGCCTGAGCTCAGGGCCGGCATGCGCATTGGGCTCGGGGGCTGCGGCATGCGTGTCAGGTCTATCACTTGTTTTTGTTTGTTTGTACTACTGCTGCTACTGTCGGTGCGTTTCATCGGCGCAACTTGTTCGTGCCCAGGCGCGGTGGTGAAGTGCCCGTCTTCTCTTTGCAAGGGAAAAATGCTACAGTGGAGTTAAGTACACTCTACGTTGCAGGAGCCGGGAGACAATGACAGACAGCGTGGTTTCCGTTTTATTCCCTTTTAAGTAATTATCTGCAGCTCCACATTGCAGCAGGTAGTGAATTTCATGCAGACCCATCTTGTCGCTGTGTTGTGGTCTGCAAGAGTGTGTACTAACTCACTGTAGCACTTAATTTTCTTGGATACTCTCCAATGCGTAGAACTTGTGTGGTGTGCCTTTGCACGGTGTTCCCATGCGCATCCTTCACGAGGTCGAGCTTTACCTGGGGCTGGGGGGGAACCATCATGGGAAGGGGAAGGTTAGGCTTTGGCATTTTCAGGCCGCTGCCACCTTGTTGCAGGTCTGCGAATGTGATGGCGTTCTTGTCGCCCAGGTCTGCGAATGTGATGGCGTTGTCGCCTGGGGCGGCGCGTTTGTTGCCGCCACCGCGGATGCCGCTGGGTTTGGTCCCAGATGATGTTGCTCCATGGATAATTGGCATATGGGGGGGCATTCCGGGCGGCGTGCCTGTTTAATAACATGGTCGGGCTCCGAATTTTTATACTTGATGCGCATTTGAGAAGCAACAGAAATACTGTTTTTCAATCGCAATGAGAATGATTTCTACATTTTGATTTTCTTTGATAACCGATAAATCTAAATAGCCGGAGGAGGAAGGGGATATAGTGAGGCCATGGCCGCTTTTTTGCCGGGGCGTCCAAGTTCGTGTCGCGGCTGCTGCGATCAGGAAGCCCTTTTTTTGTAACTGCTCCGTCCTTGATGTGCCTACTGTTATTCATGATCTTTCCGCTATCATTCATGATCTTTCTGATATGCTGCTATTTCTGCTTTGACCCATCTGATGGGTCAAAGTAAGTGGTACATCTACAGGCAACTATACCTGGCGTAAGCGGGGCCACTGCATTTCGGGCCGCTGCTGCTGGAGATTTTGAACCGCTTTGCGCGAGCGAATTCTGCAAGATCATCATGAGGCTTTCGCGGGCGGCATCATCAGTTTCGGCGCTAGGATCCAGCAAGTTCATGCTGTTCAGAACTGCAGCACCGCTTCCGTCCACATCCCGAGCCCCGGTTTCGGCAAGCAGCTCCTCATCCCTATTGTCGTCATTGATAGAGACCAAGTCGTCCTCGTCCTCTTCTTCCTCGTCCAACGCGTGTGAAAGCAAAAAACTATCGCCAGTGTGTGTATTCATTCAATCCTGTGCCCATGACTTGCAAGGACGAGAGATGTTGCTTGCTCTAGAAATATGGCCCCATACCGACCCATAGCAAGCAAAAGTGAAAGCATCAGCATGCAAGGAAAATTCATGCCAACTAAATAGTCAAGTACTTACAGGGAAGTACTGGTGCGTTTCTGAGAAGCGCTTTTTCATGTTTGTTGACTGTCATATGAATATTATCTACTCGACGAATATAGTAGCGATGACATTTTTTGCGTTCGATACCGGTCGCTGCGGAAGGACGTGCGCCAGAAGCGAAGGATCCTCGAGCAACACACCTTTGTTTCTGCTCCCGTTCGACGCGGAAGCCAAAGGAAGATCCAGGTTAGAGGAATTCGAACTCCCGATGCCTTGTTCCAGCTCGTCTCTGGCTCGGGCTTCTGCATCGTCCGCGCCCTCCTGCGCCTGGTCCTCTCCCATGTGGTCCACCATATCTATGATCGGAGGTGCAGTTGGATCAAATTCATCGTTCATCATCATCTGCAAGGACAAATAAGTTTCAAGGCCCGGAGCAGAGGGAGACGCTGTTCTTTGTTCCCTTTCCTCTTCATTTTCGCATTTATTTTCATGATCAGGGTTATTTAGGTTTGGCTTCATTAGAAGAGCATCCAGAAAATTCGAGTCCGCGGGGGCGACTTCGTTACGGTAGTCGCAGCTGGGGGGCCCGCCTTGATCTGGGCTGTAGCTGTACTGCTGCTGCTTAATGCAACTAGAATTACTGTAGTCCTCCTTGTTACTCCCGGTCGTGTCCCCTGCAGCTACTAGTCCTAATTGTTCGAAAAAAGCTGTTGTAGTAAGGTTCTCTTCATCTACTTCTACCACTTCCTTAGAACTAGAAGAGTTGTCATCCGCTATAACAACTACATCAGAGGCCCCATCAGACTTTTTTTCATCGCGAGATGTTGTACGACTAGCAGCGCTCATCATATCCACATTGTCTTTGTCGTTGTTCGCTTTGTCGTTCTTCGTAATGCCTCCGATCGCAGGAGGGAGGCCCAATGAGTCTCTCGGGTGACAAGGGGCGTCCTTTTCTTCATCTGGATCTGCGCCTCGCAATTGCGCCTGTGTCGGGGTGGTCCTCGTTTCCGGAGAGCATTGCAACTTGCAGACAGGTTCTTGCTCTGGGTGCAGCCTAGTGCCCGCAATCTGCGACTGCGGCTTCTGTTGCTCTGGCTGATGGTAGTCCTCCTGATCCTTGTGGTGTTTTGCGTAATATTCGAAGATGGTGCTCGTGATGCTCGTAGCTACCTTGTTGCGCGCTTGCCCTTTTTGCCCCCGTTCGTCATCTACAGCTTTTGCACGAGAGTCGTGCTTGATAGAACAACTACCGAACAGCTCCGTCTCGTTTGCAGAACGTTTTTTCCAAAAATTCAACGCCGAAGCAAACGAAGCACTTCCGGCGTTTATTTCACCAGGTGTACTACTAGAGGAGGGCGCACCACTAGCTTCTACGCTACTAGGCCCTGGGCAGTTCATCTGCCGCGAGATGTACTGCTCACCACTCGACGTCGCGCACGCAGATCTTATTTCCTGCGTGGTTCTTTCACCTCCTGTTTTCTGTGCTTCGCTTTCGAGCCACGACTGCGACGCGGCGTTGGAGGAAGTTCTTGTAGAGGCCGCGCACATCGGTTGCTGCTCGAGGACGGCCTTATCGTCAGCCGTGGCAGTTGTTGTAGACCCCAAAACGCCAGTACTTGCCGGAGGAGCTGCAGCACCAGTATGAACTCCTGCGGGTGTGGTCGTGGAGTATGCGTTCGCTTCTTCCTTGTTGTTTTCTGCTGCTTTAACTAGGTCCAGCGTCGACACCACCTCTTTGCCGCGTGTGGAGGATGTATCGTGCTGCCCGTTGATATCCTCCTCGACAACTTGCAGCTGGCGCAAATTGGACGTCGCAAGAATGGCTGGACTCTCGTCCATTCCTTGTTCGTGTACTTCTGTATTATCTGATTCGCGGCCAACAATAACCTCATTGGACGCAGTAGGGGACACAGCTTGTTCAGGAAGAGTAACTACCTCGGTCCTTTGAGGCGACTGCGATTCGAGAGAAGAACACGGCGAAAATGCGACCGAAGGGGTCTCCTCGACCGCATCGTCAGCATCTTCAAGAAAAGTAACTTCTTCCGGTGGTCTAACGCCGTTGGCGAGGCCAGAGCAGTGCTGATCGTCACCCAAAACAAGTTCGTCGTCTTGGTCTTGGTTTCCCCCGTGCCGCGCCAACGCGTCGTCGGCTTCATCCGGGGGTAGAGCAGCGGCGCAGATTTCGTGGCTTGTTTGAGAAGAAATCGATTCCTCCATATTCTTCGTCTCGTGGCATGCGACTGCGGCTTGTGCTTGCTCTGCAGTTGTACCAGTAAAGGAGAGGGCGTCGTGGTTAACCTCGTGTTGGTTTTTCAGTTCATCCTCCATGTTGTCAACTTGTTCCGCCGTCTGCTGCTCTAGCTCTACGGGTGGGCTCGGGCTCCCGAGAGCAGTGGATCCAGGTATAATTTGTCCTGGATCGCGATCGGAGCCAGAGGCCAAAATAAATGAGTTCTGTTTCATCCCCGCAGAAGTCCCTTCCGCAGTATCATCTCCCGACGACTTGCTTGCACAGGTTGTAACCAATGATGTTGATGTGGCCACAGCGGAAGTAGAAGTAGAACTCGACGGTACTACAGGCACCGAGACTTGCTTTTCCTCCAATACCTCTTGTTCCATCTTGATCTCTTCTGGAAGTTCAGCATTCGAAGTGACGCCCTTTTGTGCAGCGGGTTCTTGGTCTTCTTGCGGCGCTTTGTTCGCACAGTCCGCAGCGGCCGCGAAGACGTCCGGCTCACTGCAATGCTGTTCCGACTGCTGGCGCTGAATGTTCGCGGGTTCATCCTGCGGTGAGGACGTTTTGCTGGCAGTGGCAATGTCGTCGGCGTCAAGATCATTCGCATCAACTGCGCCGGCATTCGCCTCCTCCTCCTCGTCTGCTTTCTCGGCAGTTTTTGATATCGCTCGGACTGCAAGCGGACCTTCGATTTCTTCCTCCGCCGGGGATGGAGGCTTACATTGGAAATAATCGCGGGTAAGGGGAATCAAAGGCGCAACACGACCCGCACGCCGAACTGTGCTCGCGGTTGATTTTGTCTTCGTCGGCGCAGGCGCTTCCGCTTCAGAGACTCCGTCGTGGTACTCATTATGCGTAGTTGTTTTCAACGACTTGGGTTCCTGGTGGTCAGCCTCTTCTTCAGATGCTTGCAGCTGCCCACTTGCCTCCATTGGTGAACACGCCTGCTGCTCGACTATCAAATAAAAACATGACTGGGCATGGACGAATGCAGATGTTATTTGTGAAAACACGGTAATTTAAATTTTAATTCTTGGATATCTATAGAGCGACGCATCCATGAAAAAAACTGCCCTTTGTCCCGTCTCTCCGTCTCTTGTAGCCAAAAATCGCACATCTTGCGCTGACCATCATCATCATCGCGTAAAGATAATTCTATATACCATTTTGATTTTCGTTTCTGCCCAGTACTTTTTATTTTAGAATCAGCATCAGAATTGTGCATCCTTCCAGATCCAGTCTAAGACAAGATATTCACAATGCATATTCTTGCCGTCATGTAGTTGCGGTGCGGCAGGCTCGTGCGTAGGACTTTCCCGAGCGCTACTGAGAACGAGCGGAATGAGACGCCGCTTGCTGTATAGGCGCCCCCGGCTTCTATGAGACCTCACGGGTCCTCTCCCTCCTGACACTAGCGCCTTCTCGTCCACGTTGCCGCCTCCCACTTTGTCCTCCCCTGCCCCCGTAGCGTGATTCGTGGTATGATCTTCAGCTGCTTCTCCCGACGGGGACGTGTTCAACTCCGCACATTTTTCAACATGATTACTGGCTTGTTTTTCTTCGTTTGCGGAAGCTCGCTCCAAGCGCCGCGTGTTCTCTTTCACCTTGCCGGCCTCGATCTCCTCGGCTCTTTTGTGGAAGTAATATAGCGCTGCTCTCTTTTTCAGTTCGTCGCGGCTGCTGGAAACCACACCAGCGGTCTCTGCTTGTTTTGGGAGTGAGGACGTCGCAGCGGCGGCTGTAGTTTGTCCCGCAGCAACTACAGGACGGGAGGTAGAAGTGGCATTTTTTTCATCCTCCACAAGATGCGACTTTTTCGACAATAGTACGGGGACAACGCGGCGCTTGCTGGGAGACCTCCTGGTGATCCTGTGTAGTAGAGCAGGCGGATCATCTCGCTCATTCCTTCGGCGATCATGTTGGGAGGAGGCCAAGCCCAGAGCCAGCTCGCCGCGCTGAAGCTGATTACGTTTACTCCTACTGCGGCTCCGGCGGTCTGCTCGTTCGCCACGCAATGGCGACGCGGACGCACCAGCAGCGCTCACCGCACGATCCCTCATCAGCTGATTGGGGAACTGCAGCCTGTCGCGGCACGACACTGAATCTGCAGAGCGAAGCAGAGGCGGATGGTCTTGCGGTACTCGACGCTGCTCTGGTTGCTCATCTCGTCTTCTACTAGGAGCAAACGCGCGAACTCGAGGCCGAGGAGGCGAAGCGGCGACTACATTCGTCCTCCGCAATGTGCTTCTTTTCCTGCTAGTCCGTGTGCGGCTCCTACTCCTTCGACCTTTCTGCTGGTTCAACGTGACGAAATTATTACGAGGACCTCTCAGCACTGAACTCGAAGCATGCCTTTTCGCACGAGCACTGTCCCTATGGCTACTTCGCTTCCGCGTTGAGCTCCTTTCGATACGACTCTGAGTTCGCCGTGGTGGATTTTTTGCTGATCCGCTATCTTGGTGTGCTTGCTCGGTGACGCCACGGCATCGGTCAACATGTTGAGGCCTGCTTATTATGCGCTGTGAACTTGATCCACGGGAAGGAGGCAACGCGTCCCGGTCACGATCCCGCGCAAGTCGTCGCAGGTCCGAAAACAACGCGCCAGCCAAGGAAGTGGGTGGAGGTGCGGAGGGTTCCTTGCGGCGAGACAAAGCAGGTTTTTCGTTTTTCGTGGGAGACGATCTTCCTGGATGGCCGATGTTTACATCCTGTGCCTGTCGTGGTTTCCGCCTGTCATGATCTTCATCTTCGGGCTTGCTTACAACGAACTTGAGGCTTGCTGATGAACTACTTGATACGCTTTCGCTTTCACTTTCATCTTCGACCGCCGAGCATGCTCCTAGCCACTCGGTCGGAGCTGGGCCGACACGGATTTTGCTAGGGGCTCTGGGTCTTGTTGTCGCCATCAATTTTACGGAACCAGATGCAGAGCTAGCAGCTCGCTGCTCTTGGTCGCATGTACTGTCCTTGGCCGCAGTACTTGCTGATCTTTCTGGCGCTGCGTGCTGCTGGTGCAGCCCTCGATCTGTAGTACCTCCCGGCATGGCAACGTGCAGGGGGTCATTTGCGTTGCCTGCAAATCTACTTTTCGGTCGTGGCTCAGTTGTCGAGTGAAATTCGAATCGGGCCGTGCTCTCGCCGGGACAACGTTGCACCAGTCGCACTTTGCTGGGTTCTCGTAATGTTCTTGTCACTCCTGTCGTCGTACTTTCAGAAGTATATCGTGTCGTCATAGCTTTTGTCTTCTTGCCTACTTCATCATCTAGCGCTTTTTCCTGAACTGCGCTCGGACCACGCCAGTCGCTCGGTGCCGGACCGGTGTTGCGAGCGGAACAAGGGTGCAAGCTGCTCGCCGCCTTCGTTTGCTCCCTCTGACAAGTGGATGGCGATGGACATGGACGAGTTGCGCCACTATAATGCGCTGCAAGTACTTCCTGTTGCGAAAGCGGTTTTGGACACAACTGCCGGCCTGAAGGTGGACAAGAAACCACGGCGGAAGAAGGGCGGACAGTGCCGGTAGTTGTTGTTCTGGCACGTTCGCCTTCGGCCCTGCTGCTTTTGTTCGTTGTGTCATTTACAGAGACTTGCGCTCTGCTTTCCCGCACTGCTGCGGCTTTTGAGAAAGCGCCATCTTTAAGAGGAGTAGGAGCTTTCGAGACGCTGCCAGATGAAGCTTTCGAAAAACATGTCGGTTCGGTCACAGAAATCGCTTTTGGAGCCGCGGGCACAGCCCCAACACGAACAGCCACGGGCACGAGGTGGACGTTACTCGAATTATTAAACGTCGGCGCAGGCCCTACCGCACCACCTGCACTCGCACTGGTCGTAAACGACGGGGCTTGAAGATGTGCTACGGTCGTCTCCTCTGTTTCTTGGCCAGCCGATGCAGTCGCAGTGAAACGGCCTCGGCCTTCCTCTTTGTGCGATGTGCATTCGTCCGGAACCCCCCGTTTCGGCGAAGTGGCTGCGCCCATCGACTTGGATTCGCCGGAAGTGGCTGCGCCCATCGACTTGGATTCGCCCTTGGGCGAAGGTGAAGATTCTGTGGCAGCCACGGGCTTACGTTCAGCCAGAACATCATGCAGTACCGGTTGTCGTGGTCTATCTACACCTGCTCCGCACGGCTCGTGCTCGTCCACCACGTCCTCCGACACCCTGCTAGTATATGTATCTGCGCTGCTGTAGGTCTTCACCCGCCCCGTTCCTCCGATTCCGAATTTGAGAGCGCGGAGATGAGTCTTCGAGGCCTGGGATGAAGATACGTTCTTGCATGATACGAGCTTAAGGACCTCTTCTGCTCCTGTACTATGGCTCCTCGTCACTTCATCTGTGCTGGGCGGTGCCTCTGCGCCCGAAAACAACGTAGTTGTCTGATTGTTCAGGCGATTGGTTTTGGTCTTCTCGTCGAGTAAAGTGGTAGGCGCCGCCCCGTTGCTACCTGTGCTAACAGGCGTACTCAGGGGCAGGGGAAGTAGAAAGGGACGACTGGTGTCCTCGTCCTCGTCGTTGTTCTGCTGCAATTTTTCGAGCGCCAGCTCATCCATCGCCTGCAGATTTAGAAGCTCGACTTTTTCGTCTTGGTCTTGTTTCTTAAGCGCCGAAGCCGATGTTGATGTAGGTGTTATATTATCCACTGCCTGTTCATGATCTTCATCGTCTTTTTTATCCTTAATATCCTTCGGCTTTGCTTGTTCTCTTCTTGCAGGAGCTGCAACAGATTTATTTTCGTGACAGCACTCACCTTCTTCTTCATTTTCGTGCGGCTTCAGCGAAGCCTCACACTGTTCGTGTTCCCGTTTTTCAGACGCATTCTGCTGCTCGTGCTGGGACTCTTTCTCTTTCCGCACATCAACATCGAGCTGGTCGTCACCAGCATAGGTCCGCAGCTGCTTCATATCTGGCTGCGCTCCTAGTCCCACACCAACAGCAAGCGGCTCCGCCTTCCGCGTCGTATTCAACCCGACCTCCGATGTGGGCTTTTTTTCACCTACAACTGAAGGCTGCGACGTAGGCTTTTGCCCTTCTGGCACATGATTGTTCGGAAGAAGAACTACGCTCGTGGTCGTGGCATCGAAGGCAAATATGTTTTGGCCTGTAAACTTGTGACACAAGTGTGTGAGTAATAAGCATCTCCCTGCAATAGGTGGCCAAGCATGACAAGTTTTTGAGCTTCTGCGTGTTGCGTATTCCGCATGGCGGGCTTCATTTTTGCATCATGACAGGCAAGGAGATTATTTCGTGCCTACGCATCACACAGGTAAAAAAAAAATCATGCCAGACAAGCATGAGAAATCATGCTCTCTACTTCCAGACCCAAATATATTTGCACTGCATAAGCACCGGTGGAAGACGATGACGTCGAGAAGCGACTGACGTCGACGTACATAGATTTCTGCCTGTTCCCCTTTTTCCCAGTTGATCCGCACGACGAGCTTGACGAAGTACTTCTTTTCAAGTGTGGTTTTCCTTTCATGTTGTAGCTGTCGTTGCTCTTGCTGTTGCCCTCGCCCTTGGACCAGCAGGATTTTTTTTGGATTCTTCCGTGCTGGTGTCCGTCGTCGTACCACATGAAATTCTTTCCAGCAACGACACCGAATGCCGAATGTGCCAAATTGCTGCTGCTTTTGCCTGCTGGAAGGTAACTATTTTGTAGCTCTTGCTGAGCGCGCTGATATTGATCGTACCCTGTTTCGCGATCCCATTCGGACATAAAAGTAGCGTCATCAATCTGAACATCTGGCCCGGTCATAACTTCTTGGTTAGATCCTGTATGTCGGTTCCAGGGCGCAGGATCATTTCCGGTGACGGGACCACAAGTGCGAGCGGGAACGCCTGCCGACTTCCCTTTCTCATTCTGGGTGGAGGTCGCCGACATGTTTATTGAAGAGCTCAATCACGGCCAGAGGTCCTCCGTCGCTAGCTTCGTGAAAATCACCGATGGATGTTACCAGCGTACGCCTTGGCTGGTGTTCTGTTGCTAGCGTACGCGGATATTGCCAGCGTATGCTTTGGCTGGTGTTCGTGTTGATGATCCACCTGGCGCTGCTGTGGGCTGCCGATTCGGTCTCGTGGGAGCGTTCTATCTTTTGCTTTTCCCATGCAGATGAAAATTACTCTGCCCGCGCCCTCCTTGTTTTTCAGCCCGAAATAAGATTGCCATCACCGAAGCCTCGAGCGCCGAAAGCTGCGAAGTAAACTATAAACGCGAATGAATCAATATACAGAAAATAGAAATACTTAATGCGGTCCTGGGTTATCATCTGTAAAGATGTGTGTGAGAGCCGAGCTGTAGCTGTACACTAAGCGCTAAGAGCGCAATAGCGACAAGCTACTTGTATCTGTAAAAAAGCGACTAGTAATTATCTACTTCAGGGTAGTTGTAAGCACTCTAATCACATTCGATTCGTACTCAAAAAAATATCTAGTTTTAGGGGGTACAACATAACAAGAAAAGAGATATTTCTGGCCAATCAACGCCATCAGTCAACGCCCACATCGAAACAACGCCAGCGTAAAGCGCTACAACTACAAGTGCAGTCCACGAGTATGATGCTGTAAGTTGTTTAGGCGGGGCAGCTGGTTTGTGTTTTTCTTTGTCTGCTTGATGGGTCTAATATTTCTCCCACTTTCTGGATCAACGTATTGAAATGCAGGATGGTTCTCCACCTCCAATCCCGTCTTGATAAGGAGCTCGTCCTGCAATCAAAGATGCTATAAAACACGGGGACGGCGGCCACTAAAAGAAGGGTATCGGTATTATATATATTTTTTTTTGCCAGCCGATAGAGTTATGATGAGGGATATTTGGGGTTATGTCGAAAATACAAATCCAAGAACTACAGCAGTCTACTGCTCGTACTCTAACTCTACCAAATAAATGTGTCGTCATTGATGTTCGTAGCCTGGAAGAGAGATTGGATGAGTTAAAAAGGCATGAATTACATCTTCACGTATGAACATGATGCAGCAGAATTACGTCGATAAGCAGTACCTGGTGGCTTCGTGGGATCGAAAACTTCTGGCGGAGCTGTGGGATCACTTTTCACCCCTTCCGGAGGCGCCCCCGGGGCTTGCCGCCGGCGCCTTCCGGGTGTTGCGTTTTCTGTCCGGCCGCCGCCTTGCCGGCCGCGCGGGGTCCGGCAAGCTTGCGCGGCCGCGAAAGCATACCCCGGAGGGGGCCCTCGTGGAGTCGGCCAACATTTTGCCAAGAGGCGGCGGGCCCCCTTCTGGTTGTGTGGAGGATCGCCCCGGCCCCCCAAGCCACACCCCACGCCCCGAGGCTTGGCGGAGCTGCGCTCGTGGCGCGTCTGAAAGGGAGCGGGCGCTGTGCCCCCTGCGTGCAAGGGCCTCTCAGGGGCGCGTGCTCTAGCGCGCCCGGCATTGGGGCCAAAGGGCAAGGAACGCAATGCGCCCAATGCCGTTACGGGCCAACGACCTGCCTCGTAATTTCGCGAACCCCCCGCCCGGGCCCAGACGAATGACAGGGCCCCGGACGAAGTGGGCCCGTCGGGCCTTTTTCTTCCCCGCAATGCCAACACCACGCCGGAGGGGGGGCGCCGCCGCCATTTCTGCACAGCGGCAAGGCGGGCGGGCAACGTCCGGCCGGCGCGATCGGGCAGGCCACTAATGGGCCGCCACCGCTCGCGCGCCGCGCTGGCCCGTCTAGGGCCTTGGGGCACGCACTTGGCCCCGCCTGTCCGCCGGCGCAAAGAAACAAAATCCGCGAGGCGCAACAGAAGGCACGAAGGCGCGCGCCCGCCCTTTCCCTGCGTTGGCGAGGGCGGGGGCTTGGCGGCCCCGGCGCGTATCTTTGGCGGCGCCGGCCTTGTTGCGGGGCCTACCGCCCTCTCCCGTGCTTTGCTTGAGGCTGTTGGCCTACCATCCTGCCGGGCGAGGGTGTGGCGGCCTCACCTCTTGGCGCGCGACCGGGGTGCCGGCTTGCGCGAGATCTGCCGCAGCCGGCGGCGCCGTGGTGACTGAACTCGCACAGGCGCCGCGCTTGCAATTGGCCGCGGGCTCACAGAGTGTGCCTATGCGCTCGCGCACAGGAGGGGCACATCGGCAAAGCCTTCGCCACGGAGGCGAGCGCGCCGAATCGGTGGGAAACCAAAAACGCGGCCCAATGTTGCGCGGCCTCGTCGGGATTTTCCCAACTTGTGCCCGGCCTCTATTTGCTCTAAGTGTGCCCGTGGGGTGGGGCATGCGCATCACCAACACACAGGGGCGCGCCCCTCGGTGCATTTTGGGAGGCCGCGGCGTCTCGCTAACAGCGAATGCCACGCGGCGGGCCCTCGACGAAGTGGCTCCCGGAGGAGCTTGACGTGGCCAGCCACCAAGCTGACAGACAAAGGCCCTGTAGGAATGGGACGCGATGTCTTCGAGTGTCGCCCAAGTGCTCGGAACCCCACTCGGGATGCGAAAAAAAACGCATATCAAAATTCTCAGCGTACTTGAAAAAAGCGTCGTTGACGCCGCCATACAGTACCTGGTGGCTTCGTGGGATCGAAAACTTCTGGCGGAGCTGTGGGATCGAAAGGTACCTCCGCACTAGGGTGTCGAAAGGTGCCAAAGTCTCTCCGCAGCGACCAGTCGTCGCTTCTGAGTGATATTGCCACCCATGATAGAGCAAGCTCCCCACAGAATCGGCTTCCTGGCCTCCCTCCGACCTAGAGCAGACGCGGCGGCCGCGGCCCTCTAGCGTCTACGCTTGCCGTCTGGCGCACGGGTGTCGGACTGACTCCCCGGCTGCGCTGTGCGCTACTTGTGCTGAGAGTGAGGGCCACTCAGCCTGTCCACGCTGCGCCTCAACCAGAAGCACGCAATACATTTTCTCCCGAACCGCGCGCGTGCGCGAGGATTCACGGACAAGCGACCCCGGTCTCAGCCGTCGCGAGTACGTGGGAGCCGACCCTTGTCGGCCGAAGCGGCTGCGTCGCAGCTATGTAGATTTTCTGGGCGTTACGCCTCGCGCAGTGATCTGCGCTTGCACACTTCGTGCTCGGTCCCCAGTCGAGGATCTGCACTCGCTCCTCAGCTCGGAAAGCGGATGCAAGCTGGCCGCGGCAGTACCCGCCAGCACTTGGCTTTTCAAACTTACTACTGCGCTCCTCTGGCTCTGTTCCGCGCTTGCTGAAGACGTCAAGAGGAAGAAGCGCAAACTTCGATCGCGCGATCGAGTCGGGCGGCGTTTAGCCGAGACGGGGCACTTGCCCATTTTTTTAGCCAAGCAGATACACCGGGGGCATTGAGGATGAGGGGCCCGGCCCTCGCATACCTATCAAATTACCTACCCTTATCTTCTCTCTGCCTGGACTCACAGGCTCGCCAGCGGTTCGAAGATAGTGAACATTTATTTTTTCATCTTCTATCTAGCGGATACTTGTTTTACATGTCAACCACGTACAGGCGGAGCTTCTGGAGGCTAGTTATGTCGATAAGCCGTACCTGGTGGCTTCGTGGGATCGAAAACTTCTGGCGGAGCTGTGGGATCGAAAGGTACCTGAGGGGGTCCTCAGACCCCCCCTCTATACTAACGCCCAACAAGACCTAGGTTTTTTGCAGTCCCCACGCTATGGTCCACCCAAGGGGGGTCCCGAGACCCCCACCAATAACCCCCCTGGATGGGCCGGAAGCTTTTGCCGTGTCTTTCGAATTCGCAGAAAACAGAGCGGCGGCCCTTCAAAGAAAGCACACCCCAGAGCATCCGGAAGAGCGCGAGAGCGTGGCGCCCGGACTGCAGACCGATACCCATTCCAAGCTTCGCCCAGGTGGCTTTTTTGCATGCGCCGCTGCCCCGGTCAAGGGCTTGGTGCGTGTGAATCCTTTCCCGGAAGCGTAACTGCTTCCAACTAAAGGACGGCCTTACGTACGGTACCTGCATGAAGGCGGCGGAGTTTGTCTACCGGCCTGGTCCGTCGGGCCCCGGGCCTGGCCAGGGGAATATGAAAACAGAGCCGAAGGGTGTTCCGCGAAAGGAAAGGAAGCGGCTCGACACATGGAGCCGATCACAAAAACACACACAAGCCCCACCCGCTTTGGCAGGTGGGCGCGAGATAGGCGTTGCCTAGCAGATTCCGTCCTTGCACAGTGCGGGCCACCCGCTGGCTTGGCCTAGAGGGCCAACATGGCGGGTTGCCTGTGTCTCGGTCCTGGGGGCTCTCGAGCCTGTGGGGCGCCCCTTACAAAACGGCTGGCAGGCTACGAGGTGGATCCCGCATCTGGCATCGACCCAAGTTGTGCGATGGCGGGCTACTTGCAGTTTGCGTCTGCCTTCGCTATAATATGACCAACTCGGCTATGTGCGTGACCTACTTGCAGTAGGTCGCTTCGCGAAGGTAGATAACAATTTTGAAAGTTTTCTATGGATTTAATCGTTGGGCGCGTTATATAACAAGTACCTGGTGGCTTCGTGGGATCGAAAACTTCTGGCGGAGCTGTGGGATCGAAAGGTACCTGCGGAAACGAGGATAAAGGTCAATTTGCGTGGCACGCTGCCACTTTGGGAACCAACAGAAAAGGCTCTGCTTCTCCTTCTAGTGCTATTGATAATTGATGTTCGTTCTCCTCGACTGTCGTCCTTGCTACGGACCATACACGAAAACTAAACTATTCGTCTGAGATTACAATGACAAGGAGCGGCTTGGTCTCAATTCTTCATTATCGCTTAGCGCGTTATTCACAGATACATACTAGGACGACTAAATATTGATCCTACTCTGTATGGAGCACCAAGCAGAAGCACATATTCGGTCAAGTTTGATCATCAAGTCATTCATGATCTTGCTCCTCATCCGTGTAGTTCTTTTTTATTTCATCATGTAATATGTACTACATTTAATGCTACAGGGGCAAATGACTCGTGGGAATTCAGCGCCTCACAAGAGGAAGAGCCGCCCAAGCTTACAATTCTAGGGAAGAGTTTAGTGATAGTGTCCTCTTAATCTTCTCTGTCCGCTTTTTTGCACTTTTTCTCATTTCGGATCTCCGCGTAAAGTAGCTGTCGCTGTGAAGTCGAAGTACTATGTGTATTCGAATAGGCATCTGCGATAATCAGAAATACAGGAGATGGAGAAAGCGGCAATGCATAACCCTGCTCGTTTCGAGAAAAACCGTATGAGAAAAGAAGACTCAGGCCATGCTCCTCGGATGATTTCACAGCGCAACACCTGCGGCAAGTGCATCCGCTACAACGAGCTGCATGGAGACATGCCGGAGCGTAAGCAAGTGGAAGATGACTACTGCCGAAACAAGCTGTACCTCCTGTGCGCTAGCCGTGCCCCCGGCCGACGAACTCGACGAAGATGCGCCTCGACCTGTCATCAAGCCTGTTGCTAAATATGAAGGAGTAAGAAACAAGCGGCCCTATTTGAAACCCGAATGAGAAGTAGGATCATGACGTAATGCAGCGATTGCAATATACCCATCTTTATAAATCATGACATCAGGTCAATGTCGTGAGATGAGAGCGAGAGGTGCTACTCACTGCGTAAGAACTTAGAACGCTTTCCTACTCACTGCGTAAGAACGCTTTCACTTGCAATGAATTCAAATTCAATGCTCCAGCAAATGGGCAATCGCGCAGCTACAAGTTGAACGACAAATCAGAATCACACGCTCTCTCAACCACGAGGGAGAAGTACTACAAAAAACATGAAAATCAAGCTTTTTCGTGGTGTTTCTGCTGGTGCAGAAGTATTTAATTGATTGACAGTGGACTTCTCACGGACCAAGGACTATCCGGCTTCCTCGTCCGATAATGCAAGGTTCTGCGCCACGTTTTCTGCCGCCGCTAGAACCGGGGCGCGACTTATGAAAGAAAAATCTGATAGTACTGAAGTCTGCGATGGTTGTATGTTCTTGTGCTTGACAATTTAGTAGCAAGCTTGTCCTTGTATGTGCGAAATCGTTTGAAAAATGCAAATCGAGCTGGCACCTCCTGCTCCGTACGCGTACTACACTTTGTCACTCTAGAAGAAGATTGCCGGACTTCATCGTAACAATTTTTCTACGAATACCCATGGCACTTCCAAAGTCCATGACTTCACTTAGATCCCATGCGCCAGGCTGCTCGGTATTCGGGTCCCATGCTCCCGTTGCGGCGCCAGTGCCGTCATCTCCCGAACTGTCTTGTGAAGCGCAAAACTCGCCCCGGGAACCTCACACCACTGCATGCACTAGCCTCATCACGCAGGACTCGGCAGCAACAGCTGCAGCAGCACTGCCTTAACTTTATGACGTATTCAAGGCGGCCGCGTACGCGTTCCCCTTCCCTGCCACTTCATACTGATATTGGCGCTCCAGCTCCTGACACCCAAATACAAATACGGCAGTAGCTACGCGTGTCGTCACAATGGTGATGGTCTCAGGCCCAGGCGGGATCACTTACCACATAAGTCTTCATCTTGAAAGTTCTAGTTATGTTCTTGCTTCTGTCTCATTTCGAAACCTCTGAGGTATGATGCCATTGTGAATTTATAATGATGTAAACGCTCCGTGATCAAAAAGATCGACTTGCTCCAACTCCTGCAGCTGCCATTTATGATTTGCTTGAGTGTACTAGGCGTGAGCACCAGGAACGAGCTGCTTCAAGGGATAGGTCCGCGGAAGACCAGGACTGTCCAGAGGACCCCGCCGGCGTCTCGGGTGCCCAACTTCCTCCGCCTCCGAGCCAGTCGTGCAACTCTTGCTCCGAAACCGCTTCATTGCTTCCGGAGCCCGTACCTCCTGCTGCCACATCGTTCTCCGTAGCCGCGGCGCCCTCGTCTAGCATATCGCCTCCGCCCCTTCTGCTCTCTGTGAAGGGATTGTTTCCAGCAACCAAAGACGACGACGCGGCCAGAAAATCGTCCACAACTGGCGACGCCGGGGCCGGATCTGCGACATCTTGCATCGCCGCTCCATCCCGCTCGTCGACATCTTCATCGCTGTCACTGAGAGTTCTTGTTCTTGACATAGATATAGAAGAAAAAAAAAAAGATATAGCTGAAAAAGACATGACGCGGCCCTCAACTTCTTGCTCATCTAGTTCATCATCATCATCATCATCACTGAGCTCGAAAGCAAGCATTCTTCTAGTACTAGTTTGTTCTTTAAAAAATATCATGGTCGTGATCATTTTTACAACTGCAAATCAGGAGCATTACGGTTTAGCTGCTGCAGGCGGTGCCGACGGATCAAAAGCGTCGCCCTCGTCGGCCATCGCGAGACGCTGGCACTGGTGGCTCTCCGCGCGTGACAAGGAAGCCCCACGACAAATTTTAAGCAGCGCGGGCTCGGAGAAGCTCGGGCTCGGCGAAATAGATCTATCGACGCTCGTTGTCAGACAACATCCTCGTCGAGCAAGAAGATCGAGCAGGAGGAACGACTTCTACAATAATCAAAAGAAGAAGAATAGAAATGCTCCTCCTGTCCGGACAAATTATTCCCCACCTACCGAGCGCTCCCGCTTCTCCATCCGGTATTCAGGAAGCCCATGCTGAGGACGCGCGACCCCCGCCCCGACCCCGTGATTTGCACGTGACTCATTTCGAAGGAGTCGGTGGATCATTCTACGCGGCTTGGCGAAGGCAGCATCGACAGAAATGTGAGTATGTCTTGATACGCCGAGCGCCAGTTTATTGGCTTCTTGATAGTACAACTAACCGAGTGCTAACACATGACTCACTCAAAAGCTGCTTGGACACCGAGTGCAAGAAGAGTGACGAGGCAGGGCGATGCTTTGAGTGATAGTAGAGCTGCGGCAAAAGTGTAGACGCAGAGCTAAACTATGTCGGGTGATTCTACGCTACTGCGCATCCGATTAGAAGCAAGCTCTTCACGAGCAACTGCCTCTACATCATGGAGACTCTCTTCAAAAATGTTGATGCAGGCGGAAGATTCACGAGCGACTTCGACTAACCAAATAAATGATATGATGACGATGGTACAACCAGCAAGACCGAATACCACATGAGGCGAACGCGAAGGCCTAACAGTTGCGTTCGTTACAACGACAGAAATGTGTTGCTCAAGAACTATTTTAACATACATACGTGACATGCTTTTCATCATTCGTAAAAACCGATTGTATGTTTTTTGATTATCCAACAGGCAACACATGATCATCAGTCGGACATTTTACTTCTCTATGCACCCAGATTAGCTATCAACGAAAACAACGACGTCGGAGATGAGAGGAGCAGGGACATTGAAAGTAAGACTTCACGTTCCCCGCTCTTGCTGGCCTGGCCGCGACCGGTCAGGCACAAGCGCGTTCCTTGTTATTGCTGTGCCATATTTTGCTCTCCAACTCTGGCAGCGCTTTTTCTTTTTACGTTTACCGAGATGAGCAGAAAACGGACACGGATTCATTCGCAACACGGGACACTCACGAAGATGGATGGACGGGGCGCGTCGGTGCGATTCTATTGCTCTTGTTCTGGTATTATTTTTCTTTTCTTCGAATATAACGAACTGAATGTTGAAATATTCTATACCTCTTCATCCGTCGAGGTATTCCGATTTACTTTGCTCGTCTTTAGACATGCGAAAACGTTAAAAATGCAGTAGTAGTACCATACTGGGCATCAAGATCAATAATGAAAAGAAGATCCCGATGCCAATCGCGGCCATTATTTCGATCGGACACTCTCACTGATGACAACATCAGCTCGTTAGTGAAGAGTAAACAAATCCAAACCATTCCATCATGACGTGCTCGTGAATGAGCTGCATGACCCGACCTGCTTCTGCGAAAAAAATGAATTGAGTCCATAAAAAGTACGGCAACAATCAAGTTCGGATCTGTTGCAAATGCAGTCCAATCCGGATAAAATCGATCACCAGCACATCAACTACGCCCGATTATATGTTCACTTAATTCGTTCGCACAGAGGGACTGGTAAGAGCTCCTACTTCAGTAGACGTGTGCAGTCGAGTCAACCTCCTGCTCCTCGATGAAGACGAAGACGTGCACCGAAGTAATAATTGGCGCAGCTGCACATAAGTCTATTTCTAATATTTGACTTATTTTACTACAACTGCAGCATGCATGGAAAAGAGGACCAAAGAAAATAAGCAAACGCTTCTTGTTCTCCTTTCCGCTGCGACAGCACCATCTCCACCGCCCACAGACCCGGGAAAATAAGTAAAGCCGCTCCACCTTCTACGTGCCTTCTTTAGAGTCAGTAGCCGCGGACCGCTTTTAATTCTTCAGACTCCGTCGTGTAGAAGGGTATGGATGACTCCAATACGGCATCCACCTTAGCGAGTAGTGCTGCTGGAATGAAGTGCTCGATATCGAACATGTTCTTCAAGACGTTGTCGCTATGCAGCTCGACTCCAGTCTCCTTGCCCACGTCCGTCTGCATCATCTGCGCACGCATGTTTGGCTCCGAGATTTGCACTACCTCGTACGTTATCAAATGCAAAAATGTCTGGGTCTGGAAGAGTGTAAACTTGTCATGCAGGTTCTCCATGAGCCTTGAGGTCTGGAATGCGGGACCTAGCATGGCAGAGTCTGTGAGGTCTCTTTCATGCCTATCCTGCATGAGAAACTCCCTCCCAACTTGGTCGAAAGTGGGCAGCTTTTGGCTCTCATGCAACACAGATTTTTGCATGATTCGGATTTAGCATGACAAGCTGCAATCTTCCAGACCCAGACATTTTTGCAATCCATATACGTCGGCCCGAGACTCAAAATCTGAATGTGCTTTCCGTCGGTACTATGAAAGTAGACCACTCGTCTCCATTTCCCTAATTTGAAGCAAAACACCAAAGAGGAAATCACCTAGAGAAAACGTGACACCGGGACCAGCAAAAGGAACAAAAGTGTTAACATATTCATCTCGATGCGGCCACAGCTGCCTTTGCAAGACAAATAAACTACTCATGGAGTGTAGTGTTGTTTCCCTCGGCTTCCAAGACTTGTCGCGCAAACGGTACTACAGACCCAAGAAACGCAGAGACAGGGTTTTGCATGACAAATCCGGGGAATGGGCAGTTCGAGTTTTTATGCACTGTCATACATACTATCCTTGCCCGATTCGGCGAAAGGCTTGAACTCCCACATGTGTTTCGGATAAATCTCACTTCCTGGCGCGCGCACCTGTGTTCAGTTTGCAACTAAAGAGGCATGCTTTGGCCTGCTAATATTGTCGATATCAAGCAACTCAACTACTTCTTGAGCAGGAATGTTTTTTATCAACCCTTTCGCAAGAGCTACAACTCACGCTACTGCTATCTTCCCAGCTGTGTGCTCACGCCCATGCGTGACCACGAGTCTAAGTAATTCATACAAAAGTATATACTTATTTTTTGAACTTTTAGGTAGCATCCTCCAGTTCCAGTCATTCTTCTTAGGGTCGTATTCTTTGACTTTTCACCATTCCTTTTCCTCCAGTTCCAGTCATTCAGAGTTGGCGAAGAATAATAAACATGAAGCAGTAGCAATTTGCGCATGAGTTGTGACAAACAATTTCTATACCTTGACAGGATCCAATGTTTCGCTTCCCTTCGCTGCCTCTTCTATTTTTTTCAAGTGCTTTGCGAGGATGAGTTTCATATTCATGTGGATCATCTGTGCGTGAATCCAGGCTCCGAACGCCATCCGCTCTCCGTTCAAGTGGCGCTCGCGCCCGGTACAATCACCCATGACCCACATATGCGGAAACTTGGCCGACAACTGGTTGGTTGAGAGGCAGTTGATGCTGTGGTCTGCGGGGTTGTAGATTCCGGGGTCGACTTTTTTCAGGGATTCTCCGAGGATGGATTTGTTCAATTCTAAGGAGTACCCAGTGCACCTGCGTGTTCAAGAATTGATGTATGCAGAACAAGAAAAAAACTCATGTTCTTGAGCGTCTACCTCTAGCTCGACGTCGCATCCGCAATCGCGTACTATACATGCACGCACTACTTTCCTCTCTAGGCAGTTCTTGTATTGATTTACGTATTAGTTTACATTTCCAGACGGGAGGACCACGTGAGAAAAAGCACCGCAGATTCGTGCGACCATGCAAACTTTCGGATTAAATTTGCTTGCACGAACCGCATCTACGTACAGTGCCACTGCCTCCACTGCAGATTGAAGACAAAGAATAACGCGCGAACATAGCTCTTCATTACTCATCAGCAACTTCTAACTTCTACTTACATCGGTACCAGAACTCGCGGTCTTTGCTGGGATCAAAAGGCACGGATAGACCCGACTGGCACACGTAGCACTTTTTCACGGGGTCGAAGTGCGTGACGCGCTCGTTGAAAATGATTTTGGCGCCCAGCTTCTCCAGCGTGTTCTTCGCGTGGTCACCAGTGGCGGGGTGTGCGCGGCTTACCAGCTTGGAGCCAGAATGCACCAGCACGACCCTCTTGTTCGGAAATGCTGTGATCAGTTCTCCGCAGAGCTCGGATCCAACAACACCACCACCGATCACAAGTAGTTGCTCGCACTTTGCCACTTCTCCGTGCAGGTAGAGCATCTGTTTCTTGCGGTAGTCCAGACTGGCGTTATCCGTCTTGATGTAGCTCTTGTACACACTTCCGGTCGCGATCACGCAGTAATCGAAGGGCACCACTCGCTCTCCGTCATTGATCACCACGTGGTCCGCCTCTATCTTGGTTGCTCTGCCCACGACCACCTGCCCCTGCTGACCCATGTAATCGCTGTGCCTGCAGAGCGTGTTTCCCATCTGCTTTTCCGGCTCGCAAACCATGCGCAGCACGGCCATGGTGTTCTCTGCGTAGTCCTTCAGATCGATCAGCGTCACCGCTACGCGCTCGTCTGTCAAGTTGCTCCACAGTCGCCGCGATCCTGCGCAAAAGTATCGCACTTCTCATGCTAGGTAACAATTAAAATTGATAGCCGCCTCGGCGGGGGTAGTGAGGTGCCGGCTAAGAACTTACTCTTGCCTAATATTGCGGCTGCTGCACTAAAGTGAAGTGCTGCTCTTTTTCGTGTACACCATACGCTCGCGCGTAACATTACTCCCCATGTTGTTCCAGCTCCGCTGTGTCGTTTTTTTCAAGCCCCACCTTATTTGATTGCAAACCACCGGCCACCTGCTACAAGCTTCATTTTATCCATGTGCGAAAACACTCTCGACTGCCACAAAAGTTGCGGTTGCTTTGCGCGGAAGGTGTCAAAAAAGCTTCCAGATTAAATGAGCATTATACAGCTTTGTTTACTACATACAAATAGTTTGCACCACTTGGGCGCGGGGGTAGAAACAAATGGGCGGGAAGTTTCTTGGTCCAGGAGTTGCTGCCGAAGTTTGTGGGAAGCAGCTGTTGGTAAAAGTGGCTGCGTCTTGGTTGAAATGAACTCAAAAAAGGAAAAGATGCGCGTCTTTGCGTGAACGTAGCAAAAGGTGCTGCGTGAAGACAGCAAAAGCTGACTGCTTCATATCAAAAAGCGCAAGAAGGTCGCTATATTTTGATGTTGCACGATATGCAAACTATTAACGATGATACCACTTACAATTTAAAAACCGCGCCACTTCGTTCTTTCGCAAACACCACTACTGCCCGCCTCGGCTACGCTGATCCTAGTAAAACTTCTGCCCAGCAGGCTTTTCCACGCACCTGTCAACCAACTTCCCGGCCCCGAAGACACACTTCTATACGAACTTCTCGATGATCTGACGATCTTGGAGATGCTCGCTCTGAAGTTTGTGCGATGTTGGCGGCGAACTGAGCCGCGCAAAAGTCCGCGACATGTCGAGCCTCTAATAAATCGTTGCAGCAATCGTTTCAATTCCCACGACGAGTGCGATACTTTTGAACTGGATAGGAACAGAACAGCGCCTCCCAGACCTCCACCGACTATAACAATCTGGATCGGGGCCCGGCGCAGGCGCACCAAGCGGGCGTGGCTACTTTCGTCCTCGTGCTTCTGTTTCGACTTGCTCGCGAGCAGATTCAACGACCGCAGGGGGGAAACGCGGTGCGTCATTTTCAAAATGTCCAGCGCCTTCTGGAGCCGCTTCTCAGCTTGCCGCTTTTCGGCCTGAAATTCCGCAAGCTCGGGAAGGATGAATCTCTCGTACACATTGTGCTTCACGTTTTCCAGGCGCGCGGCGTCCATGATGTTTTTGGCATCATCTTCACTACCTCGAGCCTCGGGAGCAGCACCACCAGCTGCCTTCAGATATTCCTTCCGGAGTTTCGCCTTCTCCTGTCCAAGCTCTTCGAACAGGGGCGTAAGATACTTTTCCACGAGCTGGCTTTCGAGCCTCTTCAACGCCTGCAGAAACTGGACATCCGCTTCCTCACAGGCTTCGGCGGCATTTTGCTGTAGGATATGAACTGCAAAAGTATCGTACTCGTAGTATTGCAACACAAATTACCTCAGCATGACAAAAAGATTTTGTCATGCTGATTTAGCTAGAAAATGAAATTTCTTTTGCATGACTGCGATTAGTACGAGTACGATGCTTTTGCACAGGATATAGGAGCAGGCCCCGCAATTCGCGCGCCAGATTTGCATCAGCCACCACCTTGTCGACCGTGAGCGACCGCGCCCAGTCCCGCTCCGCCCGTTTTTCCATCAAGTCCACTTTGTTACCCAGTTCGATTTTCTCTACCTTTTTCGGGTCCGTGACGATGCAATCGCCGGCGACTTTCAGGAGCCGCTCAGCGTCCGCTGCGCCCAGCTCCTCCTGCACCTGACCGGGTAGCGAGGCCGTGGAGGAACTCTTTTTCATTTTTGGAGCCTGGAAAACGCAGATGTCGTCGCTAGATTTTTCCTTCAACAGGAACGTTTTTTCTTGCTTTCGTATGCAATACAAATTTCCCGTACATGTACAACATGCATCACAAATTTTACCAGTTTGGTTCGTAAAAATTGTCATGCTAAGTTAGGATCGAAGCCAAGTTTTGTCATGCAGAGACCGCATCTGTACGTGTACGGAAAATTTACTGTGGCTATTTCGCGGGACGGTTAGAAACTCCGACTTGCCGTCCACGACGGTCTTCAGGCCGAACGCGAACGCCCCTTCGCGCAAAAACTCGATAAACTCCTCCTCCTCCTCCTCGTCGTCATCGAAATTCGCGGAAACCACCGAATCCTTGTCGTCCACGTCAAACTCCGCCCCGTGACACTCGCGGATGCGGCGGCGCAACTGCACCAGCGTGGTCGCCTCCCCGCACATAACAAATCCGCTGTTGGACTTGTACTCCGCAATGCGGTCGAAGGGCGCCTCTTTGTCACGAACGTGAATGAAAAAGACCCGATCTCCAGCGCTCGGCTTCATCTCGCTAGAGGAAGCAACGCTAACATTGTCGTCCTCTGGTTGCGCAAAGTGGGCGACCAGTGCCTTCAGGTTCTCGAAGCCGGTAGCGCGGAAAAGCGCATCGAGCTTGAAAACGCTAGTGTTGTTTTCCGGATCCGCAACCATCACGCGGCGCAGCCGCGGCAGCATCGGTTCGCCCTCTAGGAACTCCCGCCCAAAGCTGCTGTGCTGCCACTCGAGCGAAAGCCGGGTGTTCACATTTTGTGCCGGGATGGTGCCGCCACTTAGGTTCATGTGCCCGCCGCCGGCGACCTGCATGGTCATCGCCGTACCCTGCGGCTTTCGCCCCAGCACACTAGGCTCCTTGTGGAAGGTCTGCTCCACCGCGCCCTCAAACAGCACGTAGCGCACCATGTTGTCGCGGGGAAAGTGATCCACGTCAGAAAAAAAACCATCTTCCCCATGATCCATTTTATTTTCCATGACAAACCCTGCGTTTGGTGCATGTTTTGCATGGCAAGTTGGATGTTGGGGATTGGTCAACATCTTTTTGGTTGATAGAAGTACCGGCCCCACCACTGGCGCCCGTCCGGGTTTTCGATGGCCATGGCGGGCGCATTCTTTTTGTCTTCGAGCTGTGCAGCCTGGGAAATCAGCTCGATTTGGGACCGGATCTCCGTGTTCAGGCGCCTGATGTACGCAACGTTTTCAGACATGGAACCGTAATACTTGCTCGGCGATGCAAACAAGGCCATGAAAGGGTTGAAGCTGCGCTTCGGTTTCTTTTTTGTCTCCCCATCCGCGAGGTAGCCGAGACGGTCGCGAAGGTCCTGCAACTTTTTCTCCAGCCCTCGGAGGGAAGAGGCCAGTGTCTGCGAAGCAGGGAGGCCATGGACGATGTCAATCGCAGCCTGTGCCAGAAGTCGGGACTCCTCTGCCAACTCCGGATACTCCGCCAGGGCACGCACTTGGACCAAGATCACGCTCGCAATGCCAGTGACAGCTCCTACAGCGTCCACCATAATGGTCTCTCTAGGATTTTTGCATGTACTAGTCTGTGTCTTCTAGGAGAATTAGTACTGTTCTTCAAGAAGTTCACTGGAGTTAGAGGCACGCATTGACTCGCCGCTGAAGAGCGGTCTCCCTTGGTAAATGCTCTTCACATACTGGGTAAGTAATGGCGACCTCTAGGCGATTTGAGTCTCGTTTTTATTTTATTCGACAGCTCATGTCGAACATGCTCAGATTTTCTATATCCATAGTATTCCTGCGGTTCGCGTTCCGCGCTGCTCTCTTGCTAATCTGAGTGTCCCAACGAATACGGAAGCGGAACGCCAACGGACCACACGCACCCCATTTAGATGAAGTTGAAGATTTAAATTTCCTTACAATTGAAATAAATCAAACACGACATGCAACACAGGCACAGGAGGGGCGAGCTACTGCGTTTGACCTGCTCCAAGTGACTACGATATTAATGGTCGTTTTCTTGCCGAGCTGGTGCAAGTCGTAGATGTTTCAGCGGCCCCCCTTAACCTTATTGCATCTTTATTCAGTTTCTAATTACCGTGCTTCGTGGTGTTGCCCTTCTTAGTCTTACACTTCTTTTGAAATCTGCTCTGCCAATCGTAAAAATGCTAGCACAGCAGGAGTCCCGGTTTCCAGATTGTCGTCTATTGTAAGCCTTGTTCGCATCAATAAGCGGCCGCGACGAGTTCGTCGCTTTCACTCGTCTCCGTTCGAGCCAGGACTGTCCTCACCCTCTTCGCCGACGTCTTCCATACTGACGTCGAGCGCGTTGTCCCCAAGCGCCAGCTGTTGCCCAAAGGGAAAGTAAAGACCATCCTCGATCGCTTCGACTGCCTCGGGAAACGTGAGAGGGAGGGCCTTCTCGAGGCCCTCGTTGACGACCTCCTTATCGTGCTTCGCAGATTCCAGGCAATGGTCGAAAATTCGATCGTATCCACTGCAAAAGTATCGCATTCGCACTCCGTAGCAATTGCTGCTATGCATGACAAATCTCTTTCCTAAGGCGAAACAGCATTACAAATTTCTATTTTATTTGCAATGCTAAACTAATTTGTAAATTGCGATTTATACCAGTACGATACTTTTTCTTTTGCAATGCATATGTCGACCCACTCGTCCGTCACGGCGTCGGATGCCATATACATTGTGCGTATGCATTACAAACACGTCTGGGCCCCAAAATTTGCCATGCTAGCTGGTCACGACCAGCACCAAAGAGCAACCTGCAATAAACAGCGAAGCATGACGGACTCTTTTCTGTTGCGTGTCTTGTTCGAGCACGACAGGTTGCGTTTTTGCATCACAGACAAGCTCCTGGGCTTTTGGTATTGGTTGACAAACATGCATCACAGAGATGCTAGTCATACTCATACCAGACACCGACACGCATAGAAACACTTGCAGCAACCTAAATGTAAATGAATCTTGCAGAGCCAGACATATATTTTGCAACTGATAGTGCGTATGCGTGCGCAAATGGACCGGTACCTGTGGTTCGTGCGTGTGTATGGTAATTCAGAACGAATTCGAGGAGCGCCGTTTTCTCGCAGCTCTGCCTCTGCTAGTATTGAATAGGAAGTACTACTGCTACGCACTACTTACCAGGTGTTGATGGCTAGTGTACTAGCTAATGCAGCCAGCGGATTCTTCACCTAGTACGCAGAAGCAAACATCTTGAGCTTGGGACGGTAAATCAAAATTATTGATGAAACGGGATGAAATTATATATGTGGCTAGCCGGGAACGCTGCTCTTCGTGTCTAGCGACCACCAACTCGAGCTTTTACATAAAGTACTTGTCGCGGAGGTGGCGCTCCTCAAGACGGGCGCATTCATTACCACACAGCACCAGAACGAGGCTAAGAAACATTTGCGACCTCCTCGCAAGCATAACCACATCAACGTCCACCACGAAGAAAGCATGATATCAAAGTTAGAGAGTACCATCTCGCATTTCTCAAGTGTGTAAGGTTTTCGCGGATGTTATCCAGTGACACTTTTTTGTAGTCCTTTTCCAGAATGTACTGTTTGTCCTTCGAGAAGATTTGCTGAACGTCCTCGGGTACAAAGTGCACGAATATATCGTGCGCTAGGTTTGCAGCAAATTCGAATGGAGAGTCGCAGTACAAGGCGCGCAACACCAACGCGAGCTTCCCAACATACTGCATCCCCTGGTCCTCTTCCACTATTTGAAATATTTTTTCTCGCGAGTGTGCTTCGACAATGTCTCCGAGTGCGTCCGGCAGAATTCGTGGCGCGTGGCGAACAAGTTTGCGAAGATCGAAGCTGGTGAAGTCCTTCATGTGGCTGAAGATCGTGTCCACCTTTTTCTGCAGCAGATCCGGGGCGTCGAAAGGGTACAGATCCTCGCGAAACTGGCGAAACAACTCCTTCTTGAACTTGCGGCGATCGTTCTTGCGGCGCAAATACTGAAACAAACTCATATAGCCCTTCCCGTATGCTATCCGCAGATTCTGCTTCAGCGGGCATCCGGTGAGGTTCAGTTCTGCGGGATTTCAAATCAGTTCGAATGCAATTTTTGCAAAAAACGTTGCATCATGCTCTTGCAGGTCATCTTCTTTGTCTAAGTTTATCACTATCTTTCTTAAACCTTCAACTTGAACAGTGCCTACAGGTCTCGGCGACATCGGTCGCTTGTGATCTCTAATCGCGAACCAAAAGCTAAACCACATCGATGATATCTATCGCGGCGCACCTTTTAAGCAATGCTGGAGGTCGGCGTACTCCCTCGGAATCTCGAAGACTGAGGTATTGCGAACGTCCAACACGCGGAGATCTTTCAACGTAGCGAGGCTCACTGGGAGTTTGAACAAAAGCGGGTTGTCCTGGGCTAAAATCTCTTGGAGGTTCTCGAGCAGAGACACCTCGGCCGGAATGCTCTGTAAATTGTTGTACCCGAGGTCGAGCCGAGTGAGCCATGTGTAGTTCAGAATGTTCGGGATGGCGGCATCCGTCAGGTTGCAGTACGCGAGAGAAAGCGGCATCGTGTGGAAAAACGCAGCCCAGACCGCATACTGCCCAAGCTGTCGCTGTAGACTAATCAAGTACAAGACGCGGCTTTGGGGTCGTACTAGGTTCTGACGATTACTAGCTCTTGTTCCCTGCTACGTACAAAAGCGTAAGCGTCGTGGCGATTGGCTACAAGTAGAATGCTGGCCGCGATTGGGGTTGATGCATTAATTCTCAAATGCCCTTCGTGTGTAAGAACAACTCAACGACAATGCCTCATTTTGTTTTTATGCGGCTGATCCGAATTCACGATTTGGTGCCGTCATCAAATGCTAGAAACGACGCCGTGGACTTCTTGCACGTGCATATTGCAAGTATGGGCCTGCGACGTTTTTGAAAGGGATACGATGCCGGTCCTTTTTATCGCGTATGCGGGTCAGCCGCTTATAGATTTCTGTTCCTTTGGACAGCCCATCCAAATTATCCACAAACTTCACGGGAAACATGGTAACCTTCTGTTGCTCGGATGCTGGGGCCGTTCTTGCTGTCGCAGTCGTTGTTCTTTGAAACCAGCTTTTCAAGAAGCTCGAGCAGGTGTAACAAACGGATTAGCGCCCGCCTTCCCCCGTCAGAATTTCATATTTGCTGCTCGTGCTCACCGCAATACTGCATTAGGTACTTAGCACTACAACACCGTTGGTTGTGGTAATGGTTTGTTACAGTGATATTGCTTTCGCAGCTTTGCCTTCCTAACCGGCCGGCGCAGTAGAAGTAGTTCTAGTACTAGTTCCTCGTCTACAATAAAATAAAGTTTTTGCCTTTGCAGCAAGAACTTCAACTTATGTTGACTGCCGGTGCTGTCGAGCTCGAGGCTACAGGGTCCACCTCGACGTCAAGATCTAAGATCTTGACGTCCATTGTTGGGCCAAGATCTTAGATCTTAGCCCAACAATACTACCACCCGTAGGCGTAGCTACTCGGCTGTGATCATGCAGCAGTACTCCTCATCATATTACCTTTATACTTTCCTGCGGTAGCTGCGTGCCTTACCGCTTCGATTCTTTGCGCCAGCACCAGCATTCGCTACTAGATCACAACCTCCAAACTTTCCCGAGTTCTGAAAATGACGTGGTGGCAGACGCAGTGGCATCAGATGAAACTTAGCGCTCACGTTTGTAGATCGCAAGTAGAAATGGAACGGCGAAACATCTTTATCTATGCCATCTCGTCTATTTCAACCTCCCTCATATTTCTTTTTTTGCTGTGACCAAGGTCATGTTTACCTCGAGACATCCATTCGCTGTCAGATTTTTTTTTTACTTCATGCCGACGAGAACATAGGTCTGGTCGTGCAGTTGATTTTTTGTAGAATACCACAAGAAGCATACCACATGCAATTATCGTCCGCCGCCCACCTATTGCCTGCGCCGTCTCTCGTCTATGCGACTGAAATGATATGTTGCTGAAAGCTCGTTTGGCGTTTTTCTCGTTTGCCAACTTTGACGAGGTTCATTTTTTTTAGTGGCTGCATGCAGTATGTGTATGATGCAAATGTCTATTTTACCACGACGAAAGAATGTTCGTTAGCTTGCTAGGTTTGCAACTATTTCAGAAAAAAGTGAAACACAAGAAACGGAAGTGCTGCATTCTTGACAAAGAAATATTTTTTGAAAGATATATTTAGTAACTCGGCATAAAAAATCAGAACGACGATGCGATACTGATTGGATTTAAGCAGCGCTCGCCACGCTTTTGTATCCTTATCTTTCTGTATTCTCTTGGAGACTCTGTTCAATTGATAGCCTGTTTCTGCCTCGCATAGCCCCCGCCCTGGGCCGCGGGACTAGTGCAAATTCTGCAATGCAATATTTACAAGAGAAAGCGCCGCCGTGGGTGCACTTTTCACTATTCAATAAATGCGATACGCAAGGACTACGTCAAGTAAAACTAGAACCACCACCAGGACGAGCCTGGGACTTTTGTTTTGTTTGCGCGTGTGCACGTCTCTGGAAAAATCACGTAAGTACGCTACTTTCTCGTAAAAGGCGAATAATCGTAAAGGTAATAATTGAGCTCGTCTTTATAGTAAAGAGTAATCGTAAATGCGCACAGTGCTCTTCGACGCAGCGTCCTGATATACTCATTTTTCAGTGCGGTTGAAGGTGCGCTTGAGTGAGTGAGTTTTGTATGTATTCGTAGTATTGATTGGAGGTGGCTATGGCTCACCTCCTCAACCACCCATACGCCACCGCTTTTTTGCTTTCCGACACGGCTCCGGATGCGCTTGTCGCTTTCGCGGAATTGTCTACGAAGGATACTTGCTTCTGCTTTCGCTGTCGCGAGCTCATGTTGCTATTGGAACTGGCTGGTGCGGGATAGTAAAGCAACGGCTGCTTGTATCCAGGGAATAACAAAGATGCGAGTGCGATCGCAAAAGGAAAAGTCAATCTTCTAGAAACACCTGAATCATGACACATGTTGACGCAAAAATAGCAATAAGCCTCTGGACCTGCTGGTAGTCGTGAAATCGTGAATATTTGCGAGTTTCTTTTGTACGCAGTGATAGCTGTATGCAACTGCATGTGCATCTACTTGTTCTATTATAATGCATGATTGACTTAACAAGACGACAGCATCGATGGACGTTATCCATTTCGTATCTGGCCGGTGCGCTGTCGCTGCTCCTCCTCGCTGGCATCCCAAGAGAGCGTTTCGCGCGCGTCCTCCTCCAATATCGGCGCCATCTGGAGTCGATTCAATCAGAACATCAAGTGTGAGCACTGAGCATCTTCAAGCTACCACCTGTTATCTCTCAACACGACCAAAAAGCAATCACTCATTTCTGCATTGCTATGACTATGGATACTAGTCTTGATGACAAGACCATACATCTTGTTTTTACTTCGACTGTTTGTGTTTTTGTGGTGACGCCCAACTTCATCTTGTTACTCGGGTACAGGTATTTCAAAACTGTATCTTACCCTGGCGCCCCGGGTTGGAACTTGTTCCGAAGAGCTGGAGGAGTCTTCCGCTTCGGCGGTGCCTTCTAACGACTTGGGTTCCACCTCCGCAGCACCAGGCGCCGCTTCTGTGTCAGCACCCCCAGAGATCTGACTGACGCCGCGGCTACTGCGGCCTCCTTGATTCACTCGCATGGGCCCCTCGTCACCAGTATCTCGCCGAGCGACAAAGCGCTTTTTCGGTCCGGACGAATCCTCGCTCGCGGCCTCACGAACAGTGGCAGCGCTCCCGTCGTTTCCAGCGTTTTCGCTTGCGGCGCCACCGAAGGGTTTCCCTGTGCCGGACTCTTCACCTGCGGGGTTTCCGTCTTCGCCAGCTTCCTCAGCGGGATCTCCGCTTTCCCCTTCTCCCCTAGGTGGTTTCGGCGCCGCCGGGTCAGAAATTTGATCTGTAGAAATCATGATGAATATTATTGAGCCGCTCCGTCTTGCACTGATGAAATCGCAACCGCTCGACACTTTCATTTTTTTTTATTTTGCCGAGGTCGTCCTCGTGAAGGCGATGAAGGTCTTAAGCTATCCCGCCACGACTGTAACTGTTCTTGATCTTCATGCACCACGAAAAGGCAGACGCCGCAGTTAATGCACGACGTACCAGGAGGCAGCCCTGTTTTCGACTGCACTGCGGTCGGAAACAGCAAGAGCAGTGCGATAATGAAGAGCAGCGCGATGCCTACGCTGAGCAGCAACAGGACGAGTGGATTTATGCTGTTTGCTTGCGAACTTGCAAGCGGTTGCATCATTGCGAAAATGACCCCACATCCCCAGCAGAGCAAGATTTTCCTTTTTTTCATGTTTCAGAACGATAAAGCTTTTTTTGTTTCTACAAGCAAGCCAGGTCATGGATCACGTTATTTTCCCATCTCACTAAGATGTTGACGTTGATGTTCCCTATCTTGTTCACACTGCCGTTACCAATTCAAGAAAAAGTCTTTGCTCGTGGAGAGACGAGACCATAATCATGCGGATAGCTTCGGCGGAAATCGTTCCCTGTGCAAAGCAGTCTGGCACTGAGCACTGCTCGCTTTCCAACAAATCAGGATCAATATCGAAGGAAAATCCTCAACATCAGTCCAGAAGTCAAACCATATTTTTGGCTGCGACGCCGAGACAACGCACTGAATAGCTTTTTAGCTGGCTCCGTAGTAGGGAATCAATGAAATGAGCACAGAGGTCCACCACCTCGACATAAATGTACATCTTATCAAAACTTTTCCGATTCGCAATCTGACACCTGTTCGCATCGTTTTTCGTCCTCAGCAATACAACGCTTCCAAGCTTGTTGCTAGTACGTGCTTTTATTCATATTTTTAGCCATGAACATGATGGTGCAGAAGTTGCCCTCTTCGTCTACTTCATGTTTGTTTGTTTTCTTGACTCAAACCGATTTGACCTCGGTAGCAGGCCGCTCCCTCGTTTTGCGGTGCCGTTACCATCGTTCGGCGTCTGCTACGTACACTTTCGCCGCATGTTGCACTACACAAACCCCAGGTGGACCATTGCGAGACTTCGCAATTCGTAGCTGTGATTTTTTCGATCCATTTTTTTCGCACAAGCACCTAGTCAGAAAACAAAATGCAAAAGAGTAACATAATATCAAAACTATCGCAACATGTTACAAACGGCGCGCCCGTTACCGCCCCGAGACCCGAGAACGAGACCCGGGCGAACCCAAAACGAGGCCAAGCTTACCGCTTTTTGGTATTCGCGCGCCGACAACGTCGCGGCCGGGGGCTGTGTGCTGTTGTTCTACTTCATGCTGCCGGCGCGTGGTCTCTGCAGCCGCCTCCGAAACACTAGCGCGCCCCATTTAATTTTCCCCATATTGGGGCATGGGCCGCGGGCGTATAGATTCGCAGGCAGCGCGCCACATGGCTCAAGTTTTGAGCCGCATCGGACTGCGACCAGACAGACAACACCCACCCTAGTCAATGGCCACGCCAGAGCCCGTCTACCGGATGCCCGCCAGGGAGGCGCCGCTATCTGTCCAACATGAGGCCTCGTGCCTGCTGGCGCAAATTGGCCCCGTGCCTCTGTTGCAGACAGAGGACCAGGCAGAACGATCAGAAAACGCGCAGGCCAAAACGAAGCCGGGACGGGGCCAAAACGAAGCCAAAACGAAGCCAAAGCCATCCAAAAAAAAGACGGCCAACCCTTTCAACTTTTTGCCAGAAAGCAAAGGCCCAGAATCAGACCGCGGGGCCTCGTTTTGGCCTCGTTTGGGCCTCGTTTTGGCGTCGCTTCCACGAGGGCACGGCAAAGCGAGCCGGGCGGCGACCAAAGTGCCGAATTTTCCGCGTTCCCCTTCCAGACGCGAAACGCACTTGCCTGGCCTCGTTTTGGCTTCGTTTTGGCCTCGTTTTGGCTTCGTTTTGGCCTCGGTTTTTTTGCCCTTTGGCTTCGTTTTGGCCTCGTTTTGGCTTCGGTTTTCCGGCAATGCCGACCAGGGGTGGTCGCGTGTACATATCTACTGGACCAGAGTGCGCCCATACCCATTTGAATATCGCAGGCACTGCGCGGGGCATTGGGGCTTCGCATAGTAGCCAAAGGCAAGACGAAGGCGGCGCCCCCTGGGCATCCATGTGGGAAGCGCATAGCCCCGCGACGGCCAAAGCTTTTTGCGTTTCTTTGTAATGCCATGCGGCTCAAAAATTGAGCCCGGCGGCACGCTGCGTCGCAGGCTCTCCCGTATGCGTAACGCGACGCGCCCGGGCCCAAAGCGCGCACAACACAAATGGCGCCCCGGCTTACATGCAGCAGAAGCCCCAAAGGCTGGGGGCCCTGCAAACGCCTCGGCCGACCACTATGGGAAAACTTGCCGACGTTTTGCGCTGGCAGAGGTGGGCCCTTGTAAAAGCTGCCCGACTGGCTTCGTTTTGGCTTCGTCCTGGTCTCGTTATCGTGCGAGGACGGTAACGTGGGTCGCCGTTTGTAAACATGCAACAGCAGTCGAGTGGTGTGGTGCCCGCTTCTTTCCTCTTTTTGAGGCGAGCGTCGCTGCAGCACAAGTCGAAGACACAACAAATACTTGAAGTACCGCATTCTTCTGGCTTACAGGGCTTCGACTGCACCAAAGATGGACAAGACACAACAAATACTTCTTGAAGTACCGCATTCTTCCGGCTTACAGGGCTTCGACTGCACCAAAGATGGACACTCTGCGCCGGTCGGTCCTGGACCCTTAAGCACATCGCGGCGCCGATATCCGAGAGAAAACTTCTACCCCCGGTTTTTACAAAACATGAAGGACGCACTTTTTCGCGCTTTGTGTCTGTACTCTCAGCATCAACAGCGACAGATGCACGGTCACCATTTGTTGGAATGAGAGATCATTTGTTCCAATTTTTTTCTGGCTGAGGTGTAAGTACTTTTCTCTTGGATAACCGGGTGCATTCGCACATCTGGTTGCACGGTGACCAGTCAGTCCACTGCGAAACTTCGCAATGCGCGGCTGTAGACGAGGTTCATATTTCTTTGTTTATGTTTTGCAGAATGCGCCACACACTGTTGTCAATCCACCAGCTTTGGGTGCCTGAGCACGTGTCTCGTCAAAAGGTGCAGGTGCGATAGACATTCGACGCCTCTCTGGATGTACGAACATGAATCTGATATCTAGTATGCGAGTGGAGAATATATAATGCTCGGTGACGTATAGAATTTTTTGTTTCACGCCATGCTACTAGTCGAAAGCGGTACCGCACTCTGACTGCGCCGGGCAGGCCTCCGTCTGCGTCAAGGACGGACAGTCCCCGGTATCGACCCCGACAATAGCACGCGTTCGGGTGTGCGCTGCGGAGCCGCAGGTGGCACTGCAGTCCCCCCACTCGGCCCACTCGCTCACGTCACAGTTTCCACGATCCAAGTGCAGAGCGCCAGTTGGAGAGCTCATCAGCGAGCCGCAAGAGAGCATGTAGCGTATGAGTCTCGACGACGGCCTGATCTGCTGGACCAAACCAGAATGCGTCGCAGTACGAAGGCGGCGCCCGACAGGTCGTGACGCCCTTCTTTTTCTTGTGGACGAAAACGCCCCACGAGCGGCTGGCGGCGTACGCGTATTTCCCTGCTGTCGTGATAGTAGCCCGCCGATTATATGATCCAAATCGGCACCGGTGCTGCATATTTGCCTTGTCGCGGACGCATTGCCACTGCAGCTCAGTGCTGGAGAAAATCGCATTTCGTCGCTGTCGACAAATTTGATGTTCGGTCTAGTTGGTTGCGCTTGCGTAGCAGGAAGGACTTTAATATTTTGTGATTTTGGCAAGCTGCCGATGAAGATTTTCTTCCTACTCGTCGCGGAGCGAGAGACAAACGCAGAAGAGGAACTAGGGTCGATCTTCGCTTGGCGGGACAGACCCGGAACCCGAATCTGTGGCCGCTTGCACACCAGAAGAACTCGACACATCGGTGTCGCGTTTGATGTCTCCTTCGTGTTTATGTTGTTGCCGCGCCGTTGTAGTGGTGTGGGGCGGCGCGTCTTGACTTGTAACATCCGCCTCCTCGCCAATCGGGCGGCTGCGGAAGTACTGGACCTCCACAATGAGGTGGATGATCTGGTCAACATACTCGCGGTCATGTTCGCCTTCACTCCGTGTCTTTTGTTCTCACGTTCGGAATGGACTGTAAAGGAGTGGCTGGACGACAGGAAGGAGGGCCCGCTCCCGCCGAATTCCATTCGTGAAATAGTCGCGGCCTCCTCATCGTCTTGCTTCTTCTTCACCTCCATAGTTCTTGTCCGATACCGATTGAATCTATGACATTATCATCAAGAACGACTGTGGTCGTCTCCTGCTCACGACAAAAACGACCTTGTTCATGAGGCGGGATTGCATTTCTTAGTATTCATGCCGACTTTGTGACCGTGTTTGCCGCTATTGGCTTTGATTCTTGCACTGACTCCGTAAGCTGCTCTTCTCGTACTCGTCACCAGCACTCTAGTTTGATGCCCTTCCCCAGCAAGCTAGTTTGCTCTCTTCCTGCTCTCTGAGATCCAGAATTGCTAAAGTCAGCAAGTAGTCGGCTGCGTGGCCTTCACTAGGTTCTCTTTAAACCACTTACTTGCTCCTGTGCTTGTGCAGCCCCACTCCTAGGTCGAGAAGTTTGTTAGTGTTCCTGTGCTCGAAGATTTTCTTGCAATTATTATGTGCACAGTGTCGCCCGACGCCTAAATTTTTTGAACGACTACGCGCATGTCGTAGTAAATTTTCCCTTGAAATCACTAGGTGCGAAATTGGCATTCCTGCAGGTCGTATTCGCTCACGTGTGTGTGCGCCTGCGCGTGTGTGTGTAATATGATTGAACAATGCGCCCGACCAGCGATTCAGCTATCCCCTTCCCCATCGTGGTGGTTCCGTCAGTCGCGCAATAATTGCTGCTCCTCTACAGTTACAGACGCACAAAATCTTCCGTGCCGTAATAATTTCACTATCGTCATTTTTTGCACCAAAAAAAATTCCGGGCGGAGGCTTTTATTTTACAAATACGAATACCGGGGGAGCCGGTGTTTTCTTTCTTCTTGGTCATAAAAATACATTATATCGTACGGCGAAGTAGTGAAACTTGTTGTTACTGGGTCGTTGTAAGTAAGTACATTGATTTACAACTCGAGACGGAGCACATATCGGCGCCTGTAGTATGTTACTCACCATACACATTTATATTTCAAGATAGGACGTCGACTGCCGAGTTTGGCGTCCCCGTAGTCACCTCCATGTCCATGCAGCTGGTAACATTTGTCCCACCTCCTGCCGGAGGCGCGTCAATAGACTCACCCCCTCCCCCGTCAGGGGCGGCCTCTTGCTGCTGTGCAGCTCCACTTTCGTTTGCACCCGTCACGACGAGTGCAGGAGCAGGACCCGCACTATGTGCTGCCGCTTCAAGGACTGGCATCGACATAGATTCCTTTTGTTCTAGCTCTAAAGATGCTGCTGGTTCGACTTCTACACCGGCACTGATGGCCGGATTGCTATTTTTCCTCCGTGCAGCAGCTGCGGTTGCAGGAGTGTCGCCGTCGACTACATCACCTGCGTCAAGAGATGAACCCGGAGCAGCCTGGTCTTTCGTTTCGTTATCATCATCATCTACGTAGGTAGATGCGAAGGGCAGTGGTGGTGATCCCATGTCTTCATCTTGTGGTCCTGCTTCCTTCGCCACTCGGCCAGCGTGTTGGCTGTTGTTTTCCGCCGCACTTGTTCCCGGTGCTCCCGCTGGCGTCGAGAGAAAAGGAACTACCTCGGCGCCAAGCGAGGAGCTGTGTTTAAGCTGCTTTCGCAGAGACAGCGCCTCGTGCTCCAAGTTTTCCAGGGCGCGTATCAGATGTCCGATCCGATCTTCCTCGACCATGCGACTGCGGGCGTGCAGGGTCCGTATGATAGGGAACAACTTCCAGAATCCTCTACTTGCCGCCCTCACTTGTAGTGCAAAGGACCGACCACACTGACAGTGTGACACTGTTCCGAGTCCCTATACATAGATCGTCATCGTACTGTGGCTGCGCTGCCATTATTTAATATGCGTTCTATCTTCACTTTCGCTAGTTGCACTCATAAAAAGCGTTGCCTTTGCGTCACGATGTGGATACTTTTCTTTCCTAAAGTTGTAGCACAGCACAACTACAATTCGGATTATGGTGCTCGCTTAGGTTTATTAGGCAGGAGGTGGCTAGTACTTCTTGATGAGGCGTGTTGGCGTTTGCGTTGGTATGGACGAACACGTTGTTCATGTACAAATGAGGGGCAAGAAGGGACGAAAAACGACCTTGACCACTAGCATATTCCACAAGGCGTCCTCGACCTGGCGAAATTGGGTCTCGTCCCCGAGAAAGTACCTTTCCCGAGGCACCACGTTGCCTGGTCTGACAAACGATCCAAGTCCTCCACCGCCGCCTCGAGAATGCGACGCCCGAGATCGAGGCCGCTCCGGGAAAGCATTCGGCTCTAGGACCGGCGGCAGCACCCCCTGAGACCGAGCCTGGTCCTGATAATTTTAATAGTAGAAAACATATCAATCTTCGGTGATGCAGCTGCATAAGGTTGGGGTCACGACCGAGGAGGATCATCTCAATCTTCTCTGCATAGACAGTGATACAGAGGGAAATCACTAGGTGGGCCACTTCGTTCCTCTGCAGAAATCGCAATACAAACATCAACATGAAGATGAACATGAAGATGAAAGTGAAACATGAGAGCGAAAAAATAAAGCGCGAGCGCCGGCATTTTTACTGTTCTATAGAGACTTCGCATGCCGATTACGACCCTGTGTGAGTACCTGCAACTCTAGAATATGTGCTCGAAGAGAATGGGTAGCAGTCATGGTGCCCTTCACGCGACTGCTTGCGCGGGACCCAGGTCTGGAAGATAACGCCCGCGACTTTGGGCGAGGCATGTCCATCGCACGCGTTAGCAACTCCGCATTCAATGTCTGCAATGCGGAGACCTCGTTCTCTGCTGTGTTGGCACGGACCCGGTATGCGCTTACCTGGCAAGAAATAAAAACAAACTATGGTAGCGCACACGACGAGCACCACATATGATAAAAAATCAAAATAAAACGCTGTATTTGTATATTCAGCGCCCTCTGATGGAATAGCCAAAAGAAGCACTTAAAGCTTCAAAAATCCGCTGAATTTTGCTGTTACTTTTTAGCTTAAGTAGCTGCTTCGCACCTTTCTGGCCATTGTCTGATTGCTTTGAATCAGCGACTCGATCTGCCGCTCCTGATCTCGGAAATGGTCCAACATTGTTGCATCACTTTTGGATTTCTCGCCTCGGTAGCCGCCTGCACCACCCCCAAGCGAAAACTGTCGCCGACCGCGACCAGCATCGAAGGCTGCAACCATTTCTAGAGGAAAATAGCAGACTAGTACTGATATAATAAACCAAAACGAACCTCGTCGAAGAGAAGAAAACACGAATCAAAAAAGAAAACGAATTTTTATTCTCGGACGAAGCTATCAACTACCACAACCACGACTACGTTCGAGATTTCCTAACAATTGAGTGATTTCTGGAAGCTGCGTTTCGACATTTCCATACGTTCTTTTGCGGAGTGAAATTCAAAAATGCTCTTGCAGCCGATGCTCGTCTTCATGAAATCGAATACTTAAATTCATCCACTTCCGATGCTCTCGGATCTTCTTCTTCACTCGAAGCAGATTAACAAGTCGAAGCCAAAGCACATGCACAGTGTGGAAATAGAACAATTGGAACTCCTCGTCCGTGCGGCCACTCCTTTATTCCTTTTGCGTTTGCCTTTCGCCGACATGAAATGTTTCATAAACAAAAACTCGCCAGCACTCACTGCACTGGTGGAGATCGTCATTTACTTTGACGTTACGCTTTGTTCCAAGTCCAAGTTCCGATGATTTTTGAGTATTTCCTCTTGCTCTAGCCCTTCCGTGCTGACAACCGCGAACACCTCTCCTGGCTCGCTCATCAATGAAATCGAACTCTCACTCTGTGGTTTCGATTGCGGTTCTTAGGGTCGTATTCTTTGACTTTTCACCATTCCTACACTCATTTGTCACCTCGCAACGAGATAAGTTCGAAGCTTTACGATCTTCGTCCCTCCTCAAAATTTTCGGTAGGGGGCAAGCGAGGTAGGAAGGCCGTGGTGCATTCTGCTGGCCAACACCTAGTACGACGACACAAATCTCAGCTGCTCTCAACCAACAGACCACATGCAGTTTTGTAAGTACGTGCCGCTTTTACGAACGTCTGATTCGTTGCCCTTGGCTCAGAAACAAGAAAATGAAAATCGAACGAGACTCCGAAGTAGATGCGTTTAGGAGAGACGCGATTGAATACTAGTGTCCTTGTGCTAGTCTCTCCCAGTTCTCCCAGTTAAAAGTACTGCCACATTTTTGGTGTGCGTTTCGGTTTCTGGTTGCCCTTTTCTGAGTCCTTTCATACTGCTCTTGCGTCACTGACAACACAACATAATTGTTCTCCGCGTATTAGTATTTTCAATCCTGAAAATCGCAACCTCAAGCGACGAGTCAGTTTCGATTACGGCTCCGTGCCTGTAATCATCGCCGGACAGGACTAGAAAACTAACAGCACAAGGCATGGCAATACAATAACAATACGGAAACGAATGATAAATATCAAACATGATGATCCTGAACAGGCAGAGATTGAAAGAGAAACTGAAACAGACATAAAACATGAAAATGTGAAAGTAAAATTAGATCATACGGATAGCAAAATAGATGACAGCAAGTGCCTGCAGAAAGCTTCTCCTGCTCGTTAGCTTCATGCATGATGGTGATGCGATCGATGGAACACGATTTACTTACTTAGTTGATAAAAATCGATTGTACTTTTGCGTTGAAAATTGTGGAAAATCAGACGCGTGGTGACACTAGTGGAACGAGACAGAGTGCTTCTACTCAGCATCATAGAGAAAACGTGCGAAAAAACCTATCCGAAGCTGTGTCGGGGGACACATCTCCATCTCGTTCCCGGGGGATAAATTATGCTAGTCTTTATTTTGGGTTTTGATAACATGACGTCAAAAGTTGTCCATGACTCGATGCATAGCATGTTTCTCCTATATGTCGCAATCTATCACGGGGCTGTAACCGGTGTAGAAATGAAAGCACGAGTAGCAACATTGCGCTGCAGATGACACCGCTAATGCCTACACATTGAGGACCACACCAACATGGTAAAAAATCATGCGGCTGCGCACATCCTTGCTTTTGGCAATTGCCCTTCAATTCATAGGAGGACAGCGACCTCTGCGCGACCACGCGACTTGATGGAACTGACAAACCACTTTTATTGATCGACTGAGATGACGCAGGATTCATGCGGTAGGAGGCTACATGAGAGTCGGCGAGGGGGACAAAAACAGAAAGATAAACAAGTACATAGACCTACTTCTTGAAAAATAGTATTTTTACTTTTATCTATTTGCATTCTCTTTTTCCCTGGTCAACAAAATGTATGCGTAAAATCGAGGAGCAGCTGCAAGAACCTCCTGCACGGGTTGATGCAGGCCATCGCCATGGTATTCGTATTACTTTGCCATGAATAGCAAAGTTCAAGTTGTAGAACGGGCAAGAAATGTAACGCGCTCGTCTTTGTCATCATGCTCCCTATGCGGATTCCGCTGCCGGTGCCGCGGTTGACTCGCCGTTGGTTTTGTCTTCCGCCCCAGGTTTTTCTTCCAGAACGACATTTTCCGGAGCCGCGGCCGGAGTGGCCTCGGGCTTCATGTTTTGCTGCACGCTCATCTTGCCGCTGCTCTTGATAGCGGTGGCATGTTGGGTCAGCGCGTCCAGCTTTCGCTGGACGTAATTGGTGCACTGGAACAAGTCGCACTTGTCCTGTTCCAGCTTTAAGGTCAGCTGAGGCGTCGAGACCGAGTGAAAATCCACCTGCAAGATTTGGTCCGTGTCGCAGCAACCGAGCTGCCGGTCCACGTAGGTGCCGCAGGCCCACTTCCAGGGGATGGTCTTGTAGTACCACTTGGAACCACTGAAGAGAGATTTTCGCTGTTCGATCGCCAGCACGCGATGCGGAGTGAACAGACAGAACTGCTTCTCCGTGCCCCAGAAGGACCTCCCGGTGAAACCCATTTCCACGAATTCGTCCGCCTGTGAATAAAAAAAATAAAATAAAAAAAAAATAAACAAAAAAAAAAAAAAAAAAAAAAAAAAAAAACAAAAAAAAAAAGAGAAAAAAAAGAAGAAAAAAGAAAAAAAAAGAAAAACAAAAACAAAGAAAAAATAAAAAAAAAAAAAAAAAAAAAAACAAAAAACTAGAAACAGAAAAAAAGAAAACCAACAGGACAAAAAGAAAAAAAAATAAAAATAAAGAAAGTAAAAAAATAAAAAGATATAGCAAAAAAAAAAAAAAAAAAAAGCAAAAAAAAAAAAAAGAATAAAAAAAGATAAATATAACAAGAAAGATAATAAAAGAAAAAGAAAAAAAAACACGGCGGAAAAACCGCAAGTGCCTTCATTTTTTGCAATTCGAAGTTGGGAAGTTTTTTCATGCGTCACCGCTAGAACATGAACAGGGCGAGTCAAACTGCGCCTGTGAGCTAAGAACTTGCTTCAGTCGGTCTGTTGCTGCTGGTGTAGCAACAGGCCGACTGAGGAAAATCTTAGCTCGCAGGCGGAGTTTCGCTCGCCCACTCTCAGCGTTCGCTAGATCAACTGCAAGGATAGCGACACTTTACGCTGCTGACATATGATTATGAAAAACCTTCCCAGTTTCGAATTGCAAAAAATGAAGCCAGTTACGGCTTTTCGGCCGTGTTTTGCAGTCAATTACAATTTCATTTCAAAATAAGCGCGAAGATAAAATTCTCAATCAGCATGCTCTAATGAGGATTTGCGAGCACTTCGGGTTAGATATCACCACCTTGCGATTTGTCTACAGTTCTAACCGCGAGTTAACCGTCCGGCCGGCCGGCCGGACGGCTAACTCGCGGGTGCGAGTTAACGGGTCATTTGTTACCCCGCTCCTACAACTTTATAAATATATTACGGTCTATTAGTTTACGCGGGACCCCATTCGTCAACAAGATCCACATCGTCGGAAACTGCATAGAAAAAAGGGCAATCGTTGTTTTCTTACTGAAACTGAACTGTGTACCAGGAAACTGAGTCAATGCTCATCGTGATTTTTGAAACTGCTTGCTTAGAGACGTACATAGACGAAATCAACAAACAAGTACCATCATGATATTCGGAGAGCTCTTGAATGTCTCGGTCATTGTCTTGCATGCGTCGGCGTCCAGCTGGCCCATGTCCCGGCCGTTCAACCGTATCAACAAGGCGAGCCGTGTCCGCTCCCCAGAGAGACAACAGATGAGAGACGGAGGGGAAGGCAAAAACTTCTCGTTTTTCGTCGTCTTTGCCATGCCAATGTGCGACTCATACATACGAATCAATATCAAGTGTGTTTATTGTCCCTCACAGTTGCTGCTCCCTCAACGCGAATATGGTGCTGTAAAGTAACTGCTCAGGTTCAGCTTGTGCACCCAAATGTCCTGCTGAATGTTCTTGTACCAACTTTGGCAACGCCACGTCGTTGCAATACATTGTACTTCTAGTTTCCTGATCATGGAACAAAGCTATTCCAATTCATTCTATCTTGTGGCAATGACGTAATATTCTATATGCCTGGCTGGGTAGCGGGGGCTTGTCGATATTTCATAAACCAGGCGATCATGGCATTGGCGTCACCCTTTGATGGTGGAGTTTGGGGGATCTCGGGACCCATGATAGCGCCGTTGTTGGCAATGATGCGGTCCCCCAGCAACTGCGCAACCCGCGTCATGTCGCAGGAGCCCGAGGAGAGGTCCTGTGAGATGGTACAATCCACCGACTGACCCGCCGCAAGGGTGATGCTTTTTTGGTATCCAACAAAAAAGAGTCTTGCCATCGCAGCCTGTAGTGCATCTTTATTTTTCTCTTGCTCTGCGTTCGGACTTCCCTCAGTGTTGAGTGTTGTGGTGATTGATCATCTTGATAATCCGTACTACGCTTTACACATGTTATCTGAAGATTCGATGCTGAAGATGCAGCCACAGCCACACCGCCACCTTGTGTCAATATAGTAAAGAAATTTATGGTCGGGGAGAAGAGCAGCATGCAGAGCGTCTGACGTAGTTACACAGAGACAAACAAGGGCTTTCAGAAATTTCAGCATCATCAACATCATCAATGCATTGGCGCGATAGCGGTACTACTGCTGCTTCTTTATTTGGATAGTTTGTCAGGTTTGCTCAGCGGCCAGTTTCCGTTGAGCTCCAGCATCAGTTCGCCATCGGAGTCGAAGCGTCCCGCCGTCGCGCACTCGAAGGATCGAATCGACGAGTAGGGAATGGACAAATACTGAGTGCGGTTTCCGGTCCAGCCCTTGGTATCCAGCCGGNTGATGGCCGAGGACTTTCGCATGCCCGGGCGAAAAGCGGTGGCAGCGGAACTACTGGCCAACACTTTTGCCCGACAGGAAAGGAAGCGCTGGGCAAAAGTAATGGCCAAGGAAAGAGCCCTTGGCCACCACTTTTGCCCATCCGGAAAGTGATGGGCAAAAGTTAAAGCGATGGCCAAGGAGTTGTCGCCATTGTTTTTCTTTGCCCGGCCGAAAAGTGATGGCCAGGGAGCTTCTGGCCATCACTTTTGCCCGACCGGAAAGCGATGGCAAAAAGTGGTGGCCGCGGAGTTCTTGGCCACCACCCTTGCCCGACCGGAAAGCGATAGCCACAATCGCTTTCGCTCGAGCGAAACAAAAGCGATGGCCGCGAGGCTCTTGGCCAGCCATCACCTTTGCCCGGCCGAGAGGCGATCGATGGCCACTTTGACGGCCAGGGAGCTCTTGGCCATCATGTGTGCCCGGCCGAAAGGCGACGCCCGAGGAGTTCTTCGCCATCACTTTTGCCAGGCCGGAAAGCGATGGGTGGCCAGGGAGCTCTTGGCCATCCCTTTTGCCCGACAGGAAAGCGATTGCCAGCCAAAAGTGATCGGTGGCCAGGGAGGTCTTGGCCATTACTTTGGCCCGAGCGAAAAGTGGCCACTTTTGCCCGAGCGGAAAGCGATGCATGCCCCAGCAGCTCCTGGCCATCATTTTCGCCCGACTCCTGGCCACCACTTTTGCCCGGCCGGAAAGTGATGGCCAAAAGTTTCACTTTTGCCCGACCGGAGGTGGTGGCCAAGGAGCCCGTCGCCGCCCGTCACTTTTGCCAGCCCAGCCCGGCCGGGCAAGGTACGGAGCTTTTGGCCATCACTTTTGGCCGCCCGGAAACTGGTGGCAAAAAATGATCGCCGCGGAGTTCTTGGCCACCATTTTTGCCCGCCCCGGCCGGAAAGCGATGGCCAAAAGTTATTGCCAAGGAGCCCCGGGCCATCACTTTTGTCCGTCCCGAAAGTGCTCTTGGCCTCCACTTTGTTTTGCTCGGCGGGCCCACCGGAAAGTGGGGGCCAAGCTCTTGGCCACCACTTTTGCCCGGGCGGCCGGAAAGTGATGGCCAAAAGTTAGTTTCAACTTTGCTCGACCGGAGGTGATGGCCAAGGAGCCCTTCGCCGTCACTTTTGCCCCGCCCGGCTGGGCTAGGAGCTTCTGACCATCGCTTTTGCCCGCCCGGAAAGTGGTGGCCAAACGTGATCGCTGCGAAGTTCTTGGCCACAACTTTTGCTCGGCCGGAAAATGATGGCCGGGGAGCTCTTGTCCATCACTTTTGCCCGGGCGAAAAGCGATGGCCAAAAGTGATGGCCAAGCAGCTCTCGGCCACCACTTTTGCCCGATCGGAAAGTGATGGCCAAGGAGCTTTCGCCCCTCACTTTTGCCCGACCGGAAGCAAAGCGATGGCCGCCAAAAGTAGTGGCCGAGGAGCTGCTGTTGGGTGGCCATCACCTTGCTCGCCCGGGCGGAAGGTCATGGATGGCCAAGGAACTCCTGGCCGCCATTTTTGCCGGGGGGGACAGGAAGTAACGTTTGCTCGACCGGAAAGCGATGGCCAGGGGGCTCCTGGCCCTCACTCTTGCCCGGCCGGAAGGTGATGGCCAAGCAACCAAGGAGCTCGCAGCCCTCACTTTTGCCCGAAAGAAAAGTGGCGGCCAAGGGGCTCCTGGCCGCGCCGTCACTTTTGGTTGCCCGAAGGGAAATTGATGGCCAAGGGACTCCCTGCCGTTACTTTTGCCCGACCGGAGAGTGATGTCCAAAAGCGGCGCCCATCCAAGGAGCTCTTCTTGGCCACCAATTTTGCCTGAGCGAGCGAAAATTGATGGCCATGGAACTCTTGGCCAGCCATCACATTTGCCCGATCGGGAAGTGATGGCCCAGGGGAGGCTTTTGGCCATCGCTTTGGCCCGGCGGGCCGGAAAATGGTGGCCCAGGAGGAGCGCCTGCCTATTACTTTTGCTGGACCCGACCGGCAAAGTGATGGCCAAAAATGATGGTCAAGGGGCTCGCGGCCGTCACTTTTGCGCCGCCCGTCCGCGAAGTGATGGCCAAGGACCCCTGGGCCATCGCTTTGCCCGGCGACCGGAAACGATGGCCCACCCAGGAGGCGCTCTTGGCCACCACTTTGGCCCGGCCGGAACGAAAGTGACGGCCAAGGAGCCCGTGCCCCATGCCCGAGTAAAAAGTGATGGCCGAGGAGCTTCTGGCCACCACTTTTGCCCGAGCGAAAAGCAAGGGCAAAAAGTGATGGCCAAGGAGCTCCCGGCCATCACTTTTGCCCGAGCGAAGGCAAAGGGATGGCCAGGAAGCTTTTTGCCATCACTTTTGCCATGCCGGAAAGTGATGGCCGAGGAGTTGGTCCCTGTTTTCGGGCGTGAAAACAGGGGCAGTCGAGCTTGTCGACGCTTTCTGTATCAGAATCGCACTGAAGTTGATGCGCGGCTTTGTTCTGCTGCTCGCCAGGGCGTGCAGCGTAACATTCTGCGCGACGGTATGGCGTAGAGATACAGGGGAAGCGTTGAATCTGTTACACGAAGCTTCTAGACGAGACCTTCTAAGCACATTCGTTTAGAATTATTTTAGTAGAGGCCTCCTATAGATTATATTTATACGGAGGCCCGGACCAGATTTTGTATTATTATAATTATACGGTCTATTAGTTTACGGGGGACCCCATTCGTCAACAAGATCCACATCCTCGAAAAATGGATAGAAAAAAGGGCAATCGTTGTTTTCTTAGTGAACTGTGTACCAGGAAACTGAGTCAATGCTCATCGTGATTTTTGAAACTGCTTGTGCTTGCTTAGAGATCATGTCCTGTACGCCACGCTAGCGGAAGGCACTGGCAAGCGCAAGACCTTTTCCTTTAAAAGTACATAGACGAAATCAACAAAAAAGTACCATCATGATATTCGGAGAACTCTTGAATGTCTCGGTCATTGTCTTGCATGCGTCGGCGTCCAGCTGGCCCATGTCCCGGCCGTTCAACCGTATCAAGGCGGGCCGTGTCCGCTCCCCAGAGAGACAACAGATGAGAGACGGAGGAGCAGGCAAAAACTTCTCGTTTTTCGTCGTCTTTGCCATGCCAATGAATGTGAGACTCATACATACGAATCAAAATCAAGCGCAGTTATTGTCCCTCTCAGTTGCTGCTTCCTCACCGCGAATATGGTGCTGTAAAGTAACTGCTCAGGTTCAGCTTGTGCACCCAAATGTCCTGGTGAATGTTCTTGTACCAACTTTGGCAATGGCAACGCCACGTCGTTGCAATACATTGTACTTCTAGTTTCCTGATCATGGAACAAAGTTATTCCAATTCATTCTATCTTGTGGCAATGGCGTAATATTCTTATGTCTAGCTGGGTAGCGGGGGCTTCATGATATTTCATAAACCAGGCGATCATGGCGTTGGCATCACCCTTTGATGGCGGAGTTTGGGGGATCTCGGGACCCATGATAGCGCCGTTGTTGGCAATGATGCGGTCCCCCAGCAACTGCGCAACCCGCGTCATGTCGCAGGAGCCCGAGGAGAGGTCCTGTGAGATGGTACAATCCACCGACTGACCCGCCGCAAGGGTGATGCTTTTTTGGTATCCAACAAAAAAGAGTCTTGCCATCGCAGCCTGTAGTGCATCTTTATTTTTCTCTTGCTCTGCGTTCGGACTTCCCTCAGTGTTGAGTGTTGTGGTGATTGATCATCTTGATAATCCGTACTACGCTTTACACATGTTATCTGAAGATTCGATGCTGAAGATGCAGCCACAGCCACACCGCCACCTTGTGTCAATATAGTAAAGAAATTTATGGTCGGGGAGAAGAGCAGCATGCAGAGCGTCTGACGTAGTTACACAGAGACAAACAAGGGCTTTCAGAAATTTCAGCATCATCAACATCATCAATGCATTGGCGCGATAGCGGTACTACTGCTGCTTCTTTATTTGGATAGTTTGTCAGGTTTGCTCAGCGGCCAGTTTCCGTTGAGCTCCAGCATCAGTTCGCCATCGGAGTCGAAGCGTCCCGCCGTCGCGCACTCGAAGGATCGAATCGACGAGTAGGGAATGGACAAATACTGAGTGCGGTTTCCGGTCCAGCCCTTGGTATCCAGCCGGAAGACGCGTTTGGTGGTGAGCAGTAACATGTCACGCCCACTCGCGAACGCGAGCATGGTTTTTTCGTATCGACAGAAAAAAGAACCCATGCCATCCCCACTCATTTTTTGCATGACAAACAAAGGATTTTATACGTGTTTTGCATGACGAATTGGATGGGGATGGGTTTTTTTCTATGGATATTTCGTCGTCTTGCAGCATGCCATTGTCGTGCATCTGCTTGTCGACCGTCTCCGGATTCACCGCCACGGCGTTGTCCGTGCACCACTTAGTAAAGCTCGACATCAGATCCGATTTCTCGTCCGCCGCCGGCTTCACCATCTTCGTGGTCGCGGCCACCGGGGGACCCTCCGTGATCTTGCCGCGCCCCCCCGTAGCCATCAACACTTTTTCGCTGAGGTACCGGTGGATGGAATTGAGGTCGACCTTGTCCTTTTTCAGGTCGACCTGGACGTAGGCGTAGCCTTTCTCGGCCGTGATAATCAGATGGTCTCCGTACTTCTGCGTTTTCTTGTCTTCGTATGAAAGTGCACAACTCCCCCCGCTTATTTGGAGTGCAAGAGATGAAACCACCTCAAAATAACATTTGAATTATGCTGTCTTCGCATTACAAATCCACGCACGGAGAATAGTGCAGTTTATTGGGCCTCCACAATTACTTGTCACACAAGTACATACCAAAAGACTCGTCAGACAGGAGCGGGACCGGATGTGGCAACATTTTTGCATGGCAAAGAAATGAGGAGGGGAAATTGTGAAGTCTCATACATCGACGATGTAGCTGGCGTCCGTCCAAATCTGGAGTTCGCAGTCGCAGTCCAGCCATCCACCGGCGGTCTGCACCGCGAAGTGCGAAATGCTCGCGTACGGAATCGTCGTGAAGTTCTGCTTTTTGCCCATGCCCATGAAGGCTGAAGTTGTATTTGAATTGTGTTGCATATTTTTCGGACACAGAAGTTGACATCACTCATGGAGGCACAGGTATATAGATCAACCTAGACAACCAATGCACGACCGCAACATGTTGCGGTCGTGAAACGCTTGCTTCGGTATCGGTTGATGTTGATCTAGATAGCGACAAATTAGCAAATCAATATGTGAATAGAAATATCTTCAATCATGTATAAAAATCAATTCGACCCAATACTCGATTTGTTGTCGCAGAAGATCATGCGTTTCGAGGTAAAGAGCGTGTAGTCCTTGCGGCCCTTGAAGGCCATTTCCACCACTTCGGACTTCTGCAGGACTTTGGCGCCTTATCCTTAGTAAGACACCCGGCGCCCCAGATTTGCCAGTTAGATCAAGGCCTGTATGCGTACACTGTCTCAGTTTCTCAGGCGCACCCCTCTGACCTCCATGAGAGACTTTTCTAGTGGTGTTTGGAAATGATCAATAAGCCACGCTTGAATCAGGAAGTCGATGAGGTTCGATGAGGGGTGCTGCTGCACTACATAAACGCGACTGAATTGCGCCTCCTGCAAGACCAAAATTGCCGTGGCCATGCGGAACAAGCAAAGTATTTGTCTATACAGAATTGACATCTTGACTCTGGGGTCGTGGGGACGTTCTTACGCATGATACGCCTCCGTCCTCTTTCATGTTCCCGTATCGGAAGAGCCGATCGGCCTCCGTGGCGTCAATCTGGCCCGCGGAACCCTCGCCCATGAGCCAGTGTGGGAGCGTTCGCTTCTGCTCCCCGCCCATTGAGGCTGTGTTGGCGTCCGCGGAAATTGGGGGCGGGTCGCCTGTGGTCAGCCCACAGGTAACATCGACCAGAAACTTCTGGAGCGCGGGAAGGTCGCAGTTCTTGGAAAGTGCCTGGTGATAGGTCGAGAACGCCGGAATGTCCAGATACAGGTCCAGCTCCGCATCGTCCAGAAATCCACCGGCACTCTTATCAATCTGCAAAGTGCTCCGCCCTCAACAGAAAACGACAGTTCTATGGAAGTGCTGCAAAGTTCCGACTACGCGCCAATCATGAAATTGAAAACGCTTTCGGGCATAGACGTTGGAGGACGATACTGGCTCGGCAACAACGGCGGAGAACGCAGCCCGTACTAAATGCTCGAGCAGCACGCAAGTCCCAACGGAGCAGACTTCTGCCGCTGAAAAGAAATCTATATCAATAGCAAGTGCGAAAACATATAAAAGACAAGTATCCGCTATTGCATTGACTAATTACAATGACTAATTGCAATGACTAATTACAATGACTAATTACAATGACTAATTACAATGACTAATCTTTCTTTCTTTCTTTCTTCTTCCTGTCTGGGCTTGACTCAAGTGTCTCTTTGGCCCGTTCACAGCTTGTTTCGTTCGTTCAGTAGTGCCCTCTTCTCGCGCAAGTGCTTTCACGAACTTCAGCCAGTGCTTTCTCGAACTAGAACTACAAACAACAGCGTAGAACTCTCAGAAGACCTTGTAAAGCTTGTTTCTGTGATAAGGATAAACTAAAACTCGAAAAACTGCGATAAAACCTGTTAAAACTGTAAGACTGGCAGAAAACTCAAAACAACGAAGGTAAGTCGTACTAAAGCGAAGGGGTTCGGATGGTACAGTGGTTTTGAAAGGGGATACAAGCGAGGGTATAACTTCAACAAAAAATTAAAGGCAATAGTAAATCTTAGTCTGAAAGATTTCTACTTTTTCCTCAATGACTAATCACAATGACCAATTTCTTTCTTTCTTTCTTCTTCCTGTCTGGGCTTGACTCAAGTGTCTCTTTGGCCCGTTCACAGCTTGTTTCGTTCGTTCAGTAGTGCCCTCTTCTCGCGCAAGTGCTTTCACGAACTTCAGCCAGTGCTTTCTCGAACTAGAACTACAAACAACAGCGTAGAACTACAAACAACAGCAATGACCAATTACAGTGACTAATTACAATGACTAATTACAGTGACTAATTACAATGACTAATTACAATGACTAATTGCAATGCCTAATTGCTATTAGTTATTGTTATTACTTATTGCTATTACTTAGTCATT